GAATCCGCTCGGCATACTCAATGATCTTGCGATGACGGAAGACGGCGTCGACCTTGGCTCTTGCGACCTTCTCCGTGTCGGCGCAGAGGGCGGCGAGGCCTTGCTCCTGCTCAACGGTGTTCGTGCTCGGTGACTGCCACTGCAATACTTGAGAGATGCGTGACTCCGATTGGGGCGACTGAGTCCGTAGCTCTCCGTCTTGCTGTGTGGCCGACTCCTTCAGGGACGGTGTGCTCACTTCAAGGGCAGTGTCGCACAGATCCATGAGAAGCTCGACAATGCGTGCCTGTGGTCGGCGAACGGCAAAGGACCGAGTTCTATTGTGTCCAAAGCCGCCCGACCGGTCCCTCGACCGAGCCATCGATGTGCCGGGCGACGACTGTGTTGAAGGAGGCGGACCAATCGGCATCCCTTTGTATTCCGCTAAAGGTAGGGGGTTCGGCTGCTGCTGCTGTTGTTGTTCGTCCGAGGTCGGCCGACTTTGTCGAGACTCGAGAGCGTCGAGGACCTTGACAATAGCGTGGCGGTGCTCTTGAAGATTCTCTTGCGACATCTGCACATCCATCTCTGCTCGGTGTTCCTGCAGACACAGATCTGTGTGCTTCTCAAACCACCAGGGCTGGATTTGGCGTTCGCAAATGCGGCAGAGTACAGTCGGTGGAGGTTTGACGCGGCTGTCGACGTTCTCGCCACCGCATTCAGCGAGCTGGTTGAGAAAGCTAGCAAGGACTTCGCCGCCAGAGCCCAGTGAGTCGACAATGACATCGGGCAAGTCGATCAGGATTTCGGTTGGGGGTGTCCACGGACGGATCATCCACATGGTCTAGCTCGAGTTAGAAGTTTTGCTCGCAGTCTCAACCAGGCACACCTACATGACTTTCTCCTCCCGAGGCACCATCATACACCATGATTCCTTGTGCCTCAAGCTCGATGGTCTCAGGCGAGGCTTCAGCGCCGTCGGAAGGTGCCTCGGCCGATCTGAGCTTGGAGAGAGGGCCTAACTCCATCGTGAAACGTATACGATGGCTCCTGGAGTCATCCCTCTCCATGCCTTCCACCACGTCGGAGAATACATTTTTGTTGTCGCTCACCACCAGTTCCGACAACTGCTTGCCGTCCAGCGTCTCGAGCTTGGTGCCGACGACATCCGCCCATGACGGGCTCGCCCACCGTACCGTCCCGTCGAGGTTGAGATCGACAATGGCATTGAGGGTCTGCTCGGCAGCCTCTCGGAGTTCTTCGCGTTCGTCACGGATATCCTGGCTGATGGATCGCTCCATGGGATACGCCTGCTGGCCGCGAAGGTGGGCGACAGCTGGCGGGGCCAGCGTGGGAGCAGGCGACTCCATTGCAGGCTTGCGCCAGCGTACGCTGTGGTCGCCGCTTCTCCCTTTCCCTTGGTGGCTCGTAGGCTGAGCGGTTCGATTCGTATATTGAGGCGATCGGAGCGATTGGGGATGATCTGGCTTGAATGCCAGGACTACAGGCTCCCGGGACCACGATACATGACGGAGGGCGGACCAAAGGTGAGACAATCGGTGAAAGTCGCCTGTGATGGAACCGTTTCGAGTATCTCGGATCAAGTCGTGGTCGACCAACGTAGTCTAGGCGCCAGATGGAAGAGAAAGATGGGCTGGAACAAAAGGTGGATCGGAGACTTGGGAGTTGGGAGCGGGCGGAGTAAATTGCGATGCTCTCTGGCACGCAGCTATGCTGGCACTTGACAAAGAAATGGAGCGACGAGGCCAACAGAAAGAACTGCTCAGTCGTGTCAAGTGGCAATTGTCGAGGATGTCGTAATTGGAAGAGCAGTTGGTGGTGCGTTCGTGAATTGCAGAGAGAAACAAAATCCGGCACGTTGATGAGCGAGCAGGGACAGGTCAGTCACGTTGGACATTCACGATGTCGTGCGGAGTATCTTGCGCACTGTGCTCCTGCGGACCACCAGCACGCACCGCACAGTGCAGATGGAGACGGGACCCAAGTTTCAGAGGTGCGCTGGGGGAAGGGTCGGCGGACGGGACATTGCGACGGATAAGCGGGGAACGGACTGTGTGGCCCAATCACCTCACACCAACTGCGTTGAGGAGACATCTTACTCATGCGCACTGTGCTAGCTCTCTTCTGACCTCGAGAGCGCACGAGTTGAATGACGGTAGAGTCACATCTCCGCCGTTATCATCAGCAAACGAGCACAGCTCGATGAACAGGAGCGAGCTAGATCGTCAGCACACATACACCCAAGCCTCTTCTCGCTTTACTGCCAAGGTTACAATGTGCCTCTGGCTTCGATGGGGAGCAAGCATGCACGCACCCATACGCTGATCCATCCACCCACCAAGACGACTGACCGCCTTCGAAGCTTACATCGATTGATAATGTTCTGGGCCGTGGTCGCTTCGTGATCGCAGTAATGACTGTCCTTTGTCAGCGGCACGTTGATCAGCATAAACATGCTGCATAAGCAGGGCAGCGCGCCGCCATACAACAACATGGCGCCTGCGTGCAGAGGGGAGTCGGAGTGATGCTGAGGGGCAGCAGCTCAGTTCCCTCCCACCCCCCTCCTTGCGCGGCCATGTTATTAGGGCCCGTCACAAAGTTTGTGTTCGATCACGCTCAATGTGGTGAATGCGCTGGCAATTATCAATTGAAGCGTGGACTTGCTGTGAGCCAATCAGCGGACGTGGGGGAGAGACATGCAGGACACGCCGCATGTTGGAGAAGGGTGGCCTCTTTTCCTTGGCTCCATCTATGTTTGCTTCCAAGTATATTGCCTAGTTTGCCTCAGAGTCCTCCGTCAAGTCTGAGTGGCACGAGTGTCTGGCATCAGAAAATGTCAGGAAAATGGACTGGTCAAGCTACGTAGAAGTTTTGTGCTTCGTGTTTCCCGCGTCAAACTTGGGTAATGGATGGGAGCTTTTCATCCGGCTAACCTACAGTACGCCACGGTAATTGTTACTGGTCTGCGTCAACGCCCGCGGCAGGTACTCCGTACTCCGTAGGCAATGTTCTCATTTCCTAGAGGCTTGCTCGTGTCCAGAGATGTCTTCTTCGTCCTACATTCTTGACCTTGTACTCCGTATCTGTGGTCGTTACAAGCTCCATTCCTCGCTTGTTTCCGCGATCCGTCTTTAAGCGATGGATTCGGGGATCGCTTCTTGAGTCCACTAATATGGCACGTCTGACCAATCAAGACGATGAAGCCCTGGTTTGCTTATCAATCCAGATGTTCGTGGTTGATTCACAGTGAAGGTTCGCGATATATATTCCGAAAAGAATCACCTACTCGTATTGCATTGGCCATCTCGAAATAAAAAAGGGCATGAACATAGCAAGGAAACCTCCATTGGCAGGAAATAAACAAGCTTCCATCCATCTTCGCAGCTCTCCTCCTTACCCCGTACCCCTCTCAACCACAACATTTTACCACTCAGCACATCAACACCAGCCATGACTTCAAGACAGGGCAATGTGGGAGCCAAGGGTGCTTCTTACTTCACGCCAGATCAGTCGCCTCCCTCAGGGACTCCTCTCGACGCCAGCACGGCGCCTACCCTCTTCACCCCTCTCACCACCCGCGGGGTGACCACCCACAACCGCTTCGTGGTGTCCCCCATGTGCACGTACTCGGCCGACAATGGACATTTGTCGGACTGGCACCTCGTCCACCTCGGGCAGTACGCCCTCGGTGGCGCTGGGACCATCATGGTGGAGGCTACGGCTGTCGAGCCCAGGGGCCGCATCTCTCCTGAGGATTCGGGTCTCTGGCAGGACTCGCAGGTTGCGCCCCTGAAAAGGATCGTGGATTTTATCCACAGCCAGGGCAGTGTCGCTGCTATTCAGCTCGCCCACGCTGGTCGCAAAGCGAGCACTGTTGCCCCTTGGCTGGGCGGAACCACTGATAAGCCTCTCGCTGACGAGACCATTGGCGGTTGGCCCGACGATGTGGTCGGACCTAGCCCCATTCCTTACGCCGACAACCACGCCCCTCCCAAGGAGCTGTCCGTCGACGACATCGAGGGCCTGGTGTCAAAGTTCGCCGAGTCGGCCAGAAGGGCTGTGGAGGCTGGCTTTGACCTGATCGAGATCCATGGCGCGCACGGCTACCTGCACACCAACTTCCTCTCGCCTCTGTCCAACGTCCGCACCGATCAGTACGGCGGCTCCTTTGAGAACCGCACCCGCTTCCTCACCGAGACGATCCAGGCTGTCCGCGCGGTCATCCCAGAGACCATGCCTCTGTGGCTGCGCATCTCGGCAACAGAGTGGATGGAGCACAGCGGTCAGCCTTCCTGGGACCTCGAGTCTTCCATCCGTCTCGCCAAGCTTCTCCCCGGGCTGGGCGTCGACGTGCTCGACGTGTCCTCGGCCGGGAACACACCACACGCGCGTGTGCCCATGCACAATGAGTACCAGGTCGACTTGGCAGGGTCTATCCGTCGCGCTGTCCGCGGCGACGGCCTCGACCTTCAGATTGCGGCCGTCGGCAAGATCACCGAGGCGGAGATGGCACGCTCCATAGTCCAGGAGGGCAAGCCCGTTGCGCAGAACGGGAACGGCACGGTGGAAGTAGAGGGTGACCACGGTGTCGCGCAGGCCGAGTTCGTCTTGGCTGCCAGGCAGTTCTTGAGGGACCCTAGGTGGGTTCTGAATGTCGCCTACGAGCTCGGCGTGAGGGTCAAGTGGCCTCAGCAGTGCGAGCGAGCCGCGAGGAGGCCCAAGGTAGAGAAGCTCTAGAAAAAAAAAATAGATGGATGCGCGATAGAGATCAAATGATAGATGCACGGAGACTCACATTTTAACTTTGTCAACTGCGTGGTCAGGTCGCCGAATTTGCTGACGGGCTCCTTTGCTTACCCTAGAGGCATCGTTCTTTTGGTAGCCACAGATGGCGCACGTATCAATGTTGGCATCGCGAGCCTCAGCCACAATTCAAACCCCAGTCGCCAAAAGTTTCACCCGTAGCATGAATTCATCACAAGACTCACATTCACTTCACAATGTCGACCGTAAGTAACCATTCGTCTCAAAGCGAAGGCTGTCTAGTCCAGCCCGAATTTATGTACTTATATTACCCTGAAAATCTGAGAACTGACCCGGTCAGGTTGACCCCAACATGTTCCGCGTCCCCGCTGCCCGCGCCCTCACCGTTCTCGATAGATCACTGTTCCGCACGACGCTACCCACGGCAGCTGCTCTGGTCAGCGACAGCCGACAGCTCTCTAGATTGAGGAAAGACTTGGAGAAGACCCGAGAGATTCTGAATGTGGACAAGGTGAAGCCCGTGGTAGGCCACCCTGACCCGGAGAAGGCAAAAGGTGGCTTGAAGGCACTACTTCTCCAGCCGGATGTGAAACCAGCAGGTCAGTTATACAGACTCCTTTCTACAATATGAATGATTGCTAACGGCTATAGCCCCCGAGAGCTGGAGTGTTGTGCTGAAGCAGGCCAAGGAGGCGGGAGAGGTTGATCTCATCCCCTACTCCGTCGAGCTAGACTACTACCACTTCCAGTACCGTACGCACAGTCCCCAGGAACAGCTCCCTCCAGCCTCGATCGCTCACTGACATTCGTAGTGGACATTCTCCGATCCATCATACCCGAAGAGCTCCACGACGAGATCCCAACAGGCTTCAACAGTGTCGGCCACGTTGCTCACCTCAACCTGCGCGAGCAGTACTTGCCCTACAAGCACATCATCGGCCAGGTCATCCTCGACAAGAACCCCCATCTCAAGACAGTCATCAACAAGCTGTCCAACGTGGGTACCGAGTCCGAGTTCCGCACCTTTCCGTACGAGGTCCTGGCCGGACGGGACGACCTAAACGTCGAGGTGAAGGAATCCGGCTGCATCTTCCAGTTCGACTACGGCACCGTCTACTGGAACTCCAAGCTGAGCACCGAGCACGAGCGGATCGTGGATCTCTTCCAGCAAGGGGACGTTGTGGTCGATGTCATGGCAGGCATCGGCCCGTTTGCCGTGCCCGCGGGCAAGAAGAATGTCTTTGTCTGGGCCAACGACAAGAACCCCGAGAGCTTCAAGTATCTCGAAAAGGCCATTGAAAAGAACCGCGTCGGCTCCTTTGTCCGGCCCTACAACGAAGATGGTCACGAATTTATCCAGCAGTCCGCCGATCTAGTCCTCGCCGCCTCCCGCCACGGCGAGTTCGGCACCATCCCAGGGCCCAAGCCGTCTCGCAGGTCCAACGCGCCACCGCCGGCGGCGCCTATCAAGATCCCCATTGCACCCGTGATATCACACTTTGTCATGAACCTCCCCGCCTCGGCGCTCGAGTTCCTGCACAATTTCCGCGGTCTCTACCATGGACAGGAGAGTCTCTTTGCGCCCCACACGCCGTCGCAGCTCCCCATGATCCACGCGCACTGCTTCGCGCCAAAGCCCAACGACGACGCGGCCGTGCAGACAGCGTTGGACAGAGTGGAGAAGGAACTGGGCGTGAGGCTGGTGCAGGGCAATGGCGAGGTGGAAGGCCAGGCGACCGTGTACGATGTACGAGATGTTGCCCCCCAGAAGCTCATGTTCTGCGTAAGCTTCCGCCTGCCCAAAGACGTGGCCTTTGCGCCGAGGACATAGACACTGGTTGGGTTACACAAAGGTCAGGTGCCGCAATGGACGGCGGTCACTGCGCAACACTGCGGCCTGCTGCCCGTCGCCTTATCCGCAGCTGTGGGCAGCGATTACACCCGGTTTCCTACAAGGAAACCACGCATTGTGATGTGTCAGAGCACCCGTCCGTGCGACCGGTCAAGAGGCAATGCAACGAAGGAGTACCACCTGCACCTCCTGGCCAAAGCAGTACAGGGGCATGCAGCCCAACTGTGGGAGAGGTCGCGCCACGGCCCAGCCTGCATCCCAAGTTTTGGGAAGGATCAATATCACCCATAGAGCATCGTTACCTGTCACCTATGACTTTGTGCATCTATGTGGTGCATGGTAGGCAGGGAACGCGGTCGATGTCGTGCAGGTGTCGCGCCCTGGGGCCCATGGTCCATGGACTGGAGGCACGTTTCGAGAGCGCGTGTCGACAGCGGGCGAATGGAGCTGATGGTGTGGTCAGCAAGAGAAGAGGGGCAGAAGCTGATGCCATGAGAGATCTCCTCGAGGTCTTTTGTATCTTCCCCCACTGCCTCGATGGCCATCTCGGCAATTGGAGCTTTCAATTGTCTCAGGTGCGCGGGGCAGAGCCTCATGTCTCATCGCCAATGGCGACTTGTGCTTGAAGAAACCTCATTATTGGCTTCTGGGCTTTCGGTAAAACCCCGTAGACCCAAGAATAGCCACACGCCAGGGGCATGGCAGATCACTCATAATTAACCTCTTGCCCAGATCGTTCGAGATGACCCCCACCTCTACCGGACAGTCTCGTCGATCGGATTGCGATCACGGCATCGCCAGACTCTGTTAGGATACGAACAATTGAGCAATGAATGTGCTGCTGCTGCCAATCGCTGATTTCATGCACTGCAATAAAGAGGGTCCTTTGGAAGTTGCCTGCCCCTGCTCTACACTCCCCTCCACCTTGGCCCAGGTATGCCGCCGGCACTACATCGGGCGTGGCCGTGCGACAATGGGCGCTACGACCTTGATTTCCCCGTGATCCGTCCAATAGCTGGAGGGGTGGAGGGTGCGATCGAGGTCAGGGCCAGGCGTGCTCTGGTGAAAACTCTGAAACGCTGTCACTGTGAATAATTGACATGGTCATTCATCTAAGGGCCGAAGCATGGGCCTTGCGGCAAGGTATATGATACATACTGTTGATGTTTGCGCGATAAACTCTGTACAGATTCATCATACCTGGTCACCAACCGAGCACACGCCACTGGCAAGTCCACATAGTATGTGACTTGGCGTGCTTTGCAGGAAAGCCCGGCGCACGCCGCATGCACACGCATGTAAAGACTCCGACTATGGAGATTGCCAAGTTGTGCAGATGCACGCGAGGCAAGGCAAGGCTGGGTACGGCGGGCACGGCTGGTCCGCTCGAAGTCTAAGATGGAAGCACGGGCGGATGGAATGGTCCATGTTCCAGTCAGTAATGGACGCGTCCAATGCCATACGTGGCGCCGCGACGCGATCAATGGTCAATCTTCACCACGAAGTTCTCGAGGCGCCTACGCATACGGCCGGAGGTTTGTGTTGGTTTGCACATGCACCTTCGCAGGACCCGACGCAGAGACAGTAGCATTGCAGTACCATCACAGAGGCGTGTGCAGAGATGCACGACATTTCGATAAATTGGCGTCTCGCGTGCTGGGCCAGTCGAATGATCAATCCTGGTTTTCAAGATGCTGAACGACTGAATAAATAAAAATAAGAGGATTGCTGTCTCCACTGTTGATAGTGCAAGACGCGCGAACAGCAGATTGTTTTCGATCCCTGGCCGCGCTGCGCGGTATGATGCGGGTGTGATGGAGATGGTCGTTATTCGCTGTCTTTTCTTAGATTCTACGTGTGCAAAAAGTGCCATGCGTCCAGTCGTCGTCGATTGCCCGCGCAGCAGATAAGAGCGCCGGACGTCGGCAAGATAAGATTGAGACGGTTGGTTGACGCGAGCAGCTATCTCGATAGCTGCTTTTCTCATTGCTGTTGTCATTGTGGCATTGAGTAGTACGTTGCAGCAGGAAGACATCAGAAGTGCACAGTGCCGGCACGCCCGTAGCGCGAAAGGCAACAGGGTGCTCGACGTGAATTGCTTGTCAATGATGACCTGGGCTAGGTAAAAAGTCAACAATACTGATTTTCGCGGCGTGTTGAAATCAAACCCTGGATGCGAGACGCCGCACGCCAGGACGCAGAAATCAAGCTTTGTTGCCTCCGAGCGGCTGCCAGCCTAAGCTAGTAGGCCAGACTAGGGGACCCTGCAATGGTGTTCTTGAGTTTTCCACATGCATGCGATCTTACGCAAACGTGTGCACGGCGGCGCCCAATGAATGGGTTGCTGCAAGCCATGCCTCTTCCAGGCTCGGTGTGGCTTCGATGGCAATGTTCGGGGGACGCGGGCATGATCGATGAGACTCGTCTTCACGAACGAATGGGTGATGTGTAGAATTGAAATGTAGGATAGAGTTGCGCATATCATGAAAGGGCGTTGGTGACGTGGAACACAAAACAGACTAAACACCACAAAGAGGCACCCTATGCACACGCAACGACAAGGCTCAAACATTCTGGAGTCCACCCGTCAGAGCATTCAAATAATTTTTCTTAACAGTAAGTAGCCCGAGAGGCGTTGTTGATTTCACGGTGCTGTCAAAGTCTCCGTCAGCGGTTGGTGTAGGGTAGGTGGTCTGGTATCAGAAGAACTCGTGCTGGTCGGACGTTTCCGGCGAGGGTCTATGATCATCACAAAGTCCAGTCATTCAAGGGCTCCATGATCCATCCACCAGCTTGCGAATTGCTCGTCATGTACGTCACGCAGAGAACTGTGCTTATACCATGCAGATATTGGCCTCGTTACATCTCATCAACGTGGCTCACCTAGTTGGTCACTCTCGCGGTCAGCCCAAATCAAGCTCATTACTTGGACGATTAAGTAGATGGCGGATTCGCAGCACGCACAACAACAGTGATCAACAACAAGGGGTTCGGCGCAGTGATAACACCAGATCCACGAAGTCTCCACGCACTCAAGAATGGGATCGGCGCCCGGTTGGCAAGTACGGATAGACCCTGGATTTTCAACGAGGTTCCTCCTTCCACCGCGGGGCGATCTGGTTGGCCAAAAAGGTTTGCCCAACCTGACCGAGTGCAGGACAGAGATGGGCCCATCGACATACGTAAGTAGTTGGTGTGACGGTATGGCTTGCAACGGCTCGCCCCAGTGGGAGAATGCAGCTGCGATTTCTTCATGTACCTACAGATATTTACTTGTACGCAGGCGAGGTTGATGTATTCCTGCGCCCAATTATCACCGTTGGTCCTTGCTCCTCCGAACTTCTCCGCGTTCCTCCCCCACTCTATATGTACTACGTCTGCTCATGGGCACGGGGCATATTGTGCTCTTGCTGCTTGCCGTGGAACCGGGGAAGATGAAGCGGCCGGTTCACAAGAGACGGCGGATGCTTCATTGATGTCTGGCGCGGTGCTAGACACAGGTACTGCCGTCTGTGTTCAGCGGAAGGCGCGGCGACTGGCATGATGGCTACGTAGTAGAGGCAACCCAACCCACCCACGGCCACCGGGGCAACAAGCGCTCCCGCCAGGACTCTAGTTGGAGGGCTTGCAACCGTACTGTAGCTCCGTAGTAGGTCATTCCTCGGAACTGTACGGAGCACGCAATTACAGCGCCGTGTGTAATGTGGGAGGAGGAGGAGCGAGTTGGCGCTATCAAATACCGGACCGGAAGATTTGCTCGTCTCGCTGTTTGCGCCGCGTGCGGAGTAATCATTCCAGTCCTGCTTGGATTTCTATATCTGTAATTCGTTTTCGCAAGCCGAGATAAAGAGCCTCATCAATGCATCGATGCCGGACAGGATAATTAATACGGGTTCCCAGAGTCGAGAATTGTCGGTGGCCCAGTTTTCGCGTCGCAGTCGGGTGGAGAGACGAGGCCTTCATTGCTCGCTTGCTGAGTGAGGCACGCCCAAAGCAAGCAAGCAAGAATGAAAGCAACAAGCCAGCAGGTCGGGGAACCGGGGGTTCACCCGTCCAGCCAGTCACAGAACGCGGCGCAACCTCCACGCGCCAAGCTTTCTATGGGACATAACTCAACCGAGCGGCCACGATGTGTCCATGGCTGGCTGCGGATTTGGCGTGTCCAGACCAGTTATCTGCTGGCTTTCATGTAGTAGTCCTCTGCCATCTATTCGCTGCAACCTCACCCTCCAGTCTGCACAAGTACATGTGAGCTAGTCTGGGAGATAAGAGGCGGGCAGCTCTTGCCTTCGAGTGTGCCTTCCACTGCCACCCACACTACAGGTTGCTCTAGCCTCTAGGCTCTAGCCCCAGTCCAGTCGCTGGTGGGCGGGGGCGATTTCGCCCAGGCTACCTGGCCACCGAGAACATGTACATGTAATAAGCCAGTCGTGGCCCCGCCTGGATCCAATGATGCTCACTGTAGGTGGACGCGGCTCAGGCGCCGTGCACCGCCTGCTCGGATGACCTACAGTGCTTGCAGGTGCTGCAGCGGGCACTGGACACTTCTGCCTGGAACTAGCCGAACCCTGGATGTATCCCGGTACATGCACCTTCCTCACCTTACCTTTTCGAAGCTCACGCCTCCCTTGCTGCGCTCAGTTCACCTCACCCTCATCCTGCCCATCAATACTCCTTCCTTTCCTTCCGTCCCTCCTCACCTTTTGGTGCTTGCCCATTCATTCATCTATCTGTTCTTCCTTTCTTTCCAACTGGCAAGCATACCGGGTATCCTCTCCATTGCCCCCTTCTCATTAATTCCTCCTCAATTGATGTCTGTTCCTCACCGTGGTCTCTTCTTGTCACGTCACTTGCACCTGGATCATATCGAATCGAATCATCAACAGGGCGAGCATACGAACCCCCACGGACGGCCTCGAGTCGCCGCCTCAAGGTTTCAGTCCTCATCAGGAGCACGCAAGGCCCTTCATAGCATCATTCGCCCCCGCGAGCCCTGCTGGTCTGGTCTCAGCTGGAATCTCGCACCATTCAATTGGAACAGCGATAATAATTTCCTCCATTCCGGTCGATCTCGAGGGCGGTTTCACCTGCCTTGCGGAGAAGAGCCAAGGCGCAGCTTATCGAATCCCTATAAACCTCCCCTTGTCCCTCGTGGTCCCCCATTTTAGTCTCGACCGGCTCCACCCTCAGGGTCAGGCGAAGAAAGAAAAAGTCACTGCCCTGTTATTAGCCCCCTCTCTCTTAAAACACCACGCTTTCCCATGATCCTTTAACTATCATCGGCAATCTTCCTTTTCCAGCCGGTGCTTCGGCGTCGACGAGCGTCACGCGCGCACCTCCGACACCATGGCGGTCGTCCTCAGCACAGGGGATGAAGGCAGCCACTACTTCGCCCCTAGCTCATCGGGTCTGCGACGTTCCCACTCCCAGTCGCAGTTCGGTCCCGCGCACTCCAAATACCACCACCAGTCTTCCACGTCCGGCTCGAATGACGACGACTGCGGCCCTTACGGCACGCTTCACAAGTCTTACTCACACTCCGCATTGTCCTCGGAGACATCGTCACCTCGCATCGCAAACACAGAATCAACCGACCACTCTTTCGCGTCCACGCCGGCCAGCAATTTCTCTCTCCTTTCGGAATTCGACGACGACGACGACGACGAAGAGGCCCTCACGTACGAGGATGCCCCCCAGCACATATTCGGGTCGGATTACAAGAGCAACCATTTCCAATTACCGGGGAATCCCGGCGACAACCTGGAGCCCCCGCCAAGTCCCAAGACCGGCAACTCTTACACACCTTCGCCCGACTATGGCAGCGCCACTGATACGCCGCAACCAGACACAGCAGAGATACCAGAGCACGCGGAAGACGACACGGCTATATCGGTGCGCCCTTCGCGGCAGGTAGACTACCTATCGCACGAGTGGCGACGCGAAGAGGATATCTGGTCATCGTGGAGATACATTATTCATCGACGGGGCGAGGTGCCGAACAGCGCGCGTCTGGAGAATGCCTCTTGGAGGACATGGATGCAGTCGAAGAACAATCTGAAGACAACCTCGCCCGAGGTCCTCAATTGGTGGGTTATCTCGAGTTGCTCTACACATCGAGTGCTAACCTCCACAGGTACAAAGATCAAGATGTCACATGGCTCTACGGCCCTCTGCAGCAGGGCCCCAACTCGCGCGAGTCCAAGGAGGCTCTTAGCACCGGACTGTCAAAGTCGGGATCACTTGTCAACTTGAACAAGAAGCCAATCCTGAAGAAGAGGAGCATGTCAGAGGTCATGCTGCAAAGATCGATATCAGCAGCATCCCTGCTCAAGCAGGCGACTGCTGCCGTACAAGCGCAGGAAAGTAGGGGTATACTGCGACCGAGCATGGGCAGAGCGAACACCGACTACACCACATACACCTTTTCGTCACGTCGATTCAGTAATGGCTACACCACAAGCAGTGTCGCGGACTCTACGACGGATTCTTCAGGAGTCACCTCGCCAGGCACGGAGCGCAAACACATTCACTTCAACGAGTCCGTGGAGCAGTGCATTGCGGTGGACATTAAAGGCGATGACGAGGATGATGTCGGTGCCGAGAACGCCATGGACGAAGACAGCGACTCGGACGACGGCTTCATGATGATGCGCACGCGCGCTCGGAAGAGGAGTACCGCTTTGATGAACAGGAAGCGGAAACAGAAGCCGCAAGCGGTCCAGGAGGCGAGCAAAACTATTGCTATGCTACCTTCCACAACTCTGAAATATCGAGCCGACACCCCCGAGCCGCAAGAGACTGCCATGAAGCACAGCACCGGCCGTCGCAGTCCGTCCATGTCACCGTCATCTTCTCAGGAGACACTGCGGCCTTCAGCTAAGAGCCGGTTCTTCATTGGCGACGATGACACGGATGAGGTGGCGGATGGCTTCTGTGATCCCAACACCAGTTGGCGCTCCCCGGGGGAGTTGGACGGCACCGACAGTCCTCCAGGATCGCCAGACAGAGACTCTGCGCGCATGAGGCGCACAGCCTCAGGCATGCTTATGCCTTATGAAGAGGGTGACCTCGCCACGGGGGACGGTCTCTTTGGTCGAGTTATCGAGACGGTCAACACGGCCCGCGACATTGCCCACGTCATTTGGAATGTTGGTTGGAGGAAATAAGCAAATCGTCCCAAGATGATCTGCTGTGTTGTCTAACATGACAGCAGGCTCGTCAGTTGACTTAATATTGCGAATGACGACAATGGCGTGGGCGCTTGTGTCACTTGCCATGTCGAGCAAGTGACTGACTCAGGTCGCCATCAGCTCTCATTGATCCACAAGGATCCAAGGTTCTGCATGGCTATTGCGCGCAGCCTCGGCGAATTCAGGCTCAAATAATACGGACTATCGGGGGGTTTGCAAAGGACAAGGGTTTCCAGCATGGCGTTTTCTGATTTCATTCTGGTGATATCCTCAATTTTTCTTTTATCCTTTACTGGCACGGTATACGGAACACACGGACGGTAACATGGGCAATACGCGCGGCTTTGGTTTGGACGGTCGTCACCACCGCATTCTTCAGGCGGGTGGGGGGGGGGGGGGGGGGGCGCATCTGGCGTTATACAGAATCAGCAGGCACAAGCATCGTCGAGAGGGCAAAAGCAATATTCATCATGACTATCCTTCTGGTCTCTTTTTGCCACTGCATGTCGTTGATGATGCTGTCTGTTCAGCACTGGGCGTGTGAGATCATAGGTCGTCCATGTGCCCTGTCATTGTTGGGGATGTGGAGATCCTGTGCAATGACGGTATCCTCTGCAAGAACGACTGGAGTCACTAGATTTTCTGCATCTGACGATACCCAGAAAATTTGTTGGGACGTCGCGGAGATCCCCTGGGAGCCCGTAGGGGTCCTGGCCTCGTGACGTGTGCCGCGCGGGGTCCCCACACAGCAGCACTGTCTGGATAAGGAGGAAGTACACGAGACATTGCGGGGACGGAAGAGAGAGAGAGAGCCCATGCCGAGGTCGTCGTGGCTTGATTGGGCCTGAGCGGGACGGCTGGCGCAGGGCGGCCAAGTCAGCGACGATGGCTCGTTGGACAGTCGGTGAAGCGAAAGGGAACCAATGAGCAGAGTAGCACTGGGAGAGGGGGAAGGTGGCAGCGTGTCTTTAGGTCGTCATTACATTCGTCTGTCTGTTGGTACAAGTTCGTACAACCACTATATACTGAAACAAAAGGAGTGGGCGCCACGGAACGAAATGCCCCAGTCTAGGAAGCGACTGGTTCGCCGACCAGCGTGGGCTTCGCCCTCTCCCGGGGGATGTAGTCTAGCGCGGTCACCTCCACCGTGCCCTGGTAGGGATCCACGTTGAGCAGCTCGACGTCGAACTGATCACCGACGTGCACCTTCATCAACAGTGCCTTGTTGTTCATGTCCTGCACCCGCATGGTGGCCCTTAGCTTGAACAGGTCCAGGGTACCAATCACGCCTGACTTCCACCGGGACGTGACTGTGAAGCGTAGTTTACCGGGTGCCGTGCCGTCGAAGCGATGCGCCCGGGCCAATGCCATGAGAATCCAGTCCTTCTCGCCCCGCGACACGACGCGGGCCATCTTCTCACGCATGTGCAGGAGGGCGAGGGTGTTCTTGAGATCCGCCTCGGGGAAGGGCAGAATGGCGTTCAGGTCGTCCTGCGCGGGGTCGAGGGGTCTCTGGAGCCTGTGCTCCTTTGCCAGCGCCGCGTGAATCTGCCAGTGTGCGATCAGGTCGGAGAAGCGCCGGAGGGGCGAGGTGGTCTTTGTGTACATGTCGATGCCCATCATGAAGTGCGGCCCTGGGTCGGTGGACAGCTGCACACCCCCCGTCATGACGAGGACTCTGGCGATTTTGTCAAAGTCGGGCGCAATGCCCTTCTCCACGTCCGGGTACACCTGCTCGCTGACAAACTTGCGCACCTCGTCGTACCGTGCCGAGCTAACGTCCCTGCGGTACGGCACGGGAAGCTTGCGCTCGTGGGCCCATCGTGCGGCGACCTCGCCCGCCAGGACCATGAGATTGCCGACGACGGAGCAGTTGTGATCGTCTGCGGTATGCGCCCGGATATAAGGATCGCCAGGCCGTTGGATCAGACCCGAGGGCAGTTTCGAATTGGTCTTGACTGGAGGGAAGACGACGTCGACAGAGGTACCCGGCGGGAAATAAGGCGTTGCCCCCTTCTCGACCCTCTTCCGTTTCAGAGCCTCCGCAAGGCGATAGAGCGTCAACAGGCTTTCCTTGTCGGGCTGCGCGAGGTCGGCCGCCTTGGACATCTTTCGGCTGGAGGCGAGTGCGCCCGATGGGAGTGTGTCTGTGGCAGGCTTCTTCCCAACGACCAGCTCTTGCTTCTGCATAGGCGGAGGACGAGGCTCCAGGCAGAACGCAGCGACATCCTCCGGATCGAGGTATGTGACATCCGACAAGACAGTCGGCTCGATCTTGTGCGCCAGAACGTCACCGGCCATGTTCACCTTGGCACTGAAGGTCAGAGCTGGACTGCCCGTTGACAAGGAGTACTTTTGAACCAGGTCCTGGATTGCCTTGTCCGGCCCGCCACCGTCTTGCCCAGAGAGCATGGCTTGGAAGTGGCCGTGGAGGTAGATGTTTTCAGGTATGAGCTCCATGTACTTGGAAAGCGGCGAGTCTGGCCGTATGACAGACGCCGGGTCGGCGGCGTGGATGCTGATCCAAAACTCGTCGCTCTTGTCGGTCGGCTTAAGGGACACACCGTCATCGATGAGGATTGCTTCAGGACTGTCAATGCAGAACACGCGCTGCTGATCCCGCCCGTGGCGGTACTCGGCCGCAATGTCCTCGCGTAGAGACTCCTTGACTTTGGGCTCATCATTGCGGGATATGCCTCCACCCACCACAATGTCCGTGCCCGGAAAGCGTACGCGGTAGCGCGAGGGCACCTCCCATAGCGGTATGATGCCCAATTCCTGCAGGAATGTCCACGCTGTCGACTGGTCGAGGTACCTGTCCGGGTAGAGGCCAGTGGCCCTCAAGATGGTCGACCCGTAGGTGGAATACCTTGAGCCGGGCTCGAACAGGTCATAACTCGCCCACCATTGCAAGAATTGTATGATTTGCTGATGTCCTCTGTCGCTTGTCCATTCCAGGTCACCGACGATGGACTCCTTTTCACTCGGGACAATGTACCCATTGACCGAAGCCCGTCGCTCTCTGTATTTGAGGATCAGGCGCCGGCACCTGTTGATGAAGTGATTGAGCGCGCCGCACTTACTCAGCACACCTTCCTGGGACTCGAGTGGAAATTTGTCCGTCACTACCCAGTAGTGACGAACAATGGTCGACACGGTGGCGAGCACATCGGCCATGGTCGTCGGGAAGACCTCAAACAGATGGTCCCGCCGATGACAGTCGCTGGAAGGGCTCAGGGGGCGGAAGATGATTTCGTCGCTGAACAGGGTCGTGTGAACGGCGAACAATGCTGTCGCAGGAAATTTGCCATCCTTCTTCAAAGAAGCAGGGAGCAGCATGTCGGCAATCTCAAAGAGACTGAGGTACTTGGTGTGCGTCTCTGCTGCCACGAGCTGCCTGATGCGGTCCAGCTTGTCGAGATTCTGGAGGCGCACCGTGTTGGCTTCTGTCATGAAGTTGTGCATCTTCTCAATGAGAGCCATTCCAACCGCTCGCGGGGGTCCGCGGTCGTTGATGCGGGCTTCGTCAAATTCCTCCGTCGAGTTGACCCTTGGTAGGGAGTCCAGAATAGGCTGGATCTCGGCCTGGCTGGCGAAATTGGACACGGTGAAGAGGGAAGTGAAGCCGGTGCTCATAATCCAACGCCCCTGCTGGCCGTAGAAGTGATGCCGTGAAGCTATGAAGCCAAGGTAGACCGCGAATACGGGCGTCCTGGAGCTGGAGCTTCTCATCTCTACCAGGTCACCCGGCTTCTTGGACTCGAGCCCGACCTCAAAGTCATCCCTGTTGAAGACCCGTCCATCGCTCAAGTTGGCCATGCCCGCCTGCTCGGGGTTGATCACCTCGTTATTGATGGATTGACTTGTTTGAGTTCGGACGATGGAGTTGATGGACCTGTGCGTCAACGCTTGGTCGCCGAGGTCATGGGAGTCCTCCACAACCCTCTTGTCCGGCCGATTCGCATTGATCCAGAGGCGAAGGTAGTCTCGCATAGGAGGGCGCGCGCCATCTTTCCCCAGCAACGAGTCGGGTACGGCCGTCAGAGGGGAAACGTTGGAGCCTTCGGCGAGGTCTGGTACGGGGAGAGGATCGTTTGGCGGTGGGTTTCGGGCTTCGGTACTGTACTGCGCAGTATTCTTCACGTGCGCATACGATCTCGCTGAAGATGCACCGCCGGGGGTTGTAGAGGTGACCAAGGTGGCGGAGGCATGGTGAGGTCGTCTGCTAGCAAGTCTGCGTGATGAGCATTGGCGGCAGACTGTAGCCTGAACTGAGGACCGTAGCATGGCCTCGACCAGCCGACGGAGCAAACGACTGTCTGGAAGTAGCAGACCTGCGTTGCTGGCGTGGTCTGTCTCAGTCGTCGTCGATGGGGTGGGTTGTGTTGATGCAGTGGTGGTGATTCAACTTGCGACCGGAAATTTTCTGGGCTGTACGCACGGGGAGAGCGCAGCGCGTCAACGACCCTCATCAGCGGGACGGCGGTGGCACTTTCCGCGTATATTAGTAGTTGCCGATGAGCGCGCAGTCACATGACCATTGATAGTTCCTGCATTCCTCAGCACAGGGTAAATAAGGCAGGAAGGAACAGATGAATGTCTGATTCAGCTGGCTGAGCATTGGATGCTGTTCCTTTTCTTTCCTTCTCTTCTTCCACACTCCAGTCGACATTGTGTATACAACGCTGCGCCATCTTCTGCACCATCACGGACCGGGTTTCTCTCATTGTTGACAACGTGCAACACCACCGCATTACAGGTGCATGAATCCATGGATAGGTTCAGTTGCACATCGGATCACTCAGTGTGTACGACACAAATCACAATGGACCTCCAAATCCCCAGCGAACCCGACCTCTGGTCGGACCCGACTGGACGCTGGGATTGGGTTGCCTGCTTACCCTGCAACAGCAGCAGAGAACAAGCTCCGACCACTCGCCAGCAGCGAAGGGAGAGAGACCTGGGCAACTGATCAGCCAATACTACGGATACTTATCATCAGAAATGTCTACGGCGCCTGGGGTTCACCAACGCACAAGCTTTTGGGCGTACCAGTCGGTCGTGATCTCCCGCAAGACACATGGCCGAGTTGCACATCTTAACCGTGCTTGGTCGAGCCAGCAGGCCCCACCATACAGTGGTTGGTGAAGAGAAACGGCAGTGGTATCACAAGGATTAACGACTGGACGCACAGCGACACCTGCACGCTGCATCGGGGACACTGAACTTGAACAGTCGACTGGGCCTGCGATGTCCTTGTTCATCACGGCGGGTTGCGCACCTTGTGACCTTCTCGAATATCACCCCGTAGTATCCGTACGTGCCGTCTTACGATCTTGCCGTCGTACGCAGCCTTCCACTTCATGCCGGCAGAGGTGCCTGCAACTTAAAGTTAGCCTCTGGGCGGCGACAGCGCTTGGGCTGGCCCCACGACGACGGAGATTATGCGACAGCAGGCTGATTTCACGACACGAGGAGGCCCAATGTCCATGCGATGATGCGAGCCTTGCGAGGAGCGGCATGCTTGCTTGCCGACATACTATTTACGGAGCGATGCCGGGTTGAACTTGAAATGCCCCAGCTTCCGTGTTTGGAGATGAAGAAAGCAGGTGAAAGCTCCATTGCCTGCTGCGACTCAAACCTGCGAGGCCAATAACCGTGGACCGTGGACCGTTGACTATGGAGGGGGGCGAGCGTTCCTGAATCGGGGCTGCTAGTCTCCAGACGCAGGAACAAATTGGCGGCCCCACACGTGGAACCTCCAAACAAGGGAACGATCAGCACTTGCCTCGACCTTACAAGTCCCAATCAAACGACAGAGTCAGTCAGGTTCACAACTGAATCAACGGCACATGACCAAGGGCGGCAGAACAACCCTCAATCGCCGTCAAGCGCCCTTGCTCCTTGCTCCTGATAGTCTGATGGCGGGATCGGTATGCTTCCGTGGGAGCAAGGACTGGCTGGCAGGCTGGGTCATTTCGGTCTACTATGCTCATGTCGCCTACGACAGCACAGGCGCAGAGACCATGGCGCTTGCGAACGCTCATTCGCCACGTCCCCTGAAGCATCCTGGCATCGTGATTGCAAGGCTTGCCCCCCTTCAAGGTGGCATTTGAGCCTTGAAGCCAATGGAAATTGCACTGCGACGGAGGATGCTCCACATAGCCCCTATTCGCGGACAGCGGTGACCACGGTCAACAACGGCCCTAGCTAGCTGGTCAGCCTGGGCTTGCCTTGGACGCCGGTACCTCGGGGTTGGCGCATTGGCAGTGGCTGTCCATGTACAGGCCGGCCTCTTGGCTTCATCTCACGACGATTCTTCGACCCCAGCCAGGGGTGACCTGGGCTGCCTTGCCTGCATTGGGCTAATTAGGTCGTGCAGCGCGACAATAATAACATCCCCGGCCGCGCCCATCTGCCCATCCGATTCCCTCTCCTCTCCTCCCTCTTACGATCCGTTCACGTCGATTTCGTAAAGAAAGCCTTCGCTCACGCTCGCTTTCGTCCTTTCGTTCTTCACACTCTCATTCCAACATACCGCTTCACTCTTTTAGCGGGCATTCGTTTACCAGAAAACAACAAGAAAATCCGACAGAATGAAGGGAGGTATTGCTGCCGCCGCTTTCGCGGCCATGGTCAGCAGCGCCACCGCGCTCAACCACCGCCACGCCCACGCCGGTCTTCACAAGAAGAACGTGGCCGAGACCTGCGGTTGCACCACCATCTACACCTACATCACCGGGGAGCCCACGCTTGTGCCCAACCACCCTCCCAAGACCACCGAGTCGTCCAGCTCGTCTGCCGTCGTCACACCCAGCTCGTCGTCCGTCGAGGTCCCCTTTACGACACCGGAGACTCTTCTTCCTCTGCCGACCACCTCGGAGGAGGTCAAGCACCCCGTGCCTACCCCCGAGGTCACCACCTGCCCTACGCCCGGCACCTACACCATTCCCGCCACCACCGTGACCGTTGACGAGACCACCACCGTCTGCGTCCCCACCAGCGTTCACGTCGTCCCCGGAACCCACACCGTCGGCGGCGTGACCACCGTTGTCGTCGAGGCCACCACTGTGACCTGCCCCGTGGCCACCGTCACCACCCAGCCTGACGGCGCTGTTACCAGCACCATTGTTCAGACTGAGTACGTCTGCCCCTCGGCTGGTACCTACACCATCAACCCCATCACCACCACCGTGACCGAGGAGTGCGATGTCGAGTTCCCCGTCCCCACGAGCTACAACCCTGGCACATACACTGCTCCTGAGCAGGTCATCACCGTCACCGAGACCGACTTCGTCTACGTCTGCCCTTACACCAGCTCTGGTCTGCCTGAGCCCACCAAGGTCCCCGAGGCCCCCAAGGCGGAGGTGACCAAGGCTGAGTCTCCCAAGGAGACCAAGGTCGAGACCCCCAAGGAGACCAAGGTTGAGGAACCCAAGGAGGAGGAGGAGACTGAGGTTAAGGAGCCCAAGAAGGAGACCCCCAGCAAGGGTCACTTTGATGGTAGCTTCGGTGGCAGCGGCGACCACTACGGTATCACCTACACCCCTTTCGAGGAGACCACTGGCGAGTGCAAGTCTGCTAGCCGCGTGGACAGTGATATTCAGGAGATCAAGAACGACGGTTTCCAGGTCGTCCGTGTCTACTCCACTGATTGCGACACTCTGCCTTCCGTCGGCGCTGCCTGCAAGAAGCACGGCCTCCAGATGCTCATCGGCCTCTTCGTCAAGGAGACTGGCTGCTCCCCCGACACCCCTGAGATCAAGGAGCAGATTGACGCCATCTCCGAGTGGGCCCAGTGGGATCTCGTCAAGCTCTTCATTGTTGGCAACGAGTCCATTATGAACGGCTTCTGCACTCCGGGTGAGCTCGCTACCCTCATCAAGACCGTCAAGTCCAAGTGCCCCGACTACACTGGCCCCTACACTATTGCCGAGACCCTTGACCAGTGGCTCGACCCCAGCGTCGCCGGAGCCATCTGCGACGAGGTTGACTTCACTGGCGCCAACATCCACCCCTTCTTCAACGAGGCCAACTTGGCCAAGCTCGCCGGCAAGTTCGTCAAGGGCCAGCTCGCCATCCTTGACAAGATCTGCAAGGGCAAGCAAGCCGTCAACCTGGAGTGCGGCTGGCCCAACAACGGCAGCCGCTGCAAGGGCCAGGCCTGCCCCGGCACGTCCCAGCAGGCCGATGCTCTCCAGTCCATCCGTGAGGAGTGCGGTGACCGCACCGTCTTCTTCTCCTTCGGCAACGATGCCTGGAAGGAGCCTGGCGAGTACGGCTGCGAGCAGTTCTGGGGTTCCAAGGACTACTTTGCCTCCCTGTAAGAGTGCACTTTTGGTTTCGACTCTTGCAGCTTTTGCCCCATGCCTCGTCTCGGTCTCCTAACGCACTGGGAGTGGCAATCAATGCTGGCATTCCGGTCCCAAAAGCCTCCCGGTCACCCATCCGCTCATGCAGGTATGAGTATATTCAGAACCACGATCATCGCCGCCTCTCTTCCGGTGCTGCTGATTCCGTCGGTCTTGCGCATCATTGGGGATAGAGTGCGGCGGCGAGGTACAATCGCAAGGGCTTGAGGGTCCATTCTTACTCTTTTCTGGGTACATTTTTTTCTGCATATCTCCAAAGCATGGTCCGCGTGATTTGGGTGGACTCGGAGGGCAGTCGTATTTCCTGGGATGCCGTGAAGCATGATTCGCACAACTGCTGTAATTTATTAGTGTTTATTATGGAACGACGTATTTACATGGATAAGTTCGTACGTATGCTTGCTGCTTGTCCATTGTTCGCTCCGTGACTTGAGCAGCTCTTGATTCACCGCTTGGACGACGTAGTTTGACCTCATATCCAATGTCCACGAGCCTTAGTCAGAATCTCACGTGTTGCCTGGCCGATGGCTATCACAGCATTCCTTGGCGTCGTGGAACAGAGCTAGATCAGGAAGACCGAGGCGCGCTGATTTGTCGGAGCACTCTGCGATCAAGCTGCCCAGCAGCGGGCTGATACTCCAAATCAGTCTAGTACGTAATGCTTGTCACCGTCATCAAGACTGAAAATTGTGTTGAACCTCGGACAGGATCCACGTAAGACATGTCATCTGAGGAAATCTCGCATTTTCCTGGGCAAGGGACGCTTGACTAACATTGGATCGCCCACACGTTGGCTGCTCCACGTAAGGGCGAGCCGAGCCCGTGTTCGCAATGTAAGAACAGCCCATGAGCTCACCGTATGACTCGTATTTCACGCGAAAGCCCACCAAACCCATACATTCGTGGCGCTGTTATGGGCCTTTCTTGTTCTGGCTAGCCAGGAACCCTCGTGCCGCATGTTGTCAACTCCCTATTCCAAAAAATGCCCAATGCCATGTCTCTGGTACGTATCGTCCCATGCATGTCCCGCTCTCTCGTAAACGTCATAATCATGGCAGCTGGTGCCTCCAGTCGTAGTCAAAACATCGCTATCAAAACAGTGGTATCGCATCCGTGAAGTCTCTCCGTGTACCGCATCGTTCCAATTGCAGAATGCCCCCCGTTTCGGAATCTGCCACAAGAACATTTAGCTCCTGGCCGCCTTCTGCAAAGTCAACGCCCCCTAGCTCACCAAAGACACTAAAGGTCTGCCGGGTGTCGGCGTGGTGCGTTTCCCTGCCAAAGGCGTGTGTGCTGTAGACATGTACAAGGTCGGCCTCTTCAGCTGCGGCGAGGACGGACTCGCCGCTTCCGAGAGGCGAGAACTTCAGACCCCTGGCCCCGGCGAGATCGGTCCGAAGATGCTGCAGCGGCGTGCTTGTGCCATTACCGTCCTTCCACTTGCGCGGATCCCAGATCTTGACTGTCTTGTCTTGGAAGCCTGTGGCCAGATAGCGGCCGTCGTCGGACCAGTCACACGCGAAGCCGAAGTCGTTGTGGCCCTTCAGCAAGACCTCCGTGTCTCCGGTCTCCGCGTTGGCAATGATGACATTTTTGGAGTCGCCCACCACGACGCGAAGACGACAGTCGGGAGATACAGCGGAACAGTTCAGGGCGAAACCGTAGCCAGATTCGGACACGAACTGTTGGGTCTCCAGGTCCAGCACTCTGAAGCCGTTGTCGTTGCTGCATATGGAAGCGACTGCGTTGGACGTACTGCGCTGTTTGTGTACCTGCAAGTGATTCGTGATACCAGACGCCGCTTCCGTAATAGTGCCCTTTGTAAAATTGTTGACGTCTGTACTGTGCAGAGACGAGATGATGTACTCTCCGGTAAAACTTCCAGCAACAAGAACATCCTGATTCGCCCCAAGAGTGGTGACGGCGCGGCCGAACACAGGAAAATCAGTCCATTGCAGGGAACGTCCGTGATTCCCCGTGACGGGGTCAACTTTGGAAATGCCCAAGAGGCTGGTGTAGTATATTTGTGAACGAAAAGGGCTGGCCAGCGAGCTGCGCAACTGAAAATGCGCAAGGCTGGTATCGTGTCGTATGTGCATCTCTCGAAACCGGAAATAGCTCCCCGAAGCGAGGCCACACGTGCCATGAAAGAATGTATCCTCACCCCTTAGCAGTGTTGGGCTAGGCCGTGGCCGTACAGAAGCACCCGAGGGATAGTCATCCGAACCAGGCCAGCTCGTATAGTTCTGAAACGTCCTCGCTCTTCTTGTCCGGGCAAGCTGGCGGGTCACACCCAGTGCGCGCCAGTTGATTCCTTGGAAATCGCAGCAGTCCCCTTTTAGATGAACGCGTCTGACTTTGTTCAGCTGTTTTGAAGTTTCGAGAAGCAAGTGGAAACGATCTGGCCGCGTAGCTTGGGGGGCGGGAACCCCTGGATTGGCCCATCGGTCCAAGAACTCTGCCAATCCCATGTTGACCGATCCTAGCATAGTCGGGACGTGCGGACTCAGCACCGTCGGCAATTGCTCCTGGCCAATAGGCTCCTCGGCTTCGGCGTGAAAGACGGCCGCATTGTGTGTCGCTGAAGCTGGGGAAACATAATTTCCGGCGCTGGTTGATGGATTAAAGGCGACTGGGAACATTTCAGTTAGCGTTGCATCAGTAACGACCGAACTTGGGGATGTCTGCGTCGTGCCTGCAGCGACCATGTTGGAAAATGGCGAAGACCAATGCGTGAACGAGTGCCCCTGCGTCCCGTTCGCTGCAAAACGCATAGTAGCCTGGGAGACAGTTTCCCCTTCTTCTTCATCGTCATCATCATTATCATCACCTTCTTCTCCACTCTCGCTCACCAGTCCGCCTGCCATTTGCGAATGATCATCCGAGCTTCCAGCGGAGTCAAAAGATTGATAGGCAAACGACAGGTCTGGGACATATGGGCCATCAGCGCTGTGTAGATAGTCAAGCCAGAGTGTACTACCAACGGGGTTTGAGTCCGTCATGGGTGTGTCGTCCGATGGATCGGCGCCATTCATAGTTTGGATCTCGACTTCCTCTGCTGTATCAAGCTGGCCATGGAGGTTCATTTGCGAATCGGCTTGATGCTGATCAAAGTGGTGGACGGTCCTCGGTTGGACTTCCTCAAGTTCGCTCTCCTCGTTGCCATAGTCATAGTCGTGCCTATTTTGCTCGAGCGGTGCATCTTCATGCTCGCTTCCTAAATTCGACACATGTCCACAGTAGCTAGAAGGCATGAGGCTCCCATTTTGCCCGTCGATTTCGAAGTTGTAAGGAGTATGCCCGCCAACGGACCGATATGATTTTGTGCGAGGTTTCTTGTGCGGCATGATCCACAGCCCAGCTATCTCGGCACGCTGGTCATGCCGCAAAAAGCTCCTGAATCGAGTTTCCGTGCATCAAAGCATGAAGCGGTGAGATAGTGCGGCGTTCTGTCTGTCATGTGCTCGAATCGCTGGTGTCAGCGCTCGCTGACCAGCTTCGGCGCCCAACGTTCTGCAGACTGCGAGCCGAGGTGCGACGACGTAGCAGATGTCGTGTCTTCTTGGGCTGTGACTGAGGGGCGCGGATCTAGAGCTCGTCGTGTCTTGGGCCTGCCAGCGGGTGAACTTGCCGAAGCGAAGTGGACTTGTGGTCAACTGATCAGCTGTCGGACGTAGGTGGTAATTGGTGAAGGTCGAACGCGACCCGAACGTCGTGGCCGGTGCTTGGCGATCAAGATACACGTATAGCATCAGCGCACGATCTCTAGATGTCGCCTTTGCAGGCGAGGTGAAGTGAAGGAGATATAGGGGCGGTGACTGAAGAACGTAGAGATATTGAAGCGGAAAGAGAGTGTGTTAGACCCCGTTGGAGGAGCTGGTGCCGCGGGATTGTAATAAGTGGAGCTCTGACCCTTCGTTGACTCGTTAAGAGCTCAAAAGCCTCAAAAGCCTCGAGGCTCAAGAAGCACTATTACAGCAGTGGCTGGCTGATGGTTGGCGGAAGGGGCGGCAAGGTCCGTTCAGTCCAACGTTCCTTCTTCTGGGAGACCGAGTTTGTACTCGATTGGGAAAGAGCCTGGATCGGCGCGGGGGTCCAACGCATTGTGCCAGCCTCAACATCTGCCTGCGGTACATACAGCACAAGGTACCGTACTCACTCGACAAAGTCGCTAGTGTTAGACTAGTGTGTCTGGCTAGGCAATAACCCTGTTAGGAGTGGTGCCAATATTGAGCAAGAACTGCAGCCTGTGAACAGTATCAAACCTAAGGGCCGCATAGGGCTGTTCAGAGATTCGTACCTTCGCATACATGGAGGCGGATAACCACAGTACTATACCATAGGTGGCCAGATTTTATTTACCAGCGCTAGCGACTTTGTCGAGTGAGTACGGTATCTGCGAAACTGACAATTCTCGCGTGCTGCGCAGACGCTGGCCTCGGTCACGTATTGGAGCCTATGACCAAGGGTCAGTCGTCTGAGTAGGCCCTAACAGTCAATAACACCGCAAAGACAACCGGGAGATTTCAGATTGGAAGACAAACAACGGTCAATCACACCCGCCAGCACAGTGCGCGTTACGGTCTCCCTTGCCCCAGCTATTTAGGTTCAATTCGTTGGCCTTCATGAATCTTCCGAGGACCTTTGCATTCTTCTGCGAACCCCCACGGCAGAACATCGTCAATTATTACTTACTAAGCTAGTCTAGTCTAGTAGCACTAACCTGAGTCACTAATCATTGATAGTACGAGACAGACAACTGGACACGACAACCCTTCCTTTCTGCTGTCTTGGCTCTTTAGGCTGTCAGCCATCCTTCTGTCGACACGAATCGACATCCGTGAACCGTGCCACACATTTGGTCACGCCTGCAGGAGTGCATGATGCATCCTCCTCGCGTCGCCCATATTGGCTCATTACCATTATGTCCGACCTGACCATCACTGAGACACGCGGCAGCGGAGACGAATTCGCGCCAATCACAAAAGTAATTTGCAGGATGGATGTCTTCGAGGACAGGCAGTTCACCGCTCACGCAGTGATGCATGGCCAAGACTGCTTGAGAGCACAGCAAGAGGCCGTAATCGACCATGAGATTGGCCGCGAGCGCGTGTTCGCCACAGTCAAGTGGTGCCTGGACAACCTCTATGCCCGAGATAAATTCGGAACGGCAATCCACTGTCCCGCTTCGCATTTTGACCGACGGCCACGTACATTGATGGGCCTGCCTTTGAGGGTGGTGAAGAAGTAATCAACCGATCACACCCACACTTGTGCCCTCCTCCCGCGCACGCTGGCCCGTTCCGTGCTGAGCTGCATGTTCGAGTCACAGAACCGAGCTCCTCTATTTCTTCAATTGTTTTTCTTCAGAGTACGTCCATACGTACATTCGTGCCCGGAACGCGGAGACCGAAATGCCAGGCAGCGTGGGGAGACGCGGTTGGTCCATCCTCCTCCACCGCCCCAAACAGGCAGTGGCCACTGAACAGCAAGGCAAGAAGAGGAAGTTGTCAGCATCTTCGATTCACGGGAAAAGGTTCACGAGTTACTCATTTGTCTCTGTAGGAGTGTCGGCCTATGCGATCTCCAGCATTTATATGTAGCCACGTGCTTCTAATCAGATGTGGTCGCTTTTGAGACGACTGCAGACTACTGCGCGCGTCCATTCTGCTACAACACGCACCACACACTCATGAGAATACCAGTTGCAAATCTTCACCGTAGCGCCTACAATCAAATGTTGCTCTTCTCACTTCTCAAATTCCCAGAGCTGGACGTTTCTAAGTGGCATGGCTCACATGCTTGTTCTTCGTCTCTACATTCAACGCCTCCCAGCATATCTCTACCTTTCTTTTCTCGCAAGTTAGTCCTTAAAATTTGTTCCCCAGACGCCTCTCTTCCTTGAGCTTGAGCATGCCATCAAGAGCATCTTGAATGGCAATCATCTCGCCCAGCTTCTGGGTGGCTTGGTCGTCACGGTTGCGAATGTTGACTGTGCGGGCGTTCTCCTCTTCTGCGCCGACAACTATTTCATTCCACGTTAGCAGCGCTTCCTTCCGACTAGGCGTGGTCACTTACCAAAGATGTAATTGTACTGTTCCAGCTGTGCTGTACGGATCTTCTTCTGCAGCGTGTTGGCGCTTGTGTCGGCGTCGATGAAGATGCCCTTGTCACTGAAGATCTTCTGGACCTCCAGCGCATAGTCGTTCATCTTTGGCATCACGGGGACGACCATGACCTGGCGGGGGCTCAGCCAGAAGGGCCACTTGCCGGCAAAGTGCTCTGTCAGGATGCCAATCATGCGCTCAAACGAACCCAGGACCGCACGGTGAATCATCACCGGACGACCGTATCCCGCGGGCAATTCCGGGTCCTTGACTGCGCTTTCGGACAGCACCTCATCCTTGGAAGCAAGGTAACGAAGCTTGAACCGGTTGGGGAGGTTGAAGTCAAGCTGGATGGTACCGCACTGGAACTCGCGCTTCAACGCATCGTACACTGTAATGTCAATCTTGGGGCCATAGAAAGCACCATCACCAGGGTTCTCCTCCCACTTGCTGCCAATCTTCTCCACGAATGAGTCCAGAGCCTGTCGCAGCTTGTCCTCGGCCATGTTCCAGACTCCAATGTCGCCAATGTACTTTTCTGGGCGAGTGGAGAGCTTCAGCTTGAACTCGAAGCCAAAGAGACCATAGACTGCGTACAGAAAGTCGAAAGCGCCCCCGATCTCTTGGCGAATCTGCTCCACTGTGCAGAAAATGTGAGCGTCGTCCTGCTGGAAACGACGCACACGGGTCAGACCCGACAGAGCTCCAGAGAACTCGTTTCGGTGCAAGACACCAAAGTCGGCCATGCGCCACGGCAGGTCCTTGTATGTGATGTCGGAGTGTGCAAAGATCCTACAGTGGCCAGGGCAGTTCATAGGCTTCAAGCCGTAGGTCTCCTTCTCGACTTCGAAAGTGAACATGTTCTCGGCATAGTGGCCCCAGTGGCCCGAGGTCTTCCAGAGATCCGACTTGTACATGTTGGGCGACATGACCTCTTGGAAGCCCCGTTTCGCGTATTGCTCTTGCATGAGCTTGAGCAGAGTGTTGTAGATACGGGTGCCGTGGGGTAGCCAGAATGTAGAGCCCGGCGACATTTCATCGAAGAAGAAGAGCTTCTGATCTTGGCCGATCTTGCGGTGATTGCGCTTCGCAGCCTCGGCGAGGAACGTCTTGTACTCCTCGAGCGCCTTCTTGTCAGGAAACGAGATACCAGAGATACGCTGCACAGATTCGTTGTCGCTATTTCCGAGCCAGTACGCAGCCGAGTTCTTGAGGACGGAGAACGCCTTGATGTTGCCAGTGGTGGGCACATGGGGACCACGGCACAGATCGATCAGGGGACCACAGCGATATACAGTGCTCTTGGTGCCGTCGGGAACACGCTGGTTGATGAAGTACTCCTTGTATTTGCTGTACTTGAACATCTCGAGGAGCTCGTCTTTGGTCATCTCGAGACGCTCGAAGGGCTGCTTATCTTTGACGATGGAGTTGGCAATGGTCTCCAGTGCCTTCTTGTCCTCGTCGGCAACAACTTTGCTGCAAAAACGTCAGCGTGAGTTCAAATACACGTCAACAAGACAGCCGTACTCTCCCATGTTCGCCATATCGTAGTAGAAGCCAGGGGGCTCAGTGGTTGGAGGGCCATTGCAGAGGTAGCACCCGAAGCGCCTCTCGCAGGCCTCACCGAGAACGTGAGCCGACGAGTGCCAGAAAACCTTCTTCGCTACGCCTGTCAGTACTATCTCCCCGGATGTCTGACGGAAAGAGCCAACTCACCCTCAGGGTGCTCAAAGTCGAGCAGCTCCAGCTTGCAGCTCTTCTCCAATGGCCTGGTCAGGTCCCAGAGTTCGCCGTCGACAGTAGAGATGACAGTGCGTTCGAACAACGATTTGGAGAGGTTCCTGGCAATACTTCCCGGGGTCGTCTCCCAAGCAGTGCCCTTTTCCTCCTTGCCATTGGGCAGTGCGATGGTGATCTCCTCGCGCGGCTTGGCTGCAATCTCGGCGTCGGCTCGCTCCTTGATACGGTTGAAGACGTCGAGGCGGTGTTGGATGTATTCGGGCAGTTCAAAAAGCTTTCAGCGTGTTAATTCAGAGCGTCCTCTTCTCGGGGTTGCGTAGGGAGGGCGAGTTGCCAACCTCGACTCCAGGCTTGCCCTTGGCCTTGGGCGCCTTCTCCTTCTTGGGCTTGTCCTGTCGGACTGGAAGGTCCTGCGCAGGTGCGCCCTCTGCCGGCTTGGGAGGATCGACTTGTTCGGACGCCATGATGAAATAGAGCGCTGTGAAAGACTAACAGATCTTGCGATCGAAAAGTTCGAAAACAGTCACACTTCAGGCTGGCCTGCCTGATGGAGGGGATGGAGGGGCACACGCCAAGTGGGGTCAACAGGACTCGAGTCTCGGGACACTTGTCTGTCGTGCAACTCACACTGCCTGGTGATGCAGTACGCTTTATTTCTACCCAGCGATTGGACTATGATATAGACATCTCCAGTTTAGGTTGCTCAAAAGCATCGGTCTCCCTAAAGATTCTGGCCTCATGCGAAACGATTGCGCCTTGCCAGCGGAAACAATGCAAGCCAAATATTCATAATGTCCTCCGCCTCGGACCGCATGCAAAACGCCAATATAAAAGGGTATCATTAACATCGAGAACGCCTGCGCCTTTCCCTTTCACAGACCATATCGTGTGACACATTCTTCCCGGTGCGTCTCCAGGCAGTCGAGCGCACAAACGCGGGTGCCGCATTTCATACACCTCACCCGACCCCAATACCCACAAACCTCACAAAATACTCGTATGGGTGGTTTCCCCGCATCGTTGCCGTTCCAGGTACCCCTGGCTTCAAGGTACGTCAAAGGCGGATGTGATAACAGAGCTCGGATTTCTTCGTCCGACGGAACGGATGGCACTCGTGACATGAGCAGCGGATCGTCGTCGCCAGGGTGAGGAGGTGGGAAAGGCGTAAGAAGAGGTTTGAGGATCGGCGAATGTGGCTTTGTAACTGTGGGTGCGTCGGTCATGGACGTGTCCATGTCGATTTGATTCTTCAGGGTCGAGCCTCGCTTGCTGCTTGCCGCTGTGGCGGCTGCCGTGGCCTCAGCCTGCTGCATGGCATGGAAATCGTCAAGGTGATTCGCAAATGTTTTTTGCGACTGCAGGATCTTCCTCGTCGCGCTAGTCTTGCCCTGTGCTGCATCGTGTCAGTCGTCCTGTCCTGGAAAACCCAGCTTCCCAGAGCACGTACATCGTTTCCCCGGTAGAGGAATTGTGTTATCTCTATTCCCATCGTTCATCAAGGCATCGACTTCTTTACGCAGCCTCGCTTCCTGCCGGGCTGTCAAGTCCCCCAGACTCGGGCCTGGAGCAGTGTTCCTCGCTCGTTTTCGGTTCGTCGGCGCAAGGGTCGGCGTCGGTCGATGCCCCGTGTCAGGCACGTAAGCCCAACCCGGGGCGTTGGTGGTCTTTGCGCTCGCGACCTCAAAGACACCAAAGTTGTTCATGCTGCTTGATGAGACGGACTGATCAGGTAATGCAGAGTCGAAGAACGCGGATGCTTACAAAAGGTGCCTGCTCGGACAAAGCTGTGGTGGAGATGACGTCGGAAACGCGACCAATCAGACTGTCTCCATCGTCATTTCACCCACGATCTCCCGACCTGCCGCAGACAGCTCGCGCTCAACTGGTGGTCGTCTTCCCACTTCATCCGGCACGTCATCCCTCTCCCTTGTACTAACATCAAGTCAAATCAGCCCACAGAAAAGATGATTGGAGCCTCGAGAACACTGCTGCGCGGCGGCGCGCGTACGTTCCACACGTCGGCGAGGAGGATGGCGGATGCTGCGCCATTGCCTGCGAGGCGACCCATGGGTGCTTTTCGCGGAGGGTAACTTGTCCCAGTGGACTGACGAGTTGGAATACCATTGCTAACAGACAAGTCTCTTCGGATTCCTCTTCGGAACTGTCCTCTCTGGCAGCGCTGTCTATTCCTACCTCGTGGGAGAGTATAAGGCCTCGAACGACCTGTTGACCGAGGACATCTACGTACGTGCACCACCGAGGCTGATGGAGACACCCATGATCCATTGTTGATGGGCATTTCTCTCGAACCTCGTTGCACTCAAGCGCATCGCTGACCTTTCCGCAGACCCTGCAAGCCTCCGTCACTCGCCTCACGAACTACGTCCAGAACCTCGAGACCCGCCTACAAGAGAAAAAGAAATAGCTGGCACTTGCGAGGGATGGCTTGAAGGAAAGCATTCAGTGACAATGGAGCAAAGTTTTGAGCAAAATCGCGAAACATACATGTATCACTAGCCGTGGGATGGACATGTTCAGGGTCAGGTGCAGTCAGATAATCTGCCAGTGATTCAGGCCATCTGTTCTTGGAGCTGCCCTTGCGGCATCAGGGTGAGGATCAGTGTCAACAAAACGTTCAGCGCATCAGACACATAGGCATATGGCATCGTGATCGTAAAGGATATCATTGTCAACTGTAAAATCCCCTTTATGGGGACATCCATGAACCAGCGCCCGTAAGTCATCAAAAGCCATGATTTAGTCCTCCGCTGCTGTATTTGTTTCAGCGCGCACAACGTACATACATTCGCAAAGGTCGCTCTACAGCTCATCCTTGGCATCCTCCTTCTCCTCGGCATTCTCCGAGGCGGCGGGAGCAGCAGCTTCGGCCGCGGGTGAGATGCCAGCCTTGTGCTTGCCGTTCTCCTCAACGAACTTGATGAGGTCTTCGACGGTACGGGAGCCCTTGTATGTGACAGGAGAGCCCTTGCCACCAGCGGGGAAGAGCTTGATTGTGGGGAAGCCAGAGATCTCATCAGGGACGTCGTTGGCGGTAGCGTCCACCTTTGCGATCACGACCTTGTCCTTGAACTCAGAGGCAGCGTACTGGGCAGCGAGATCGTCGTACTTGGGGGCGAGAGCCTTGCAGTGACCGCACCACGGAGCGTAGAACTCGACGAGAACGTCCTTGTTATCGTCGAGGACAATCTGTTCGTAGTTCTTGGCGACAACGACGGTGACACCCTCCTGGGTCTCGGGGATGGGCTCAGACTTGATGCTGGGCTCCAGCTTGCCAGAGGTGTATTCCTCGGTGAACTTCTTGATGGCATCAAAGGTGATCTCAGCCTCCTGGTCAAAGGGGAACTTGAGGTTCTTCTCGGTGTCCTGAATGGCGAAGGCGGGGAACTTGTCAGTCTTGAGGTTCAAGTTGCCGGCGTGGGCGCCGAACGACTTGGCGTCAATAGTGGCGAAGTTGATCTTGCCCTTGTAAGTCTCGGCAATGGGACGGAGAGCCTTTCCAAGAGACTCGCGCTCCTCGGGCGTTTCGGCGAAGATATAGGCCAGGGGGATACCAGCCGACATGTAGTCAGCGTAGGTCTCGGGGCCAACCTCACCAACGAGGGGAGTGGCCGAAGTCTTCGCGAAGGTCTTGATGGCCTCCTCCTCGAACTTCTCGGTGAAGGTGTTCTTGCCCTCGTCGAAGGCCTTGTAGAGAACAATGGCGGGTGCCTTGACACCCTCGGCCTCGGCGAGCGAAGCGTCAGCGACACCGCCAAAGAGGTAGGTCTCACGGAGAGACTCGGCCACCTTGGTGAAGGTCTCGTTGGAGGCCTTGTCGTCGGCGGCGACATAGGCCACAAGGACGACCTTGTCGGCAGTCTTGAAGTCCTCGAGAGTCTCCTTGGTCAAGGTAGAGACAGCAGGCAGGGACTGCTTCACCATGTAGGAGGTGATGGCGGGAGCTTTGCGCTGGCCCGTGTAGGGGGCGATGTTGTCAGGGCCGCGGAAGACCTTGAGGGTAGGGTAGCCCTCGACACCATAAGACTTGCAGAGGTCGGCCTCTTCGGTGCAGTCGACCTTGGCGAGCCTGATGTCCTTCTCCTTCAGCGACGTGGCAGCCTCCTCGTACTCGGGGGCGAGGGCCTTGCAGTGACCGCACCACGGGGCGAAGACTGAGATTATGTGAGCTGATGGAGATCCAGGCATGCAAGAGAAAACTTACACTCGGCAAGCACAAGGTCATTGGACTTGACAAAGTCGTCAAAGGTGTCCTTTGTGAGCTGGGCAACATCCGAGTCCTCGGCGCTGGCGAAGCCGGCGGCGGCAGCGGCCAGGAAGGCCCAGGCAAGACGCTTGTGCTGCATGATAGGCGATTGTCCAAGAACGAAAAACTTTACTAAAGACGACGATTGTGAAGTTGATGGACAGGAGATGATGGACAAGAGGGAAGGACGGAAGAGGAAGAATGATACTGGGTAGTGTTGGTTTTGTAATACGGCCAGCTGTCTTTGCCTTCGCCGGAGCTCAGGATGAATTAGTGGGGGTGGATGTCCTGGAGTGAACAAGTGTCCCCTTGGCCTTTGCCTCCTCCCTGCGTCCGCCAATAACGAGCGGCGCCGCCCACCGCTCCCGCCCAGCATACAGGAGAGGAGACGCCCCTCCATCCAACTTGATCCAGCCGCGTAAGGGACACGGAGACAGTACATGACTTGCCCGTTCCTGACGCTCCGATTCCGAACGTCTCGAAATAATGCGACTAGACCCAATGCTTGTCCTCGGGCACTTCCAGACATACGACTTCCTGTGCCCAGAGCCTTGCTTGCGCAGGTAATTCCCCAGCGACCGCACGGCAAGACTCCCGGGCCTTCCACGATCGACCATATCGATAATGGAGTGCCCAGGCGTTTCGGGGTCCATCGACCAGGGGTCTCCAGTGCTCCACTGTCCACTAACTCACCTTCTGTTTCGGCAGCTTCTCTTGGCAATGGCATGCTTGCCCAAACAATCCCATCCTCCAGGCTCCGAATCCCAAATCAGCAAGACGTCTCTGGTTAAAGTCGCCAGACTAGGTGGAGTGGCTATGAAGCTTGGAGTGAAGGCCACATGTCCTCAACCGTGTGTTGTAACATTCGTCTGTGCCTGTCTCACGCGCGTGTGCTCCCAGGAGTCAATGTTGTATTCCGTGGTGCACGGACGCCAGGCCGTTCCATTCCATCCATATTACTACTTTTTTGCTGATTGTAGACGCCACTGGTTGTGTACGTTACGTGAAATGCAAGGCTGAGGAACTGTGATAGTGTTGGTGGATCGTACCTAGGTGATGTCACGACTCAAAGCTGCAAAGCCTGCAAGGCTCCAGGTACGCCCGCAGCTCGCAGATGGGACATGAGACTTGTCCAGCTACAACACTGGCGCAGACAGGATGGATTCATAGCAGGCCCAAAGACATGCCTGAGAAGAGGACATTGGATGCCTTCTTTGGCACCACGCCAAAGAAGCCTCGGACAGACACCAATGGTCCAGAACCTCTTTCTAGTGATGGGCTCAAGTCTATGCACCCAGCCTATCCCCATCCAATTACTGATCTCTCGTTATCTGTGAGCAAGGAAATAGCTAGCTTACCAGCACGACCTGGCAAGGTCATCAATGACCAGCCTGATCTTGACTTGCTCTACTTTGAGCCGTACATCCCATCTTACCTCGCCAAAGATCTCTTCAAGTTCCTGAGACAGGAGCTTCCTTTTTATCGTGTCGAATACGATATCAACAGGAGCGGAAATTCAACGCACATCAAAACGCCCAGGTTTGTTCACAAAGGCGAGCGCAGAGGGGGGCATGCTGACCAACAACAGATGGACGACTGTTTTTGGCCTGGATGACACATCTATTTTCAACGAAATAGGAGTGCCCATAGACTCCAGTAGTGGTGTCAAGGTGTCGGATAAAAAGTACGATGCAATTCCACCAAGGCCTATACCAAAATGTCTCGAGGATCTCCGTCTATCCACTGAAGCAGCGACAGGCTGCAAGTTCAACTTTTGCTTGGTCAACTACTACGCCTCCGGGGCCGACAGCATCTCCTATCACAGCGATGACGAAAGATTCCTGGGACTGGATCCGGCCATCGCCTCTTTTTCCCTCGGCGCAAGGCGCGACTTCATGTTGAAGCATAAACCATATCCCCCTGGCGAGGAGGACAAAGCCGGAAAACCACTCAAACTGCCCCTCGCCAGCGGGGACATGATCCTCATGCGCGGAACAACACAGTCGAAGTGGCTGCATTCGATTCCCAAGCGAACAGGGAAGAATGCCGAGGATGGCGGGAGGATCAACATCACGTTTCGGAGAGCCATGGTGAAGGGTGGCACGGAAAATTATTACAACTACAATGTAGGCTCGGGGCCGGTATACAGGTGGGACAACACGAAGAGAGAGATGACGCTATGGAAGGGTTGATATTCTGGGTATCTCCAACTTGAAGGAAAGCGAAGAACAGGGCGCAGAAGCAGAAGCAGGGCCAATCCATCCATGTCCTGGCAACGGTCCATACTCATTTTCCGCGACGCATTTGCGCACTGGCATAGTTGCGCAGCGCCTTGAGGAACACTTGGTAGCCAAAGGTCTCGTTGTCCTTGAGGCAGAAGATCTCCGTCAGACGAATTTGCCAGGGGGGGTAGCTCGAGAGCTGTACGGTGGGGCCGAACAGAATGAGCAGGTCAGGCTCCGCCATGATACCCTCTGACAGCTCATTGTCGATGAGCTCCATGGAGATGTCCTTGGGCGACAGTTTCCCTTTTTGTGACATCTCGGCGAGCGTGCGCGTCAGATCGACGACGGATTCCCTGCCGTCCTGCTCCGAGATGAGGTGCAGCTTCAGGTGACCCAGGCTGTTGTCCAGAGAAGGCGACGAGTACGAGTCTCGGTGAGGCGACGTCACCGACAGCGACGGGTGGTCACCGCCGTAGTAGAATGCAAGTTTCTGGGTGACAGCCTCGTACACCCTGGGCATGTGCTTCTTCAGCAGACCTGTCTTCTCGTACACCGACAGCTGAGGAATCTCGGCACAGGCGCACCATGTCGCCAGCTCGGCCGTCTCGTCAACCAGGCGGTCCAAGTCCACCGCCGCCCGCCTGTTGTCCGACTTCAAGATGGCGCTCAAGTGCTTCGGCAGCTTGTTGAGCCGGGAGACATCCTTCTGGATGTATTGGGGCGTGGCGTGGTGGTAGTAGAGCACCGAGGAGAGCTGATAGCTCACGACATTGATGACCTGGCGGATGCGGATGTAGAGAGAAAACAGGCCGTGCATGCAAGCGAAGATGAGGACGTGGATCTGGTGCATCGTGAACTTGCGAATGCCCAGCCGCGACCTTCTCTCGGGCTTCGCGCTGAGCGTGGAGGTCGGTTGTCGATTCTCGGCCGGTGCTGGCAGGCTGTTCTGGGGAGCTGTTAGATGGGGTTGTTCGTTGCTGGGGGCGCAACCATACCTTTATGATATGGCGTTTTTGGCGATCTGTCAATTGGCCATGTTGGACTTTCTCATCAGCCCTATAGGCCTTGGTATCCGTGTAGTTCAAAGGCATTGAGTCGGTGTTGCGGCCGGTTCTGGCTTGTTTCGGGTAAGCGAGGGTCGATTGTTTATGCTGGCGGGATGAGTTGTTCGAGAAGAAGTTGTGGAAGAACGAGTGGACAATTATACGAACAGCTCCCCGAGTGAAAGGTCACCGGATTGAGCTGACGCTTTTGCTTCGAAAGAGTGACGACGCTTCCGTCTCCACAAGAAAGAGTTGGGCTGCACAGATCGACGCGTCGTGGCGCAGCGAGGCGCAGGAGGTCTCCGGGCCTGGAATGCCCAGCTCGCGCCCCTCGCAGCCACAGTGACGGTACAGTCTCCAACTACAGCTCGAGCACGGCCAACCCGACATTACGACGTTCTAAACGGTGCAGCCAGACGACGCTCGCGCCCATGTAGCGACGCGTATGTGACTGACAAGCCGACCATCGCCACCATGGAGCGCTCCAGCTCTGGCGCAAAGACGCTCTTCCCCAAGGGTCCCGACTTCACCCTCGACAACTTCTCGAATCAGGACTTCGTCGTCCGTGACTTTGTCGACAGTCTTGCCGACAGCGCGATTCCCGAGAGTCGCCGATCGGTCCCTGCGGCCAGTGCGGCGTTTGATCCAAAACCCCTGATCCGGACATTTGAGAATGCGCAGGCGCAGCTGGCTTCGCTGGGGGAGGAGCTGCAGACGAAGGAGACGGAGCTCTTGACCCAAGTTCGTCGCGCGGAGATTCAGCATGACCAGACGCTCGATACGCTGGGGAAGAAGCTGGACCAGAGCATGAGCTCGTTCGAAGCGTTGGATATCACGTTGCAGTCCGGAAGCGCCGACATGAACGAGCCGAACGGTCGATCCGACGGTGGGGGCAATGTCGCGGTGCAGATTGGCGAGAAGCTGGAGGATCTGGACAAGAAGAGACAGAGGGCCCTCGACGCCATATTCCTGATCCAGTGCTGGAACGAGGTCAGCGAGACGGGAAACCTGAACCTCCTGACAGATGTGCAGAGGCTGGGAGGCTCGGAGAACAAGATTCGCTGCGCCGTGATTGCTCGACAGCTGATGCGGATCAGCCAGCGCCTGGAACCCAGTTCGTGGCATCAAGGTGGACGGCAGCAGACGGGCGGGGCGGGCCAAGGCGCGAACGGTCACGGACAAGGCAACGGGAAAACACACAACACGCGCGAAGCGCTGGAGAAGTTCTGCGAGACGCTTGAGCAGGATTTGCTGCAGCAATTCAACGGCAGCTACAAGAGACAGAATTTTGAGGACATGATGGAGTGCGCGCGGGTGCTGCATGACTTCAACAATGGCGCCAGCGTCATCGCCACGTTTGTCAACCAGCACCAGTTCTTCATCGACCGGGATCAGTTGACAAACGACGAGGTCATGACGGACGGTGAGACGTGGGATCAGCTGGCGGATCCCGACGCAGAGCCCCCCGGGGTCGAGCCCTCGTTGCAGTCTCTGGTCGACGAAGTCAAGATTGTCATGCAGGAGGAGTCTTTTATCATCAAGCGAGCGTTCCCGTATTACGAAATTGTCCTCACCAAGTTCATTCAGCGCGTCTTTCAGCAGTCGGTGCAGCAGCGATTGGAGATGGTTCTCGACAAGGCCGACACCATATCCTCATTAGCCTTCCTTCGATCACTGCACGCGTCTCGCGCCTATATCAGTTCGTTGGTGGAAGATCTCAAGACCCACGGTCTCACCGAGCATCCGGAGCCATGCTCGGCGCAGATCTCCCAGACACTCGACCAGCAGATGGAGGAGCTGTTTGTGCCCTACCTCGTGGGCAACTCCTACATTGAGCGGGAGAAGAAGAGTCTGGAAGAGATGTACAGCTCCCTCCTGTTCAAGTTCACAATCTATCACTCCCGCAAAAAGAGGGGGCCGGCCGGCTTCATGGCGTCGTTGGCACAACAGGGGTCACAGCTCATGTCCTCTGCCAAGGACGCGTACATTGAGAAACTAGACTCGTCAGAACTGACGCCTACGCAAAAGGCCATCATGTTGCGCGTCGCTGGTATCAAGGATAAGGAGAACAAGAACGAGATTGAGGTGTCTGAAGAGGACGGAACACTGAGCATTGCGAATGCGAAGCGCATGCTCAAGTGGCTTGCAGAGAGTGTGCAGCGCACACTCGAGCTAGGCACGCCGACAGAAACACCCAAAGACGTCAACATCCTGCTCCAGCTCCTCCTGGCCAGCATGGGAGAGGTGTACATCCAGACGGCGCTCGACGCGGCGCACTACGCCGCCACGATGCTGGAGAATTCCAAGACGGAGCCCGACCTGTCCCATCTCCCCGCGCTGCGTCCCGCCATCACGATCACCGCCATCATGGACCGGTTCATCACGACGGTGCTGATCCGTCTCGCCGAGCCGAGCGCCACGGTGCGGCGGAATATGGAGGCGCAGAAGAAGATGGCCATTGACGCGATTGAGAAGAAGACCAACATGGTCATCCGGGTCTCGGTCGACGTCATTGCCAACTGGGTCGCCAAGTCTCTCGGCACACAAAAGAAGCAGGATTTCCGACCGCGAGACGGCGAGCTGGAGTCGCTGCAGACCCAGACGTGCCAGGGGATATGCACTTTCCTCTCCCTTGCGCACCGCCAGGCGTCCGCAGCCATTGACGGGCCAAACGCCGAAAAGTTCTTTTCCGAAATCGCACTCGCCGTGCTGAAGCTCCTGCTCGAGCATTTTAAGAAGTTCCAGGTCAACGCCACGGGTGGTCTCATGGTCACCCAGGACATTGCCAAGTACGCCGCCACGATGCGCGACTGGCCGCTGCTCAAGGACGTGGCCGCGGCCGTGGAGCTGCTCACGGAGATAGGCTCGCTGTTCATCGTCGGGCCGGAAGCGTTGAGGGAGAAGGCGAGGACGCTGGCGGGTGCGGCTGGCACGGGCGTCGCGGCCAGGGGTAAGCTGACCAAGGCCGATTTTCGGGCCTTTGTGCAACGGCGAGATGACTCGGGCACGGTTGGGATCCAGGGTGTCCTGGCGGGTTTGTAGAATATTGCCGTGCCGTACGGTCGGTCATGAAAGAAATGAATGCATGTATGTTTCACAGGTCGCGGTGAATGCCCTTTTGGCCCGTCTTCTCCTCTATTTTGGCGTCGAGAAAGTCGACGAGGTCAAACATGTTTGTGAGACGATTGAGCTGTGCGCGCTCCTTGCGATCGAGGAGAGCCGTCTTGTCCTTGCCCATGCCGGGCGAGACCATTTCGTGGACGTGATGAAGCGTAAGCTTGAAAGGGATCGGGGCCCTGGCGACTCTGTTCATGAAATACTCGACCGCCTCCCAGGGGCAGGTCGCGTGTCCGCCGAAGAGAGCTGGGTTGGACAGGAGACCGCGGGCCGACATAAAGCCTGCGATGTTGGTGTTGCTGGGCTTTGGGCCGCCAGTCTTGTCTCGGGGCAGGATGTCATTCAGCGTCAACGTGTCGTGCGTGGCGGGCGTGGATGCCTGGAATGGCAGTGCGCGGGCGTCGAAGACATCGCCCGAGAGGAGGACTGGCAAGATGGGGCTGTACTTCTCCGCCAGGATAGCCAGGGCGTCCTCTCGGATGGGCGTCGTGGAAGGGGTGCTTCGCGTGCGCGGATGGATCGTGATCCAATCCACGTTCCTGTTGTTGGGGTCCCCGATGACAGCATCGACCCAGTCCATGGTTCTCCTAGTTACTCGCGATCAGCCCTGTGAGTTTGCCCACGACGCTGCGTGCACACGCACCTAAGGTCGTCGTGAATGCGGATCTTGACGCTGACGCTCCTTCCCGTGGCGCTCTCCTTGTCCTTGTCTATGCCAACATGCCAGCCACCGTCTGCCAGCGTGCTTCGCGTCTCGAGCACCATGTCCCTGACGAGCTCCCGCTGGTTCATCAAGGCAGCACCCAGCGTCTCAGCGCACGCCCAGCTCTGGGGGCATCCACAGTTGAGGTCGACGCCATTAACCCAGGGGATGGCCAGGAGACTGGCCCTCGCGAGCTCGCGCGGGTTGTTGGCGCCGAACTGCAGGATGGTGGGCGGCTGCGGACCGGCCGTGTTGATGGTCAAGTCGCCATCGCGCGCAAAGGAGGATCTGTTGAACTCCTTTGCGAGAATCATGGGTGTCCAGGACAAGTCGGTGCCGTAATGGTGCACCGTCTGGCGGAAGGCGAGTTTGGAGTAGCGCACCATGGGTGCACATGCTGTGAGGAAGCGATCTTGGGATCTGGCAATGTCGAAGAGCTTCAATGGGCTAGAAGCATGTGAGTACGTAGTACGTATAACCTTTAAGGTTTGTCCAGTACAGTGGTCCTTACTGGGTTGACTTGCTGTCGCCAACGGCCGGCACCATGCTACTGTCCATTGTGATTGAGAAAGAGCGGCCGTGCCGTAGCGTTCCGTAGGTGTGTATAGTACAAAGACAGTGAGTGTGGGTTTGAGTCGAGGTCTGTTTGATATGAGTGTCAAAATTTCAAGGCGACGATGGATGGATGGATGGGCGGGGCACAGAGCATGCAGGGGCAACCAGAGGGTTCACAACTACCCTACAGACTATGTACCCCTTGACCCTTCCTTGACCGAAGCAACGCCCTCGACATTGATCCATCAACTTGAACTCTCTGTATCAACCTCAGCCCTTGACTATCTTCGATCAAAGTTGCACGCTATTTCTCAAATCTCCCTACGATTATCGGGAGAGAAGCTCGGAAGAAATTCGACAATTCTTTCACCAGCAGCCAACCTCATGTCGCAGAAACGCGTACTTCACAATTCACACTCAGAATTACTCATGATTGCCGAGATCAACGTGCTTTGAATGCTGCAGTAAATTCCGAGAATGCACATGGCAGGACACACTCGCAACATCTTCGTCAAAGGCCCCTCGGGACGCGGCCAGCCGCTAGCTGTCAAAGCACCCTACCGGGATGCAAAGGGCGCTCAAGCCCAAGCCCCCTTGATCAGGTCTGCAGCCTTCTCGCCGATACCGTACGCGGGCATCTGCGTATGACCACCGTGCAAGATGGGCATGATACTGCAGTCCGCGACGCGCAAGCCCTTGACGCCCCGCACAGCGAGCTTCTCGTCGACAACACTCATGGGGTCAGACGTCTTTCCCATGGCGCAAGTCCCCGAGGCGTGGTAGCCTGCGTGTGACGTTAGAGCGGGAGCCCTCGAGAAATGCGGCGGGAGGTTTGACTTACAGGTGGTCGCATGCTTCTTGACATAGGGCTTCCAGTCCTCCCTGGTCGAGTACGTGTGGTGCGTCAGGTCAGCCGGCCACGATCCCTTGACAATGTCCTTGGTCCCCTTGCCCTCCATGACGATCTCGTTGCCGAGCCGGCACGCCTCGGCTAGGATCTCGAGATCTAGACCCAGCGGGTCGGTCAGATACCCCGTGTCCACGACGGGGGGTGTCTTGGGGTCCTTGCCCGGCAGGCTCACCGATCCGCGCGAGCGCGGGCCAAAGAGCTCGGCAATCATGCTGAACGCGTGCTTGTTGTCCACGGGGAAGTCGGCGTACTGCTTCGGACCGCCGTAGCATTCGGTGGTGAAGAACTCAATGTTGGGCTGCTTGGGGGTCAGGCCCATGGGATCCCGGCCCTCCTCGCGGGGTGCCGAATTCCAAATCTCCGAGTCGGCGAGGCGGTCGTCGAGACGGGCGTAGGCGAAGACGCCAAAGGGAAAAGTGGAGAGGAAGCCCTTTTTCTCGTCCTTCCAGAGCTGGTAGCTCTTGGCGAGGGCGTCGCCGTGGTACGCGAGATGGTCGGTCGTGAGGCCTGTCTTTTCGGTCTCATAGAACATGAAGACGATCTGATTCTGGGTTACTAACCGGTGCGATGATCGCAAGTGGGGGAACTTCGGAGTTGTCAGCTTTGGTGACTTACGAGATGGTCCATGAGATTCTTTCCCACGCCAGGCACGTCAACGAGGGTGGTGATGCCGTGCTTCTCAAGCTCATTCTTGGCACCGATGCCAGATCGGTTCAGGATGTTAGGACTGCAGTAGGCGCCGCCGCTGATGATGACTTCTTTATCAGCCTTGACTTCGACGACCGTGCCGTCGGCGAGAACCGCCCTCACGCCGGTGGCGCGCAGGCTGCCATTGTCGTCCTCGATGATGGCCTTGTCGACGTGGGCATCCGTGATAATCTCAATGTTGTTTCGGGCGTTCTTCTTGGTGACAAAGTCGGCACCCGTTGTGCGGATACCATCTGTGTGAGTCCGGGGCGCATGTCCGCAGCCATGGGGGTTATTGCCGTGGGAGAACATGTCGTGATCGAGGGGCAGGCCCTTTGACACCATGGACTCGATGAGGAGGTCGGAGATGGGGGCGAGATCGAAGGGCTCGACGCCGAGGTGGCCATCGTAGCCGTGGCTGTCCTTGGCTGCTTCAAACCATGGCTTGGACTTGAAGGACTCGGCCTGGAAAGGTCAGCAATGCCCTTGTTCACCTAGGATCTTGCCCGTAACGGTCCTCGACTGGAGTCGCTCACCTTCTTCATGTAGTTGAAGAATTCCTCGCCGCTCCAGCCAGGCATGCCCCAGTCGTCATAGTCCTGCTTGGAGCCTCGAATGGCGAGGGTTCCATTGCAACCGGACGAACCTCCGAGGAACTTGCCCCTGCTCAGCTTCACCTGGCGCCCGTCAATGCCAGAGCCTTTCTCAGCGACAATGTTCCAATCAGTCTCCTTGTCGAAGTTCTGGGACCATCTGAGATGTCCAATGTAAATCACTGCTCTTTTCCATAGGGGACTCGTGGACTCGACTCACCCTCCGACCATGTGGGTGTTCTCTAAATCTCTATTGTGAGGACCAGCCTCGATTAGGAGAATGCTTGCATTTTTATCTTCAGCAAGTCTGCCAGCAACGACGCAGCCCGCAGTACCACCACTAAGACGGCTGTGTTAGCCCAGCGCCAAGATCAGCGGTCTTTTCTTGGCGTAGCCAAACGTACCCGCATATGATGAAGTCGTACGACGAGCGCAGAGTAGGAGAATAGGAGCCCATTGCGCAAGGTTTGATATGTATTTACCGGAAAGGAGTGTCAAGCAAAGAGGCACCTTCTATCAAGCAGGCGAGTCACGATCTCGAGTCGGCGAGTCAAGGTGGGAAAACCCCGCGCGAGGATGGCAATCATTGATATACATACGCTGAGAATTTAATCTGAAGCAACGTCCTTGCATTGGCTGTGGAACCAGTGGACCGCTTGAATGTGAACCCACGAGGCCGACATGGAGGTGCGTCTGGTATACGCACAACCATGGGGCTTGAAGCACCACGAACACTGCATACGGTCTCCCCGCCTGCCCCTGAGAGTGCCGACGCAGAAAGACGTGAAACTGGCTGGAAGCTGTTGGCTACCGACAGTTGCTCGATTCACATTGGTTCATGTTCGAGAAAGATAATGCAGGCGTGCATATGAGTTGCATGAGCCCCCCGGGGCCCAAACATCTTTGATGCAAGTACGGATACGTACAGCACTGACCATGGGGCAGACAGGTCTCTGAAATCAAACTGAAGCGCCACTTGGACATGGACCCTGTCCAGTAGAACAGTTGCCTGCCCGAGTTAGAGCAATGGCCAGTCAGTCTCGCGTGCTGGACCACCCAAGGCGTCTAACGGCGACCGTTGCTCATGATACGCCGGCAGACATCGCCCCTGGTAGTGAAATATGTATCAACTGAGACGATATTAAACACACGTACAGTAATAGCCCGGCAAGTCAAAATATAGTACGTAAGCTGTACGGCTTTGGAAGGTCACATGTATTGGACCACTGCCACCTGCAAGCAGTCCACCGCGCCACTGGCACCTCGTCGTCTCGTGCTCGCTATGCGAGTTGCAATGTCAGTTTCACAGCGGTTTTCGACTGTGTCATATTCATGTTCATGTTCATACCAACTTGCAACTGGCACATGTACATTTGATAGCTGGCCTAACTCGGTACGGCCCTCCAACTCCGTGAATGCGTGAGGGGAACACCACGCCAACGGAGCATTTTGCGCGCCCGTTGTTGAAACTGATACGTAATAATTGGAGCACGACACGGTCGGCGCGAGTCACCCAAATGACCGTGCAAAGCATGGCTGCATTAATGCAAGCTTTAGCTATTTACGTGGTGACAGTGACAAGCCTGACAGGCCTCAATGAATGGAGACTGGCCAGGGGCTTTGTCGAATGATGGCGGGTCCCCCGACCCCCCCCCCCCATCATAACGGCCGCACCGACATGGATATGTCACGCTCATTCTCCAGCCGTCATGTTGATCGCTGCCCAGTCGAGCTTAATCCGCACTAAGCAGCGGGAGGATGGGGATACCGGAACCGCGGGGGGTGATCATGGACAGGCATCCTGACTCGAAACCGACTGCCGTTTGACTACGTCCACAGGTGTCAAAATTAGCGTTATGCCCGATGGCGCAATAGGCCAGCCATATTCATTCTACGCTGTACATTAGCTTCAAGGAGGCTTTTGGGTCCGGTCGGTAACGATTCCCTGGTTGGCTCGCTGGACTCGGCCGAAGCCCCTTTCTTGAATGCTTAAATCTTTACGTACATCTATACCTAATGTATTACAAAGTTCATATTCCCCGTCACTCCCAACTCCACCGCGCGGCTCAGTTAAACCATCTGCATTCAATCTGTGCCGTTGGTTGTTGCTCATGCCGAGACCCTGCCAACTAACATCTCGACACGCGGATAAGTTCCAGTCTGCTTCGACTCATACGAACATTGAAGTTTGTTCAAATCGGCCACCATGGGGGCCACACCTTTCCAGACGGAAGCATGGACTGAGTATGGCATCGGCACCTTGATCCTCTTCCTCAGATACTTTGCGAGATGGAAAGCAGTGGGATTCAAGGGCTGGCAGGGTGATGATTACTTTGCGCTCCTAGTCCTTATCTTCTGGACGGTACGTCCGATACCCCTTCTTCCGTCCATTTGGTAGGCAAGGAACACTCACTAGGATTTGTGCCTTGTAGCTTGAACTATGCATGCTGGAACTCATTGGTAAGTGCAAAGAAGACGATTAAATCCCCTGGAAGGCTGAATTTTGACGTTGGTACTAATAAAACAGGCCAATATGGCACCAACATTGGCATCTACGATGAGATCAGTGCCACGTTGACCGACGAAGAGATCGCTCGCTTTGAGTTTGGCTCCAAATGCCTGCTCATGGGCTGGAATTTTTATGTGTCCCTCATCTGGGCGCTCAAGGGCTGCGTACTCTGCTTCTACAACCGTATCACGTACGTGCACCAGATTCTCTAGGAACTTGATCTATTCTCCGTTGATATGGGAGACAAGAACTGACTTTCCGTTAGCCTAGGCTTGAGACAGCAGAAATTCGTCAAGTGGACGGGCATCGCTTGCGTAGTTGGGTTCGCCGGCGTCTTGGGCGCCATTTGGGGCCACTGTGTTCCTGTCCATAGGAACTGGCAGGTCGTGCCGTATCCTGGTGGTAAGTCCGACGCGACTACAGTTCATGTTGGGAGACACATCTGACCAACACCAGATGCTTGCACAACCGGTTTCGCGAACTATATTACACTCGTCGTCATCAACGTGGTGTAAGTAGCTGCCACCTTTTGGCTGCTCGGCACCAGACCTCGCTAACCCCAGTGCCTCTTGTTCGCAGAACCGACGTTGCTATCCTCGTCATCCCCGTCCCGCTGCTGTGGAAAGTCCAGCTGCCGATCGGGCGCAAGCTTGCTATTGGTGTCTTGCTGTGCTCTGGCATCTTCATCATCATTGCGACTCTGCTCCGATGCATCCTGTCACTCCAAAGCATCAAGGGGATCAACGTGAGCACCATCTGGGCTATCAGAGAGACGGTATGGCACAACCAACACAATGAGCAAACCAGAACAGCAGACGCTAACAAGCTTCGCAGTTTGTGGGCATTGTTGCCACAAACGCCGCGGCCATCAAGCCTCTCTTCTCAGGGAGCAGATGGCTCTCCTCGAGCAAGGGCAACAGCGCGACCCCGTACTCCAAAGACACCAACAGCCATCCGCTCGCCACCATCGGCGGAAGCTCGAACGTGACCTCTCGACCCAACCGCCGTCGCTCGATGGATTACACGAATATCGGTAATTCGAGCGAGGAGAACATTTTCAAGCCTGACTTGAGTCATATCAGGGGCGAGACAAAGGTGTCCAGCGGGCCTCGGACGGGCAAGTCGACGCCCGGACACCCCATCACCGTCACGACCGAGGTGGATGTGGACTACAGCAAGCAAGTATAAGATAATAAATTAAAAAAATTTTTACCGAGAACCGTAGATATCAGGGCAAGGGAAGGGAAGATACCAGGACAACTGCCGGGAAGCAGTCGGCAAATGTAGGATTTGCAGACAACGCAGAGATGATCAAGAAGACAGCCCGTCATCCGACGTTATACCCCCTGTGGTGCGTGCCACAACTTTATCAGGCATGAACTACTACGTAGCCAGAATCATTATGTGAATTAGCAACCCTGTCGACGTACCTGAACAAATTGGCCCGGAAATTTGGCCGTCTCAGAGACATCAGGGGGATGGAATTCACACAGCGGTAAACAGCGCCAGAGGATCGATCGTCCTTCAGCAATCAAAAGGCAGGGATTCTGGGCCTGACTGGGGCACCGACCCCTGAGAGTGCAGACGAGGAAACGACTCCGGGCTTTGGCACCCCTGTCATTTGATGCCCGAGGTTCGATCACATGCATACAGTCGCCCTCAAGGGGCAGACCGCAGGACAAACGCCGTCAAGGGCATCATACAAAACAGCCGTTGTGCCAACTTGGTTTTTTAAGTGCGATTCTGCTTCAGATTTGTAAAGAAGGGCCAGCAAGACTGAGTGGTTGCCGCCACAGACGCTGAGGGTTACTCACAGCCGCGGCCCAGATGACATGGGTAGATGCAAGCCTGGTGGAACCACGCAACAAAATCCAATCGAGAGGGTGTCATTTATCGACAGTGTACACACGGAGTCTGTCCGATGTCTCGTGGCACGCATAACTTCGCCAGCTGGCTGACATGGGACTCAATCGTAAGTACGTCCGTAGTGCGCAAGGCTTTGCAGACCCCGAGATTGCTCTGAAATTAATTCCATCAATCCATTGGATGAGCTTTCGCCTTTCTAGAATTTTCTTGCACTCGAACCGGCGGGATATGTCCGTTCTGCCAAAGTATGTTTTGAGGTAGCAAGACTGAAAGTCAAAATCAGGGCGAGGGAAGAACTAGATACTAGCCCCCCGTGCAAACGCTCCCGAATGACTTTCTGACATCTATAACTTTGCCTGGGTTCGGAAAAACTCGACCCTATTCGTACTTGAGCAAGTGGTTAGCGTGATCTATCATTATGGGCAGCAAAACGAGCCTCACCATGTCCCAACGTTCTCCAGCCCGACTTCAACGACATCCCCGTCCATCAGCCAAATAGGTTTTGGCTTCTGGCCCATGCCTACGCCGGATGGTCTGCAGACAAATCAGCATGTTGCAGACGGCCAGAAAGGCTGGACGGCGCTCACGTTCCAGTGAAGATCAAATCTCCCGGCATCAGCGTCACACCCTGACTCAAGAGGGCAATAGCCTTTCCGACGTCGAAAATCATGTCAGCTGTAGACTCATCCTGCCTCATTTCCCCGTTGACCTTTGTCCAAATCCTGAGCTTCTGTGGGTCGGGGATCACACTTGGGCTCACGATGCCTGGACCATAGGGGGCCCAGCCATCGAAGCCTTTGCCATGCGACCATTGCCCGCCCCCAAGTTTGATCTGCCAGTCGCGGTGCGACACGTCGTTGCCAACGGCGTAGCCGAGGACATAGTTCAAAGCGTCCGATTCGGAAATGTCGCGGCCTCTCTTACCAATGACAACCACCAGCTCACACTCGTAGTCCAGCCCCTCATACTGCTGTGCCATGGCGCTCACGGGGATAGGGTCGCTGGGACCTGCGGAGGACGTGCGAGGCTTGTAGAAGAGAACTGGGTACTTTGGCTCCGGCATGTTGGATTCCTTCGCGTGCAACGAGTAGTTCAGACCCAGGCAGCGCAGAGTGCCCGTCTCTGAAAGAGCAAGGGGTGAGAGCAGCAGGCGGATATCAGTGACTTCATCAGTAACACGGTGTGTGCGGAAAATATCGCCCTGGATTATGCGAGCTTGGCGAGCCTTGGAGATATCAGTTGTGCCGGCTGGGAGGATGGCATCGCCATAGTACGTCTGGCCATCGCGGGCGACGAAACGGACGAGGCGCTGCGAGAACTGTCAGTCCAGGACTTCAGGCACAGTGGTTGAGTGACTTGTGGACAGACTGAAAATGAGGACATGATGTTCCTCGAAATTTTTCTAACTAAATATCGCTGATGGAAGCTTGCTCGCTGTAGTTGATTCTTTATCGCATGTGCACGAGAGCGACTAAATGTATGACGGCGGACGTCATAAAGCTGATGCGTTGTCGGAGCACGATCCGCTATACGGATACCGTCGGCAGTCAATGACCCGGAAAGAAACGCGCTGTTGATTGGTCAATTGAAGTCCTCGTCGCTGGCCGGGTCGGCGCCTCTGTTCATAATAAATTGCCAGCGACAGCATGCTCGACTTGAATCCACTATCCGCGATTCCTAAGCTGATTGACGCATTCGAATCTCAACCACACAAGACGGAAATACCGCCAACACAGTGACACCCTCTCGCTATGCGTCTCTCTGGCCTGCAGAAGGAGGTTCTGGCCCTCTACCGCCACTGCTTGCGTGAGAGTCGCAGAAAGCCAGAGGTATGTGACGGATCCAACCCATTGTGAGGGTGCTGACGAGTTCCAGGCGACGCGTGCTCACTTTGAGAAGTTCGCCCGAGCTGAGTTTGCGAGAAATCTGCACCTCGACAAGCGCGACTTTGGGGCAATCGAGTATCTGCTGCGCAAGGGCAAGCGACAGCTGGACGCGTACTCGTCGCCCGGTATCAAAGATGTTCGCTGAGGTCGCATGGAATCAGGTGCCAGCAGCTCGGGCTCAGGCCGTGAACGACATGGAATCGGGCATGGAGGCAGTCCGTTTCGCTTCGTTCGCTGTACTTGCTCTGGGGGCTCGCTCTTGCCGTTGCGGTCTTTAGAGCCGCACAACGTCATAGACTCCATGTCGATCTGGACTTGGAGTCACAATGCTTTGGAAGGAACAACTAATGTGGACAACACGCCTACCTGTTCAGATGGGCTTGCCTGTTCACGATGCATCTCACGCTGGGCTTCGACTGATGATAGTTCCGGTCTGGACCCTTCTTGGTTCCATTGGTGTTTGAACAACAGTACTGCCTCAAAGCCTTCCAAGATGACTTCTCTGCCAACCATTCCCGAAGCAACGTCTTCCGGTGCGTTGCATCGCGCTCTACTACCAATCACTGGCTCCGCACGCAAAGTTGTTTTCACGAAGAGTCCTCCGCGCTCGCGAATCATCGTCCTTAGGCGGCACTCAGCTGCTCGGGGGCACCATCGAAGTTTGGCCACAGCTGACAGCCCCGACCGTTCAGTGACCAAGGCGCGCCGATCGTACGAGGGCGAAAATGGAGATGATAAATCCAAAGGGACGAACCTTTCCACCTCCAATCAAGGCACACCTTCGCCAGCTAAATCACAAACCTGTTCGCTCAGCTCGTCGCCGCGATCTACTGGGGCAACAAACAGCACCTCTAGCCTATTGTCTATTTTTAGGGCGTTTCCAACGCCCCCAGATCAGAGCCAAGGCTGGCCATTGCCAAACGGAAAGAAGCTGCCTTCTCCTGAGCGTGAGGCGCGGCCAGAGCAAAGGCAGAGACGAGCAGAGCCGGTCCATCGCCTATGTGCTGCTGGCCTGGACGGCAATTGCAGCGAAAGAGCGGCGTCTGTTCCTCGCAGTGTTGGCTCAGTAGCTCATGGCAGGAGGCATGCCCTGGCAGCATCCCAAGATCACTTGTCGCGGGGAGACGATAAGCAAGGCGTAAACCTGCCATCCGCGACCACCGGAGTCGACGCTGTCCGTTCAAAGGACACTGAACGTTGGCAGCCAGTGGTGCCTTTGCGTAAGCACAGCCTCATCCGTGATGGCAAAGGAGGAAAGTCTCAACGTTTACCTGCCTCCGCGGACCGGCAAGCTCAGAGCAATTTGATGCCGTCGTCGGGTCCCGTCAAAAAAGGCGGTCGTATTGAACAAACCACTCAAGTGGACTACCACATATTACGCCAACACAATCCTGCCGAACTCCAGCGAGATCGTCAGCATGTGAAGAGCAGACGTATGGACAAGGCAGCTGAGCTTCGAGCAGGTCGAAGTGGACGACAGATGGAGGCGCCAATAGGAAAACAAGCTGCCGACCTTCCACGCGGTCCAGTTCCCTCGGCTGCGAATGAATCTGATATGCGCCGGTTCGCTGATTGGGAGCACCACGGAAAAGTCAACCCCAGAAACCAGCTTGGCAGGCCACACCAGAGAGCAATGCCCATGGGCAAGGTCAGCCTCGCGGCGCAGGAGATTGCTCGCCATGATTTAGGCCCCTATCCCACTGGCATAGCAAGACCAACCCAGCGAAAGACAACCGCATCGCCGCCACGTCCGCGTGTATACGGACGCCGCCCGCTCTCTCAACATCAACGGCGACCAACTGTCGAGATGAACACCAGAGGCATCTGCGATCGGGATGTCTTACGAGGAATGCACGTCGCCGTAGCAGCTACTTGCGATGAGAGGCTTGCTGGCCTGGTTTTTGAACAAACAGGGGTTCACGTTCGTCAGTTCTTGTCGGCATTGGCTCATTTCGATCCACTCGGGCTCAAAAAGAACACGCGGGTACTGGACAGGAAGAGACAAAGCAAAGATTACAGTCGTCGACTCTGAAGCAGCAAGTGGCTTAGTACTTGGGTCACGGCACGTGTTGCAGAAAGGAGCGAGTACATGTACCATCAAGCACTGGTGCGTTATAATGGACGCGGTCAATGATTGCTCTCTCACTGAGCAATACTGTTATAGATGCGATATAATTCTCAAAAGAGCCACAGCCAGGCCTACATTCCGTTGTCAAGTGCATTCGTGAGGCGCTGATCGCAATTTGTGTCTGACACCTGTCGTTGCTTAACGGTAATTGGTGGCATATGTTATTGGGAACTACTCCGTACCGTGGTTCGGCGTTATGCTCATTTGATGCTTTTGCGTGGTCAGATTTAGCGCTTGCTTGCCGGTCGTCCAGGAATGGGTGACAAAATCACATGTGGACTTGATGCACAAGACTGTCGTCAAAACCTGCCACATACTCTTTTGTCCAGCCCCGCCTTGGCCCGTTCATTCGCAACGCCAGGAACCGATCACAGAAGTTCACCTAATCACCCGCCTTCATATCACATTTCTGACCATTCTTGATCTGAAAGAACATGTCTGTCGATGCAATTTCTGTACTAAGAGATAACTTCACAAGCGACGAGAGTCGAAGGGACCACATCCTGCGATGCTGGTTCCATCAAAGCTGCGACAGCTGCCTCGACGTGCCCGACTGTAGCTGGTGTCCCTTTGTATGTCCTAAGTTTCCAACTGCGACTCGCAATCAACTCACGAATGAGTAGACATGGTCGTGCGTGCCCAATTCACACCACATCCCGTTCCTTGCCCCAGCGCATGAGGAGCAGATTTGTCCCGCAGCGTCCGAGCAGTGGGAGCTCAGAACACAACCACTGGGATGCAGCGTGTCGAGCTTCACGACCGTGACGGCCATCGCGTCCATGGGCGGGACACTGTTGTTTACGGTCCTTTTGATGCTCACAATTGTCGCAACCATGCGCGTGCGCAACTGCGCTGTGTCTACATGGCGAAGACAAAAATTACGACGGGATGATGAAAGACAGCCTCTACTAGTCAATCGCGAATGACAAGAGGCGGGGCAAAGACAGTCACAGCCAGCATCAAGGAGCGAGCGGGAGGATAGGGTAAAAACGAGGCACTGATCAGCCTCTTCTCACCCAGAACTCACAGGCGGGATAATGGCCACCTCATCGCCCTCCTGGAGCACCGTCTCTCCCTCTTCCCCGTGGGACGGAACATCTACATACTCCATATTGACCGTCACGAGGCTCGACTCGAGGACCTGGCCCCTGATCCGGGGGTACAGCTCTTCCAGCTTGGAGAAGAGCTGTGACAGCGGGAGAGGCGCCGGGAGAGGCTCGGCGTCCTTGCCCGTTAGGGTTGACGCCAACGCGAAGTAGAGGATCTGGAAGTGACCCGGCGGTGGTTTCGATGGCATTCTGTTCTGTGATCTTTTCGTCGCGTTAGCAACGTGTTCCATGGGGGTGTTGGCGGCAATCAAAAAGTGAACGTGTTTTGGCTTGGGTCAGAGATCTTGGTGATAAATTGAAACATCAATGGTGTTCAGGTAATACATGCTATTTGAAGCATCATTCCAATTGAGCTAAAGGGAGTGCGCAATGTGTGACTTACGTTTTGATGTGTTTCGTTGAGCTGAGAGCTCGTGAGTGTAGAAAGAAGAAAGAAAAGTCTATTGTGGGAGTGGAACATTTATTTCAAGCTGGGAGCTCGAGTCACGTGGGCCCCTCACTGAGCACCCAGGTCCGGCCGCCGGTTCAACAACGCCAGGGATCACGATAACCTTGGGAAGGGTGCAGTGAATATGCGCTCGAATTGTGAATCACAGTCGCAAATTGTCGCATGGGTATCTAAAATCCAGTCTATTTCAGCTTGTCCATCCTGTCCTCCAGCCCCTTGACCCAACCCTCCATCACCTTCATATTCCCCTGAACGGTCTCGTCACCTCCCTTCATCGCCTCTTCCATCTTCTCCAATCCGACCCTCCACTGCTTCAGCTCCGCGGCCATTTCTGCCTGGTCCTTCTCCAGCCTCTCCAGTGTCTCGCTGGCCGATGCGGCATCCGCGTGGATAGCTCGGAGGGAGCGCAGGCGGTCCAGCAGAGGCGGCAGCATCGGCGAGAGGCTCTCGATTGTTGGAAGGATTCCATAGAGAGCATTGATTTTGGCGTCGGACTCGGCGGGTCTGCCACCCTCGCCCGACGATTTGTCCTTGTCCCTCGCGTCGTTAAGTGCCTTTTGTTTCTTAGCCAGCTCCTCGACTTCGCCGGTGATGGCGCGAAGGCTGGGTCCGGACGCTTGCGACAGAGTCGCAATCTGCTTTTCCATAACATCAAGGGAGGGGAGGATCGCCCGCGGGAGACCATCCGACCCGACCTCTGGCATGATTGTGCTTGCGATTCCCAGGCCCTTTTCCAAAGTCAGAAGGCGACGGTCAAAGTCGGCTGTTTTAGCGAGCGCATGGCTCTCCTCATAGGTAGGCGCATAAGTGAGTGTGTATGTGGCTTTGGATCCCATGGCGCTCTCGTCGGCTGGGCCAGCAGGAGCTGGGGTCGCTTTTGGAAGTGGTCCAGGCTGAGCTGCAGACCTGGACAACTCTTGAAGAACCTCGCTCATGGACTCGAGTCGCATGGTTGGCCTTCCATCATCTCCCGTCATGGTAGACTCCCTTTCCCCTTCCTCGGCTCCTGCTGCTGTTGCTCTTTTGGCGAGCTCCTCTTTCGCTTCCTCCACCTCCCTCTTTAAACGGGCTATTTTTCTGTCCAAGCCCTCCTCGTCGTCACCCTCATCTGACAGGTCTCCGTATTCCACCGTCCCATTCGCCCGTACCTTTTGCCGGCGGCTCGAGACTTTGTATGACTTGCGCTTTCCATCCACGCGATCAGAGAAGTCGACGCTGTCCATGTTCACATTGGTGGTTTGGAAGCGCGAGAGGGCATCGTTCATTCGGAGTCGGGAACGAGATATGGGGTCTTCGGGGTCCTCTAGATCGTAGAATTCGTCATCCGAGTGATTGCCGCCTTTGGCATTTGTCTGAAGTGGCTGTCAGCAGCCGTCGAGGCGGTCAAATGCAATGTACGTACGGGGACTGTTGAGGTGTCGTCTGTCAGCTCGGGCACTGCTGTCTCGTATATATCTTGCCCATCATCCTGCAAGGTCAGCAGCTGTGAATACGCAAGTACGATTCTCGCGTACCATATCTGGAAGGCCGGCATATTTGCGTTCGCGCGCCATGGCTGCCCAATTGCTCTGAGAAGATGCTGAGAAATTTTTGACAGTCGGAATGAAACAGGAATGGCTAGCCGCCCAGCGGCACGTTATATATCAGTGCAAGGACGAAATGTCAAACAAAGAGGTAATGTTGGTTGAGTGTCGAGCGTCGAATGCGCAAGGGGTTTGACGCATGGACCCACTCGAGCTCCTGCCAGTCTGGTGGCACCTACCGGCGTGGGTTGCAAATGCTGCAAATGACTGGAACAAGTGCACCGTAGTTCAATGCCAGTAGCTAGGCCGCCAGTGCCCACATCGCTAGCGTCAACGTCCAGCAGAGACGCGGTCGCTCCGTTTGACGCGTGAACGTGCAGTGATCCCGACGCTGCCTACTGAAACTTCGATTGAGCGAGGAGAGCATGAACCCACTGCAGCTCCAATCTCATACCTAAAGTCTTTCGTCATTCGTTACAACTCAGCGCTGCCGACACACGGCATGATTTCCTTCTCGGACTAGTTGAGATCTATTATGAATCCATGAGTGATCACAAGTCATCCAGGCTTCCCTTCCGACACCTCACTCTGGCCAGGTGTCGAATTTCCAGTCATTAATCCGCCTGCCTCATGAGGACATCAGCTCACAAGATATGCCATCTCGCATAGTTGGCCTTTCGAAAGAGCAGAAACCCAACAGGCTTCTGCGGAAAATCAAAAGAAACCCAACAGCCGAGGACGGTGCCGAGGACCTTATGAAGGACCCTGTGGAAGACCGCGTGAGAAGTTTCCGTCGTCAGCAGCAAGCCTCGCGAAATCAAGCACCATCCTCGTCAAAATCTGAGGCAAAAGTGCTCGATGAAGGCGATTCCGATGGGGAGACTGAAGCCATCCGCTCGAGGAAGAAAAATGCCCAAAAACCTCGTCTCACACTGCTTGATCTTTTGGACGATGAAGACACTGATTCGGACCGGGGTCACATTCACAAGACGGACTTTACCAAGCCTGGTCAGAAGTCCAATGGCAAGGAACAGAGGCAGTTCAGGATAGAACCCCCTGGCCAAGATCACACCGGCGCCAAAGGAGGCAAAGACAAAGGGATTCAGAAACGTTCAAAACAAGCATCTCCGGCACCTGAGCCACGATCAAAGCGTGCAAGGCGAGACTCCCTCACAAATGACGCAAAACACCACGAGGTGTTTGGAGAAGAGGTCATGAACAAGGTCAAGGGCAGGGCGAGCGGTCAGAACACAGTAATAAAAAATACATATGGGACAGGGAAGGCGAAAGCCCCGCCCTCGAGCCAGGAGAGGAAACCGAATGCCCTGGAACAGAAATTTGGGCGGACAGGGACTCCAAAGCTCAGCAGTTCGCAACAGAGTGTGTCGCTATCGCAGGCTTCGCAAGGTAAGCTCTTGGCCTAATGGCACCAGGCTGTCTGACAAAATCCAGGCTCGGCCCGTAAAGAAAGCCCTCCTCTGGAAACCCCGAAAGGATTCCAGTCGTACGGCTTGGATCTCTCCGACTCGGAAAGTGACGCTACGCCCACAGCAAAGGGCAAGTCAAAGACACACAGAGCTCTGAGTATAGGTGGTAACTTTGATTCGTCGCCTGTACGGGGCGAGGGATTTAAAAAGGTTAATGACATTATTCCCTCGTCTCCCACCGGAGCACCCCGAGTCAGCATGTACAGCGACTTGGACGATACGCCGAAAGCAAATGGGAGATTTTCATTACCAGAACTCACGGCATCCCCCACCGGGACCAACACAGCGAGAGATAATAGCCCGATACCGATATGTCTCAGCACGAAATCGACACCAAACCCTTCGCAACAGGAGGCACGTTCAGAGAGCTCCCTGCCAGAACGACCTGCGGCCAAGCCGACGATTTGCCCGTGGTGCCAGGAGCCCGTGGACGCCCAGATGCTGGTATCCTTCTCCAAGGGGAAAGGAAAGCGACTCAACGTCAATCAGCAAACCCGCTTCTGCCACAAGCACAAGAGAAAAACAGCCCTGGAGCAGTGGTCGGCCAAGGAGTATCCCGAGATTGACTGGGACGAACTGCCAGACCGCGTCGCATCTTACAATGAGTCTCTGCACGAAGTCATTCTGGGCGATGAGCCGTCACACTACCGGCGGGTATGGGCTGAGAAGATTACAAAGGGCGCCGATCGCGTCATGAAGAAGGAGGAGAACATGAACCCGGGCTACTACGGTCCCAGAGGGTTCAATCTCTTCAGCGACCAGTTAGTCCCAATGTTTCAAAGCGTACTGAGGGAGAGGGCCCTTGTGGACAAGGTCATCTCAGGGCGAGGTGCTGTTGCGTTCATCCAGTCTGTGCTGTTGCCAGAACTGGCCGTTCGGCTGATTAGCGACGACATGCTCGTCACACTGGAGGAGGCACGAGTGATCATGGAGGACAGCAAGCAGCTAGGGGAGCTGGTGCACGAGGAGTTGTGAAAAGGACATTGGGGACACATTGGCATAGATAGCATAGCGACTGGACGAAAGCGTACATAGTTTTGCTACAGGGATGGGGGCTTCGACGAAACCCTCTTGTCTATTAGCAAATCAGTCGATAACAATCATTATCATCATCATTCTCTCTATCCCTACACCTGCACCTGCACCTACACCTACACCAGCACGGCAACGGCCGAGCACGGCGCCAAAGTGAAGTCGCCGCCCTTGACATCTTCCAGGCTGAGTCCTGATGTGCTGATGACCAGGTCCTTGACCCCTTGTCCCGCGCTCCAGTTGACCTCGCCATCTGTAAAGTTGGACACGACGAGTGCGGTCTGTCCATCAGCAGCAATTCGCTTGTAGGCAAAGACCTTTTCGTTGGGCTGGTCCACGAGGTCAAAGTCGCCGTAGACGAAGATGTCCTTGTGGGCCTTCCTCTTCTCGAGGACCTGGCGCCAGCAGTGGTACACGGACGTGGGGTCTTCCACTTGTGCGGCCGCGTTGACGGTCCTGTAGTTGTCGTGCAACCGCATCCACGGCTTGGACGAGGACGTGAAACCGGCCTGCGGCGAGTCGTCCCACTGCATGGGTGTGCGGGCGTTGTCACGGGACTTCATCTGGTAGTTGCGCAGGTACTCTTTCTTGGTGTCCTCGTCAATCTTGTCCTTGTAGAGGCTGTTTGGCATCTGTTAGCGAAAAAGAAAGGAAAAATTGCCCGCGATGCGGTGTGTATACGTACTTCCAGTGACTGAGGCAGTCGACATCTTGGTACTCCTCCATCGGCCAGTCCTTGGGCACGTTGACCATGCCAATCTCCTGTCCTTGGTAGACGAACGGTGTGCCGGCCTGGAAGCCCATAAAGGCGGCAATCATCTTGGCACTGGAGGCCCTCAGCTCGGGCGTGTCAGTGGCGAATCGGCTGACCGCGCGGGGCTGGTCGTGGTTCTCCAGGTACAGGGCGTTCCAGCCGTCATTGTCGTACATGAAGCGCTGCCACTTGGTCACCGTCTCCTTGAGCTTGGTGAGGGGCCACTTCTGGTAGGAGTACTTGCCCTCCTTGCCGTGGTCAATGTCCATGAGCTCAAAGTGGAAGATCATGCTGAGCTCGCCGCGGTCGGCGCGGACGGCCTTGATGAGCTCCGCCTCGTCGTGCACGCAGGGCATCTCGCCCACGCTGAAGGCGTCGTACTCGCGAAGAATCTTGCCAATGCCCTGCAGCCACTCGTGCAGCCGGGGCCCGCAGGCGTAGAACTCGGAGCCCCTGTGCACGGGCTTCTTGGAGTCAGGGAAAGACTGGTCCTTGGAGATGAAGTTGATGACGTCGATCCGGAACCCGTCGCAGCCCTTGTCGAGCCAGAAGCGCATAATCTCGTGGACCTTGGCCCGGACCGCGGGGTTCTCCCAGTTCAGGTCCGGCTGCTCCTTGCAGAAGAGGTGTAGGTAGTACTCCTGCGTGGCCTCATCCCACTCCCACGCGCTGCCCTGAAAGTGGGCGTCCCAGTTGGTGGGAGGCATGCGATTGCCCTGGTCGTCGTAGCGGGCGGGCCTCCAGATGTACCAGTCACGGTAGGGGTTGTCCTTGGACTTGCGCGACTCCTTGAACCACTCATGCTGGTCCGAGGTGTGGTTGACGACCAGGTCGAGAACGAGCTTCATCCCACGCTCATGCAGGGCGTCCTTGAGCGTCACAACGTCCTCGACGGTACCATAGGGTGGGTCAATGACCTCGTAGTTGCTAATGTCGTACCCCATGTCGATCTGGGGGCTCTCAAAGATGGGGGACAGCCATACTATGTCGACCCCGAGCTTGTGGAGGTAGTCGACCTTGGAGATGATGCCCTTGAGATCACCGGTGCCGGAGCCATTCGAGTCTTTGAAGGAGGCTGGGTAGATCTGGTAGACCGAGCTCTCCTTCCACCACGTCCTCAGCTGCTGATGCCCTGTGCTGCCCATTGTACGTGTGCGTTGAGTTGCGTTGTTGTCTGGTCCTTGTTTTTCCAAACAGTGCGATGAATGTCTTGACAGGATGAAAGTCGAGAGGAGCACCGGGCCTCTTCAAATACTCACAAGTGAACCTCTGTATCCGAGAAATTCTCCGTGCGCCAGCGTGGCTCGACAGCCACGAAGCAATCACGGCAACTTTATAGGACCATGGCTGCCCCACGATGACAGAGAGAACCCCGCAGGCCGTGTCATGGCAGGACTCAGAAGTGATACGCAGCATTTCCAAAAGTGGTAATGTACCGATGAATGATGCGGCTGCGTACTAGGTAGACCTGCGCTACTTTGTTCGTCTCCAATGTTCTTGGGGGTATGATGGATACTGTTTGGCTGGAGGAGGGGAGGGAGCTCATCTCGGACCGACGGATCAATGAACTCTGAATCTGGTGGATGAAAATCCAATGGAGAAATCTTTGGGGCTCAATCAGGATATGCGCAGTCCATATTGCTTCAGCTTCCCGGAAACCAGTGACATTTTCAGCATACTTGTATCTACGGATGGCATACATACTATAAGTCGATGGAACCTTGAAGGGCGGAGACTCCGCCAGCGCGGCGTGAATGCAACCAACCTACCCTGCGGCTTGGAGGTCGTGGTTGACGTGATGGCGCATTTGCTACCAGCATCCAACGACGGGGAAGGAATATCGAGGCATGTTATCATTTCATCAGCCTCGTGCTTTCAGTGCCAGAGTGAATCGGTAGGCTTTGGCCATAAATTACAATGCAGTGTGTTGAATAATCCATATTGTATGTTGATGTTATTTCTGACGTGTCAGGTGGCTTGCACTGATACACGAGAACAAACATTTGCAGGAAAAGCATCTTCTGGAATTTTCGCGAGCACGATACGTCATTTATCCTGTCGTTTCTGGTCGGGCAATCCTAGCAAACTCAAAGCGAAGCCATCATGTCCATGAGACAGGGGCGAGGTAGTCTTGTGTTTCCGTCATGCATACGGATATCGGCTCCCTCCTGCGAGACAAGGCTAGATAATGATAGTCACCAAAATAAAAAGCAATCTCCCCTAACGGCCGATCCGGGTACGGAGTACGAACCTTATCATAATGACAGGGAAGCGGCTGATGGGCTTTAGCGCCAACTGGGGGCGGCATGGGTGCTCAAGCCTCAAAGGCTCAAAGCTCAATTCAATCAGTCGCGCGGCACGTACTATGCGTCTTCATTTATTATCCCTGGGCGGACCAGGCAAGATGAATAATAACACAAAATGCCTGCAACCAACAACAAGGCAACAACGCCTTGGACTGCAAGCCACTTGACTGCAGCCGCCGCTGTTGAGCGCCAATCGCCGTGACACGTCCGCCCACACCCAAGCCTCGTAGCGCGAGCTGCGAGCCTACGAGCACACCTGGTCCATCCATCCATCCATCCGTGCTGCATTCGTTGCTGAGCGCTGGTTCTCCCGGGCTGCCTCGTCTCGGCCGAGCCGAAAGTCTCTGATGATGGAGGCCCTAGGAGACTTGGGTGCCATTAATGAATAGCTAAAGTATGCAGTCCCCAGGTCGCCCGCTCGCTGGGCTAACCGCGGGAGCTTGGTTAGACCCTGGTAGTAGCTAGTAGAGTCCAGTCTCCGTCATGTCCACTTCTCCATAGCAGCACTAACTTGAATTAATAGCAGCAGGAGCTGCCCGCGAAGCTCGGATCCTGGTCACGCCACCCCCAACCCCAGGCACTCTGTGCTCTGAGTCTGAGCTCTCTACCTTTGTCTTTGATGGCGCTTGTGGTGACAACAGGATCTGTTTCGATCACGATTGGACCTCGAGCCTCACAGATGGATGTGGTCTGAAACCCTTTTTCCTCACTAAACAGTCTTCCACCGCCCTGCCTGCCTGTCGCGCACGCGCAGCCGCTGCACCAGCTCATCCCACCGATTCAGACGCGACCGCCCCTCCATGCTTCTAGCAGTTCGAGATCTGTCCTGGCACAACACCACCGAGGAAACCTCGTCTCGTTCCGTTCCGTCTCGCCTCGCCTCGCCTCCGCCTAGCCCATGGGTGTCTTTTCTCAACGACGGTGACGATGAGCGAGAGCGACTCCCAGCATCAGCGCAGCCGCTCTCCGACAACCAACATCGCAGCCAACGCTGCCACAAGGATCCGGAGAAGTGCTGACGACACACGAACGACACGGACACCGACAGCCAGGTCGACGGCCGCAACAACGCGCAAGGGCAATGTCCCCCAGCCGCTCGACGTCAATAGCGGCGGCCCTTCACTAATGGACAGGTGAGAATGCCCATTGTCCAAAAGCAGCTGCTCTGAGCTGCAAGCCCCTCGGGTTCTCGACGTTGCGCGGCGGCTAACGGCGCACGTTTCTTTTTCCATCTAGGGCACATTCGCATGGAGAACCGCTATCGCCTACGACCACAATCCATACCACATTCCCTCCCTCCTCAGGAGCGGCAGACAACTCGACTCACTCCACTGTGACGACTTCACGAACATCTGGCGACATCTCTGGCTCCCTACGCGATCCGTCAAGATCTGAGCCGACACGCGCACCCAGGATCCAGTACAATCCCCCTACAGGCGGCATCGTCCCCGAGGTCGCGCCCTGGATGTCGAACAGTGGACCTGGCAACATCAATGGCAATGGCTTCTCGACGCCGGGTCAGACCGGACAATCGAGCTTCTACCACGATTCGAGCGATGGGCAGTCCGTTGCCTCGCAAATCTCGCCAGGACAACCATCATCGCCGTCGCACCGCAGACCGTCCGGCAGCCACAGTGAGCTACCCGATGCCCACTACAGCTATGACAGGCGTCCATCAGCGGCAAGCATCGCGACGGCGAGCAGTACGGGCTCAAAGACGAGCTTGAATAGGGGTGGCATGCGCAAGCTGCAAGGTTTCTTCGGTGAAGAGTTCCCAGGACGCGACAGCTTCGACGGGAAGAGCATGCATAAGGACCAGCAAGCTCGCTCCTTCAGCGGTAGCAAGCAATCATATCGGGGCAGGAAAGCGTCGAATGCAACATCAACGAGCCAGACGCGGGACGTATCGCCATCGTCATCGAGACCAAGGACGCCTGTTCCTGCGCCAGAGGTGGTTCCATTCTTGTACCAGGATAATTCGGTATGTATCCCCTCCCCTCCCCCCCACGTCTTCCTTATTTCCCTATCCCCTACGTACGCACCGTTCCCCTCCGGCGGCTGTGCTCTTGTTGGGGAAGACATGCGTGCGCAATCGACCGCGCTTGTGACGCGACTCAGACCACCCACCCACCGCTCAAGATTGGGAAAAAAAGAGCTGGCCGGCACAAGTCGCATTTTGCCCCGACGAAACCCAGGACTGATGACGGACTGCTGCTGCGCCCCACAAGCCCAGGCGGCGGCGGGCGGCCTTCGGCCTTCCCCATCAAGCCAGACTCCAATCCACCCGCCCGGTTGAGTTGGCCGGCGCTCACCAGATCCACCCTTCCTCTCCTCCTGCTGCACGCAAGTCGCTGCGAGCGACATCTCTTCCGAGTCCTTTCCTACCCAGGCGTATAATCCGCCGAGTTGCTGACCGCCTTCCCCTACGCGCAGGACATTGCTCGTTACGGTGAAGCGCCCGTACGAAACAGCCTCACAGGTCTCGATCGCGACCGCTACCTGAACGAGGGGCAGTCCCAGTCCCAATCCCATTCCCAATCTCAGATTCCGCCCAAGACATCTTCGTCATCCCGATCGGGCCACTCCATTGCGCACCTGCCCGGCCACAGGCACCGTCACAACCGAAGCAACGATGACCCACGAGCCCTACGACCGACGATGAGCAGAGAAGAAACCAGCATAAGCGCTAAAGCCCCGGGGGCCACCACAATGGCGCGCGACAAGGCTCGCCCGCACGCCACCTTTCCTACCCGGTCGAGGGGCCAGAGCCCGACTTCCAGTACAAGCAGCGTTGCGCCGAGCGGAGGCTCTCCAGGCACCCATGGTAAGATGGGCCTGCTGGGTCGCTTGCGACAGCACCACCATAATCGGAAGGATCAGAAGGAGGGCAATGGCGAAGAGCGACACCATCGCAATCCCGCCGCCACAGCTGCATCCAAGCTCAGGAGCCTGCCGCAGTCGACCAAGTCGCTCCAAACAAAATCGAGCACGACAGACGTGGGCCGCCGCAGGGAGCTGTCGCCATCCGCCTTACCGCCATTGGGCCCTACCATGACCGAGGAGTCACCCTTTTCTCTGGGCGCACCGGCTATAGATGGCCATGCTCCGTCGCGCGCTGGGCCTTCTCGCGGTGCCACCTTTAACAACAAATTCCACTTTCCCAAAATGACAAAGTCATCACAACGCGCACACGAAGACCTCGACGAGTCGATAGGGCCGACCGACCAGGGGCAACGTCATCCTGACCCTGGCGCCCTGTATCATCTTGACACGAATCTCAATGATATGGAAGGCATCTTGACGAGACCACCGAGGCTGGAACCGGTCGACGTGACGTTTCCCAACGATGACCGTAGAGAGTCGATTGCCTCCCCGCCACCGAAAGGGCGCTGGGATGCGCCTGATAGCTGGGCTGTGCGGCGTAATACGGACGACCAGTCGAACCACACCACAGAGATGGAAGAGTTGCAGAGCCCCCCACGACCAGAGGAGAAACGCGCGCCCTACTGCATACGCATATTCCGATCAGATGGCACCTTTTCTACCCACTCGATGCCTCTGGACTCCTCTGTGTCAGAGGTGATCTCACAGGTCATCAAAAAGACCTACGTCGTGGATGGTATCGAGAACTACCACGTCATCCTGAAACGCGGCGGGCTCATCAGAGTGTTGGGCAACAATGAGTTGCCGCTGCTCATCCAGAAGCGTCTTCTTCAGCAGGCTGGCTACGAGGACAAGGACCGCATCGAAGACGTTGGGCGTGAAGACAACAGCTATCTCTGTCGTTTCGAGTTTCTTTCGTCCAAGGAGGGGGACTTTCACTCACAAGCGACCGACAATGTTGCTGGAAACACGAAGCAGAAGCTCAGCTACGTGAACCTGACAAAACGCAACCTCGTGACGATTCCCATCTCGCTGTACCTGCGCGCCTCCGAGATCGTGTCGCTTAACCTCTCATATAACCTCTCACTCGACGTGCCCAGAGATTTTATACAGTCCTGCAAGCACCTACGTGAGATCTCTTTCACCAACAATGAGGCACGAAGGCTGCCCCTCAGCCTGGGCAGAGCGTCGAAACTCACAATGCTCGATGTCTCTAACAACCGACTAGATCAGCTTGAGCATGCAGAGCTGGAGTCATTGACCGCTCTCATCAAGTTGAATTTGGCAAACAACCGTCTAAAGGCCTTGCCACCCTACATTGGCGCTTACAAGATGCTGCGACATGTGACTGTATCATCGAACTATCTCGACAGATTTCCAGCCTTCCTGTGCGACTTGCCCAGCCTCAGAGATCTGGACCTGAGCTTCAATAACATCGACACCTTGCCAGAAGATATTGGCGAACTTGGGAACCTGGAGAAGTTTCTCATCACGAACAATCGTCTTAAAGCTGTGCCCGACTCGTTCGCAGACCTGGTGAACTTGCGAGAGCTCGACATTAAGTACAACGCCATTACCTCCATCAACACTATCTCGGAGCTCCCTAAGCTGGAGATCCTCTATGCCGACCACAACTCCATCTCCGCCTTCAGCGGCAGTTTCTACACTCTCCGCCATTTGAAGCTCAACTCCAACCCTCTGAACAAATTTGAGCTCGAACAGTCTATGCCCACGCTCAAGACGCTGAACCTATCCACAGGGCAGCTGGCAAGCATCGATTCTGCCTTTGCTCATGTACCGAATCTAGAAAATCTTATACTGGACAAGAACTACTTCGTGTCGCTGCCCGTGCAGATTGGCACACTGTCGCGATTAGAGCACTTTAGCATCGCCAATAACTCGGTTGGAGAGCTGCCTCCGCAGATCGGTTGCCTGACGGAGTTGCGGCGCTTGGATGTGCGAGGGAATAATATATCGAAGCTGCCAATGGAGATCTGGTGGGCCAAGAAACTCGAATATCTCAATGCGTCATCCAACGTCCTGGAGCAGTTTCCCAAAGCTGCGTCGAGACCGCCACGTGTGCCCGGGGAAGAGCATAGCGGGCCGCCACCTACAGTCCGGAACGGGCCCTCTCTCCCTCTGGGATCTCTATCTACGACACCCAGCTCAGAAGAACTGTCGGATGACAGGAGGCCAAGTCAGGCCTCGAGCACCCTGCTAAGTATTGGGCCCTCGCCAGCATCTGACCGTAAGAGCTCGGTGGTGTCGGTTTATGGGAAGGGAGGACGACAGACTTCGGTTGTCTCAAGGTCTGGCACGTCGTCGAACACTGCCACGGCTCCCTTGACAGGTCGAAAGGACTCGACTCTCTCGTCGCGAATGTCCAACACCTTTGCTGGCTCCCTGCGCAATCTGTCCTTGGCCGACAACCGTCTCGACGACGACGTTTTCGACCAGATTGCGTACCTAGCGGAGCTTCGTATCCTCAACTTATCCTACAATGACGAGATCACGGACATGCCCCAGCGAGCCATCAAGAGCTGGCCCCAACTAGTGGAGCTGTATCTTTCAGGAAACGGTCTTACAAGCCTGCCCGCTGACGACCTGGAAGAGACGAGCTTGTTGCAGACATTATTCATCAACGGCAACAAGTTCACGAATTTGCCAGCGGACATCTCTCGAGCTTCCAAACTGGCCGTACTGGACTGCGGCAGCAACCAGCTCAAGTACAACATCTCCAACGTGCCGTATGACTGGAACTGGAACCTGAACCCCCAACTGCGATATCTGAACTTGTCGGGCAACAAAAAGCTTGAGATCAAGCAGACAATCCCACCCACGGGCTCGACAGCTGTAGCTACGCCTGGCATGTTCGATGTTGGTTCGTTGACAGACTTTAGCAAGCTCACTAATCTGAGGATCCTTGGCCTGATGGATGTCACACTTACCCAGCCCAGTATTCCCGACCAAAGCGAGGACCGCCGAGTGCGCACATCAGGTTCGCTGGCCGGACATCTCAAGTATGGCATGGCGGACACACTTGGCAGGAATGAGCATCTGTCTGCCGTTGATCTCGTTGTGCCACGCTTCAATTCCTCAGAGACCGAGATGCTACTGGGGCTGTTCGATGGAGCGCCGTTGTCCATGGGAGGGTCCAAGATTGCCAAGTACCTGCACGAAAACTTCGGGCATATATTTGCACAGGAGCTCAAGAGTCTCAAGACGGAGGGCGCCGAGACTCCCGAAGACGCACTCCGGCGCGCTTTCCTCGCCGTGAACAAAGACCTGGCCACGATAGGTGTGCAGCGCACCGACGATCGACCTCGAACGACGCAACGACTACACCCTCACAGCCAACCTCTTGTGATCAGTAAAGAGGACTTGTCGTCTGGTGGTGTGGCGACAGTCGTCTATCTCAAAGGCACTGAACTCTATGTTGCCAATGTTGGAGATGCACAGGCGATGGTCGTCAAGTCCAACAACAGTCATGTCATGCTCACGAAGAAACACGATCCGGCCGAGCCAACCGAACGCTCCCGGATACGAGAGGCCGGCGGCTGGGTATCCAGGAACGGTCGGCTGAACGACAAGCTGGAGGTGTCGCGCGCTTTTGGATACAGCGACATGATCCCCGTCGTCCAGGCGTGCCCTTGGGTCAGTCAAATGTCGATTAGGGAGACGGATGAGATCATCATCATGGCGACCAAGGAGCTTTGGGAATACCTCTCGCCCGAGCTGATTACAGACATTGCTCGCGCCGAGCGGCAAGATCTCATGCGGGCGGCGCAAAAGCTGCGTGACCTGGCAATGGCGTATGGCGCGACCGGCAAGATCATGGTCATGATCATCAGCGTCACTGATCTCAAGAGGCGCGTGGAACGATCGAGGACAGGCAACCGCGGCCCGAGCATGTCGCTCTACCCTTCGGGTGTGCCAGACGAGTTCATTCACCGTCCCTTGAAGAAGAGCAAGACTGGCGTGCTGGATTCGTCGCTGAACCGACTCGAGGCGGAGATCCCCGCCCCTACTGGGACCATCTCCATCGTCTTCACCGATATCAAGAACTCGACCATGCTGTGGGAGATGTACCCCAATGCGATGCGCTCGGCCATCAAGCTGCACCACGAGGTTATGCGACGACAGCTGCGACAGATTGGAGGATACGAAGTCAAGACTGAAGGCGATGCGTTTATGGTATCGTTTCCCACTGCCACGTCCGCCCTACTCTGGTGTTTCGCTGTGCAGCTGAGTCTGCTTGAAGTCAATTGGCCATCGGAGGTTCTCACTGCCGCTTCTGCAGAGGTCATTCACGACAACAACGGAAGCGTCATCTTCAAAGGCCTCTCGGTTCGCATGGGTATCCACCACGGCGACTGCGTCAGCGAGACAGACCCAGTCACGCGACGTATGGATTACTTCGGGCCCATGGTCAACAAGGCGGCCCGTGTGTCAGCAGTAGCCGATGGCGGCCAAATCACAGTGTCCTCCGATTTCATCTCTGAGATTCAGAGGTGTCTCGAAAACTACCAGGACACCGACCGCCAGGGCTCATCGGGGTCGGAAGGGTACGAAGAGGAGTATGCCAATTCCATTCGCAAGGATCTGCGATCTCTTACGTCTCGAGGCTTTGAGGTCAAGGAGATGGGCGAGAAGAAGCTGAAGGGCCTCGAGAACCCCGAGGTCATCTACTCTCTCTACCCCCACGAACTTGCTGGCCGAATCGAGTACCACCAACAGATTGAGCGCCGGGACGACAATCCGGACGCTGTCAAGCCACAAACCGTCCGGACCGGCCAGGGCGCCGATCTCAAGCCTGAGGTCGTCTGGGATCTCTGGAGGGTTAGCTTGCGCCTCGAGATGCTGTGCAGCACACTCGAGGAGGTTCGCGGCTCCGGATTGCAGCCGCCCGAGACGGAGCTGATAGATCGGTTGAAGGCGCGTAGTGGCGAGATTTCAGAGCGTTTCCTGATGAACTTCATGGAACACCAAGTCAGTAGGATAGAGGTGAGTGTCTCTGCTTCGCATACCCGTCATGGCCGTCACTGACCGCAATTACAGGCTTGCGTTACAACAATAGCAGTACGATATCTGGCCCGCTGCGACGGACCATTGCACGAGCTTAATCAGCTTCGCGCACCCATGTCCGCTGTGCTGGACTTCTTTGTCCAGCAAAAGAAGGAGCTGGAGCGGTATCGCGCATTGTACGGCGACCTGCCGCCGGACCACGCAATAACAAATGACGACGGCAATGTTGACGATGACGACGACACGGAGGGCAGCTCCACGGCGCAGGAATGAGGTGGTGCGGCCTACATCCATCACCCACCACGAGCACACAGAACATACGACACGTGATCACTTAATTACTTACTTACTACACCTGCCTGCCGCCACCACCACCACTGTACACATACACACACTCGAGGATGGTTCGGGGGCACGATTGACCTGCATTTTGACATTTTTTTCACCACGATGCAAGCGCGCGCGCAAGTGATACCCTGTTTTGGATCACAGATACGTGGAAAAGGGTCACGTTTCGATTCCCTACTTCACATTGCTTCTGTCTGGCGTTAGGAGGGGTGCAGCTATTGGGATCAAGACAGGGAATGAGATGGGGAAAGGAAAGGAAGGGAATGGATGGAAGACCTCGTCCTAGGCCCTTGTTTGCTTGTGGAACATGATTTGGTAGTTGTGCATCGACATTGTCGCAGCAAAAAAACAATAAAAGTGTTGAATTTATCATGCCCTGACTTTTTGCATTTCTCTCCATCTCTTTCCTGACTAGACATTGTCGCGTCTTCGCATAATGTTGATCTTGGGTGTCATCCGCGGACCGACCCACCAGCCACCGGTCAGAGCTCTTGTCCTGTCCCTCACCTCTGCGATCGTCCGCCCCGAGCCGAGTACGTCAGAAGGTTGCTGCTTGATCTCCTGCCCAGGCTTGAGAATCTCAATGCCGTCGTAGCCACTGATGACACCTAGGATCTCCCAATCACCCATGGGCATCGCACTCCTCTCCTCGAGGGCGTAGTCCAGTCTCTCCCAGAAGCGGGGATAGCCCAGCGTGGCATCCCTCTCGGTCTTGTCGACGACGAGCAGCGCCCTCTCGTCAGGGCTCGCGGAGTCTGGATTCGCCAGTGCGAGGGGGAGACCATGGGGGTTTTGGTGGAAGAGCGTTAGGCCGGTCATGCAGGTGAGCACGTCGGCGTGGGCGTACATGGGTCCGTCGAGTGTGGATGAGGGAGGGAGGAGAGAGTGGAGGTGCGTGATGGCCTCGCCACCGGGGTAGTTGAGGGCCGAAAGGGCGAGCATGGCCGAGGACATGGCGAGTGACAAGGGGAGGGAAGCGTAGAGGGCGTACGTGACGAGTCTGTTGGCTGTGGTGCGGGATGCGCGGGTGGCGATGTAGTCTGCGCCCAGGGCGGCGACAGCCGTCAGGGGCGGCACGGCGTAGAGGATGAAGCGCGTCTCCTTGTGCGGCTGGAGAGAGTAGACGACGACAAAGGCCATGCTCGGCACGAACAAGGACAGGGCCTGTCGGCGGGTACCGGTATTATACAGCGCGAAGATGATGAGGAGGGGTATCAGGGGATTGATGAAGAGGCGTGGCAGGGCGGACGTGAAGTACCAGTGCCAGCTGGACACACCCCAGTCTGAGGAGGATCCCTTGACAGCGTTGAAGTAGAAGCCTGCCAGCTCGGGCCACAGAGGCCATTGTTGCCAGAAGTACGAGTCGATGGGCACGGAAATGGCCAGGGCGAAGAGGAAGGAGAGGGTAAAGGTGGGGATGACGTCTCGCAAGGTGAGTTGCGACGTGAGGAGGAGGTGGAGGGTGATGGTGACGAGGAGGATGGCTGTCTCGGCGCGAAATATGGTTGCCGACAGCGTGAGGAAGAATATGGCTTGTTTTCTGCGTCGCAGAAACACTGCCGGGCTCGACCTTGGAAGGATGAGTGCGAATGCCAAGGTCGCTGCGCAACTGTGTTAGTTAGGTTTTTTTTTTAAAAAAAAAAAGGGGACAAGGAACATGAACATACTGAGACCGAATGAGTACATGTTCGGTAGGGTCCTCGTGAGATAGTACAGGACGTGAAACTGCGTCACCTGGAGTAGAATCCACCAACGAGCCGCGCCTTGCCCAAACGCCGAGGCCAGACTCTGCCTCAACACGAGCAGGCAGCCAATGTTGAAGGCCCCCAGGGTGCCCCTCACGATGGTCTGCGCATGCTGGAAGCCACTCAGCCAGATCAGAGGCTGGCTCAGGCCCGAGAGGACGACAGCGCCGATAAAAGAGCGCGGCACGGCGCCTGGGAAGGTGAAGTGATCGTACACACTGGCGAGGCGGGCGGCGACATCATGTGTGGGCGTGCCGTAGACGAGTATGTCGTGGGCGGCCTGTAGGTTGAAAGACTCTTCGACTTTTGTGTGGGGCGCAAAAAGGAGGTGCAGGAGAGGTGTGATGATGAGGACGGCGGACAGTTGAAGATCTGCGAGTTGCATGTGAGCTTTCTGGCCGATGATGTTGAAGGTGAGTGAGTGGGTGAGCGTGCCCGTACCTATCGCCTCCATGACGACTGAGTGAGTGGCCTACCGCCGTATGCGAGGTCCCATTGATTGACTGGAACGGGTAGACAAGAAAATTACAACGAGCTTTAGTGCTAGAGACAAGCGACAACTCCGGTTGATAGCGCTTCGGCAATTCACATTCAATCCTTGTGGAAGCAGTGGAGTCGCAATATGGGAGCTCAGCTCCGAGCTTCCAGTCATTCAAAATCCAGGGTCGTCAGCTCCGCGAGCCAAGCGACTGCCCCTGCCCAGCCTGACGACGTACCCCACAAACGATTGGAGCCTGGACGGATCGGCACAACCTTCCCCCGCATCACAGCCGCCGCCCAGACATCCATCCCACTTTCAAGCCCAGATCAACCTCTCACTCCACATGGCAGCTAAGCTGTCCTCACGTTTCCAGATCGCATCAGCGTCGCCTCACAATCGCCCGACATGTTGTACCTCGGCACCCTTTTCTATAGTACGTCCTGCCGGCAGCTGCAATTGCGACCTGGAGATACTAACAAGCCACCAGTTGCCGTCCTCCTCATCAACGCCGTCGCAATCTTGTCCGAGGACCGCTTCCTCGCCCGCCGTACGTCCCTCTCCAACTTCCAACTACCCAGCGCCTTCCCCCCCGCCCCCGAACGACGCCCCTGCCATCAGAGCTCACACTGACGGAACGATCCAGTCAACCTATCTCCATCATCATACGACCCTGCGTTCGGCACCGGTACCGATGCAAGCGTAAAGGCAAAGGTGATCAACCTCATCGGCAGCGTACGGACACTTATGCGCGGTAAGAATTGGCCATCCTGCCATACCGGGTGACCTGTGGACTGACATGGCCAACCACAGCTCCACTGATAATCGCGAATACCTTCATCATACTATATGAGCTGGCCCTGGGGTGATTGCGCGGATTGATGAACTACGGAATGAGACACAAAGCGGGAAGCATGGAGTATGGCGTTATGACACGGGCGCTCACACATCCGTCTGGCGTTGCGACAAGTAGAGTAGCGGCTCGAACACGTTTGGTACCAAATTAGCCACACTGGCCTTCGCTGTTATACATCCTTCAAGAAAGACAGAGTCTAATTATGAAATGCCGGCAGACACGACTTCCATCACAACGCCTCACCGCAAACCGTCCACTCCCGCTTTTCCCCTGATTATCGTTCGTCTCCTCTCAGTAATATGCCCGCTTCTCGCCGTGGTATGCGTGCGTCCGTGCTGCCCGCAAATGCACGGCGCACTGTCAGACTGCTCATAGACCAGAGTACATCGGTCAAAAAAGATGTGGTAAGAATGTGAAAACGCTCCCAGAATGCTGATCTCATGAGCATGTGCATCATTGTAATTATTCAAGCACACGCGCGGAAAGCCGTCGTCATCTCGCTCTCCAGGCGATGCCCAACCCCCTCAGGAGAGCAGATTGCTACTCTTCTTTCTCCCCAACGCACTGCTTAGCCTGCTTCTTTGCTCAGGCGGCGGCGATGAGTCGCCGTTCGCTGTGTCGCTCGTTCCAGGTCGCTCGTGCTTGTCCCCGCGCGAGAACATGCGCTTGGCCATGGATTTGCTGCCTCGCTTATGCCGGTCCAGGAATCCGAACGGACTCGATTCGCCGTTTTCTCGTTTCCGCGCCGACTCCTCGTCTGCTGCCGATCTCTTGCTTGCGGCAATGACCTTTTCATATTCGGCCTGCTCGTTTTGTCGCGCCTGAATCGTCGCCATACGCTCATCGTATTGTCGCTTTTGGTTTGCCTTCTCTTGTTCCTTTTGGCCCTTCTCGGCCTGCTTCATCGCTGCCTTGGCAGCCTTCTCAGCTGCCTCGCGCTCCTTCTTCTCCCGTTTCGCGTCCTCCTTGGATTGCTTCTCCGACCTGGCAGGCTCAGGCTTCTCATGGATGGTGGGGATGACAGCGGACGGCTTTGGGGCGGTAGCCGCGCCATTCGTTTCGATAGCAGGTGACTGGGGCGTTGCAGCTGATGAGATCTCGGGCGTGGTGCTTGCCCGTGTAAGCTCAATGGCCGGCTCAGGGTCGTGAATTGGTCGGATCGGCTGTGTTGTCTGTCTGCGCAGTCCATTCGCCTCGGCCTTCTCCTTCTCCTTTCTCTCGCTTTCCTCAAGGCCTAGGTTTGCAGCCTGGGTGGCCAGCAGTACTTCTTCCAAGCCTTCCTTCTCCTGTTCTTCACGCACTTTGTCGAACGTGGTTTCCTGGTAAAAGAGCACATAGGCTGTCGCCATGCCAGGCTTGTCACCAAAGAAGTTGCGCACAAAGTGCTTGTCTACGGGTTCCACCATCTCATCATCAAACAAGAGCCAGCCGCGGTCCTTGGTCTTGATGATGGAGACGTAATGACCGTGGTAGGCATTGCCGCCAATGTGGACAATGACGGCATACAGTTCGTAAAGCCTGTCGGGGTCCTCAGCCTCCTCAGTCGTGTTGAAGAGGCGGAGGTGGTATGGATAGACTACTCGGTGGAACAGCTTCTGCAGCCGGCTGTAGTCCTCTGTGTATTTGAAGCGCTTCAAGTGCAAAGTGAGTACCTTTGGAAGACGCTTGACCTTCATGCGTTTTTCAGCCTCCTCGAGACCACCACAAGTGTCGCAGTGAAACTTGTTACGCTCACAGAGAACCTCGTCGTCTGAAAATTTGCGCAAGCATGAAGTGACTGACGAATGCTCCTCGAGATCAATGGACAGATCCAGAAATGTCTCGTCACGCTGGGAGCCAGTCCCGCAACACAGACACTGCGTCTCTGAGGTAAGCAGACCCTCGAAGATGTTGTGTACCCAGCCAGTGCCGGGAGATTGCATGCCATTCATCAACCCAGATCCTAACGCATTTTGGACGGAGTCTTTCAGGCTGCTGTCTCCAGGAGCCGCCTCCAATTGCATCTTGCGGGCATTCTCTTCGACATTTGTGATGATGTCGTTCAGGACGAGACCGTAAAATTCGTGCGCATCTTGGTGCATGGAGTTTCGGAACATCTCGTTGTCGCGCTTGAAGATCTCAAGGAAACGCTGGGGGCTGATGACACCGGTCCTTCCTGTGCTGTCCATGAGGGCCAGGAAGATGTCCTTGAGACCTGTGAATGTGTTCTCGTCCATACCATAAGCCTCCTTCCGTTCCTCCGCCAGCTCAAGGATCGGGCCTTTTAGCATGGCCTGCTTTTTCTTGTATTCCGGGGTATCGGGCTTGTCCTCCGGGCGAATTGTCTGCCCCGTGGCTAGAGCACCAGCGTTGATAGCAGCCCTCTGCTTTAGAGTCTGTGATGTACTAAGATTCTTCTTGTTCCCATTCTGCTGGTTGGCGGGTGGCGCCGCAACGGCAGGCGGTCGTATCGTGACATTGACCCGTGGTCTGGTGCCATCGGCAGTGTCTGAAGGCGAGAGAGATGGGTAGTTGACAACATGGTCCCGGAAGACTTCATTGAAGAATAGCGCCTGTACGACGGAGTTGCAATAGCTACGTGATGTCATCAGTATACTCGAGACTCGTTTAAGGGTTTCGCGCGATTTCGTACCAGGTATTACCAAACTGTTGCTAGCGTCAGTCACTGTCATACACTCGGCAATTAAGTTCGCAGCATGTGGTGACTTACGTTCTCGAAGCCATAGAACCTATCACTACCATCCGTCCGGAGAGGTCCAGCGTTCTGCAGCATCTTCTCTAGGGGAGTCACCTCAGGTGAGGGCTCCTCCTTCTTCTTCGCGACCGCATCTTTGGTAGCGGTTGGACTCGGCACCTGTTGCGAAGAAATGATTTGTTAGCAATGTTGGACTTGGCGTGAGAGGCGGACGGGGAGAATGCGACTCTCGGTCGCAATTCCCCGAACGACCCAAGGACGACCTCATGCGCCCGCAGCACAAGGGAAAATCCATACCGAGCTGCTCTTGATTTTGCTGAAGAAGCCTGCCATGCTTTGAGGCCGTGCTGCGGCGGGCGTGCAATCGATCGGGGAGAAGCGCGCGCGACTTTAGTCTTGGGGCATGCGGTTTGGGATGGAGATAATGTCGAGACGCGCAGACAAGGTCCCACAGCGATTTGCCGCGCAAGACTGTCCGCGGTGAAGTGCAGACCTTTCCAAACCGGCCAATGCAAAAGGTGTCGATACAATGAGCGATCGCTCGCCTGTCTCTAGATATGTCCGGGGAGAATGGCGTCGTCAACGGGTTGCGAAGTCTGGGGGCTGGCGGTTGGTAAGCTTGCTCGAGCCGGGGTCGGGGCGGCTAATCACGTAGAGCACGTACGGTACGATAAGTCGCCACGAACTTCCCCGCAAAGTGGAAGAGGCGAGTTCAAGTACGTAGAATATGAATATGTAAAGAGAAAGCAAAGCGTCTGGGCAAGGACATGGAGAGAAGATGAGGCAAAACAGAGAGGAAAGCGGCGAAAGGACAAGAGGCTGGACCGGGACTTGCTGCAGCCAAAGGCGGAGGTGGAAGGGATTGGGGTGAGTGAGGTGATTGACGGGATGGATCCGTCACGGGCAGAGAGCCCAGAGCCAGCGTCAGAATCAGAGGCAGGAGAAGGCCATCAACCAACCACCAGAAGGTTTGGCAGGGGTCGGACCAGGCCTTTTGGGTGGCGGCTACAGGGCCTAGCTCGCTGTGAGCCTCCAGTCCTCAGGTCCAGTCGGCAAGGGACCGCTCCTGCCTCATATTCCAGAACGGAAGATGCAGGTGCGGTGCGTTCTACGTGCTGTGTGCGTGTGGAGACTACTGGAGCGGACAGGCTGACTACTACAGTACGAACTACGAAGAGGCTGCAATACAAACGCCAAGACAGACCACCCCGGAGCCGGACAACATGGACTGTGGAGCCCAATCGTTTGGGATCTGGGTTCTGTATGGCGTGGCTTGCGACTGATGCAAGCATTTGGGGCCGAACTTCCTGGGGGCTTGAGCCGCCTGTCGGAAAGTTCACCACCAGTCCTGGCTTCGTAAAAAAAAGATACCTGGTAAGGTACGACACTTCCAAGTCGTGTTATCCTTCGCCACTTGCAAGGCGAATCGACCGTCTAGGAGGGAAGCAGCGGCTGCATGACTTTGTTTAATGCGCTTGTTCTGTTGTTCAGGTAAGGTCGGCAAATGATGAGTGCTTCAACCCACGGCGCCAAGATCTGTAGAGCGGGGCGTCAAAACCACGCCTACAGTGCGGCGTCGAAACAGGCGGAGCCAACATTTAACTCAGTGACATAGCCAGTCTCCCAGGGCGTTATTACGAGTTCAATGGTTCCGATCAGTTGCACGACTTTATTATGCCGTTATCACTCACTCGACATTGAAAGAAGCCAAATGCAGAGTAACGCAAGGACGCTCCTTTCAGCGTGGGCGGACTCGTACATGTATATTGCAAGGGCCTCCAGTCCCTACTCCGCACTCGTCGGAATACATCCCGACGAACCAGTGCTGGATAACTCTTGAACACGCAAACAAGTACCCAAGTACTCCGTACACAGCACCAGGCGCGGTCCCATCGAACAAGCGTGCTTGAATCGCCGTCGCCGCATAAGTCAGCCGCTAGCCAAAGCGAAATGCAGTGCCTACGCGCTGCTTCCGCGCTATGCCAGCCAGATGTTATCTTCTTCAGTGTGAGCCTGATCGGCTTTGGGTGCCGAAACTCGAGCACTGTGGCTTGTCCTGCAGGTAGAGCATGCACATACACGAACAATAATGGGATGTGGGGGAATTCTGGATTGTTAAGCGTTGTAAGTACGTAGGCTTCACCAACAGCACCACTGTTCGTGAACACGCTGCTATGAGCGCCATAGCAGTGGCTATCTTAGACAGCCCCTCTCAACAAGGCTAAAATAGCCAAAAGGCCGTTTTGGCTTCAACTGGCCGTATCTGCGATTACAAATGTCTCTGCATCGAAGGCGAGAGGTTCGGTTCCCCGCGATGCCAGTGCGTACTACTGTGGGGTTCGTTCTAAATTATGCAACCCGTACCAATCAGGCACATCCTAACCCACGATTCTGGGATCATGCTCTGCGTGACTGCGTCTAGTCGGGCCTTTGTGGCCCTCCTCGATAGACGGATCCTGCCAACGAGACTTTGCGAGTTCATCCACCTGGGCTGCCATGTCACGCACAGCATCTGATCTTACCCAGAAGTTATGGATGTGTGCGTAAAGCAGACCAAGCATGGCTGTGAGCAACGTCATAAGTCTCACAATTCCCCGCAGTGGCTGCAAAGCCCTCTTCCGCTGTGGGCGACTGTTGACGACTTTCGCAGGGCTCGCCAAGCACAGCCCAACAAGTGGATGCTTCAAGTTGAGCCGTGATTACTGTCCGCGGGGAGATACCGGCACTGTGGAAGTTGGGCGTCCCAAGTGCCTCAGATCCACGGGTTATTAGTCCATACGTCAACTTGATACAGATACTGTATGTACATCTGAGCACGTGCGGAATTCTGGTGCGAACGAAGGCGATATGCCAACTTTAGGCGACCATCTTCCCAGTCTCTAAGATAGCGCCGGGTAAGTTGAACCCCTCGAAATCAGGGCTGCACAAGTGTCAGATCAGGCCCCACCCATTTAACATTGCGAGTCATAGAATTCCCTGATGTCAACCGAGCCAACGCTGCCGCATCATCATCCGCCTTAACCCGTGATAGCACACATTATTTATACTGAATCGCAATGGCATCGATAGCAACACAATCTGGCAGCGACGCTGCGGTCACCAGCAGATTCCCCAACTCCAAGTGGTCATTACGGTACCGCGGGGTATGTTTCATGGCCTTCTCATCTACGGCAACCAAGACCACTCGGGCAACTCGAGGCTGACATATCACCAGGCCACTGTAGAAGATCTCGACCCGCCGGCCGCTCTATCGCTCAATCCCTCCGATGCCATCTCTCTGGCCCTTTTGTCCGCATTCGAGCGCGACTACACCCACCTCACAATCGTCGATTCGGAAACGCGCGCTTTACTGGGCTACATCTCGATCCCTCACCTCCAGTCCCTCCTCGACTCTGGCAAGGTGAAGCCCGAAGACCCCCTGAGCGCTGCCATGACCCGATTCCAGCGCAAAGGGCGCAAGTATAGCGTCATCACAATGGACACGGCTCTGGAAGAGTTGGAGGCCTTTTTCAGGGGCAACAAGACCGAGGGCTGGAGTGAGGAATTCGCGGTGGTCACGGATGAGGCAAGACGATTCGTTCTAGGCGTGGCTACTGTGGGCGACTTGGAGCGTTTCGTGGAGAGACGGCCGGCATGACATACCCAGACTGTAGACACTGGTTCTTGCTCAAGTTGTTTGGCGAACATGTAGACTACAAAACGGCTACCGCAGAACTATACCATATGTGTATATCTGTTTGCAATCGTATGTAAATATGCGTGAATGTACGTGTCTAATCCAGGTAATCATAGACCAACCGCACGGCAGCCCTGTCCGAGCCCTTGAGCACGACGATGTTGCGGCAGTATCGTCTCTTGCCGTCTACCACCTGAAAGCCCCAGATCTGCTCGGCCGTCCAGCCGTTGGTCTTGCTCTCGACATAGCTCTGGAGGTACTGGCCGTCACCGCCCTCCTCCCAGCCCTTCTTCAGGTGCTCGTCGGTGACCTCGTCGGCGGTGACCCACCTGGTCTTACCCTGCACCTCGCCAAAGAGCCAGTCCTTGTGTTCACGGAAGGTGTTGTCGAGGCATCGCTTCTCGTGCGTCGAGCTGAGGCCGGAGGCGGATTGCTCAATGTCAATGTGGGTGACAATATCGGTGGATGTCGCGGGCGGGTTGGGCGGTGCCTCGTACTGGTTGACGTCGAGGCTGATGGAAGCGACGCCAATGGCCTTGCGGATGAAAAAGCCAATGCCCTGGAGGACGAGGACGGGCTCAATCGAGTCGGAGAGTTCCTTGTTCTACGCGAGGTGAGTTGGAGTTTTGCCATGCTGTTCCTTGTCCACGCACCAGCTGGTACTTGCCCGTGAGGTTCTTGAGGGTCTTCTCAGGAGGGGCAGCCATGGTGACGGTTGCAAGTATGAATTGGATTTCGGTCGTCTGGCACAAATTATCGATTTGGGGTGTTGCAAAAGATCTAGCCAGGGACTCGTGGTTTTCAAGTACTCCAAAGATCCAGTTGCTTGGAGGTTGGAGAAAGCAAGGCACCTTTAAATCAACAAGCTTCCCACAAGCGCCGCCACTTTACGTGTCAATGCGGGCGCCTCAATGCGACGTGCGCATTCTCATTCAAGGGAAGGCACCTACCGCCGAGGCACGACCTCCTTCCCCCTCAGGTGCCAGTGACCAGCACATATGACGTTCCCTGCCCCGCACCACGAGGCGAACTAGCGTTATAGCTGGCTGTGCTAGAACGTCAACCATGCTTTCTTGGATCGATATAGCTTGACATTGCGCAATACGGTCTGATTGACATGAAGGCAAACATTGTCGCCTGTTGGAGCAAAACGATGCGCTTTGGCAGGTGAAGCCGCGGTATGCCTGTCTCGCGCGTCGGCTTGCTTGGCTATGCATGTGAGACCGATTGGACCTCCACCAGCAGGCGGGAGGAGGGGTTTAGGGGTTGTATTTCCCCAAAGGGCTGGAAGCTCCATGCCCTGTTCTAGTGTTGGTCTCCGGGTTCCACCACCAATTCAGGCTCTGGCGTCGCGAGCCTATTTCCCATTTCAACCGTTCAGCCAGGGGGGGGCCGACTACAGTTTACAGCCAGATCATGGACTCCTGACCGGCCGACAGGGGGTTTCTCCATGTAGCCAGATTGATGTCAGTTGCCTCGGCATTGACAAAGCACGAACAACCTAAGTACAAGGCTACAAGACGATCGCGAGCCGACCAGAGGCCACCCGCGCTCTAAGAGATGTTTTTGAGAGATATTCGCGGTTACGTATTAGGGGCAACGTGACAGTTTCGAACATGTTCGATCCCAATATCCGATGAATTTGATCAGCCTACGCACATGGTCTAACGTCAGTCACTTCCAGGTCCTCTATGGAAATGGGACATGAACTCGAGCGCTTTCAAGAAGAGGTTCTCACGAGCCACAAAAAAGCATGATACACACAAACACTAAGCAACAAGAAATAAGTAAAAGACAAGAGTTTATTATCGATTCAATCTGGGTAAGTCAAGCCTGGATTCGCTCTCCCTGAAACCACTTACCAAAAATGCACCCAACCACCAATCGCGCAACCCTTCCCGTCCGTCAAGTTCGATTGATACGCAATCACGAACACATTAATCCGTGCGTCCTCTAGGGCTGCCAGAGTCTACGCGGATAGCGTTCCTTCGGCGAATACCTTGCGCGGCTAGAGTCTCCCTTCGATCAAGAGATGGTCTGCCAGGTGGACGGTTGCTGGTGGAAGCAGGCACCGTCTGCTGTCGACGGACAGCGCCGCCAGGAACTCGCTCCACCTCATTGCGAGAGTTTGACACACCTGGACGGCCAACTGTGGTTCGCGCCTGAGGAGACGTTCTACAATGGGCACGCTGAGGAATGGTCAGCTTACGCGCAAACAAATGCTGAACGACTGGCTCACTGGGGAAGTATGAGGCGACAAACTCTTCATCGGTCCGGTTGGTCATGCCAGCCTCCTCCAACATGTCCAGCTCTTCCCTCGTTGCATAGATGATATGTACTTTGTGGGGCTCGCGCTGGATGTAGGGATTTGGGTACTGGTACAACCGCTTGTCCGGACCTATGTGCCAGTCACCGGCCAGCACACGATCATGGCCCTGACGCTGGGCATGCATCCTGCGCCGAGCATCGATTTGCGATTTGACAGACTCCCAACGGTCTCCCTTCTTCAGGCGCTTGACCGCCTCTGCAGCAATATCCATTTCATGAGAATCCAGTGGAGTCTCGACTTGGACTGGCTCCTCTTCAGCGGACTTGGTACGCTGGAGCCAGGTTTTAACTTTTCCTGTGAGAGACGGCATGACTGTTGCTGTAGGTTGTCTGGGGATAAATATCGGTGAGTCTAGAGTTCGCAACTGATCTTTGCTTGGCTTTCAAGGAGAGATCAATTGCGCTGTACTTAGAGCGAATTGTGATGTTGAGGGAGAGAGAAATTTTCCCTGATGCGAGAAGATGCTTGTTATTTTATGCGCACGCCAAAAGCTACATGTTTTGGTTTCGCATCACTCAAGTCCGTGTTGGCGGAGTTCTCGAAGGTTTGGCTGTGTTCTTTGTTGATTTCAGGGGAACAATGAGTGCAGCCGGCGGATGATAGTCGTGTCCAGGGAATCAAGTGTTTGGATCGATGAACAGACTGCGTCGCTCACACCAATAATGAAACGTACAGATTCGACGAAACATGAACTGTACATTGACTTCAGAACTCCCGAAACACGTTGGCAGATGCTCGAGAAGCAAGGCGAGAGGTGTTCTGTTCGAAGAACCACCCTGAAGTCCGAATGAGTTGTCGAACTATAGTCCTTGTTCCGCATTGGATAGCGCATTCTTCGCTAAAACTCGATACTAGTACGGCGACCAAGCTGACTGGTTTCAGGAACAGTGGCTTGCCTCGACGGACAGTTCCCTCTGTGCTCGTGCCATGGGCCTTCACTGGTTATATAACATACCCCTCAGCTCTCGGATCTCTGGATTCATTTCCTCTCTCTTTTTCATTGCATAAACTCATAACCTCACAAATCGACACAGACTTCGAAGCTCTTGCAGTGCAACTTACTGCTTTTGCTTTAGAGTTGCCTACGCGGGACAGCACTGCACCACACGAAACCGGCCCATACAACTGCCAACATGTGTCGCACTCGTTACATTTACGAGTGTGGGCACGGACGGGAAGAGAAGAACGATTCTTGTGGACTTGACACCATATGGCGCAAGACCCTTCTTTCACAAAAGCGCCACAAGATCACAAAGGTCCGAAAGGACCGCCTTTGCCGGGCCTGTCGGTCCAACACGGATGATAAAACAGCAAATAAGGCTAGCAAGACGGCAAAGAAACATCGCGAAGACCATCACAAGCGGCGTGACACCGGAGAAGAAAGGAACCGGGAGGGTAAGAAGAAGAACCCCAATATTCGCCCCCCCGTCGAGGAGCGCCATCGGACGCCTCCCGTCACACCCGTGCCTGTTGACGATGGCTATCGCAGCAGGCACATTTCAGGCCAGTCTGGACGCTCGCAAAAGTCTCGTCGCCGCATGAAAGAGGATGCCTCGGAGCGACAGTATGAACATACCCACGACGAAGACCCGTGGGACATCCCTCGTCCCTCAGCCCCTGGCCCCTACACCGAGCGCGTGGAGGAGTGGGTGTACAGCACTGAGGTCCCCTCTACTGTTGGCTTCGTCGGTTCTACCGCAGCCAACGTTCTGGATGAATCGACTGGCAAGATATATGGCGAGGAAAAGGAGCAGGAGCCCTTTCTCCCGGGCCGCGCATACTGGCCCAAACCTCAACGACAATCCAGCCCTCTGTGTCCCACTGAGGGGCCCGTCAACGTTTGTCCCCGCCCTGCAAGCTCTGTCTACTCTGCGCACCCCGGCTTCCGAAGGAGTGCCGAAGACAGTCTCATCAATGACCCAGGCAGATACGACGATGGCCAAAGTGCCATGGGCACGATCTGGGAGACAGAGTATGGCGTTGACACCGATGGCGAGGCACCTCCCATGCCCTCCATGCCACCTGAGCTTGTTGACCCTTGCGACTCGAGCAACCCGAGCCAGAATGATCCTTTCTACTTTGACTTGAAATCACTCGTGGGATCGGAGACTGCTGATCGCGTCCTAGACGACGAGATGGAGGATGATCAATGGCCCACGGCCGACAACCCATGGCCTGAGCCGCTTGTCATTCCTGCTGACCGCCGTTCCATGACCACCAGCACCGAGATCGGATACTTGCGCGACCTCCGCATCGAGCACAACCGCAAGATGAAGAACTACATTCCGCCAGAGGAACGCGCCCGCATGGAGCGCGAGAACTCTCGCAAAATGGAGCAGATCAAGGAGGAGTGGCGTGCAAACGCAAGGCGGGTTTCGAACGAGACAGAGATCACAGCCCCAACCGATGGTAAATCATCATCTCGCTCCATGACAGACGGAACTGCGCCGACCTCATATAACACAACGCCTGTGAAGAGGAATAGAGCTACAGCCACGCAGGCAAACCCAAACTACCCTCGTAAGTTCAACTTGGCAGGCGCTCTGAATGACCCTCACTACCACGGGCGCATGAATCCTGGTATTAACCCCACGCCTTCGAGCTGTGGCTCCCAGGTCTACTTGCATCCCCGAAGCCCGCCCGCCGTCCCTCAAGCACCCATTCCAGAGGCGCAGAAGCAGAAGCAGGAATGCAGAACGACAGTGGAGACAACTTGGTCGCAGATTCTCCCGCGCGATCCCAAGTATGATCTTGGGGCAGCGCGAGGGCCGCTCCCCATGGTGCGTCCGAAGGATATTCGACGATATGAGCGCGAGGAGACGGCGAAGAAGAAGGCCGTGAAGGCCGAGGCCAAGAAGAAGGGCAAAAATGACAAGAAGCCCGCCGTCTTTGGCCAGGGCTTCCTCACTGCTCTCGGCATGAGCCGCCATGAGCCCTCCCTCGAGTCCTTTGCTTGCGCAGAAGCCACTCGACATGACTCACTGCACAGCCAGAGCACCCAGCGCTCTCACAAGTCTGGCCGGTCCAGCAAGAAATCGCACAAGTCCTCTCACGGCAACAAGAGGCGCTGAACAGCGCTCACACAGACATGGTAAGTGGAGCCCCGATTCGACACGCACTGACTTTTGCTAACAAGTTTCCTTTTGTTTTTTGCTTTACAATTTTGCTTGACTTTTCTCGATGGAACGAATATAGAAACAGAAACAACATAAATCAGCCATATCGCTAGCGCGTAATCACACATGCTTGCCCCCAACCTCGAGCTCATCTTACATGTGACGTCCTATCTTCCAACACGACTTGCTCTCCGACGATAGGTGGCATGCGATGCCAAGCTATTCTCTTCCAATTGTCCTTTAAAATTTGATGCGGAAGCCAATGGCCCTCGTGAACGGCACCGCATGGCACGATGGTGTGGTACGCGGTGATTTGCAGCTTCCCACACATCACCAATCTGGGAGGCCCCAGTGATGCTTGCTCACTGGGCCTTGCCGTTCTTCTGCTCCGTCCTGAACTTGACAAGCTCGGCCTGGACTTGCTTCTGCACTCGGGCCTGCAGCTCAGGCCTATATCCGAAGAAGAATAGGATCTCCAGCCACACGAACATGGGCGCCAGGAACAGCGCTTGGATGAGATTGTCCACCAACGCAGGTGCTCGCTTCTCGAACGCGCCGTGGCCCACAAACTGTGCGACCCAGCAGAAGACGTGCACCGCAATGGCCGCCTTGAGCGTCACGTCGGGGCACTGCGCGCGCCAGTAATTTGAAGCGGCAGCGGCAGAAAGGCATATGGCCGCGAGTGTGAAGCCGGCCACGGGCTCCAGCAGAAGATAGAGCGCTGCATAAGCTGTGGCACCAATGGTCCCGAGGTTGAGTGGGAGGTTCGGGACGGTGAGCCAAGAGGGTGTTGGGATAATGGTTCCTGAATATGATGCCTTGGGGACTATCAGAAGTGAGGCCATAGTAGAGGAGTGTGGTGGTATCGTACCAAGGTGAAGCCTGAGAAGAGAATCATAGGCACGCAGAAGATGTGGATGGCCACATTGACCTTGTTGTGGTGATAGGAGCCGTACTGCGTCATTAGTCAACGCACGCTGGGGGGATGCCGTGGTCCCTTGAGCTTACAAAGACTAGTTGACGCTCGAGGTCGAGCGACATGATGAGAGATGAGAGATGGGTGTGCGTAGTATGAGTTCGAGCTTAGCGAGGCCTAACCTAGCCTAAGTAGCTATCCCACGCCCACCCAGACTGAACAGCTTTTATGAAGGCAGCTTGACACGTGTCGTACGCGTGACCATTCAAAAAGTAGAGGCGATGGACCAAGCTGTCGCAAACCCGTAGCTGTGCCTGATGCCGATGTGCAGAATGACCGCTGGCTGCGAGAACAGTGAAGCAACTGACAATGAAAGCAAGTGAAGAGGGACGGGGAGGAAATGGAGCTGCCACTCCGGGTTCGACGGGGAGGTGTCTATCTCATGAGGCGCAGCCAATCAGGGACCTCGGGATCGGGGGTTTCAACTTTTCCAATGGGATTGGGCTCGGCAAGCTTGCGGTCGACGTGGGGCCCAACAGTTTGACTTTGGGCAGACAGAGGAAGCTAAGCAGCCTGGAGACCGGGTTGTCATCATGTGCGATTTGGGATTGAGTGCGTCTAACAGAACGCAGTATTGACTTTGCATCAAGGTGATCTCTTTGTCAAGCCTTCGCAACACTATCAGTCGTGCCATAACACACGTCACGCGACACTATAAACCCAATGGAAAAGGCAGGAAGCTATCAGCATGCTACTTCAACTGATTTGGAAGACCATCATTGTACGGATGCAGAAGGCCAGGTATCACGAGGAGGTAATCTTGCATCTCGCACGGCACGCCGCTCATACCTTCATTCTATTAACCAGTACTTTCATTCGATATTGGCGGATCATCAAGCGTCGGAACTAGCCGTGCATGCGTGAGTTTGTTCTCGTTGGACAGTGGTAAAAGGTACGTACCATACATTTCACACTTGACCCAGGCCTGCGCACGGACCCCCACACTCACAACGAGGTGCTCCGTGGATTTCTGCCCACCGCGCGCGCGCTCGCGCCAACCATTTTCAACTTGTTCACCGGTGCTTCGACCACGCAGGCCACCCGTCCCCTTGTTCACTGGTCTGTCTAGCTCATTGTCGCCTTTGTATTCTTTCGCAGAGTTCAAGGCTGAAGGAGCTCTTGGCCGACAGCTTCTTCTGTTGGGGGGAGAGCTGAGGCGCCGCGTCCCCGAGAGAGAACGTCCACTCCAGCGCAATCACCATCACTCTCGCCGTGCGACCATTGTTGCAAACCACTGACCGAAAGACCGGCTCTCGACAACCTGCGCGCCCGGTTTACGCTCTTGACGACCTTTGCGCGGCCGGCTGCGCCATCCTCATCAAGCGAACCCCTCCGAACGTTACGCTGAGCTTCACCGACAGCCACCGCCCATCATGTTCTTCCTACGCAACATGGAGCGGCGCGTGACCCTCCACCCATCCTTCTTCTGCAAGGACGCCCACGATCTTGTTATTGACAATCTCCTCCGCGATGTGGAGGGATCTTGCTCTGGTAACTACTACATCATCTCCATTATGGACACGTTCGACATCTCAGAAGGGCGCATCCTCCCCGGAACTGGCATGGCCGAGTTCACTGTCGGGTATCGCGCTGTGGTCTGGCGGCCATTCAAGGGCGAGACGGTCGACGGCATTGTCGTCTCGGTGAACCCCCAGGGCTTCTTTGCCCAGGTTGGCCCTTTGAAGCTGTTTGTCTCGAGTCACTTGATCCCCGACGACATCAGGTGGGACCCGAACGCCACGCCGGCGCAGTTCACCAACAACGAGGATATCAACATCACCCCTGGGTCGTCGGTACGGGTCAAAATTCTGGGCACGCGAAGCGAGGTGGGCGAGATGTGGGCTATTGGCAGCATCAAGGAGGACTACCTGGGGTATGAGGCCCCGGTGGCTGAACGTATTGTGACCAAGCTAACTCGATTTCTAGTGCTCTGCAAGACGCGAGCGAAACGTTTGGAGGAGCCGCGTTGGATGAGGACTGAGCGGTATGCTGAGGCTGATTTGCGGCTCCCTAAAAGAGAATTGTGGCGCGCCCCATGCTGGAAGAATGCTAAGGTACGGAGCCGCGAGACCTTGGGGGCTGAGCGCTGGCCTAGATGTTGGGTCGGGACGAGACTACAGCTGCGGTTTCATTGCCTGTTCTGCTGCTCTCTACTGAATGACCCACGGGGTGGGTGGCATCGGAATTCTGACCGTCACATAGACTGCTAGACTTTGCACGCAAGCTGATGCACGAGAATTGGATAATACACCATCTCAAGTGCAAGATTCTGCATTGCGGCTGCTGGTCATCGCGCTGTGCATACCCATAGCCTGTCCCAATCTGCGAGGTTACGGTCAAATGCATGGATATACCAGCTTGACGAATGGTAGTGTACCAATGCGCACACACTGGTGTCCAACGAGATCCTCCAATACCTTATGACAATTGGGCAAATGCAAGCAGCGTCGGATTGTCCAATACGCGCCTGAGACCAGCTGCAGCCTACCATACCTTAGGGACCGTGGCGTTTCCCTCTGGCGTACCGCAAGCGCCCTAATGCTTCGGATGCTTCGTTGACCTGACATTAATAGCCTCGCGCCGTACGTTGTTCCGTCCAAATATCTTCATGAATCTCGCCTCATTGCTGCGCTTGACTTCCTACAATAACCGGCCCGGCATTGGCGCGACCCCCGATCTCGCTGCGCCCTCCCCCGCAACTAACCTTATTACCCACATACGCTCCGTCGAGTCCACTGACACGGCCACTTGCTCACTCGAGCTTCATAAGGGGAATGATACGTTCTCCCATGCGCTCGCCTTTGCTTTCCTCCTTATTCAAGTCCATCGCGCATACTTATACCTTTCCCAGACCCTTGTCCTCCTCTGCCGTCAATATGCAGGCTGCTAGTAGGATCCGGACAGCCCTGAATGAGGGCCGTCCCTCGTTCGGCATGTGGCAAATGATTCCTGGTGCGAACGTGTCACGGCTACTGGCAAGAACAGGCGTGGACTGGGTGTGCGTGGACTGCGAACATGGAAACATTGATGGTCTGTTTAGGCCTCTCCCCAAATGCCCTTTCCGGCGCGGTGAACTCAATGGCTGACGTGAACAGACGGGGCCATGCATGACGCTGTCCCTGCCATTGCTGCCACGGGCGCTTCGCCCATTGTACGCATCCCTGATATGCAGGGCTGGATGGTGAAGCGCGCCCTTGATTGCGGCGCACATGGCGTACGTAGTTGCAAGCCCACCCTGCCGCACATTGTGCTCACAAGTTCCCAGGTTATTGTGCCCATGCTGCGATCCGCAGAGCAGGCCCGTCAGCTCGTCAAAGACGCCAAATTCCCACCCTTGGGTGTCCGGGGCTTCGGATCTCCCCTGTCCATGGAGCGGTTCAGCCCGGCGCCCACGTTCACCGAGTACCTCCAGCAAGCCAATTCCACCCTTGTGACGATTGTCCAGATTGAGACGCAAGAGGCCATCGACTCTATCGAAGAGATTGCCGCCGTCGATGGCATCGACGTTCTCTTCATCGGACCCTTTGACCTTGGCAACAGCATTGGCCATCCCATCCTGGACGGGGTCGTGAAGCAGGAGCTCAAGGACGCCATGGCCAAGATCCTCAAGGCCAGCCATGACAATGGGAAAAAGTGTGGCGTATTCTCCGTGACCGGGGAACAGGCCAAGGCGTTTGCGGAGCAGGGTTTTGACATGATCGCTGCGGCGACCGACTACACTGTGCTGGACTTCAGTTTGAGGAGCCAATTGAGCGTCGCGCAGTCGGCCGCTCCGCCGCAGCCAGGGAAAAGCTACTAATAGATCAAATTTTCTGTTCGGCTACGTCCATCTTGGCCTCCACCTCGGCGGGCGTGAAGCGATGCATGAGCTTGATGGCCTTGGAGGCTGTAGATACGTCTTCAGGGGGTGCCTCTGATCTGCTGATGTGAATCTGTGCATGCCCATGTTAGAAACGATCATCCACGTGCTCCCAGTGTTCGAGTTTCGCTCACCACAGGCACGTCAAAATCATAAAGATCCCTCCATTTTGACCCTTGCGCATCGACGTTCTCTTCCGCATATGCAAAGGGGCGTCTGTCCCACACCTGCGAGAGGTTTGCCTTTCCTTGATCGCAGAGACCGCAGCCGGGACGCGTGAACAGCGTTACGCGGGTTGCAAACGGTTGGAAAAGACGGCGCGTGGCGAACATGGTTGCTGAAATGTAGACAGAGTGTTCGTCCACTGCTTCCTGATTCCCAAAGAGACAGGAACACCGATCTGGACGCGTTTTCAAAACGGTAAGCGGTGAGCTCGGACTGGCTGGGCGCCCCATCCTTTTCTGTCGTCATGCCCTTTCTTGCCCGTTCGAGCATTTGGAGATTCTAGAAGATCCCACCCCACTATCACAGTCTCTTGAATTGATTCTGCGAAGCAAAACAATCTTCTGGGTATCTTTTTTTTACATTCTGTGTGATCACTAGGACCAATTTAAATCGCGCAATGGCAGCAAAGTGTGTTCATCAGGGCTGCGGCAAGCTCTTTACCGACCCCAGCGAGCCATGTGTCTATCACCCTGGCCCTCCAGAGTTCCACGAGGGGCAGAAGGGTATGCTATCAAGGTCATAATGCCACAGAGTGGAAACTAACACCGAACAGGCTGGAAGTGTTGCAAGACTCGCGTCCTTACCTTTGACGAATTCCTCGCGATTCCACCCTGCACAACCGGCACGCATTCGGCCACAGATAAGCCCCCTCAGCTCGAGGAATCGAAGCCCACGGCCGAAGAGAGCGAGGCCCTTGACCGCAAGATTGCCGCCGCGAACGCGTCCAAGGAGAAAGAGCCCGGTCGAGCTCCAATCGCTCAGCCCACGCAAGACACGGCCGCCCCGCCACCGCCGCCAGAAGAGTCCGAGAGCGACGACCCATCGTTGGAGATCCCAGATGGGAAAGAGTGTAGGCGAAAAGCCTGCCATGCCAAGTACAAGAAGGGCGGCGCGCGCGAGGGCGAGAAATGCGTGCACCACCCTGGCATACCAATCTTTCACGAGGGCAGCAAGGGCTACTCGTGCTGCAAGCGACGAGTTCTCGAGTTTGATCAGTTCCTCAAGATCGAGGGCTGCACCACCAAGAACAAGCATCTTTTCGTTGGCAGTGGCAAGAAGGACAAGGGTGACGCTTCTGGGGAGGAGATATTGACAACCGTCAGGTACGTTGGCTCCGTCTGGCCCTCAAACGCTGCTAGAGACGTTATGCTCACGAAGGACATAGGCACGATTACTACCAGACCGCCTCGACGGTTATTGCTTCGATCTTCTTAAAGAAAGTTGTCAAGGATACAGCAAAGATTGACTTCAAGGAACGCTCGATAGATCTCGACCTCGTCACAAGCGACAGCCCACCGAAGCGATTGAAGCAGGAATTCCCGCTCTTTGGGCCGATTGATACCGAGAAATCAACGGCCAAGGTCATGGGCACAAAGGTCGAGCTGACATTGCACAAGGCCGACGGTGCGCCATGGCCTGTGTTGAGAAGCGATGAGGCGTTAACAGGCGAGATCCTGCAAATCGGCAAGGCGGGCCGTGCTTGATACAGCCTTGCCATGTTCACGAAAGTTACGACGTAATTAGACAGAGATGCTGACGACATGGAGTTGGGTGGGTGTAGCATGTAGAGGGACGCAAAATGCAGCGAGGTGTGTGTTCCAGGGATCCAGCATGACGAACTGTGTGATAAGCTTAATTTCAGCGTGTTATTAGTACAGAACTCGTGCTTGTCGAATCAGCTTGACCTTGTTCTTGGATGACACTGCGTACCTCTTATCAGCCTGCTAGGCTACGGTAAAGCAGCAGCGGGGGTCAGCCCCAAGAGTCAGGACGGGAGCAAGATTGCTAGCCAGTGCTCACGACCTACTTGGTACTATTTTTTCTAAGGGGCAGCTATCAAGTACTGACTAACATTACTGAGCGGTGCCGGAGACCTGCCGCTTTACCACAGACGAAAGCGTATCAGCTGCAGCTGCGATAGACAACGTCGTCGATCGTACAAATATCCACATGGGGAACGACAGTTTGGCATTGGCAAATACGGCTACGTAAACGCGCCTCGTCCTCACTGGCTGCGCGCGACACGGAGTGACGTGCGCTACCCACGCCCAGACATGGCGCTAAGATAAGCCTGCCTAGCGGCTGTTAGTCTTATCAATGAGATAAAGTCGCGGGATGATGCGATATAAGTCTAATTACATCGCCCATCATACGTTTGCGTTGTATACCGTCCATACCAAATCTCCATCTCCCTAGTCTACAGAAAGAACGCGGCGATCATGACTGCAGAAGTTTCGCACGGCCGCGGTGGCGCCGGCAACATCAACTACGACGACACCAAGTACGTCGATGGCTCCATTGTTCGTGCCGGACAGGAAGGAAGCCACGGCGATGGCGCGTACAGCGCTGGACGTGGTGGTGAGTGTCTACTCCTGCGCGCTGCGAAGTCTCTCTCGAAACAAGTGATCATACCATCAGTCAAGAGCCTTGGCTAACGGATCAGGTGCCGGCAACATTGGCGACGTTGGTACCCCGACAACTGGACACCGCACCGACACCGACCTTGTCCCGGAACAGGCTCAGCTCCCCCCCTCCAAAATCGGCGACCACCACACTGGCCGTGGAGGCGCAGGAAACGAGGAACGCGTTGGCACGCCTCCTGTCGAGGAGAAGAAGGACTCGCCCGTGGGCCTGGCCGACAAGTTGAAGCAGAAGCTCTTTAAGAAGAAATGAGTCCAGGGAAGGTTGCTCGTGGTTGAGGTGGGGGTTCCGTTCTGCTCATAAATCATGATATCCTCAGAGTTTCTACTGTATTTCATCTAATTACAGAATATACCGCATGAGAAACCTTTGTCACTTGGGTACATTCCCCTCAGTTGGCGATCTATCGCATCATGTGAAAGAGCGACATAAAGCAATCTAGATTACACGGCGCTCTTAATCAGTGTCGACGGCGCGATAACGGTTTCGCTCAAACACCGAGGCTTGCCCCTGCTGCTATTAATCTACCGCATCCGAACCTTCGAAAATGCCACTATGCAGTGCTTGTGGTCTGCCGATTGACCCCCCCCCCCCCTTCTGTTGATCACAGCATTGTCCATCATCCAATGTTGGGCTGAGTCCTGACCCACCCCCATACTGCCCCTCCCGCCGCCGTTATGGAGTATGGAGATCCCCATCCAGATTCTGTGCGTATCCGTAGGTAGGCTCGCCTACCGTACATACACAGTTGAAGCGTAGTACACATGCAGTTTTGTGCCATTGTGCCGTGACGAACACGTGGACAGCTACGCTTCACTAGCCCCCAGGCTCAAAGCACCCTGACGTTAACACTGGTGTGAGCATGCATGCAGCCTCCACTTGCGTGGCAACATGCGGATAATACTGCAGCTATTGCATCGTGACATGCCCGCTGAACAACGAATGGCAGCGGCTCTCCTGGCGTGTGAGAAACTTCGAGATGGCCTACCTGCAGGTGCGCCATTGGACTGCCGGGAGGAGCCGCAAAGCACACGAGGATATATAGTCTGGAGGTGCCGCCATGTCTTCGTGTTCCATCGCCGTGATGGTTCAGGATTTCTACCACTTCTCTGCGTTGGTGCCTTTCCGCTTGGCAAGCGGTAATCATACGCTCTCGTTAACCCGCAAGTTCACACGGCTCGCTCTAGCCCACGAACGCGCTAGCTTCACCGTTACGAGGTGGATTGCGTGTCTTGCCCGACGCTGAGACACTCTGGCTGTCCCATCAGTTGACACAGTGGTCCTGAAGGAAAGGGGATGCGGTCGGTGCATGTATCGAGTCAATTGATGCTCCGTTCATCACATTACACATGACCATTTTGGAGCTTGCGAGTGACTTGGAGCTGTCCACTCATTCACTCCACAGGCGCCACAGTTTAGCCAATCAGAGCTGCACCACCAGGCTCGGCCACCGCCAGCACTGTGTGCCTACTCCGTCAGAGCCATGAACCTCGCGCCACCTCGCCCTGCGCTCAGCGGGAACAGGCACTGGTCTGGCCTCTCTATCCTCTCGAAACGGTCATTTCACTCCTTTGCGACATCGTCGTTTCACGCAGACGACGAGAGATCATCCTCTGACGAAGACGACGACGACGACGACATGGAGTCGCGCAGCAGCGACGACGGCAGGGCGCCCAGAGCGTTCTACGCTGGCTACGATGGACGGCCGACAAGTCGCAAAGAGTTGATGGGATGGTATATGTATGCTTTTGCAGCGGAAACATATGTCATTTGCGGGATTGGTAGGTTGACATTCTGAGCAGCCATGGAGTCGTGAGACCTGACGATTACAGGCGCCTTCATCCCCATCCTCCTCGAGAGCCTCGCCCGAGAGAATGGCGTCTTACTGGATCACCCCGACCAACCGTGCGGCACCTCCGACAGCAAGAACAAGGATACTGACGGGCAATGCGTCGTGTACGTACTGGGCATCCCCATCAACACGGCCAGCTTCGCCATGTACACCTTCTCTGTCAGTGTGCTTGTCCAAGCGCTCCTCGTCGTCAGCATCAGCTGCGCGGCTGACCATGGCAACTACCGCAAGAAGCTGCTGCTTGCGTTTGCCTGGCTCGGGAGCTCGGCAGTCATGGCGTACATATTCATCACCAAGGAGACATACATACTCGGCGCCCTGTTGACGATTATATCGAATACGTCCTTTGGCGCTTCGTTTGTTCTGCTCAACAGCTTCTTGCCATTGTTGGTGAGGAATCATCCAGACGTCATCGAAGCCAACAAGTCCATCACGCTAGCCCCTGCGACAGGCGACTTGGAGTCGAGGCCACTGAACGATTCAACAGGCGACGACCTGAGTTCGGAATCGCCCTTGCTTGATGACGGGGAGATGCTTCGCCCATCCGAGTCAAAATTGAGTGGGAAAGCATCACCAAAGGAGATCCTGTCGAAGGAGCTGGAGCTCTCGACGGAAATGTCCTCCAAAGGCATTGGTGTAGGCTACAGTGCAGCCCTGTTTCTGTTATGCGTCTCGATCGCCATACTCCTCTTCTTGAATAACACGACCTGGGCGCAGCGGGTTGTCCTGTTCATCGTTGGTCTCTGGTGGGCTATTTTTACCATCCCGGCCGCCCTGTGGCTTCGGCCCCGTCCAGGCCCCCCGTTGACCGCGGGCAGCAAGGGGCGTCTGGCTGGTTTCTCCTATCTTGTCTACGCGTGGAAGAGTCTCTTCCGTACGGCTTTGCTCGCGAGACAGCTGAAGGACATCTTGTTCTTCTTGGCGGGTTGGTTCTTACTATCCGATGCGATTGCGACGACCTCGGGCACGGCCATCCTCTTCGCCAAGACGACCTTGCACATGAAACCTTGGGCTTTGGGCATGATTAACGTCATCACCACCTGCTGCGGCATCTTTGGTGCCCTGGGGTGGTCGTGGGTATCACGACTGCTCCGCCTGCAGCCCCATCAGACGATCCTCGTCTGCATCGCCTTGTTTGAGCTGATCCCAATCTATGGTCTCATCGGGTATCTTCCATTCGTTCAATCTTGGGGTGTTTTTGGACTCCAGCAGCCCTGGGAGATGTACCCCCTGGCAGCTGTGTATGGGCTGGTACTGGGTGGCCTGGGTGCGTACTGTCGTTCGCTCTACGGCGAACTCATCCCTCCTGGTTCGGAGGCTGCCTTCTACGCTCTCTACGCCATTACCGACAAAGGCTCGAGTATATTTGGACCGTCGATTGTCGGTGTCATCATCGACAAGACTGGGGGAATACGCCCCGCGTTCTGGTTCCTTGCCGCGTTAGTCGGACTACCAGCACCATTGATCTACATGATTGATGTTGAGAGGGGCAAAAAGGAGGGCGCCAAGCTGGCGAAGCAGATCGTTGGCGCTGATATTGAGGAGCGTGAGGATGCCAACGCGCACGAAGAGGAGGCTCATACCCTGTTGGCGAACCAAGAGATGGAGTAGTCTGGTGGCAGACAGTTTTGGAAGAGCGCTTCTCGATATCCTATCACTTTTAGCGAGGCGTTCCGGTTTAGTATAATACGTAATAGAGACCTTTGCGGTCCTCTTTCACTTCACTAATCATACCTCATTGCGTGTTGAGATGGTGTCCAAAATTGTCCTGGATCGGATCGGATTCGGAGGTGGCATGATGGACCTCCGGTGGGGGCGCTGCGGCCGCGAACTTCAAGTGGGGTCCTGCTGACCCCGCTGTATCCCCCCGTAGACTGAGGCAAGCTCCGCCATCAACAACCATCGCCAACTCTTGTTGCCCATTGACTTGTTCATTGACCTCCATAATGGCTGCCGTCGACCCCTTTGACTCGGCACTGTAAGCTTCTTCAGATCTAACCTCGATTCGCCACCCATCTGACTTTCTCACAGCGACCTGCTCCGACGTTTGACGCCGAAACACGTTGCGACCCATATCAACTCGATCATCTCCATCGCTCCCGATCTGACAGAAGACCTTCTGGCCTCCGTCGACCAGCCTCTGACTATCAAAAGATGTCGTGACTCGGGGAGGGAGTATCTCCTTTGCGACTACAACCGCGACGGCGACTCATACCGCTCGCCCTGGAGCAACAAGTTCGACCCACCCCTCGACGTGGGCGGTCTGGGCGGCGTGAACGAGGGTGCGGGCGAGGGCGCTGTCCCGAGTGAGCGCGTGCGCAAAATGGAGATCAAGGCCAACGAGGCCTTCGACATTTACCGCGAGCTGTACTATGAGGGTGGCGTCAGCAGCGTCTACTTCTGGAACTTGGATGATGGCTTCGCCGGTGTTGTGCTCCTCAAGAAGTGTAGGTCATGGCTTTTTTTTTCTCAGCGAGTATCTGCACACACAGCTAACGCAACCAGCGTCGACGCCAGGAGGCAACAGCGAAGGTGTCTGGGATTCCATCCACGTCTTCGAGGCCATTGAACGTGGCCGCACGACACACTACAAGCTCACATCGACTGTGATCCTCAATCTCTCCAGCTCCGCCGACCTCGGCGAACTCGACCTGAGCGGCAACATGACCAGGCAGCTGGAGCAGGATCTCCCTGTGGATAATGACGACAGCCACATTGCCAACGTCGGCCGGCTGGTGGAGGACATGGAGCTGAAGATGAGGAACCTGCTGCAGGAGGTGTACTTTGGCAAGGCGAGGGATGTTGTGGGCGACTTGCGCAGCATTGGGAGTCTGTCCGAGGGTACTAGGGCCAGGGATCAGCAGCGCGAGGTTATTGGGGGCCTTGGGCGGTAGGTGGTAAGCCAGTGTGATCTAGAGCGCATCCTCGGCGGAATGTCATTTTTTGTTTTTTCATATTGTGCGACCAGAACCGTGCCACAGAGATGCCAGGGGTCTCTTAGGCGGGAGATGATTCCTCGAGGGAGCATTCTAGACTGGAGCGCCGCTGGGTTTGCAATACCCTAGACTGGTAAAAGAGGTGTGCTTTTCGATGCCCAGATTCATATGGATACGCCCAATACAGGTAAGCAAAGACCGCAATATAACTATAGCACCTACGATTTGGTAGTCTCCTACCGACTGACAGAAGCTGGACCAGGAATACAGGGTACTTCCCCGGGCCACGTATTCCACCATGCGCAACCCAAGACAACGGCAGCTCGCTTTGTCCAACACGCAGACACCACCGAATGTAACGCGTCGAGTGATAGCGAAAAGCAAACCACACTCGGTTAATAACAATGACATACAGTACCTGCACTTCCGACACAGACTGGGCAAATTATTGGTTGTCAGACATGCATCTCGTGTTGATGCAAATAAGGCTGAGGGCGAAAGCTTGGGACACGGCACGAATGGTGGTGTCGGTTAACTAACATGCATGCAGCCACGTCAGGGGTTATAAAAATAAAGATTAGTGACTGTTGACAGTACGTACGTAGCCCCCGACCAGGGAAAGAATTATTGAAAAGGAACGTCTTCTTGTGGGGGAACCACTTCGAGTGACATCTGCAGGCCGGGTTGGGAGCATCTCGAATTTCAAGAACTCAGACAAGCTGCGGTGCTTTTTTTGCGTTCTTGGCTCTCTCAACCTCAGCCAGCCGCGGCGGCAGGTCTCATGCAGGTTTCCCAAGATGAACGCGCTATTATCGCATCGCTGCACCGTCTCTGATGGGAACCTGAGAAGTCTGCGAGCAGCCTTGTCTGGCCCTGGCGTCCTGAGTGTGGAGCCTCAAGCGACTATAGGCTGGCGAGTTAAATTGGACAAGTGGGAGGTGGGAAAAAGGCTTGCGGGATGCTCTTCTATTACTATGTGCAATCCAGCCTCCTGGAGGGGCATCCATGACTCGTCTTTAGATGCTGCAGGTTCGGGTGCCTGATGAATCGCACGACGGAAGCCTCTTTTCTTTGGCATCAAAGCAAGTCCGGCGCACGAAGCCTGCGCAGGTACACGTCCAGGCAGGAAGCACCTTCTTACGCATTGGCCAAGAGTACCTCAGGCGGCGACCTCAACGATATTATATCTACTGTGGCAGTTCGGTCAATGTCAAGCTGTACTACTACTCCGTATGTGGCCTGTAATTGCCATCTTGATAACAGCACGAGACCCCTGAATGATGAGGATCACGGGACCTGCAAAGAAAAAAAATGCAAGGGACAGGGGTGGTCAGCCATGGACGGTGGACCCCTCCGTCACTCCGTATGACGCTATGGGAGCTTGAGTTTCGGCATGCCCCAGCTGCGGCAAACGCACAGATGAACGCCAGGACCTGAGAGAATTATCGTTGAGCAGCTTGGCGATATCGGGCCCCGTCCTGCGATCCCTGAGCGCAGGAGAAAGGGGCTAAAGTGCAGGCCCACCGTCCCCATCTCGGGGCGGTTCGTTCCACACTGAAATGTGCGCGTGGTGTACCCGCCCTTTTCTTGTTCGTCTCCAGGAGGGTGTCAAGTCGCAACCCATTCGGACATTCAACATGCAGCTGTGCAAGGTCACACAAGCCACTGCCTGACTCGTATGGGCTCCTTTGCTCACCACGGTGCAGCAGTCTGGAGGAAATCTGACAGACCCTGTGCACCGTCGACGCCACGCAGGTTGATAAACGGGTGAATGTGTAATGTGACGGTTCCAGTCGAGGAGCGAGCGGGACGAACGAACCCGACTTGGCCTGGCCCGGCCCCTGGCAGAGCGCTACGGACGGTACGGTGCGTGTGCATTCGGCAATGCGATTCAATGGCGTCCCGGCCGGAGCCTCAGCTTTGCGCTGAGGATGCAATGCGCCTGCACTGCACGATGCAAAAGACGCAGCGAAATCTTATTCGTGCAGGAAATTATATGTACGTACCATTGTACGTCTGATTTCCTCGGACAGCAGGGGATCATGCTGGTCTTTGCGAATTTGATTTGGCTCGGCGCATCTTGCATAAGGGTCGCTGCAGCGGTGAGTTGCACATTGCTGAGGGAGATGAGGAAATAGGGATGAACAATCAAGCGGCGACGCACGCGCTACTCGGAATTATGTTGCTTACAAGTTGTTGCGTGCGGCGAGCCAGCGATTTTGACATCAAGAAAGGTCTATGATTATTCAGTCTTGTACGTGAGGATTTCGATTGCCGTCTTTCTTTGCTGTTGGTCTGCTGGTGTTACTCCTGCTGCATCAGCGACGGTCTGGTCTGAAGGGGGCAGCCGCTACTCCAAAAGTGAGATAGCTGAGGAGGGTTTACAGCGCAACGATGGAGCAGAGCAGAGCCAAGACCATCAGTTGCCGGTTGGTAATCGACAGACTATACTCGAGACATAGATCGAGAGCGACCTCATATGCCATTAATCAAAAGCACAGGTGAAAGAAATATATTACCTTCGTAGTCGGGTTCTGTCTTTCCTGGATTACATCCTGCCATGGGTCACTGGTGGGCAGCTTTCCTTCCTTCCCGAGCCCTCATGCACGCATGCACCTACCCGCCCTTCGCCAGACCCCTCCCTCTCAGCAACTCCACCCCTCCACGCCCCCGTCATTTCACACTGCCCGCTGCTTCCTCACTTGCTTCCTTTTCGCTTCTCCCTCAACTCTTAGGCCAGCAACCCCCTTCTCGCCTTCCGCAGCACCAGCGGCAACAACAACGACGACACCGAAACCATCAGCAGCTTTCTCGTCCTCCTCCTTTGCTTTCGATCATCGCCGCGCACAGCGACTCCACGGACCCTCGACCACACCGTGCTGCGACCTTCACGACCGGTCTCTTTCCATTCCAGCTATTAGCGCCCGCTCCTCTCTTTTGCCCTGGGCTTGCCTTTGCAACACGACAGCCACAAAGACCATGGCTGCGGACAAGCCCTCGGTCCTCATTATTGGGGGCCTGGGTTACATCGGCCGCTTCCTCGCGCTGCACATTCACCAGAACGACCTGGCATCAGAAGTTCGTCTGGTTGACAAGGTGCTTCCTCAGCTCGCATGGCTCGCGCCGGAATTCGCCGACGCTTGCTCGCAAGACAAATTCATTCAGGCCGACGCTAGCAGAACAGGTAGGACTTGCGTCCGAGCTCCCGATTTACGAGGGATGCTGACCCCTCGCAGAGGGCCTTGCCAGGATATTTGACCGTGCCGATGGCAAGCAGTGGGACTACGTCTTCAACTGCGGTGGCGAGACGAGATACTCACAAGAGGACGAGGTCTATAAGCTGCGATCACTCAACCTGTCCCTGACTGTTGGCAAGGAGGCTGCCAGGCGTGGCATAAAGGCTTTCGTCGAGCTTAGCACAGGCATGGTCTACAAGTCGGACTCATCGCCGAGCAAGGAGGGAGACAAGCTCAAGCCCTGGAGCAAGATCGCTGTCTTCAAGCTGCAAGCCGAGGAAGAGCTGGCCAAGATTGAGGGGTAAGTGTCGATGCCCTTTCCCCCCAGGCGTGCACGCCGCTGACCTTGCAGCCTTAACCTCATTATCGCTCGTCTGCCCCACGTCTATGGCCCGTATGCTTCCCAATGGGTCGCGACGGCTCTCTGCATGGCGCGGGTGTACCAGCACATTGAGGAGGAGATGAAGTGGCTTTGGACCAAGGATCTGCGTACTAACACTGCACACATCACCGACGTTACGCGCGCACTTTGGGACATGGCCTCATGGTACGACCGGGGCAAGGATGGTTGGGACGAGGCCAGCATGGGAAAGGTGCCCACCTTCAACGTCGTCGACGAAGGCACGACGACACAAGGCACCCTGGCAGACATTATTGCCGATATCTTCAAAATCGAGACTGGGTTCCAGGGGCAGCTGGTCAGCACATTCGCGCGCCTCAATCTCGATAGCGTTGTCGACGACGTCAACGACGAGACGCTTGGTCCCTGGGCGGAGCTGTTGGCTGAGGCTGGCATCACCCGCCCAGGGCCTTTGACGCCTTTCATGGAGAAGGAGCTTCTCAAGGATACCGATCTGAGCATGAACGGCGACCGACTGGCGTCAATAGTTGGCTTCAAGTACCAGAAGCCCGCCATGACCAAAGAGCTGATTGAGGAAGTCATTGACAGCTACAAAAAGATGAAGTGGTGGCCATGAGCCACAGTTGACCAGAAGGCATGAGAATTATGAACATGATTAGACAGGCCGCGTCGCTTCTCAGAGAAGCTACGATATACCCTGGGGAGACACTTGGCTGCTAGAGCAGCCCTGATCGACCATGACGCTATCTTATGGAAACCCGGCGCCTCCGTCAACCATATCTATGAGCCTGGGGACTTGATACGGTTGTGGTACACCGTGGACGATAATATATACTACGTACATCAATACACAACGTGACATACACTGAAGGCCCTTTCGCCTGATACTGTTGCGAATGCCTTCCGCGGAACGCTGGACCGGGCTCCTTGCGTTCAAAGAAGAACGGCATTCTCTGGATTCTTTGGCCTGCTGCTGGGCGGCCCATTTGAATCCGCACCTTTTCTGTTCACCATTTTCCCGCCATCCGAGCTGCGGCGGATCTTAGCGGCGGATCCACGCCTGCGCTCTGTCCCGTGTTTTCTTTACCCCTTTTATGGTGAAAAGTAGCTGCCCTATTTTCTAACTCGACCGTAGTACGCAAGAGTACCTTATCGAGCAATCCACGACGTCAACTATCCGAGCTGCCTTTGGGGTCTGTTATATCACGAGAGACTCAGCAAACGTTCCCTCCTGCGCGCAGAAAGTATACTCCATGGCCAGGGTGCTTGCAGACTGTCCGCCAACGACATGCACCCAAGAGACGGTCTCTATCCTCTGCCACGAGGTAATATGTGCCATGCTCCGTACCATGTCGCCCTCTTCAATCTCAATCACCCGCTCCACCACCCTGGCAGCGGAGATACTGTCCCAAAGCGCTTCCCGTATGGGCCGACGTCGCAGAATGCTCACGGCCTTGCGCCGAACCATGGGATGCCGGCATTTGACCCCGATCATGTAAAGCACTGGGACAATGCCAACCTCGGGCGTAAACGTCGGCTGTGACGAAGCCGAACACTGTTCATGCGCCGCCGCTACGTCGTCCGCCAGGGCCAGGCACTGCTGGAACTGGGGCAGAAACTCGTCATAGGCCAGTTCCCTGCCAGATCCGGCACTGCTGAGGAGGATACATGCCATGATGTGGTGCAGACGCAGTAGTGACATGAGCGGGTCCGAGCCGGCATCGGTCTCATGAAAACCATTTTGTTGTTGCATATTTCCGAAAAGGCCTAGCCATACATTCAACTGCTCGAAAATGATTTCCTTGCAGGACGACGGCGGCTTTGATACCTGACCCGTTGCGGACATTTCCTGCTCCGCGTTGCGCAGACTCATGACGCGGGCGACAAGAACCTGCAGGTGGTCGGCGGCTTGCTCAAGAGACAGAAAGGCACCATCGCAAGGTGAGAGCTGGGATATGTGTTGCTCTTGTACATCCACTGGAGTCCAGTCGACCAGGAACATGACGGCCTGCATGTCGAGACGGCGGATCTGTTTCGTGACCTGGCAGATCAGCGTGTTCGTATTCGCCTTGTCGATGTTGCGTGAGAGCTCCACACCGGCACGAAGGTGTTTGATTGCTTGGACGTAGCTGCACGCTAGATGGTCAAAGCAAGTGAAGAGATAGCAAACCACAAGGGTTACGGCTGTTGTTTGGGTGCTGTCGCCGCCTTCTCCGTGCAGGAGGATTTGTATAGCGCGATTGTAGTGGAACAAGGCGGCCTCATCGGGCAGCCAGCTTTGAAAAAATGGTGATGTCCGCCCGCGGTCGCGGTCGCGGTCGATGTGGCGCCGGTGGAGCATGGACAGGGCCATGGCGGCATGCCTCACTGATGGCACTGTTTGGGAGAAGAACAGGAGAGTCTTCTGCCATGAGTCGCAGGGTTGGTACTTGCTTAGGTGTTTGATCGCAGCATGCTCAAAGAAACACATCGCCCCAGCCTGGGCTGTATCAGTCACGGGCAATATCATCAAGGGTCCGAGATCTTTTGATATAAGCTCGCGGCCTTTTTTGTGCCTCTGTCGTGACTGAAAGTCGCCGCTCTCGGTGCTGCCGGTGTGGACAGCGAGCATTGTCTCGTCATAGCCGTCACAGGTGCGGCCTGTGGAATGGCATTTCAGGCATGATGGCCGCGCGAGATCGCATTTTACTCGTCTTATTCTGGGGAGGGTTGGCGAGGTCAGTCCAGCCTGGGTTTCCAAATACAGGTGAGCGGGATAAGGTCAAGACTCACTTGCAGGTTTTACAGCCTTTTCTTGACTTTGGCGCAAATTTGCGAGGCTTTTTCCTCCAAGCTTGGTTGGCCATTTTGGTGTTCTTGCTCGTCATGCTGTACATGTCGTTGATGCTGGCCGGGACAAGAGAGGCGGGTACGCGTCGTTGTGGGCAGAGGGCAAACGGCCCCGGGCCACGAATTCACGACAACACTGGTACGGCGCTTGTCGTGTCAAAAGCTAAATGGGCCACGATAGGAGCTCAAATGGTGCCCATACTGGTTCGTCGGTATCTTTGTTTGGAAGCCATCTTCCCACTTTCTTCTGCGTCTTCTACCTTGGTGGCGGAAGAGCAGGAAAGTGGATGGATGAAGCATTGAAGACACAGCTTGAGACGCTTGTACGCCGGATATCGTTGTGGATCCTGATACAATCTGATGGGATCATCATCAAGTTTGGTTGGCTGCTTCGTACAGGTGGGGCGCCAAGCAAGAGGATTAATACCTCCTTGAGTAATTAATGGCACTAAGTAGGCGGATCCCTTCAATATGGACCGATGTACTCCATGTCATCGCCGTCGATACACGTCTATACGTAGAAAATGATGGCCACAGCCTCAACTTCATTTGAAATACAGCAGACCGGATGCTGTACCCTGTGCATTGGATGGAACCTTTGGAGATATATACTGGCATCAATTGGCTGATTCGTACAAGTGGAGTGCCAGGCTATGCGGATGGATGGATGGAAGGAATGCGGCTGCCCGTAGACGCAATGATTCAGATACTGAAACTGACAAACTGCATGTAGACCTCTTCGGTATTCGGCTTGCATAAAAAGGTTCATGGGATCGCGACTGTGTCGGCTGCAACTATGACATCCGCCCCTTTCTTGAATCAATACAGGAGAAAACCCAGCGAGAAATCTTTCAGTCAAACATCACAATGAGCCGACTTCTGCGAACTCTCATCATTTCCACGATCTTGGGTGCCAGTGCCCACTGTCACGAGAGCCCCGGAATGGCATATGGGTTTGACACTGTGAGTTTTGGACCTTGCCCAACTGTACATACCCTCGCAAGCTTTATGACCACTAATCCAACCATCCAGATCGAACCATCCCCCAACCTCACATGGACACCATGCTTCGATGACTTTACATGCTCGAGACTGGAGGTCCCCTTGGATTATTCCAACACAAGTCTTGGCACGACGTCCATCGCCTTCATCAAACTGACTGGCAAGAATGCAACCATTGAGTCCCCAAGTATCGTGCTCATCCCCGGTAAGTACGATGTTCTTTCACAAGACCGACCAACCACGTCAAGTGACACTGGATTCCACAAAGCCAAGCTGACAGTTCTTCAGGCGGTCCCGGTGGCTCAGGTGTTGATCTCATTCTCGAAAATTGGTTTCTCGCGGCGCAAGCCTTTGGAGATCAGTACAACATCGTCTCCTTTGACCCGCGCGGCGTGAACAACAGCGGGCTGAGTTTTGATTGCTTCTCAGGCAATAAGGAAGCGAGATCAGTCTTTCTTCGGCTACATAGTACCGGCGCTACCAACGTCTCCTCCGCGTCACTTGAGGAACAGTATTACTCAAGCTCCATCTACGGAGAGTGGTGCAACAATGCTGTCGAGAACGAGTCACCGCATGGCTACTTTGTGACTACAGCAGCATCCGCCCGTGATTTGCTCACGTTCACAGAAGCCGAGGCTGAGCTGGCTGGTCGGTCACCATCAGAGGCCGAGTTATGGAGCTATGGCATCAGTTACGGTACTGTGGTAGGCGCCACCTTTGCTTCCATGTTTCCCGACCGAGTCGGAAGGATGGTACTGGATGGTGTTTTGGACGCGGAGCATTATTACAACAACGACTGGAGGGACAGTGTCGATCAGATGGACGAGGCCATGGGGAAGTTCACGAGTTTGTGTCATTCTGCAGGCCCTGAAAAGTGTTCCTTCTGGGGCCCAACGCCAGCCAACATCACAGCCAGAATGGACGCCCTCATCCTCCAACTTCAGAATCACCCAGTTCCAATCAGCGGAGTGCAAAGCCAAGAATTGCCGGCACTGGTCACCTACTCAGACCTGAAGGCTCTTTTCCTCGAGACGATCTATAACCCACCGGCTCTGTTCCCAGTCATGGCCGACATCCTGCACAAGCTGGAGCGTGGGGACGCGTCTCCTCTCGTCGGCTTGTTTGACGGGTTGAATTCGATATTCGACGCCCGGCTCGCCATCATGTGCGCCGACTCATATCCAAACAACAAGCTCACTACTATTGAGGCCTTCCAGAGCTTTGTGGAGTTCACGAGCTCCGAGAGCAAGTACATTGGCGACATTTGGCCCATTTTCCAGGCCAACATCCTGTGTAGATCGTTTCGGCCACATCTACCAGATAGCATGATGGTACAAGGTATGCAGAGCCTCCTCACTCTGTTTCAGCCATCTGTATTCTCCATACCTGAATTTGGGAAGGAGGCTAACCAGGTTCTGTCTTTTCTGCAGAATCAATAAGTGGACTCGGCAACAGGTCTTCGTCCTTCCCCATCATGTTTGCGAGCAACACCATCGACCCCCTGTCGCCTCTGAAATCGTACGTTGCCCCCAAGCCGTTCGGGATTCGATGAGTTGCTCAGACCCACTCACCTCCTCGTAGGGCACGAGAAATGTCTTCTCGATTTGCGGGATCAGTACTCCTATTGCAGGAAGCCGTTGGTGTAAGTTCTCATTGGATCTCAGTCACACAACCGTACTCGCTACAGAACAGACTAACGTCATTGCAGCATACCGTCATCAATCTTCTAGGGTCAGACTGTTACTTTGGACACGTCCAGGCATACTTTCAAGGCACAGTGCCACCGTCGAACATCACGTGCGAGCAGCAGCACATGCCATTTGCGTAGGCGGCTCCATGTCGGGGCTGCTGAACAAGGCACAGCATTCATTGGTCATCGACTCGGCGGATGGCATGCACATGTGATCAAGAGGGACAGAATGATATGTCGGCAAGTTCTGCAGCGGAGGCTCGACTGAAATAGCAACCGATTCGCACTAGCGTATGAGGAGCCACCGACCTGCTACAGGGCCAGAAATGATTCAGAGAGCAGAAATGGCCATCAAGTCGACTGAAGTTGTAACTTGATTAGCATTAGCCCTCTGACAGGGGGCAGCTCTAATGCATCCGATGTGCAGAATGCTTATCTCGGCGTGACTGTGCTGTGCTAATAAGCAACTAATGGGAACCACATCACGTTGCTCAATGTCAGGGATGGCTCGTATAAGTGACTACCGCCATAGTGATGTCCGGCAAAGCATTGAAAGAAGAGTATACAAAGGTGCTCATCCGCGCAACATCTAGAAAACCAGAAAGCCATCAACTCATATTTTCCTATACTTCCACCTTCTTCAACTCCCTTGCACGTCGTCATGGAGAGAGCCCTCCCTCTTCAAGACCGCCTCGCCCTCCGAAAAGAGTTGCTGGACTCCAAAGACAAGTTTATTCTCGACCTTCCCAAGGTCGAGCTCCATGTGCACATCGAGGGCACCTTAACTCCCGAGCTGAGATGGAAGTTTGCCCAACGAAATGGTCAGGCTCTGAAACTCGATCGCACTGGCACCGTGTACCACAGCCTGGAGCAGCTCAAGGCGTCGCACAACATCATCCAGTCTCGACCCGGCCATGGCATCGACAATGCCGAAGAAAGCTTCACCTTCTTCGAGGCCTACTATGGTGGCTTTGACGTACTGGTCACCCAACAGGACTTTAACGAGCTAGCCATGCACTACTTTGAGCGCGTCGCCGCCATGAATGTTCGGTATTGCGGGCCCTTCTTCGACCCTCAGGGCCACACACGTCGAGGTGTTACTTGGGACACCATGATGGGAGGATTCCGCGCAACCCAAGAAGCGGCAGAGAGGAACCTAGGCGTACGTGACGGCCTCTTCTGGCTGTCTCAATTCACAGCAGCACTGCTAAGCACATGCTGACACAAAGAGCAGATCAAGTCGAGCTGGATCATGTGCTTCCTGCGCGACCTGACGCCAGAGTCAGCCATGGAACACTACCAAGCCATGCTGCCGTATCGAGACATGGTCATCGGCATCGGGCTCGACTCTGATGAGAACGACCGCGCTCCCAGTCTCTTCGCAGATGTATTTGCTCTGGCTCGAGAGACCGGCTTCCGCATCACGGCTCACTGCGATGTGGGCAACAAGGACACGCACAACCACATCCACCAAGTCGTTTCAGCACTAGGTGTTTCCGAAGCGCACTGCATAGACCACGGTCTGAATGCCGCACAGAGCCCTGACCTTTTGCGCCTCATCAAGGAGAAAGGAATTTCCATGACGATTATCCCATGGGGCTATCTTCGCCATGAGCCTGTCGACGAGATCTTCCCTAGAATCCGCGCCTTATACGATGCGGGTATCTGTTTCTCCATTGCGAGCGACGATCCAACCTACATGGAGGACACGTGGATCCTGCACGACATGCTGCTGGTCAAGAAGATGTGCGCCTTGAGCACTGCAGATATGGCTACGCTCGCTAGAAATGCTGCTGAGATGTGCTGGGCACCAGAGACCGTGCGGACCGAGATCCTGCGTGAGATTGAGAGTGTGGTGGCTAGGTACGAGAATTAGAATGTCAGCCTTGCAGCGCATTAAAAGGGGGCTGTTGACAAAAGGGGGAAGCCATGACCAAGTTGTGGGATGCAGCTGTCAGTTGATTCGATGTAGCTGTTATCAGGAGATGCTGAGGATGAATCCCACAAGAATGTACTCTAGATCGTAGCGTTTTGCAAAAAGAGGCGGCACATGGCTACATGTACCCAGCGTCTCCCAGTCAAGATTGTCCATCCCACGCCGGGCGAACACGACTTCCCAACACTCTGGGTACCGTTCTACAAACTCCCAATCCAAAAGAACTACAATGTCGCCGGCAGGCACCAGTATATTGCGCGAAGCAAGGTCTTCATGCGTGAAAACAATGGGACACTCGGTGCCCAATTGTGTCGTTATCAGGTGCCAGTACACTGACTGCACTTGCAAACGCTTGGGCGGCCGTACGAGCCAATCATGGAATTCAGCAAGGTTGCCGAATGGAAACTGCCGAGCGCTTCGGGATGCTTGGAACTATGACGCCCTGCCCGTTAAGACGGCCTAGGTGGATGCCACCTAGGGCACGCATCTGTGTTTTGTAGCCGCTGAGCTCGGCCAAGATGTCGGACCGCTGGCCCGATGTAAGCACCGACCACGCCTGCTGTAGTGCCTGACCCTTGACGTGTTTCATCGCGATACAATGACAATCGCTGCTAATGACCTCGGGAACCGAAAACGTTGTGTGGGAACATGGCGTGTGAGCGCACATTAAATGAGGAAACGGAGAGAATCAATTGGGTATTCATAGAGAGGAGTTGTTAAGGCAGTGTCCCACGCTGCTGGCGTGGACGATCGCGCCAATACGGGGCTGGAGGTATTTGAGGTCATAGAAGATAGTCCCGGCAACTCGTCTCGAAGATGACATGGATAGCAAATGATTTTAGGCCCCTGTGCAATCGATTTGATAGCTGTTTTGGGGATTGCAACACAATGAATGCGTTGTGAGACTCTAATGATGCTTGAAAGTCGGTTTCTTTCTTGCAGTCAATCTCTTCAAAATGCTCTTGCTGCTTTGTCCGGGCTTGCAGTCGCGCGGCCATGCAACCCAAAGTGCTAGCCTGATACAACTCTGCAGTAGGTACCAGAATTCCCATGTTCTCTTTAGTGATACATTGCAGCTGTACAAGTAGGAGGGAACTTCCTCCGACCATAGAGAAGTCGAATTCGGGCGACAGATTCCCAAACAAATTTCCCCGGAGAACTTCAGTCCACAGCAGACTTGACTGTCCGACTTCTAATGGCATTTTCCCGTTGAGTCGTTTCCTGCTCTGATTCTCGAGCACCGGGAACTTTATGGATATTAAAAACTTGCGATGAACTTTGCCGCTTGGCATGCGTGGAAGGCACTCTCTGGGGACTACGAGGGCCGGCCGCATGTAAGCAGGTGAAGATGGATTCTGAGCCATCTCCTGCATTGAATCGGATGTTGTGCTTTTAGATGCACCCTCGCGCAATACGATATGATCAACGAGCATGCGTGCCTCATCTTCTCCATGGACAGTGACAACGGCTTCCGCCACTACATCACCAGCTGTGTGTGCCTAGGTGCTGGCGACATCTTCCAGATCAACACGCACTCCACGCAATTTGATCATGTTGTCACTGACCGTCCGGGCCATGAAAATAAGCGACCCGTCGGGTCTCAACCGTTCTCGATCCCCGGTCTTGAACATCGTGGACTATCCTCGTCTGCCGTCTTCTACCCTGACAAAAGGATCACGAATGAACTTGGCTGTTGTGACTTCCGCCAAGTTCACATAACCCATGGCAACGCCTACGTATACCTCTCCAGGACACCCAAGGGGCACAGGTTGCGAAGAGACTTCGTAGACAATGTACACGGAATAATTTGGCAAGACTGGACCTTCCCAACCGACCCATACTCGCCGTCTCTCCTATTCTAATGCTCGGATATCTTGTCAAACGTCACAGCCATCGACATCTCTGTGAGACCATAGTCATGGGGCAAGCCCAGGTCCGGGTTGCTCAGCTGTGAAAATGATTGAACAAGCTGCTGCGCAGCGACCTCGCCACCCCCTACAGGCGTGCTTCCAAGCGCGACAACTCCGTAGACTGGTCTGCCCGTATCGTAGCAGGGAGTTGTATTCAGAAGGCGTGGCATTCGTAAATGTCACGTCATGCTCCAACATGAGTTGAGAAAGCGCAATAGGGTCGCTTCGACTTTTCTTAGGCACAGTCAAATGTAGACCTCCATTGGCGAGGGCACAGAATACCTGCGCCAATGACATGTCGAACCCAAATGAGCTCTACGATAGCACAACTTCGCGCTACAGCGAGAGAAGCGATGTTTTGAGAGCGAGATGATTGAGATGTATAGCATTGTTGAGCTAAATACACTTGGGCTTGCTAGTTGATGCATTGGTGTATAGGAGAATTGCCGGGCTGTGGCGTGGAAAAGTTTTCCTCTATGTTGGTGTTGGACGTTTTGATACTTGATGAAACTAAGAATAGATTTACAAAGGGGACATGCGTTGGAATCTTTGAAGCTTTCTCGACAGCGTCTTGATGAAACAGGATCAGTGTGAGGGTGCAGTCCTCTAGGCTGGCGGCGTGTCGTTCGTTTGGAATGTTTGTGTCAAGTGGTATATACAGAAGACTAAAACGCAGCATGACTAGTATAGCAACGGCCGAGTCAGAGGAGGGCTGGCATAGTCCTGCAATAGCGGAGTTGATGCTCAGACATTCTTTTTGTATGGACGAGGCTACCAAGCAGATTGTGTCCTCCAACTCGCCATAAGTCATGCTTCCTTTGGAATCAATAATGGCTGTGTCACCTCCGTGCTCTTTGATCATGATGTCAACTCTGTTGGACAGCGTGTCAGGCTAGTCCCACACCTGGCGTGGCACCTTGCTAGCTGAGATCCCCGGCTTGCACCACCGCCGATTCGTCGGACCTGATCCGATGTTCTTCAATTGTCTGTGACATGTCCGAGGTCAACATCTCAAGACGATTATAACATTTGGTCATCAGAAACTGAGCTCCAGTTTCGTCGTACAGATATTTCTGAGCAATGGTCTGTGGGCGCTGAGAACTGTCGCCTACTCCATATACTCCAAATACAAGATCGAATGGGGCCTCGGCGTCGTGATACGAGTCGACAGACCACTGGGATTTACTGCCCGAGGTCATTTTAGCCACAGCGCTGAAAAGATAATTGAAGACGAGCTGGAAAAGTAAACTTGATGACGCTTCGCGCGGAACTTTGAGATGATCGAGTATTACATCCTCCGGGACTTGCCCGTTGCTCCGGCCCTCGAGGACGTGCCTGAATGTTCTTCGAACCAAATCTGCGAAAGGATCATGGGTATTAAGTGTGAATCGCAACGGGAGTATGTTGACAAAGAAGCCAATCGTGTTAGCATTGTCGACGCCGTAGCGGCTGGCATCAGCAACACCGATACAGATTCCCTTCGAGTCCAGCAAGTGGGAGGAAAGGGCCTGCACTGCTGCGAGATAGAAGCTCAAAGGGGACACTCGGAATAGGGTAGTTGCATCTTTGATCTTTTGGACGAGGTGTTTATCCATGGCCTTCGTCATGGTTCGACTTTCGTATCGCCGGAGGAGCTGCCAGTGGTGAGTAGGGGCAAAAGGAAGCAATGACAACATGTCAGGACGTTTTTCACGTAGCTTTGCCCAGTATCAGATGTTTGACTCTAGCTCTTTGGACTCCAAAAGTTGTCTCTGCTGAATCACCCCGCAGGGGTCAGATATCACACATCAGTTCGACACCAAGATCGTGGTTCTTCCCCCCTCAACCATGACAGGGTCTACTGGGCCCTCTGACGCCGTGATCTCAATAGGCATCATCTCCAAGAAGCTGCTCTCCTGGTCGGGCACTAGCAGCTACGCGTATGCCGAGAGGGCAGGGAGCCACCGTGTCGAAGCGATAGAATGCTATTGTTTGCCACCGCTTATTCGGCAAACTCTCATTCCCGTTCACGTTAAAAAGTAGGTGTTTTATATTACCTTCCAGCCTTGTCGCAGTTGAAAAGAATTGCGCTCAGCTGCTCACGTGAACCCTGGCTCATCTCCGCACTAAAGGGTTCTGCGCCTCGAACGATGCTCTTGTCTATCAACGGATGCGAATGCAACATTAATGGGAGAGTCAGAAAATGCACCCTAAACTTTTCTGGCTGAGTCAATCGTGCAAGCAAGAACATGCACAGGAGGGCCTGAGGGGGGCAGGGGGACACAGTGGCGGAGCTGGGTTCCTACGGTGTGTTGGCTCATGTCCTGGAGTACCTTCCACACACGCTGCGCCAAACGAAGAGGGGACACTTAGTATTTTGTGCTGAATACCGTGCGAGCACTTTAGAGGTTATGATTCAATTTGAAAACCAATATCACCGCTCCGGGGATTGCTAATGCCTACAAACAGATGCGAAGTTTCGCTCACGCTATCCTTGGAGATATTGCCAGCATGGAGATGGCTTTCAGCGGGTAAGGCTGAGCAAGGCACCAAATGTTTGAGGAGACACTGCCAAGTCCTAAATAGTTTCAAGACCTGCCTATTATGCTTCGTGTGCGCCTGGCTCAGGGGCTGAGCGGTCCCATGAGGTTGCATTCCCCAGCCGCGCGCATCGAACATGTCCATGTCCCCGTGCCCCCTCCTAAGACGGCTCAAGGGCGATTGATTTAACCCCTTGGAACCCTCACTGCCATCAAACGACAGGAAAATCTCCCAGTACAGATTTGTTTGCCCCGCCCTGTATGATAATACACGCGACCAAACGAAAGATGACCGACTTGCCTCCCGTAACTGCCGCCGAACCCTCCATCCCAGTAGCGTGGATTGCGCCTCGGGTCACCCCGCATAGCGACTCGGAAAACGAAGCTTCCACGGCCTCGGAATGTGTGGATACTCCTTCGCCTTTGGGATTGTCACCGTCGGTGTCTAGAGTCAACCGTGCGAAGAGAAGGCGGTCTGCCCCTAGGACATCATCATCAGAAACCACCAGAGAAGATAGCTTGAGATCTACGGATAAAAGAAAACGACGGGGTTCTTCAACCGAATATGCCCGGAGAGAGTTGGAGACATGTTCCTCAACGCCCGCAGAGCATGATGATGAGGCGGCAACGTCCAGGACGCTTTGGCCGTCCAGTGACTCCCGTCGCCGTTCAAAAAAGTCACTGGGGGAGGAAGCTTCTTTCACCTCATGTCGGGAACAAGGCGAGGCCTCTGACCCTGAAATGACCACGAAGCGAACCACCGGTTCATCCGACAACCCCATCATCATCGATGATGCCACTCCAAACACCACTCCAGATATTTTGCCCGTTGACGACCCAGATGCCTACTCAGACATGGACTTGAATGCCACACCAGATACCACTCCGGGCACCACTCCGGGCACCACTCCGCGCACCACTTCAGGTATCACTCCAGCTGCCACCCCGGATGCAGACCCGACGGTATCCGGTAGATTGGAGGCTTCCCCAGTAGTCGACGGCCGTGTGGCTGACTTGATACGAAAGCCACTCGACAAGACTGACCTGGACAATGACTCGAAAAAGAAGAAGAATTATCTATACCCAGTGGTCGGTACCGAAAGCCTTGTCAAGATCGGGTGGTCCCAGGATGCAAAAGAACGAGAATCACAACTAAAAAGGAAGTGCGGTCTGAGGTTCGGCGACATCCTCAACCCCGACCAGCCGCCGATCAAACTCTATGAAAGGGTCGAAAAGTTAGCTCACACCGAGTTCCAGGATCAAAGACGCAAGTATGATTGCCGTTGTGGGACCAAGGACCACAAGGAGTATTTCTACGTGCCGGCAGAGGTGGCAGTTAATGCGACGCAACGATGGACGGCCTTCTGCGAAAGAGGGCCATGGGATGAGCGGGGAAACCTGCTCCCATTTTGGGAGCAAAGGCTTGGACACTACCAAAAGACGGAGGGCAGTGTTGACTGGGATGAGTTCGTGGATGCAACATTTTGGGACCACGTTCTATTCAACGTCCCGGAGGCCAGTGTTCGCATGTGGGCACAACGATGGCCCATAGTATGCCTCATACAGACCGTCTATCTCTTCTACATGACCTATCCGTCTCAGAAGGTTGCGGTGATATGCATGGTTGTCATTTTCACGATAGTTGCTGAGCTACTTTTCGCTGAGTCTAGATTCATTCGCGGCTGCTGCAAGCCCTGTGTTGCCGCATGGCGAACAACAAAATCGAAGGCAAGCAAACACCGAGCTAGCGTTGGAGCAGAGGTCGTTGACTAGAATCGAAGGGACCATTGGATGTCCACATTTTATCTCCTACATGTATCCGCTTGCTTGCGGTAAAATATCTCTATTCCGAAACAAGTATCAACGAGGCAAAATGATGACGCCCCTCGTCTCCTCGGTGCTCTGCATGTCACAGCCCATATTCCAAGTTCTTCCGTGACGAACGCGTTGTTAAAAGATTCTTTCAGGTCTGCCGTCCTAGGCTACACGCCGTATCCATGCAGATCCGTTCCGGTCTTATGACCACGGCCTCCTTAAGGCTAAGTGCAAGTCAGTTGTAACAGCCCAGACCAGAGGAACGCACCGAAACGCCGTGACTCTGGCTGTGGGCTCGTCGCCCTTTCACTTGCATACCCCCGGCGATCATTGTTGCAAGTCCTCGTTCTGTCGTTCAGCCTGACTTGCACAGCCTTGGACTGCTGTGGCCTGGCCCGGCCCGTCGTCCACAGCCTACCGCCGTGACCGGCCAGTCAGACGACGCGGCAGCGTCACATTGACATGCACATGGGACGCAGGGGTCATGGGCCCAGACAGAGGTTAGCTTCCCCCCTGACACGGCGAGTGTCCCCGGCGGCTGCATCCGCGCCAACGTGCATGGAGGCTGACGCCTGCATGTCGGCGAGGCTGACACTGTGCGCCCCGAGTGTGCCAGTCGAGGCAGATTAGGTGTAGATTTTTTGACCGAATTATAGCGGTGAATGAGGCTTTGACGCTGGCTGCTTTGAATCGTGCGGTCACACTCAGCTAAGATTTCACCCTCTTCTCGAAATTGTCCGGCCATTTGGCACCGAGGACATCCAAACGACCTTGTCTGCCGTGTTTCCATTCTCCTCTTTTGATATGGAGGCTCTGGCTGCAACTGGCACCAAGTGTTCACCAACTGCAAGAGGGAATGGAAGCGATATCCCTCGGTACTCGCGAGGTCCAATCCCAGCAGCAGGTCATTCGCTCTTTGCACTTTGAGAGTCGACAAGTAAGATTCGATAGCATTGCCGCGTCTCACGAGGACACGCTGCGATGGGCGGTTTCCGCGGACTCTCACCAAGTGTATTCCAAAGGCCGGCTCCCTGGTTGGCTTCAGTCTGGAGTCGGAGTTTTCTGGGTTTCGGGCAGGCCCGGCTCCGGTAAGTCGACACTGATGAAACACGTGGCAGGTCATCTCCAGACGAAGGCATGGCTCCATGAATGGGCCGGCACACGAGAGCTTGTCATCGCTAGCCACTTTTTCTGGCTGAGGGGAACAGAAATGCAGAAATCGCAGCTCGGGCTCCCGCGGACCTTACTATTCGACATCTTCTGCCAGTGCCCGCAGCTGGTCGGGCGAATTGGCAAGAAACAGGTTTTGGGCCACACGGCCGAGGATGGGCTCTCCGATTCTGGATGGACTTTGCCGACATTACGAAGAGTCTTGGAAGATATTGCCGCCGAGTCAAACCTTCCGGCTAGGGTCTGTTTCTTCATCGACGGACTGGATGAGTATCAGGGGGACCACATAGACCTCTGTCGCGACCTAGTCGTACTAGGCAAGTCTCCCCATATCAAACTATGTGTGTCAAGTCGGCCTTGGAACGATTTCGAAGACTCGTTTGGCCAGGGCATCGAGACCAAGCTCTACATGCAGGATGTCAACAGAGAGGATATCACAAATTACTCTGCGGCGCGCCTAAGAGAGCACCCCTGCTGGGACTCAGTGCTGAATTGGAGCCCCGAAACCGGCTGCCTCGTCGAGGAAATCACTTTGCGCTCACGTGGCGTGTTCCTGTGGGTCTTTGAATCATGTTCACGACATCGGCCTTAAAGTTGTCTTTCTCTTTTTCAGGAAGATCCGATCCTTGAACAATACGGTTTTCGACATACCAGCGAACGTTGTTCGACTGTTCCACGGGGAAGCTAGCAAACCCATCTTTTCCGATAACCTCGCCTTCTCGGTCCCAACGTTCAGGACGGGTTTGATTACTCTGGTACGGGTACGAGAACTCGTCGAAGAAGCGCGTCTTGTTGTACTCGTACAGACGCTCGCGCAAGACCAGGGCATCCCTGTCATTGTTTCCAGTAGGCTGCCATATTTTTAGCGTATATTTGAGCAGAGAAGTCGTTTCTATACGGACTTTATAAGGCGGTCCATGTAATCCATTGAGGTTTTCGAGCATGCTAGCGACGACGCCGCTTTTGCTGATGGCCTCGGAAGTAGCGCCGGTGCCTCCCATAGTGACAATTGTGTGAAATAGTATAAGGGAGGAGTAGCAGTAAGAAGTCTCGGGATGTAGTTTGCGGAGGGGATGAGATTCAGAAGATAGCAGAAGGGCCGCGATAGTCGAATATATACCTTTTAGCACTCCGTATAATGTCTCGGACTACGACTGCTAACTGGAGCGGTGTGCCTCACTCCGTCTTGCCCGCTGCACTCTGACGTCTCGCATAGTCCTATTTACGCCACGTTGACATGAATTCGGGCATTTCTTTTCTGGGGACTCCATTCCAGAGCTTGTCCGGGAAGGAATCCGGTGTGGGTGGAAACGGCTGCGGGCGCGGGATCGCCATGTAGTGTGTCGATCACGGGTCGCGTTTTGACAGCTGCCCGCACGATCGCCTCCGTTGAAGTAACGTGTCAAATCACGGACCGGGTCTGGTTAGTGTTGAATTACTTTTTAAGTGATAAGTGATCGCTCTTGCCTCATGCTTGCTGTCAAGGTAACGAGGTTTTGACGTATTTTCAGCTGGTGAATGAACCGCCGAGAGGCCTTCAGCTGGCATCCGTTGTCCGTCTTAACCGCTTTTTGCACTCGGCCCCGTATTTTGCCTTGTACCGCCTCACACCTTGCCTTGCACTGAGTGTCACGCACAGCGCAAAGAGAGGCCAGGAGAGGCCAAGGGCCGTGGCCCGTGGGGGCCAGCGGTTACGGCTGCGTGCGGCTGTCATACATATAGTGAGTCTGGCGGGGGCCTCCGTGTGGAATAGCAGCATCGGATTTTGGGACGCCAAGACGGGCACATGTATTCGAAGGCTCGAGGGCGACGGTCCGCTGCTGGAGCGCCTTGAGTCATCACCGGACAGGACACAACTCGCCTGGAGCTCAGGCGGCGGGACCGTGAACATTTGGGATGCCGTGGGTGACAACCTCCTCATGTCACTCGCTTGGAATGGCTCCTCGAGGCTGTGCTTCTCCCCCGACAACAAGGATCTACTGTCGGCATCGAGGGACGGAGGCGCCAGGATCTGGAATCTGAACACTAGGGAGCTCCACCTACCAATACGTGGACATCCTCGCAGCCATGAGATGGGAGCATGGCATCAGACGGGCACTATGGACACTGAAATTGTAGGAACACGCCACACAGATGGCAAGGACACCTATCATTTCTTCATGTTCCGACCGGTGGCCAAGATGCATGCGCAATCTATTCTACATTTAGGGGTGACGAACTCAAGAGCGGAGCTATCTGGTATGCCTCTGCAAATGTGTGAAGACCAGATACTCAAGTAACAGGTACATGTTGACATTCAGGGGGTAGCTTATCCCCTTTCATAAGTAGACCCCTATCTCTCTGCGCTTCACTCTCTAATCTATAGACGAGCTACACTTATGACAAAAGACACTGCCGAAGCTGCGCAGCGACTTGCATATTGTCAACCGGGTCCTTGAATGCCAAAGTATCACCCTGCCGCTCGAAAACACTCATCGGGTCGGCACCACCGCTGGCAACGAGGATACGGCACATGTCCAAGTCGCCGTAGCGCGTGGCCATGCGGAGAGGCTCCTTCCAGTGGCCGTCCGGTGCGGTAATGCCGCACCGGACATCTGCGTGTGCCTCTTCGAGCAAGAATTTGACGACACTATGCTTCGACCGCTCGAAAACAAGCAACTGAATAGGCATGTCATCATCTTCACCCGCCCTCCGGCGCCGGAGGCGACACCCCTTTTCCTGTACCACTGCTGCGCGCCTAGCCTCGATTTCGACCTCTAGGGGGGCGCTGTTCCTTCCTACCGTGGCACGGCTCCTCTGTTTCGGTTCTCCTCCTCTTATGCTTCGCGCTACCGCCACGGTCCCTTAGCTGTTTCTTCGCTGAACTCGCCCTTGTAAAGTATCTCACGTTAGAAAGGGGTGTACTGTTCAAGTGTCTCCCATCCCAGTATCAGCGCCATTCTTCAAGAGCGCCTCCACAACGAGCGTGTTTCCATACTTTCCGGCCCAAGCTAACGCCGTCCGTCCACTACGGTCGCGCCTGTTGATTTGGACGCCCCCGTTAGACAGGAGTACTTCGGCAGTCTTGGGCGATTTGATCTGAACGGCCCACATCAGCGGCGTCCACCCGTCGATATCTTCAGAGTCTATCCCGTGCGGTGCTCTCAGCAGTTTCTTCAGCGTCTCATGGTGACCGCCTCCACAAGCCCAAGATATGGCGCTCCTCTCATCTTTGTCAACACTTGCCTTATCAACCGCTTTGCTGCGAAGCAGCGCCTCGACCGTGTTGGTGCATCCGTTCCCAGCGGCCCAGGAGAGGGGCGATCTCCCCTTGTTATCTTTTGCGTTGACCTCTATGCCTGGTAGTCCTAGTAGCTCTTTCAAAATGTCAACCATTCCATCACCAGCAGCCCATGATACAGCTGTGCGTCCTTTTTTATCTCGGTGATTGATGTCGACCTTGGGGTGACTCGCTAGTGTCAAAAGAATCGAGCGATGGCCTCCGCCGACAGACCAAAGAAAAGGCGTCAGCCCCTCGATATCCGTGTCGTCAGCATTGCTATCATCCTTCGTGAGGAGCTCCTTCACAATATCAATGTACCCGTTGCCGGACGCAAAGGAGAGTGCGCTTCTTGCACTCCTTCCTCGTCCAAAGACATCAGTTCGTCTGTCTGCCAGCAACGCCATGACACAAAACAGATTGCCATGCTCCGATGAAATGGTGAGGGAGTTCTGCCCTTCTATCTCATGAGAATTGGGATCTGCATCAGCTGCTAGCAAAGTTTTAACAACCCGATCATGGCCAAGGCGAGAGGCCCAATAGAGAGCACGATTCTTTTCTCCCTCGGTGGCGGCACAGCTGTCAAGTAGGTTCTCCAACAAACGGCGATGATTAAAATATGCCGCCAAAACAATGGCATGCTGACCTGTGAAGTTTTCGACTGGATCATCGAATTGGGTGCTATAAAACTGCAACCAGTTGCGGCAGTACCCATTTTCTACGTCCAACAGTGTTTTGGCCATCTCTCTGAGTCCTTCCGATGCTATATCTGCGCAAAGGGCAAAATGCTCTGCCCAATGCAACGCAGCATAGTTGTAAAGGGTATATTTGGACTTGATTGATCGGCAAGTGTCTTCATTGAGCGAGTCCTGTTCACGAAATAGCATATCGGATGTAAGATAGTCGGCCTCGTCGTCCAAGAAGCTACCTGAGAAGTCGCCTGCAGGCAATTCCGCCAGGAGATCAGAGCAGCAGCTGCTGGATTCAGCCGATGAAGTGTCCAGGGAAAACATGTCTGTGCTGAAATCTTCTAGGCAAAGATAATGCATACAGGCAGATGCGAGTTGCAGTGCGGAATCCTCCATATTGACCAGGTGTGTCGCACAGAAGCTGCCAGGTACCTTGCAAGCATCCAAGAGAAACTCTCTCAGCGACTGATGGATTAAAAATACATGATCTTCGGAGATACGCGCCAAAGGACCCAGGATTCCTTGGATAGTATAGTCCATGGAGGTTTGTCTTTCCAGGAAAACGTCCTCGCTGGTGGCGAGGGGCGCGCGGATCAAGATCGTGAAAGCAAAATTGATTTCTTTTAAGTGGAAGGGTCTTGCGCTTGCTAGAAGAAGCTTCAATAAGAGCGCAGCATGGTCTTGATGGTCAGTCGGGATGGTGGACAAATAGCGCGTGTATGTATCTGCAAGTTTGTCAGGAATACTGGCGATGAGGGTCTGGAAATCTTTCAAAGAAGTCAAAAGGCTCTCCTCCAGTGACATCGTAACCACATGGATCCAAAGAAAAGACTGGTCTGCTTTGGCACGCAAAGCTTGTAGCAGGTATTCCTTGACGTTCTCGGGATATCGCCGATGGCGAGAGAGCTCGTCAACCCTATTTTCGATAAACTTTTGCAAGTCGGCAATGTAACCGGCCTGTCGCTCGTCGATAAATATCTGGCGTTGAAGGAATTGATCGGCGCTAGCACGGCGTTGGTAAAGAAAAGGGCGACTTGTTATGAGGAATTTGACAATGGTAACGCCCTGCGCTAGGTGGCGAGAGTCTTCAAGTAATCCAGAGATCGAGTCGAGAAGCTGACGACAGGACTTGTCCTCACATTGGTCCAGCGCGTCCAAAATGACGTAAAAGGAGCCTGCACGCGGGTCCCTCACAATCTGGAGGAAAATGTTCCATAGGGAGGAGAATGACCGTGTTATACTTTGCCCTTGTATCTCAAACGCTCGACGGACGTGATGGATCATGGAACGTCGGCGACTGATTATCTGAAAGATCAGGCTGATGAGCACTATTCTAGCATCGGTCTTTTTGCCATGTGCGCTGTCACAAAAGTGAAGCAGGGCGTTGTGAGACTTGTTGTTGGCCCAAGTTTCGTCAAAATGTTTGGCTAAGGAGGAGGATAGGGTTGTTTTTCCGCAACCAGAGTGGCCAGTTATCCAAAGAAGAGCATTGTTACTGCTTTGAAGCCACGATACAAAGATAGTGTGGGTGCGGATCCATTGGCAGGTGCCTGGGATGGGGCTCGAAAGCTTGGAGATGTTCACGTCTTCTTCGTCTTCACCAGTGAAGGTGCTGGGGTGAAGCAGTCGTAAACAGGATCGTTCAACTTCACTGAGGGCTTCAGTCGGGTTAGGATTTTATTACTAATATCAATTTGTAGGCAACTCACATCTAATCGATGATTGAGTTACTGGGCTCTGCGGTTCTGTTTTCGGCACTGCGCTTGCAGTGGCCATCCTTCTCAGGGCATTGGCTACCAATTTGTAGCTCTGCGTTGCACCAGCGTAGCGGCAGATGGTCCTGTGATCCTCATTGAGAGGGATCGATTCCTCGTTCGGTATACCAAGGGTGGCAGATTTCTGGTCGACAATCTGTGTGCCGTTTTGTTAATTGAATCTCTGCATCCCTGACCAGCATGTATTGCTCGTTCACTCACAAGCGACGATAGTGGAGCTATCGGATTGACCTCGAAGAATGAAACGACGGAGACATGTTGCAGCCGGTTGCGAGCTGCCATGACCAGGGTCTGCAGCGACTTGGAGTCTGAGCCAAGGTGGTCTAGCAAGTCGGACCTGGCCGTTCTGTATCGTATTCCAGCAGATGCGGTCGCCGTGAACGTGTTGATAATTGTTGCGAACACGCTCGCAGTATCGGCAATACTGCTGCCTCCATGAGGAGTTCCCAGGAACGCCACCCCAATGACTGCATTCAGTACTTGTCCATAGCGGCGATCGTCTTCGTGGGCTAAAACTAGCGCCTATGTTTCATGAGCCGAGTGGTTCGCGGAAGCATCGAATCGTACCACGAACCTGCTTGCACACGATGCCACCCAGGCTGTGGCAGACAAAGATGATCGGACGACAGCCCTGGTTCCACATTAGTTGCTAATTGCGTATCCAGAAGTGGGCGGTGGTACAGCAGGCGTGTCTTCCTGTAAATCTCGAATGGAGGCCAGCAGTATTCTTGCGAATTCGTTTACCCCGGCCAGCGACTGCGAGAAGACGCTTGAGGGGTAGCTGTATGTGTAGACGCGGCATCCAGGCAAGGACGCTGGGAGCATATCTCGGAGCCACAAGGTCCCACTGGAAGGATCTGTCCAGGTAGAGTAGGCATCTCCAGTAAGGCCGTGAATCGCAACAATGTCCACAGGGTAGGTGGAGGTGAACGAAGCTATTTGATCTGGCCGCCACTCTCCGTCCGGGAAGAGAGGGAGCAAACCGTGCTCGAGTGCCCCACCGCTCGGCGATTGTTTGACAGGCGCTCCCGGCGCACCGTTGCGCCTTGAGAGCTTTGACTTGAGCCTCTCAAACATTGGCGAATTTGGCGTGGATCACTGGATGGCGTTCTCGGGTAGAGCCGCTCACTAACGACGGCTTGTGTAACGGGAGGAGTTCCAGAGGTTCCGAGCCAGACTGGAGCTCAGCGGGGTTAACGGTCTCTTGGCGGATTGAGGCTGAGCTATGCCGGTCGGTCACGAGTCCAGAGTGCCAAGCCAGGTACCATAAATGATAAGGTACCCACGTACAGTAAACCTGCGATATAATGAATATGATCTAGAACGAATTCGCGACAATATCGTTGTTTTGCCTACACACAGCGGTTTTCTCATATAGATAACGAAAATCCCGGTTTTAGGTGAGATTCGTTAAATCTTGCTTATTAATACACACAAGATTCCGTTAAAACGGCAAGTATACGGATACGTACATTCTGCTCCCTTATCAAGAACCCACAAATTCATCATGAAGGACCCATTGAATGCCGTTTTTGGCCTACGGTGGGCACACACGTGACTTTCATTATTACCAAATTGCGTTAAACTCGTTAATTACTGTGTACATGACCAATCGTTGTAACGAAAGTTTACGGTAGTGTCGAGCGTCACCACTGCGGACGTTGTCACGTGCAAGGCGGGTCATACATTCACGCGGAAGTAATCTATGATGATCAACAGATCAGAAGAGGAGCAGGAGATGATATTCTCTATCTGAAGAAGATGCTGATGTTATGAAAAGAGGAAGAACGCAATAGCGCGAAGATGCTGCCTTTTAGGGGCAGCTGTGGGCCGAATGTGCAGTCTGACCAATCAGGACAGTGACTGGTCTGACAGTCACTGGGCCTGACACACATCATCAGATTCAGCCCAGTGACAGCTCCAGTCCTCCTAATCGCCATCGTGTTACCTGAACCATCGCCATTATGTCAACCATTTGATCGCCATGGCTGTCAAGACACTGACCATTCTCGGGGACGTCAAGTCCGGCAAAAAGACACTCATTGGATCTCTCACCTACAAGGTTTTTGTTCTCTCCGGACACCGCCGACTTTTCGAATCATTACTCACATTTAGCAGTGCGGGCTAGAACTACCACAATTAGAGGCTCTGGAGCGGGAAGGAGTTTCGAAGCTTGATAAGATTGTTCCATTTTATGAGAAAACTGGTCGCAAAATGTCCTTCTATGCTCCGTCGGGAAGACTCGTCGTCGAACGTATGGCAATGTCGTCCCGAAGTTTGAGCAAGTCCCGGACTGACGCGTTTATGTGTAGAAAGCCAGGTACCTGATGTTGTCTTCTGGGTTGTGGATGCTAATGCACCTGCCGGCTGGGCGTCCTCGGCCCAGCAGCTGGCGTCTCATTTGTCTGATGGCACGCTGCAGCCCCAAGAGAAGCTGGTCATACTGCTGAATAAGATGTAAGCACGAATACAGTGATCATGCAGCGTCGGTCCAGGCTTACAGTAGCGGCAGGGATTTGGTTGGATGGTCTGAAGACACATTTGCAGAGGCCGTGCGCACATTCATTGCTGCCAACCCTAAAACTGATCGGTATGGATCCCTTGGTGTCTCAGCACACAGTATATTCAAATTAACGCAAGCCTACATACCTAGGGTGTACTTGGTACCAATCTCAAGTCTCAAGGGCGATAACATCCTCAAACCGCCCCAAGGTTGCTCGTGGCTGGGTGATAAGTCTGCTTCTTATTCGACAAGTGCGCTGGAAGTGTCAAAGCATTCATTGGTGGAGAACCTGAGCTGAATTCGGGGGCGGAAGGTGCCCCTCCGTCGGCAAATTAGTCAAACCTTCCAGTCTCACATACTGTTGCGTTTGTAGGCTGTAGTATCTATCCAGATCACGGTCATGGGTCCATTGGCAATCCTATGAAACGTAGAGGCAGGAAATGTGTACAAGTAATGAGCAAGAAAAAGCAAGGAACGATTCAGTTGACCGTCCGATTCCATAGAAAGGAGTCAGACTTCTCGTGGATTGTGAGATACATCCTCAGCAGAAGCACTCAACCCGATCACTGGGAAAAATGGCTTGTTGGAAGAAAGCAGTGAGGCAGTTCCGAGGCAGGGCGGGGCGTTGGAGAAATCGGTACGAGGAACGTAAGCCTAATCACGCCCCTAAATTCGTATTCTATGCTCTGCATTCTTCCAGCCTCTTTACCACGTCCCAGTAAAACATATTCTGGTTCCGCAACCGCTCTGTCTCCCAATTCGCAGCTGGTGGGGTGCTCTTTCCTTGAAGCATATCTCGGCCTTCATCTAAAATCAAACACTTCTCCACAACTTCTGTATAAATCATCCCAACCCGCTTGGGTAGAGAAGACACGGCCGACTGGAGTTTGTCCCGATTCAAGGGCACGTGCTCGCTGGTCGTCTGCTTTCGACCGTCAATCTTGGCCAAAGGCAACCAAAGTGCGACCTCCAAGAGCACGAGACCGAAGCTGTAATTGTCATCTGATGCAGTGTATCGTCTCGCACACTGGCCTTGTACCTCAGGATGGCGGTAGAGCTGGTTCGTGGATGACACGGCGGACTGCTCGAGGAACGTCTCCTCATGGTATCCGTCAGGCCGAGAAAACCCGAACCCAAGCAGATACGGTTTCTCGTACTCTGGCTCGTTATTCTTCGCCGCCTGGAATATGACAATGTTGTTGGAGCGGATGGACTTGTGAAGCCAGCCGCTGGAGTGGAGCAGGTTCAACGTCCGCGAGAGCGACAAAGCGAGTTTGAATCGTGTACCTAGCGCAGGCGTGCTGGACGATGTGATAAGCTCATGGAGAGTGAAAGGCATATGGCGCACGACGTGTTGAGGGAAGTCAAAGGCGAACCCAAAGTGCTCAGAGGACGCCTGGTCAAAGTATCCAACGCAAGTGAGGACGTTGAATCCGTCCGGGCGCTGTGTACGAGAACTCATGAGCTCTGCGAGGTGTGTGACCCGGTTCCGCAACGTTTGCCGGGCTGTATGGCTTCCAGAGAGCATGCTCGGATGGTAGGATTTCCACTCGACAATGACACGTCTATTGCCATCCAGATTGGCTAGTGTGCGCTCCTTGGTGGCGTGTCTCGTGGACAATTGGATCCTACCCTCGTCGAGCTGAAGGGAAGAGGGTAGCGCAGGCGGACGTGAGTCGTACCCTTCTTCCTCCAAAGCCAACATCTGGTAGGCCCTCTTGAATCTTGCTAGCTTAGCGACATCGACGTGGTGTAGACTCGCCGCGGCAGCGATGACACTATCGAGATCATCCTTGTCATTTTCCTGCGCAAGGGCACAAGCCACAGCCTGTGAAAGGGACAGTTCGCTTTTCTTTGGCAGAAGGTGGTGGAGAGCGTTGTTAAAGTCGGTCAAATTCTGGACAGTCGTCTCCAGAGTTGCCTTGTCCTTGAGCGCCCATGTCATTCCTCGGTACACTAGACCTCCCCCGCGTTGCACACCACCATACTTGGCCGTCAAGGAAGAGTACTCCTTTAGCAACGTAGCAATCTGCTGAAGCGTCAATTTCACCGTAACCGCCACACTTCGTCCCGCATTCTCAATGGAAGCATCTAGGGCACACTCTGCTGGAGAAGATCGATACCCCCAGTACGCTCCCCATTGCGTCAGCCTCGTCTCTTCAATTTGAAACTTTGTTCTGAGTATGCGCAGATCAGAGCTGAGACAGCTCGCCGTGGAGAAGAGCTTGTACGTTTTGATACACTCGATATAGAGGGCCAGAACCGACAGCCCTACGCCCACGGGCTCCATGGTGCTCGCTGTACTTGACAACGACTCAAGCTATTTGGCAAAATGATACGTTGGTGAGTCGAAGAATGAGTCATGAATCAACGTCGTTTAAACATTGGTAAGATCTACACAGGCTGCAGGGGTGTGACCGTGTGACCCAGCCCTACAATGGCCCAGCCCCTCCTCAGTAATTACCGAGCTGAACTGGAGATGCTCAGCTTATGCAGGCTTCCGTGATGGTGCCTAGTCTAGTTACTTACTAATAAATAGCTCAGTTTTTCCTGCGTTGGGTTCAAAATGCGACCTCCATACTCGACTGCACAGAACGTCAACCGAGCGCCATGATCTCGCACTAAGCCATGGATGACGACCATTCCTTGAATCGTTCACGACCTACGTGGGCTGGCCTCAATGATCAGAGCTCAGGAACCCATCCATTATCCAGATCCACCCTTGGTGAGCCGTGGTCCAGTGCGTTTGCGAATCACCAGGGTTTAGATGATTCTGCATCTCCAGTGGTCACGTCTGGCAGCACTAATAGAGATGAGGAACGGGTCGTCGCCGACAACATCAGTCATCCGGACTCCCGACCAGTGGACTTCCTCAAGCTTGTGAGCTTATGGGCAGCCACGAACCGGCAGAATGCGGCTGCCGAGGACTTCCGCGCTGAAGGGTTCACATCAATGAGAGCCTCCAAAACGCTGGGCCGCGGTCTGTCCTTCAGCGCTCAGCTTGTTCGCACCGACGAAGGAACGAGGCGGCGCTCGGGGCTCAGATCATGCTTTGTCGTCTACAAGAAGCTCAGAGGGCTGACAGACGCATTGGACCCCGTCGAGCGAGGCGAATTGCTTCGTGCAGTTCTTCTAGAAGTGCGTGTCCTGACACATCCGCCCCTCAAAGCCCACAGCAACATCGTGAACCTCATTTGCCTCGCTTGGGAGCCTGATCCTGATCGCCAGGATCAAGCGTGGCCTACTCTTGTGCTGGAGTACGCAGAGAACGGCACCCTGGCAGACTTTCAAATTGATTACCCCAACGTATCCTTCGCACTGCGGAGGCAGCTGTGTCGAGATGTGGGTTACGGCCTGCGTGCCCTGCATGATGCTGGCATTGTGCATGGCGATCTGAAGTCGGAGAACGTCCTTGTGTGCGACAGTACCTGTGGGCAAGGGGTCATCGCAAAGCTTGCAGACTTTGGCTGTGCCGTGATTGACCTGGGCCCTGCGGATACGGCGAGACTACCTGCGTACACTCAACCCTGGAATGCACCAGAGAGCCAGAACCGGCTGGCACGGGATGCTCTCAAGCTGACCGATGTTTACAGCTTCGGGCTGCTTGTTTGGAGAGTTGTTCTGGATGGTGTCAACCCGTTTCGGCATATCAGTTCGCTCGCTTCCCTTGATAAAGACGATTTTCAACGCCAAGCTGAGATCCTCAAGAGGGAGGACTGTCTGCTTCCCGTGGCCAAATCAACCCTCAGGAGCCCATTCTGTAGCGCCGAAGAATCTGACCTCATCGTCAAGATCTTGGATTCGACTCTGCAACTGGATGCTTCGAAGCGGCAATTGGATCGTGCTTTAGTGGTGCTGCTCGACCCAGGGTATACTCTCCCTGTTCCGGCCACCCCTTTGATGCCGATTGATTACAACGTTGTACATTACACCTTCCCATTATTTCTGCACTTACGTTCGTGTTTCTGACACTTGTCCAGATAGATATTGGGGTGCTCGAGGCGGAGGTCACTCCCCTGTGCCTTCAACTTTCCATCATCCGAGAACTAGAGGCCTTGGCAACCAAATCAGATAGCATGAGCGTTCATGCCTGCTCCATGCTGTTTGAGATATATGTCCACCGGTTGGAGTGGCCCGGCGCTGAAGACGAGGCGGCCAAGTGGTACGTCAAAGCAATCGAGAGAGATTCCAATGCAACTAATACGCGCCATGTCTGCGGTGTGTTCGAGTTACTCAACCGACATGCCCCTCCCGACATTGACTTCATTTCCATCCTCAAGACATCCGCTCGGAGGGGCTGTTATCGTTCGTTGATGGAACTTCAAAAGCGCTCACTTTCCGAGTACCACGCAACGGCGCAGGAATATCGCGAGCATGGCGGGCTTCTGCGCCATGATGAGAAGCACCACATCAGCGGTGTGTCGTCATTTGGCTGTTTTGAGGAATATTTCGACATCATGACGGCGAAGCATGCGGGAAGTACCTCGGAGCTGTTGAAGATGACTGTCACGGGGAATGGAGACCTCATGCTCCACGTTGCTTCACGGTACGGATGCTTCAGAGCCATCGACCAGCTGGTCTCTTTGGGTGCTGCTGTCAACAGCGTCAATCATGACGGAGAATCGACCCTTCTCCAGGCTTGCAGAGCCGGCAGTCTGGCGGCAGCCGAGCTTCTGCTGAGCAAAGACGCTGACCCGTCCATAGCGGCAGAGACAGGGGAGACGCCATTACACTGGTCCTTTGCATTCGACGAACGGGAGGTCAGAAGGGCCACAGAGCTGCTCCTCCAGTGCGGCGCACACCCATGTCTCTATTCCTCGGTGTCTCCGGGACGGTCCTCAACAAATGAATACTTGAGCTTGTTTGGTACACCACTGCACTACGCTATACTAGCCCGGAACGAGGTTGCAGCTGAAGCCTTGCTTGTTGCGGGCGCTGATCCCTTCCTTGACTATTTATCAGAGCGTGCGGATGAGGTCTGCTCGTATACCCCGTTTCGACTGGCTATCAAAGGGCTCCTGTCGAGCACTGTACGGAGGATCTTGGGATCACCGGCATTGGCATCGGACATTGCCAATTATTTCAAGTCCACAAACGAAAGCATTGTGCAGTATGCAATACGTACAGCGAGTAGAGCCTCCTGCCGGATTTCATTAGGGGCAAGATACGCAAGCGCCCTGATCCAGATGATCGACATGCTCCGAAAATGGGAAGCAGATGACAAGTCCCAGGCGTCTGAAATGTCTCTTTTACATACCTGTATCGTACATGGCATGCCACCAGAGGTCGTTGAGTATCTCTTGCAGACTGGTAGCCAGAAGCAGCTGGAAACCGTCTCCGTCGTCCATGGACATACGCCATTGCAAGTCGCCATGCAACTGAATCGCAGACAGACTTTTCTTCTGCTTCTCCAATACGGCGCAGATGTCCACAGGCGCCTTCTTTTTCCTGAGGGCTTTTCCTACCTGCAACTATGCTCTCAATTGGGATCGAGCGCTATCTTTTTCGCCAATGTGCTGATCGCTCGCGGGGCGAAGCTAGCTGTTGGAGCAGGTTATGACCCCGACGTCCGGGATGACACTGAGTCACTGAGCCAATTCTCGCCCCATTTCCTTTCCGTTTTATTGGGAAGCTTTGATCTGGCGACCTTTTTGCTCCGACAAAGTGGTTCGGGCCGCATGTTACCCCCTGTGCGCGACTTTGACACCTTCATGATGATGTTCCGTGCCTTGCCTCGTCTCCCTGTCTCCCGCCTCCGCTATCTACTGGAACCACCCGAAGGCATCGAGCCAGTGCCGCTCGATGGTTACATGTCGTTCCGGCGAAACTGCTTCCACGCTCTCGCTGCCCACCCTGTTCTGGGGGACCTGGAGCCTCTCGTCAACTTTCGATACCTCGTCGAGCAGAGCAGAGTTCGGGGCCAACGTAATCTTATCAACCAACTAGATACTATTGAGCTTACACCACTTGTGTCCGCCGTCATGATGGGTCGCCTTGATTTGATCAGAGAGATGCTCGCTGCGGGGGCGGATCCAAATCTCGGAGGCACCACAAGCGTCAACTATGCACATCTCTTTCTGAAACGTTTGCAAAAGGCCCCTTCGCAAACTTTCGCGGCCATTGGCGGGCACACGCTTTCGCGTAGAGAGGCAAGATGGCTCCAAGATGACTACAAGTCCATCATCGACTTGTTGAAACAACACGGCGGGCGGGAAGAACGAGGACGTGACGGTGGGCTGAAGCTTCCCTACATGTCCTTGACCAGGGGCTACCTAGGAGCTTACAAGGAGAAACAGGCCAGTGGTTTCAAAATGGGGTACAAGCTCGGCCGAGAGTCAGCTGCGGAACATGGGTTTGGGAATACAATGCGCGAGATCTGGGGGGCTCTGAAGACAAAAAGAAGTGAGGGCACGACACCACTGCAAGACATGAAGCTTGACCCTTGGGAAGACTTGAAGAGCACCTTTTCGAATTCGCACATGAGGTATCACGATCATCGTGCGAGACAAAGTAGATTTTCTCCGTCCAACACCGAGGGATCAGGGCCGTCGGCGAGCGACAGCCTAGGCGGTCAACCAAGGGGCGCATCTCTTGTGGTAAGTGCTTGTTTTCATGTTCCGGTGAGATAGATCCCATGAAAGGGTGATAGTCTGATACGGTAGCGGCAGGGCACTATTGGCTCGCTACGAGATTTCGCAAAGTGGTACTCTTCGTCGCCGGCCTCTGAGGTACCGGATTTTATACCACAGCAACCACATACAAGCCAGCGTCATGGGACTCACTCCCAGCAACCAGCTCCTCGTTCACTCGTCCCACCATCGACAACCGCCCGGCGGTTCGCTACCGGCGCGCGCTCCAGTACACTCTCACCCTTACCACCCTCCTACCGAGAATCAAGATACTCCGTATCAAGGGCAAACCTATTACTCAGGACCCCAACCATCCAGCGTAACTACCTTAGGTACCCCAGAGTACCACCTGGACCTTCTTTCAACCCACCTCCGACCAATTCTCTCACGTACCTCTTTACATGTCAACGAAGTGCAAGCGCGTATTCAAAGGAGACTTGACTCATATTTTGCTCAGAATACAGTGTCCCGGGAAGAGATGTGTTCTCCTGGCGCCCCTTTTGGCAGTCTGTACGTTCTCGAGCTAGAAAGGGGCCTCCGGTACCTTTTGGACGGTCATTTGGAGGTTACCATCCTGAAAAGGAACGATGCATTGAGAGCTATGGTGTACCAAACTAGGGAACAGACGAGAGGTCAATTAATATCGGAGACAGCCCTTGTGGAAGAGGGTTGGCTTGGTTGGCAGATGCTGGAGGCAGAAGAGGCGGAGTTTTTGGCGCGTTCGTTTACAGACGTTCTGATATTGTGAGGGCCACTTTGCATAAAGGCACGACTGCCCGGGCAGTTCTGTGGTGGGTCGCCTACAGCTAGATGCGCACCTCGAGGTGGGAGGTGTCTCACATGATCCATGCCAGGTTGGTTACTTGTGACTGTAATATTGCAAATCCATGTCAAAAGACTTTGACTCTCCTGCATGGCGCTCCACAACAGGCACGCAGAGCCAAAGCAGGACACTGGGTGCCAAAGACGGCTCCCAAGATTCGGAAAACGGACACTGAGAAGCAGAAACGAAATTAAGCAGTTGAGCGCGAGACTTAGTTACATTTGGCGAGCACCATGGTCAAGTCCACCTGTCTAGTTCCTACCAGTTGCGCATCCAGGGTGCCCGGCTATCTGGGTTTCCCTATATAGGGCTGCGCGAGAGTTCCTCCAAGTCGAATTGATGGAAGCACGCTAGAATCTAACAATAGACTGACTCGTGGAACTGAGGCTCTTTCTATTGATATACGTAATTGACTTGGACAGAGAACTTTTGTCAATCAAGGCTCTGAAGCCTGTCAACCTTGACAGTCCTGCATAGAATAGTGCTATCTCAATCGCGCGTAGGAAGTCACCAAGTTCTACCTCACGTGTAACGTCATAATTGATATCTTTCGAGGACTGAATCCCATTTTCTGCAGTTGGACCGGCAGCAAGCGCTCACTTTGCCCTATGAATACCTAGGCCAATTGACAGGCCGACCAACTTCTTGGAAAGCAACACGAGACGAAGGCGTCAAAATTTGACAGAACTTCTTGCATTTTGCGACTATGAACAGTCCGAGAGTCTTATAGGCCACTATGGGGATGTTTGATGGGAGGCTCTCGGCCAAAACGAGGCTTGCCGCCGTGGCTTGCTAGCTAGTCAGCAGCAGCATTTGAGGATGCGGCTAAATTGTTTCAAGTCTTTCGATGTCACGTCTTTCTCGGCTTTTGGCCTATGAGGATCGGGGCATAAGGGAAAAACAATGTCGAGCGGCTAAATTGGCATCAGCGATTACCGCGAACTGGTGGAGAGTTCCAGATTGCAAGTGTGCTCTTGCTTTTTCAGTGCGTCCAGCCCTCAACTCTGGAGATATATTCTTAGTACGAGCCTTGCAGATCTCAATCCATTATAAAAGGGAGCCCAAATGTCCCACTATCCCAGTCTGGACACATCAAATTGTTCTTGCCCGATCAACTCTCTCAAGGCGTCAGCTCACCATGGGCCAGAAACACTCTCTCATCGAAGTTTGCGAGGATCGCGGGAAGAATCTGAGCGAAGAAAGCTGTCAAATCAGCTTTGACGGGTCAGGCAATGTGTCGAGCTTTGGCGGCATTGGTACAGGGGAGTTCGAAGCAGATCCTGATATCGCCGGCTTTGGTGTAAGTTGACTAACCAGCATGGAAGATGTTCACCGCTCTCTCATCAACATACGGCTTTGGCTGACAGCACTTAGATTTTCATCGCTTTCATGACTCTCAGTGCAATCGTCAGCTTTGCCGGTCTTTGTCTCATTATTCTACGCGGCGTTGTCCTCAGATTCGCGCCGGACAAACGGTACCACTCGCAATCCCCATTGGTAAATGTTTGAAAACAGTCTGATCAAGCTCATAGCGACGCCAAGAAATTTGTCCGTTGGTACGATTACTCCAAGAAAGCTCACCAACTTGTGGACAATCTGATCCTATCGTCTGCTGACGCACAGCTCTTTTTGATCCTTGCTTTCGGGGGCGCTTTCTACTGGACCTCGCAATGCACCGTTTCACTCTACCATTACCTCGTGGCCTTTCACATGATACTGGCGGGACTTGCAACATTCTTGCTTGCCTTTGTCATGATCAGTCAACCGTACAAGGAGTTCTTCTCAACTGTGGCTCGTCTCACTATATTCTTGATATGCTTAATAGCTGTCTCAAACAGCAAGGACATGCAACGAGCTTACCTCGAACGGTTACAAGACATCCAGTCTCATCTTCCAACGAGCAACCAGAGGGATAGTTTTATCATACTGCCCGCCTACTGCATTCTTGAGCAGCTTCTTGACCCGTCTGAAGATCTCGGTACCGAGGAAAGACAACATCTCGCCAACAGAGGCATTGAGCGAAGTGTGTATCCTCAGTTTGTAACAATCTGTACGTTATTCGGCTTTACAACATTCTTTACACTACTCGGTCCTCAAATTCGGTTTTTTGTGCTCCCGAGATCCATCGACGACTGCCACGGCCCGATTGATGCATTGGACGCGGATGAGAAGCGAGGTGCGTTGCTCGATGATCAAATTTACCTCGGGTTATTCTACAAGATCGTGGTCTGGATAGCATGCGTGGCAATAATCATCTGGAACTGGATCACTGTTGCCTTTCTGCGGAAGTGGATCGATGAGTCCGAATGGCTGAACAACAAGGGTGGCAACGCCGAGAACGATGTTCTCGGAATCGGGCAGCTGGCTCCACTTGCTTCTCTTGGAACCATTGGACTTGTACTCGTGGATATTGCTTGGGACTTTGCGAAACATTGGCATCCACTTCGCTGGTGGACTGGAGAGGACGATGTCTTTAAAGGACCCAATATCTGGGCATCTAGGGTCCCGGTGGAGTTGCAGCGCTATCCGAATTCAAGGATCTAGACTGGGCTAAGAAGACAAGGGCTACCTTACTTCTGTCTATTACAATTATGTACTTGTATTATCTTTCCAAACCCCCTCAAAGTAACGACGCGAGTATAGCAGCCACCGACAGTACAAACGCAGCCCCGCTTACTGCAGACAAGGGAGCAGCTCCTGGGATACCTGGCGGGGCAGGGACGGAGGTAGTCTCTACATCAGTAGACGAGACGGAGACCAAGCTGGAAACAAACGAAGTTGCGGCGGGTTGTCCGACGCCAGGCGATTGGGTCTGTGCAGTGGCAGTGTGGTCGTGAGGCAAAATGCCTGCCGAATGATCGAGTGGTTGACTCCCAGCATTAGACCCCTGAGTGTACGCCTCAGAGTGGGTTGGGGCGCCCGAACTAGCGGCCGTTTGAGTGGCAGCCCCTGAGACGGGATTCGGCTCGAGATGAGTCGTGGGGACGTATGCTGTGTCGACCTGCGTCGTGACGTCTGGTTCAGGACTGGCATCAACGCAGGCAGACGCCGAGCAGACTGATGTATGCGTGAGCGTGTGAGTAGCTGTGGCAGCGGGGCAGTAGGTTGTGGTAAATGTGAGTACCTCGGTCGTGACCTCGTCAAAAGGGCAGTCACCGACAGTGGGCGGGCACTTGGTGACAACGTATGTGGTTGTGCTGAGGTATGTCTGCGTGGTGACTTGGGGGGGTATGATCGCCGAGTGATCGTTTGCGGCGGTGGTGGCGGTGGTGATATGTGGTTCCGGTACCACTGTGGTGGAGGTTCCTCGCGAGGTGAACCCGTCTGTCTTGTTTGGCTGAGTGGTCTCTGGTGTCTGCTGCGACGTGGAGATTGTGGTCTGGCTTGTAACCTGGGTAGAAGAGGATTTCTCGTCGCTGACATTGGTGACGGCGCTGGGGCTCGTATGGGATGTCGATGCTGCGGTCGCAGTGATCGATGTTGGGGTCGACGTTGGGATGATTGGCGTCAGGTTGAAAGTGCTGACAGGGGTTGATGCTGGCGATGAGGCTGGCAAAGACACGTGTGAGGACACTGGCGAGGAGACCGGTGAAGACACGGGCGAGGAGACCGGTGAAGACACGGGCGAGGAGACCGGTGAAGACACGGGCGAGACCGGTGAAGACACTGGCGAGGAGACCGGTGGAGACACGGGCGAGGACGCGGGCGAGGACACGGGCGAGGAGACCGGTGAAGACACGGGCGAGGACACTGGGGATGAGGGGGGCGTAGTCTCTGGCGTAGTCTCTGGCGTAGTCTCTGGCGTAGTCTCTGGCGTAGTCTCTGGCGTAGTCTCTGGCGTAGGAGTCGGGGTGGGCTCAGGACTGGGCTCGAGGCTCGGTTCAGGCTCGGGCTCAGGGGCAGGGTTACAGGTCCCCGGGAGCGAGGGCACGGCGTCTGGTCCAGAGCCGATTGCAACGAGGTTAGTCTCGTAGTCGCCCTGGCAGTTCTGGCCCATGTGAATGGAGCGATTGTCCTGATCGAACACAATGTACGCAGAACTGAGAAAGTTGGTTCCCAACGCGGGCGCGTCTATGGTCCACTGTCAGCTGCTGGACCAACCCCCATCCTGCCTCTCACAAATTAAGCGCGCATCTCATCAAGACTTACTATCATCTCGGGTCGCGCCGATATAACAGGCACCGCCAGATTCGACAATGAATTCGCCAACGGGTACCTTGATGGTGATCGCGCCAAAGGTAAAGTCGAGAGTGCCACCCGATTCCCTGTCTGCGCAATCAACAGAGAACTGGTTGACGGAGGGGGTGAAAATGGCGGAGGGGAAAGCCATCCTTAGACTTTCGAAGATGAGACCGGGCAAGCGGCAGACGCTGGAGCTGCTGTCCAAAATAAAGGCTTGCTGGCCCTCGTGGAAGATAAGATCGTCGCCAGTGTCTCTGACAGCAAGTCTGTCTAGTTGCACCCAATATCTGTTGCCGAGAGGACATGAATCAGCCTCCAGCGTACAATACAGTTTTTGGAGTGCTTATCCTGTCGTCCTCTTACCTCGTGGTACCATCCGGAGATCGCGAAGATGGGATAATTGGAAGCTTCTCCAAATTTCCCATGTAGCGAGAAGTATCGAGACCTCCGAGAGTCAAGGAACCTGGTGACGGTAGACAACGGTTAGCTGCTTGTCAGAACAACAGAGAGTCCAGGCCTTGAGCGTCAAGTTGCGTACCTTCAGAGTCGCCTGAGCGCAAGTCCAGGCTGAACGCGCGGCTCTGTGTCCACCCTTGGTAATACAGAGTGTCCAACACAAACGGATAAGGGCTGTCCCAGCCACTGAGCGAGGGAGCGAGAGCAAGGACGCCAGCGGACGGGCCATCGGAAGCGTATGCGACCCCGAAGATCTGTGTCGCGATTCTGGCGGCTGCCTCAGGGAGTCAGCGCATGAAACAATCGGCCGAAGCTCGTGAAACGGAATCCTCCTTACATCCAAGTCCCATCAAGTCGTAACCATAATTCCACTCAACATAGCCACGGGACAGAGTAGTGCCGCCTGCAACGTTCAAGTCGACGAATGTGGCGCTGCTCGTGAAACGTCCTGTACTTGCGCAACCGACGGGATCGTCCGAGTTTTGACAGATGGGGTTCACCCACGTGTCCGATGAGGTTGTATCGAGCATCAATTTGACCGTTTGGCCCGGCGTCCCAAGAACAACATCAACGGTGTAAGGCGCGGATCGAATTCCCGCAGAGGCAGGGAGTTCGATCTGCCTGCCCTCTATTTTGCGGCGCTCAGGCGCTGCCGGGGGCCTGACGGCAAGCTGCAGCACACCATCGGGGACTTTGACATTGTTCGGAACAGTTTCGCGTGTGGCGACGACGGTCGAGGCCAGAAAGGAGACTGTGAGGAATGAGGACCGCATGCTGCTTGTGCAATCCGGCCGCGAGAGCCTAAAGAGGACTGTGGGAGGGGGAGGTGGTGTTGGATTGATGGGCAGGTTTGAACAGGAATCGGTGCCAGGAGCCTGACTTACATCTATGTCTCGATGCGGTAGGGCAAATTGCCATCACACATGGGAATTAGCCTATCGGTGCGGCCCTTGTCTCCCGTAAGTGACCATTCCTTTGGCCATGTAGTGCGCTCACGTTCTGGGCTAACTCGTGGCGGTTCAGATCTAACATCACACCGTACCTCGTGGCCGAGGCCCTGGGGAAGATCGTGGAGCTGGGTCCATCCGGGCGTACACTGCTGGACCATGATGCGTGGACAATCATAACTATTGGTAGGTCCGAGAGCACCTGGTTGATCAGCTGCCAATTCATCTCGCAGCTTTGGTCCGGTACTATTGGAAAAATAAAATTGTAAGCTGTGCCCACCCATACATCGCGTGTCGCGACAGTGTGCCACTTCGAGGACGGAAATCACGACATGGATGCAGGTCTCAATAGATCTAACATCCGGCCAACGCCAGAAGCAGCCGCACTCGATCGTGTACCTTGCACTAATCCATATGTGGATGCTTTGAGGCTGAGCCACATTCGCTAGCGCTTTAAGCGCTCAGGTTTTGTTATGTCGACGGGTCTAGAACTTCAGATCAATAAAGAGCCGAGCGGCCTCCTACATCTCTGTCCAACGGCAATTTGCTTGTGTGTCAATAACGGAGCAAAGGTTCCTTCAATTGACGGAATGCTCAGGAAAGAAAGCAGCTATCTCTCTGTTGCGGCCCCGTGCAGCTTTTAGCACAGCTGCTGGCCTGGTCCTCAACAAGGGTTGGCGCATGCTGTTCAACCGGTGTCCCCATGTGGCCAAGCCCATCATCTTCTCACCGGCAAGAGGCATTTTGAATAGAACGGGCTATAGCTGGTACACACACTCTTCTCGCATTTGGTAGGTTAGGAACATCCTATCCCACCGCATTGGCCGTGTAGGGGAGCCATAGGTTCAGCCACAGTGCCGGTTGGTGCCTTGACGTCGTCGTGCCAGTACTGATAGTGAAAGTCGTCGTTGAAGGTTGGCCCCCGCCATGTTTGAAGTCGCTGATCTGATTGACTTGAGCAACAATGGCAGCCATTTGAACTCCGAAGGTGACATCAATATAAGAGTCATACTACGGATCAGACCTACCGATGCAGGTCGAGCAAGGCTCATCGCCCTTCTGATCGGTGTTATTGCCATACCAGCCTACAGATTTGGAAGAACCAGAGATAGCAACTGCAACATACCAACCCAATCCCAGCATCCGTTTGGATGGGGAAGCAGCCCCTGCCATGCTTGCCGATGAGTATAGTCTAGTGTCCCCTGAGGGTCAAGTATCATAATATTGTTCGTGTCTGTAATTCAGGTTCAGCAATCAAATCGCCAGACTGTCGAGCGTTGTCAAAAAATACGTACCGGCCCATTGATTAAAGCCTGTGTTGACGGTGTGCTTCTTTCCCATGGCGGATGTAGTTTGCAGGCATCGGTGCAACGCCACATGAAGCTTGCAACCGGTGCAACCGGTCTGGCAGGCTGTATGGAGGTAGAGAGAGCCATAGGACGCCATGCCAGCGGCCCCGTACTTTCCAGACTGGTCAAAAGAAACGAGGCTGCCCCGATCTCTCGAAGAGCGAGGTTTCAATCCGCTGTACATCCAGTTTGGTACAGCTCCAGCGCCATCATTGTCATAGTTAGCAATGTATGGCGAATTACTTGAGCCACACGAGTAATTGCCTGAGACATCAACGTCTGTGGGAAACACATGCACCACCTAACCTTGGCAGGTCACGTAGGCCATGTTTGCTGGCTCAACATAACTTGCCAACTGCGCCTCGAGTGCATTCATCGGTTGGGGCCAACGATAAAGTCGGATATGCCAACTTGGAGGAAGACTTTCCGCGTCTTGAGATAGGCGGTCGCCGATTTGATTGCCATTTCATGCCTGCAAATTGCTGTTGGAAGTCTGAGAATTTGTCTTATTGTTGTTCATGCACATGGTGTACTGCAACATTTGTAAAGCCTATACGCATACCAAATGCCACGCACTGGTTGCGCTACCTGCTCGTTGCGCGCGCGCGCACTCAGAAGGACCTCCAACAAACACTCCAAAGCTTTTTTCAAGGTAGACGAGTGGGAAATGCCAAGCTGGGCTGCCATGAAGCCTCCCGAAGACAGTCCGGATCCCGAAACCGAATCTGGATCAACATTATAAGCACTGAGACTGACTGCCTCCACAGTACCCAAGAGTATCGCGGCGAAGTACGCCACAGATTTGGTTTCAAACACTTTTTTTTTTTTTTTTTTTTTTTTTTTGGACTAGAGTCGAGTTATCCGATGATCGAACAGAAAAGGTTTAGTTTCTTGGGAGAGTGTTGCTAGTGGTTGTGGAACAGCTCAACAAGTCACAGGTATATATATCATGACCCCGTGAGCGATCCGAAGGACTAACGGATCCGAACTATGTCTTACCTTTGAGTTCGCTTCACTGTGCAGTATGAAGATTGATGGGCATGGCGTCTTCAAAATAAACATCTACCTCGAACGGCAAGTCTATGGGTCTGGTCTGCGGCAAAGGGAGCATGAATGTGCCGGGTATGCTAGCCGGGATGCATCGCTGTTTGCGGGGGGTTGATAGAATTCCTCTGCTGGTCTGCTGATCATATTTAAATTCACCTTGAGGCTGGAAGGCCTGCAGAAGCTTGGCAGACATGTCGACATTCCCAGGATTTGTGGCTATCTGTTAACCCCAGATCCCCGCGCTTTTTCCACAATTATCCTCGTTTCCTCGGCAGCATCCGATTTACCTAGTCACAAAGTATGTGATTTACCAAGCCGACAACCTCCACGCGAGACGCATCCCACCCGCCACCTCTTGGAACTACTCTCTGTTGTGGCCGATCTTCCAGTCGGGGTGGCGTGATGCTCAAGCATTGGAAGAGAAGACGTGGATACGAACTCGCTTGAACACGGCCTTGCGAGCCGTCGAATGCCGACATTTCAGTAATGCACTGGAGGCGTTGGAGTCTGTCTGGAAAGACCATGGCCGTTGTGGGTCGTCCGCCATCGGCATGTTTGGACTTACCACTATGCTGGGGTAGCTGATGCATAGCTGCTGACCGCCCCCTCGTCATGAGCCAGAGAAGAGCTTGTCTGAGAAGATGAATGAGAGGTGAGTTCGAGTTCCAAGAGTGCAGAGTGCACACGTGGCAACCAAATACTATCACAAGGTGCCGCAACCTACCATTTGATCCAACTCTTTTGAGTTCTAATGGACACATCATCTGCTCAAACCTTCTTCCGGGCCAAACCCGGCGCGCTTTAAATTTGTAAATGTCTATATTTCATTGACGCAAGGTGTAATTGAACCTAACCTCCTCCACCTACTTCCTCGCCTCCTTTCGTACCGTCACGACCCTCTTCTCCACGCCGAACTCAACAACTTCCGTCACCACCAGGGCCTTAAGAGCAGTTTCATCGTCAACATCGCTAGCAGTACCAGGATGAGGCAAAATTGAAAGGATCTTTACACGCTACATTTCATAGAGTACAGCGAAGAACTGCACCGCCATGGTGCTATCTCACTGCATGTGTGCCATGGAGAACTGGCCCCAGAAATTCCTCTTCTCAGCTCTTCGCGGTTGCTGAGTCGTCGACTGGGCGACCTCACAGGTCCCATTTCTACTTCCGTATTGAAGGACCAAATTCCAGACACAAGTCGCAGTGGGGGGATCGAGGAGACAGATCTCATCGACCATGGCCTGCTTGCTTCAAGTGACTAGAGCCCTGTAACAGAGAAGAGTCACAAAGACCTTATACCGGCGTTTGAGAGGATTGCTTTACTTGATTCGTGCCTAGGTCCTTCGTGGACCGGGGCAAGCACACGCGGGAGCAGACTCGACATGCCAACGGCGATCCAGCTGTCCATAATGCAGCATGACAGCACATCGCCACTGTCGCTGCACTGGCTTCGGCAGACCTCGTCCGTCTTCATGGCCTTGTTTGACAAGGAGAATTTTGCGTCTTTCCACCTCCCATCCGAGTCATGCAGATCCCACAAGAGTTTTAAACTTTCTCGTTTGAATCGCGGGGGGCTCTATCTCCGTGGGGTCCGCCTTTTCCAGCATCTACACTGTACCTCGTGCTGCTACATCTTCCAAAGCGGCACCCTGGCGGGGGAGTGGCAGAGGTTGCTTTCGGCGCGCGCTACTGTGTGGGTTGCAAGGGGACCTACCGGTCCTACATGTTCCTGCCGGAGGAAAAAGGGGAGGCACGACCGTGAGGGAGGCCGACTGCTCCGTATAGGACGCCAAGGCGAGGGTGTTGATCTGCGGCCATAGCAATGGTCAGAATGCCAAGAATGCGCCCACAATGTGGCGGCACATGCAGGAGCTTAAAGCGAAGCGCGAATCCTCGATAGGAGCTCCCGTGGACCATGGCCGCTTCTGTCCACACCAGTCGCACATACCATACAGTCGGCACCCGCCGTAAGGGGTCACATGTTCGTGTGCACGGCAGAGCTTTATCAGATGCCGCGAGTGCGGTACAGCATACATGTGGCACCTCAGAGAGGGTATTGTGTGCCTGACCTTCCGGTACGTCTGGTACATCAAGAAGCCTATTAGTGTGGGATGAATCAGCCTTCTCGGTCAGCGGTGGCGGGACAGGATGTTTGATGAGGGGATCAAGCACGTTTTGTGGTGTGATGCAAAGGACTGCCGGACGAACACATGTCGGCCTTGGGACGCGCTGCTGAAGGATGAGGCTGCGTGGGATCAGGCTGAGCACCCCGTCAGGGAAGAGAAATGGTCGGATCTGTCATTGCTGGAGGTACTTGAGAAGCAGCACGCATTTCGAGGTTGGTAGACAGCAACTACAGCATCCCCTCAATCTCAGCCACGGACCGCTGTCGCGGTCAGTTGCTCCTCACGTCGTCTTCGTAGCGCTCTAGGGCTGGCACATAAGATATTTATTTTCAGGACGCTGCAGCGGCTCTAGGAGGCATGAGGCTGGAGGTCAGACCGAGTCTCTTCTCCTGGAGCTTGGAAGCACGCTTTCGCAGCTGGTGCATCTTGTACAAGTATAGAGCAAATGCGAGCAGCGCGGGATTCGTCAGGTTGAAGTCGAATTCGGAAGGAAAAAAAAAACAGTGGTTCCGGGCATTGTGAAAACATTGTTGTTCTTTAGTTGTTGTGGATGGGTTTGGGGATGTGGCCAGGTGAGCGGAAGGCAATTAGCTCCATGCCTATCTGCGAGTGAATTAGAGATATGCTTCATCTGATTCACAGAGACCTTATTAAGGGTCTACTTTATCGAGGTAATTGTAACAGTGCCGAGCTCAAAGTGAGGGTTAAGTGACATTGGGTTCAGCAGCGCAAGGTCTCGGCATCAGACGAGGCAGCATTATCACTTAAGGCAAGGTCATTTCGCTTAGATGATATTCTTTCTCTCCCATCTTGAAAAACAACATCTTCCGCCCTCAGGGACTTGTGAGTTATGACTCGGCCACAGGAATACGCGTCTCCCCTCTGACCGAGGCAGCAAGCAACTACCAGCTTTACCAGCACCACCACTACATGCAGGAGCAGACCAGAGATCGCAATATTGAAGATAACTGAGGCCATGTTCGTGCCCTATTTTGGGCTCAATTTCCCGACCGTAGCCTTCCTGGTCGTGGTCTGGATTCTATGGCGGCATCTCAGGGGTTGCACACCCAGGAGCGTGGTACCTACATATATATGGGTGTGCTGGCATTGCATTGAGTACTTGGATACTAACGATGATGGAACATCAGCTGAAGAGCGCTACGTTTTCGAGACAAAGCACGGACTTCGTCTCAGCCACTCCCTGCGCGACACCGCGGAGATGGACTAGTCTGGCGGTAGGGGGTAATCAGATGGACCGCCCACATCGCGTTGGGGGACATTAATCAACATACCTACACAATGAGTCTCATGCGATGCTCCCATCCTGCATGCCTGTCTCCGCGACCGACTCGATCACATCCACCAACGCCTCCGCAGCCCGTAGCACACTATCATGATCACTCTTGTCGATTGTCGTCGCCCTGACATTGAAAGAGCACTCGTACTGCCCATTCTGTCCAGTCCAGCAAGATTGAAAGTACTCCTGTCCTGCCTTTCCCGTCATGGCATCACTCTCGGCAAAGAATATTCCAACACGAAGCGCTGCTCGTCCCTCGACCCGCGTCTCCCTCTCTCGTGCGGCCACCTTTTTGACGAGCATGGCCATGTCGTCTGCCTCGGCCCAGAGCGCGTCTGGTCCCTTCTTGAGGCAAGTGAGCGCCTCGTGGTTCGCCCCCACTGTCTCCTCCGCAAACAAGCCCCGGGCGACGGCGTTCTCCAGTTCAACTTGCAAGTCCACCCCCAAGCCATAGTCCCTCTCTATGACCTTCATGTTCGCCTCCCGCGCCGAAGGTTCACCGTTCCCGGGCGAGAGGGCCCCCGCAAACTGGGCGAGCAGCCCTGAGGAGAAACCAAACATGACAGAGGCTTTGAGAGCGAAGAAGCTAGCCATCTTGTTCCAGTAGGCAAACGACGCTTCGGGCAGTTTCTGGAGAGCAAGCACCATGGGCACCTTGGAGTGGGCGACGTCGACGAAGGGGGCTGGGGCGTATATCAATTCGGCTTCATGCAGTGGAAGAGGCGTTGGTTTCTTACCAAGGAAGAAAATCATCGGTCGTGTCGGATGAAGTATCTCTCGGTGGTGCCATAGGAGGTTCAGGTTGTACATGGTGCCGGCGCTGTGCGACAACAGTGCGACGTGCTTGATGCCAAGGGCTTCCAGAAACCTGGGCATGACAGCCGTCCATGCACTGATTCGAGATGCCAATGGTACGTTCTTTGTCTCACCAAAGCCGAACCTGATATCGATCAGCTTCGGGGGATTTGTGCGCTGGGGAGAGGAGGAGGAGGAATCACCGGTCCGGCACGAGCACCCTGACCTTGTTCTTGGCCGCAATCGCATGCATGAACATGCCCACGTATCGAGACCCGAACATGCCAGGTGTGAACAAGATCGTGGGGTTGTTTGCGTCGCTCTCACAGCCGTACTCGGCGTAACTGATCAGCATCTCCTTGTGGTCATCGCGTGCGGGAAGGGTGACAGATTGGTGGAAGCGTGGATTGGCGATATACTCCGCTGCTTCATCGCGCGGCGTGCGCGGCGTGTCCATGGCGACTAATTTGATCAGGCAAATGATGGTTCAATCTGACAGCTGCAGGCAGTCCTGGTCGAGATCGAGTGTACTCGGATGGAAGAAACGTAAAGCGGACGACGTGGGCCGGATGCTGACAAGCAGAATGGGTAGTCGTCATCCAGCTGAATCCTGCAGGGGTCAGACGCCATCCCAGATCGAGTCTGACTTATACATGTAGTCGCCTTCGTTATCAAAGTATGTTTATTCCCAGCCAATGCTAGAACAATTAGCGTTTCCTCCTGGTCAAACTCAATAATTGGGAAGAGACTGATGACCGGAATTAATCGTATTAGTCTAGCTACTAGGGTCAGGGTCCAGGGAGGTCATCACGCTTTGAACAGTGCACGAGAACAAGGAAATGCGGTGCTAAACAGCAATCATAGTTGTCCAAAAGCTGCTCGTGTTTCCAGAACTGCGTCTATCTCGGTGTCGAGCTGTCCTAGACATCCAGTCTTCTCTTAGACCGCACTTTGCCCATACTCCACCGTCTGTACCCCATTCTTCTCGTCCTCGTTCATCTTGCCGTCTCTCTCCGCAGACAGAGGATCCGTATCCGGCGTGAGCTTGGCACCATACCGACCAACCTTCCACCAGGGCAAGGCGAAGAGCGCATCCGTGCTCTCCAAGGACCGCCCCGCCATCTCCGGCACAAAGAACCAAACAAAGACGATGCCGGCCACGGGGACGGCCGTGAAAAAGGCAAAGAAGCCCCAGCTCTGCATGGTGATCAGCATGGACGGCACGGCCTTGGTGTTGCCAAACTGGTTCATAAAGTGCAGGCACATGGCCGGGGATCGGCCATGTCGCCCGCTGCTTTGCCGATGGTACAACCGCTGCCAAAAGATTTGGACTGCCAAGGAGGCTTCTCCTCAACTCAATTGAAGCCGCGAGTCGATCAACCATGGCGGAGCTTCGTACAAAAAACGTCCGGCGAACTCGTCGTATTCGCTGTCAAGCCATCGCGGAAGTCGCATAGCTTGTGTCCGGCTACGGCTCGGGAGCGGACCTTCCGCTACGGCCCCACCCTCGGCGCCGTGATAGATCGAGGGTTATCGTTTTCCGGCGTCATCAATTACCCCAGACTTGCGACCATGTATAAATGCAAGCTTATCGTGGCCACAATCCGCAGACAGAACACTCCAAATCATCTTGCATAATCTCTCCGCCATGTCCAACGACGACAAGGAGAAGGCCGCGGACCAGCTCGAATCCAAATGGCAGAGCCGCCACGGGGACGAGCGCGAGATCCCCGTCGAGCAGCGCAAAGCAGAGGCTCGTCTGCTGCGCAAGGTCGACTGGCTCCTCATCCCCATCCTGGGCATCCTCTACTCCATCGTAGGCCTCGACCGCGTCAACCTGTCCAATGCGCGCGTTGCCGGCATGGACAGCAACTTGCGCTTTGATGTCGGTGACCGCTACTCCATCGCCCGGCTCATCTTCTTCGTCGCCTACTTCCTATTTGAGATGCCCACGACGCCCATCCTGCGTTGCGCCGGTCCAAAGCTGCTGCTCAACAGCCTGGTGTTCAGCTGGGGCTGCGTCATGCTCGGGATGGGCTTCGCCAACGATTGGCGCGTCATTGTCGTCTGTCGCAATGCTCATTGGCATCTTCGAAGCCGGGTTCTTGCCTTGCTGCATGTACCTGCTCAGCATTTGGTATCAGCGATACGAGGTGCAGCAGCGCATGGCGCTCTGGTACATGATCAATCTGTTCGTATCCGTTTTCGGTAATATCCTGGCGTACGCATTCATCAAGCTGGACGGTGCGCATGGGATAGTGGGTTGGCGATGGATCTTCATCATCGAGGGCGCCGTCACCATCGGCTTCGCCTTCCTGGGGTATGCATTCACGCTGCCGTTCCCAGATCAGCTCTTGGCGTCCGGCAAGAAATCGACATTTTCCCAAGACGACCTGCAGATAATACTGGAACGAGTGGAGCGGGATAGGGGCGATGCTGAGCCTGACGCCCTGACGTTCCGGAAAGTACTGCACCATGCGGCACGCTGGGAGCTCTGGGTATATGGGTTCATGTTTCTCTGCTGCAGGGCGCCGATCTACGCCTTTGCGTATTTATCCAGATTATTCTTACGACACTCGGGTACGGGACAGCCAAGGTCTTCCTTCTCTGTGCGCCGCCGTACTTGTTTAGCATCATCTGGACATTGACCGTGGCCTGGTGCGCGGATCGTTCAAGGCTCAGGATGCCGTGGATGGTTCTCAACGCGGCCATCACCTTGACCGGCCTGACGTTGATGGCCTACCACGATAACAATGCTGTGCGCTATTTTGGTGTCTTCCTTGGTGTCTCTGGATGCAACGGCAATCTTCCGACCATCATCGCCTCGCTAGGTGGTATCTACGCTTCGTGCACCTTTATGCAGACGGAGTATCCTACGTACCGAACGGGGGTTTGGTGTGCCGTTGCGACGCAGTTCCTGCTTATTGTCCTGGTCGGCCTGACGTGGTGGTGGTTCAAGCGTCAAAACAAAAAGGCCGAGACGCAGGGGGTCATCATACAGGAGGATGCCGATTACCGCTATACGTTCTAGACGGGCCCAGTTGGACTCGTTCATGGTATTCGTGGCACTTGACAAAAGATTGAGCGGTTGATTTTTGACCGATTGGATGTGATTTATCACGTACCTAGTGCTTCTGCACATGCCACTGCTGTTTGACTTGCATCCCCCTCGCCGACACGCTTGACGACGGCTGTCGCCAAGGTGGTTCTTCCCCTGCCGCGATGTAGTAGTTCAGTACCTGTGGCGCGTACTGTAATCCTTGGGGCTGACCACCAGACCGCGACCTTTCCGTGCTCCTCTGAAGACCGTCTCCAGAATATCGATGAGCTCTTGTTTGTCTTCGAGAACCCAGTTCAGCTACGATAAATGGCGTTAGTGAGTGGTGTGTCTGGATGATGTGAACAGTCGTGGTAAGCTTACCTTATTGTTGTTGCCAGTGCCGAAGTCCACCATCATGTGCTTGTTGCGGAAGAAGAACATGATCGTACAGGGGTCATAGAGCTCGTACATGACGTTGAAGTCGGGTACCTGGTCAATGTCGCAGACGTAGATGGCGGCGAAAGACTTGACCTTGTCGGCGATCTTGTAAAGAACCTCGTCTTGACGCATACAGTCCTAAGGGCTGTGTTAGTCGTCTTGATCCTTTTTCACTCGCTTGAGCTTACCGGGTCGTGGTCGCGTCCGAATCTAATCACGACAAGCCGATCTTCTTCTGCACAGTGTTAGTAGTGGTGAGGCGGACGGGCGTCCGTCGAGGGAGGAGGTTGTGTACACACCAGATAGAATGGCCTGGTCCACATGCCACCCAGAGTTCAGATGCGGAAGCACTACGGTACCCATGTTGTTGGCGTTGAGTGAAGACTGAATGAAGTGAGTGATGCGGGTGCGAGGAAGAAGTGGGTTTCGTCATCGAGGTCAAGCAATCAGAGGTCAATGAAGTGCTGGACTACTGCCTTGTCTGAGCCCCACCGTCACTGAAGCGGGGCGGGTATATGTATCGCCGGCCGAGCGTAGTCACAACTATACATATCACGTGATCTCTTAGAACTACACTGGTTTCGGGCCTCCATCAACCGCATCACCCTGTACCACAAGCAGCTCTGCCCGCGAAGCATTGCCGGGACAGGTAAGTATCTTGGTACTTTGCTCGTAGAATTCAGTCCGTATGAAAAGCTGCTAATCTTATTGAGAGCGCTCCACCCCTCCTTTGCGGCGTTGCGGAGTATTTCACCTGTCCATGAGCGGACTTCGGGGACCAGGGCTCAGGGATGGCACTTGACCATATATATATTCATTGTATCACTGCATCAATGTGACCATATTGACACTTGTCTCTCATTATCTCATGAGTCTCTTTTCCTTCGCAATACCTGACAATAGAGCGCCCCAACAACCGCGTTGCGAAGATGGTTCGTTACACTGACATCAGAGCATCTAACACACTCATCAATGACTCGACAGCTCCGCGCATCGCCGTCTTCGTCGGAGGTACAGCGGGCATCGGCCAATTGACGATCAAAGCTCTTGTCGCGACTGGTGCAAGCGTCCGGATCTATCTCATTGGACGCAAGAGTTCCAACGACCGGGCGCATGTCTTTATGAAAGAATTGCAATCTACCAACCCCAACGCGGAGGTCATCTGGATCGAAGGCGAGGTCTCCCTTCTGACAGACGCCAAGAGAGTGTGCGAAGTCATTAAGAGCAGAGAGAAACATGTCGATTTGCTCTTCCTTACCACGGGCTATGCGCCCTTTGGGCCGCGCGAGGAGACGGCCGAGGGCATCGAGATCACGCTGAGCTTGGGCTATTTCTCGCGGATGATGTTTGTCTTGCAGCTTCTCCCATTGCTCCGACAGGCTGAGGCGGCAAGGGTGGTCAGCGTGCTGGGCGGTGGTCTGATGGAGAGGCCGACCAGCATTGACCTGGACGATCTGGCTTTGGAAAAGCCTGGGAGATTTGGACCGATCAAGTCTCAGATGCTGTCCGCCACTATGAACACGGCGACGCTGGATAAATTAGCGGCGGACAGCCCTGGTGTGACTTTTATCCATTCTTACCCTGGTTGGGTGGACACGGGGAATGTTAGGAGAGGCTTCGAGCCAAATTCTTGGAAGGCCTGGGTCGCATGGCTTTTCCTAGAGCCTCTGATTTACCTCTTCTCTTTCAGTGACAAAGAGTCTGGTCAGCGGCACCTATTCCTGAGTACCAGCGCATATTACGGAGGTCGAGGGGTGCCGTGGATGGGCAAGGCTGGCGTGAACACATCCGGGAAACCAATGAATGGTCTGTTTCTCGCCAACTACAGGAACGACTGTACGCTGAATGCAGGCGTCTTATCGGTCTTGCGAGAGAAGTCCACGGAAATGATCTGGAAACACACGCAGGAGGTTCTTCAACCGTATTTGTAACACTGAAGTCAAGCAAACAGCCAAAGAACAAAGGGAAACCACTGAAACCAACTAGGCGGAAGTCGGAAGAACATTCAAATGGTACCTTGGTTAGCCCAACCAGAGTCCGCCACAAGCGCCGAAAGACTATTGAATAGAACGTGCTCGTTACCTTCTCAAAACTTCCGGCCTGGCGTTCGATGTGAGGTGGAAGATATCTTCATGTGCTGGTGGTTTGCAGGATCTTATTTGAAAGCACACGCGGTTGACGAAAATGGGACTTGAAAGCCCAATAGTGTGAGAGTTACTACAGCCCGATTCGAAATCGGTGACCGGTTTGCACACTCTTTCACTCTTTTTCAGACAAAGAACACGGCTGATGACACAGTGCTGGCCGATGTGGGGCGTGCAATCGTGATGTAGACAGCCAAGGCGGTCGTTGCACTTCCGAGTCCATGCACCTAACGATGGCTTGATGACCGTTCCCCCAGAGGCTCGCCAAGTCCGAAAACCGGCGCGAAGGACTGCTGACCCGTGGCTGCCCGTAGTGAGTCGATTCTCAATTCAGGACTACGGTAAAGACAGCCCTCGTGCCTGGTACGCAAGCTCAGGTGAAGGGCTCCGGTCGTGCTGACGTTGAAAGAAGTCCCGTGCGGGGCCGCCGATTTTGCGGCTCAACTGCCTACCCCACTATCTTATTTCCAGCACAGGCCGTCGGTCCACAGAATTAGTGGTTGATCTGGCAATCAACACACCCTATGCCGTGAATTTCCCCATCGCCTCCACCAAACGGTACCAAGGGGAAGAACATCACGGCAACGACGGACGACGCGGCATCCATATCTCTTCAATCGTTCATATCCTCATCCAACTTGCAGCCACCACCAAGTACTCTCCATCAAATGGCTGAATCGACGCCGACAAGCCAAATAGCAACCCACACTGTACCGACGCTCTCGACGCTGAACAAGATCGCATCGTCGCGCTGCACTTGCATCAATCGACACATGATGTTCGACATCATGCAGTAGGGATTGACTACCTCTGGCTGATCCAAGAACAGGTGAATCGCGGACTGACCGCCTGCCAAACCGACCTCACCCAATTACATGCACCAGCGCGCCCGACCAACGAGAGATGCAGCACGCAAGCGCTGGCGTCGCGGCCGCCAACCTTGCGAGCCACAGCCTGATCGTACGTCCACCAGGCAGAACCTACGCCCATCCGAACGACGCTTTCCTCCGTCCCCCCAAACAGTAGCAACGAGCCGCTTCTCCCGAATCCACCCATCCCCAGTTGATGACAACCACGGGCCATGGCGGACCCCCAAAAGTACACCGTCGGCTGGATCTGCGCCCTGTCTGTCGAGTTCGACGCCGCCCAGGCCTTGCTCGACGAGGAGCACGACGTCCCTGTCACCCCCACAAACGACAACAACAACTATGCGCTCGGCCGGATTGGCAATCACAACGTTGTCATTGCCGTGCTGCCGGATGGCGAGTACGGTACCAGCTCGGCGGCAGCGGTGGCGCGGGACATGCTGCGCAGCTTTCCCAACGTGCGCATCGGGCTGATGGTGGGCATCGGCGGCGGCGCGCCAAGTCCAAAACACGACGTCCGCCTCGGCGACGTCGTGGTCAGCAGCCGCGACGGAGGTAGAGGCGGCGTGTTCCAGTACGACTATGGCAAGGCGGTGCAGCACCAGGATGTTTCGTTCCAGGAGATGGACTTCCTCGACCAGCCGCCGATGGCGCTCCGGACGGCGGTGAGCGCGTTGAGGAGCAAACACAAGAGGAAGGGGCATCAGCTCGAGGCCAGCATCGAAGAAGCTCTACGGGAATGGCCGCGGCTGCGAGAGGAGTATTCGCGGCCGCCTGCTGAGACCGACAGGCTCTACAGATCCCAAGTTGTCCATCCCGACTCTCGGGAAGGATGCGGGGCAGTATGCAGCAGCCACCCGGAGCATCTGGTGGTCCGGACGAGGCGCGGCAAGCATCAGGACGACCCTGCGGTTCACTACGGATTAGTTGCCAGCGCAAACAAACTGGTCAAGGATGTGCGGATCCGCGACAAGCTGGCGGAGAAGGGGGTGCTCTGCTTCGAGATGGAGGCGGCGGGCCTGATGAACCACTTCCCGTGCCTAGTGGTTCGCGGCATCTGCGACTACGCCGACTCGCACAAGAGCAAGGACTGGCAGGGGTACGCGGCGATGGTGGCGGCGGCGTATGCGAAGGAGCTTCTGCAGCAGATCCAGCCTAGCAAGGTCGAAGCAGAGAAGCGGATCGCCGAGATTCTTGATGCCAGTCAGTGCGTTCCCCTTCAGACCTGACACAGCTACTAATCAGCAGTCGATCGTAAAGTCGACGGCGTGCAGCAGACGGTGTCGGCGACGAAAAGCGTAGCTGATTCCATCAAGAGTGGCCTCCATACCCACGACATCGAGCGCTGGCTGCGGCCGCCCGACCCGTCCACAAATGCCAACCACGCGAGGAAGCTCCGGCATGAGGGGACCGGCGCGTGGCTCTTGGCACACCCGGCCTTCCAATCATGGAAGTCGGGGTCCCGTCGGCATATGTGGCTGCACGGGCTCGCGGGGTGCGGCAAGACTGTCCTCAGCGCCACGGTGCTGGACGAGCTCGCGGCGGGCAAGGACCGGCTTCTCGTCAGCTTCTTCTTCGACTTTGGCGACACGACAAAGCAGAGCGTGGACGGCATGCTGCGGTCGATTGCCTTCCAGCTCTACCAGCTTGGGGCGGGCTCGTCGGTGCTTGACTTTTCGTTCCAGGCACACCAGGGCGGCAGTCAACAGCCCGCTTCGAAAACACTCGAGGACATTGTGATGAAGATGCTTACAGTCCAGAAGAAGGTCTCCGTCATTCTCGACGCCTTGGACGAATCAACGACGAGGAGTGAGGTTCTCTCCTGGATGGAGGCCATCACTTCTAGGCCCGAGCTTGCGCACGTCCAGCTGCTTTGTACCAGTCGACCTGAATTGGAGTTCCAGCGCAATTTTCCTGAATTAATAGGGGAAGAGAGCTGCCTGATCTTGGACAGGCATGCGGTCGACAGGGACATCCGATCCTATGTCACAGCACAGCTCGCGCATCGGCGTGATTTCCGGGAGAAGCGTCTTCCGCAGGACCTCCTCGAGCGCATTCAGAGCAAAGTCGGGGACGGAGCCGACGGCATGTAAGACTTGCGTGCTTGCATTATTATGCCCTGACACACTGACGAAGCGACAGGTTCCGATGGGCGTTCTGTCAGCTGGACAGCCTTGCGCGGTGTCGTCACGCGACGGCGATGGAAAGGGCGCTCGCATGTCTGCCGCGCAACCTCGACGAGACGTACCGGCGCATGCTTGAGAGCGTCCCGGAGGAGCTCAAACGCGACGCCCTGCGGCTCCTGCAATTCCTGGTGCACTCTACGCGGCCACTCCGGCTGGCGGAGGCGGTTGAGGTGATAGCGACACAGACCGCAGGGGAATCGGCCGGATTCGATGTCAAAAGTCGACTGTTCAGCAAGGCCGACGTCCTGGAGTATTGCCCAAGCTTGGTGGTGGTGGTTCACGCGGCCGACGACGAGCTCCATCTCTCCCACTTTTCAGTTAAAGAGTACCTCCTCGGGATTGACCAGATGCAGCTTCCGGCTGCCAGTATCTCCATTACGAAGACTTGCCTAGTGTATTTGACGGACATTGGCGGCAATCAGACAGAGATCAAGCAAAACTTCCCGATGGCACGATTCGCAGCAGAAGCGTGGGTTGGCTTTGCTGCTTCTGCCCAGGCAAGCAGGAATGTGCTGGAAGCAAGCGTGAGCTTCCTGGGAGGGGAGGCGACGTTCCAGAGGTGGTGCAGGCTGTACCAGCAGGACCGAAGCTGGGATAATGATCCTGGGCCTCCGAGGGGGTCGCGGCTGTACTATGCCTGTCTCGGGGGGCTGTATGGAGCTGCGGAGCTGCTCTTGGACAAGGGGGCAGACGTCAAGTCGCAGGGCGGCCTCTTCGGCAACAGTCTGCAGGCGGCCTCGAGTGAAGGCTATATCGAAGTCGTGAGGCTGCTCTTAGACAAGGGGGCAGACGTCAAGGCGCAGGGCGGCTTTTTCGGCAACGCTCTGCAGGCTGCCTCATGGAGAGGCAATATCGACATTGTGAGGCTGCTCTTAGAAAAGGGGGCGGACGTCAATGCGCAGGGCGGCCGCCGATTCGGCAACTCTCTACAGGCGGCCTCATGGCAAGGCCATATCGAGGTTGTGAGGCTGCTCTTGGAGAAGGGGGCGGACGTCAAGGCGCAGGGCGGCGAATACGGCAACGCTCTGCAGGTTGCCTCATGGAAAGGCAATATCGATATTGTGAGGCTGCTCTTAGAAAAGGGGGCGGACGTCAAGGCGCAGGGCGGCCGGTACGGCAACGCTCTGCAGGCGGCCTCAGGGGGAGGCCATGACGAGGTTGTGAGGCTGCTCTTAGACGAGGGGGCGGACGTCAAGGCGCAGGGCGGCGAATACGGCAACGCTCTGCAGGCGGCCTCATGTGAAGGCTATATCGAGGTTGTGAGGCTGCTCTTAGACGAGGGGGCGGACGTCAAGGCGCAGGGCGGCCAGTTCGGCAACGCTCTACAGGCGGCCTCATGGAGAGGCAATATCGATATTGTGAGGCTGCTCTTGGAAAAGGGGGCGGACGTCAAGGCGCAGGGCGGCGGATACGGCAACGCTCTGCAGGCGGCCTCATGGAGAGGTAATATCGATGTTGTGAGGCTGCTCTTGGAAAAGGGGGCGGACGTCAAGGCGCAGGGCGGCCGGTACGGCAACTCTGTGCAGGCGGCCTCACGGGGACGCCATGACGAGGTTGTCAAAATCTTGCTACAACATCAGGCACATGCCCCAATCCAAAAACGGGTCGCGTCCACGCCCCCAGCCGAACCGTCCAACAAACGATTAGCCCTGTAATTTCTAAAGCAAGATTACTTCTCTGGTTGTGCTGCCTGCATTAGATTCTAGCGCATGCCATGTGAATCCACACGCTGGACTTTCAAGGCTTACAGACCTTATTCGAGGAAGTCATGGTGTTGTCGGATCATCTTGACCGTGGCTGGAACTCTTTGATGTTACGAACGGCATGCGGCGTTATGGAGAATGGCATTTGACTAATTCCCCCTCCCCCTGTCTTATATGTACATATAGTAAATTTCCTTCATCGTTCTGAAAGCCAGCTTAGGCTACAGTACCACACTCGAGGTTGGAGGCGTACAAGGCGCCAATGTGCACGACGTGGCCGAGTCACTTGCTCTCCAACCTGCAGGTGTCGTCATCTCGGCGAAACGCATGACCTGGAGCTTTTGTCCAGTCAACGAGAGCACAACATGACCCCGGCTATGCTGGGCGGCCAGGACGGACGCCCTGGTTGATGGTGTAGCAGGCGGGCGGTCAGCAGTCCTCCACGCCGGTTTCGGACTTAGCGATGCCCTGGGGGAACGGTCATCAAGCCATCGTTAGATGCATGGACTCGGAAGTGCAAAGACCGCCCTGGTTGTCTACATCACGGCAGCGCGCCTTACATTGGCCAGCACTGTGTCATCACCTGTGTTCTTTGTCTGGAAAAGATTGAAAGAGTGTGTGAACCGGACACCGATTTCGAATCCGGCTGTACAATTCTGTCTTTACAAATAAAGATAGTGCAACTACTTGTGAGAAATAACTATGGCCGTGAAACCAACAATGGCTACCACAATCCAGTCCATCCCGGACAGCAGCCTTGCAGCAGAAACAAAGATCCCACGCGAACATGCATTACAGTGGCTTGCCGCCAATGAAATCTGACCAGCGGCGCACCTCCGAAGGGATGCCCTCCTTGCGGGGCAGCTTCTCGCTCATGCACTGAGCGAACAGGATGGCAGTCTGCCGGGCGTTAGCACGTGGTCGCTGTTGCAGGGGAAGAATGAAGTAGACATACCTGAGGTTCCATGAACAGAGGAACGCCAAAATCGACAGCGTTCCTGCGCATGACATAGTCCACGTCCAGGGTGGTGCGGCCGCGCTCCTGCGCCAGGTTGAAGCATCCTCGGATGTTGTACTTCTCAAAGACTTGGCGAAGAGCACGCTTGTCCTCCTTGGGGAACTCAATGACCTCCACGCTGATTCCCTCGGAAGAGGACTCGAGGAACTGTTTCACATCGTCGCCAGCAGCGTAGAACTTATAGCCCAATGGCTTGAGATAGTCGGCGACTTGAGTGAGCCACGACTTGGATACGTTTCCACCAAACAGGATGCCCTCGCCAGGCTCCGGCATGCGAAAGTTCATGGTGGACTGTAGCGAAGTCCAGTAAGCATCGACCAGATCCTTTCCGAAGCATGCCATCTCTCCCGTGGAAGCCATCTCGACACCCAGGAACGGGTCGGCGCCAGCCAGACGAGTCCAGGAGAATTGGGGCACCTTTGTCGCAAGGTAGTCGCGCTTGACTGCCATCAGATCGGTAGGGTTGGGCACGTCTCTGCCAACAAGAGCCTTGGTGGCCACGTCAATGAAGTTTAGACCAAGAACTTTGCTGACAAAGGGAAACGAGCGGGAGGCGCGCAGGTTGCACTCAATGACCTTGAGCTGCACCTCGCCATCCAGTCCATCGGCCTTGATGATCTGCATGTTGAAGGGACCGCTGATATTCCATGCTTTGGCGACTTTTTGTGCGATGTCCTTGCAGCGCTCCATGACGCTGGCATCCAACTTGACGGGGGGCAGCACGAGGGTGGCATCACCAGAGTGCACACCGGCTTGCTCAACATGCTCGCTTACAGCGTGGATCACCAGCTCACCCTTGGCGGCGACACCATCAACATCGATTTCCTGAGCACCCTCAATGAACTTGGTGATGACGACGGGGTGATCGGGGGACACGTTGCTGGCCGCCTCGAGCTTCTCCTTGAGGTCCTCCTGGCTGCGGATCACAGTCATGGCGGCTCCGGAAAGAACGTAGCTAGGGCGAACAAGTACAGGATAACCAACTTCATCGGCAAACTTCTCGGCTTCGGCAACAGACGTAAGCTCATTCCAAGCGGGCTGATCAACGCCGATGCTGTCAAGGATCTCGGAGAACTTTTGGCGGTCCTCGGCTTTGTCAATATCCTTGGGATCAGTGCCAAGCACATTGGCGCCTCCATTTTCTTGCAGACGCAGAGCGATGTTCTGTGGAAGCTGGCCACCGACGGACACGACGACGCCAGACGCGTTTTCGAGTTCGTAGATATCCATTACACGTTCGTAACTGAGCTCCTCAAAGTACAACTTGTCCGCGTTGTCGTAGTCAGTGCTTGCTGTTTCTGGGTTATACTTGCATAGCATTAGCGAACGCTCAGAAGACTTGGAGAGTGGGAAAAGGGGTCAGTGGAATCCAGACTTACGTTGATCATCACGGTCTTCTCGCCCATCTCGCGCAGAGCTCGGGTGGCGCTGACAGCGCACCAATCGAACTCGACGGAGCTACCGATGCGGTAGACGCCGCTGCCGAGGATGACCTTACCCCTGTCCTCAAAGGTCACGTCGTGCGAGGAGGCGTTGTATGTGGTATAGAGGTAGTTGGTGTCCGCAGGGAACTCGGCAGCCAGGGTGTCAATCTTCTTCACCCAGGGGCGGATGTTGAGCTTGGTTCGGTAGGCGCGAGCCTCGTCCTCGGTGCTCTTGGTGGCCATGGCAATCTGCTTGTCGGAGAAGCCCATCTGCTTGGCTTTGAGGACCTGCTCTCTCTTCAGCTTGTTGAGGCCACCGACGTTCTCGAGCTCGTGGGTCATGTCGACAATGTTCTGCAGCTTGCCGAGGAACCACTTGTCAATCTTGGTGAGGTCGTGCACCTTGTCGATGGAGTAGTTCTCGTGGAGCATGGCCTGGCCCACGGCCAACCATCGGCGGTCCGTGGGGTTCTGCAGCTCATAGTCGAGGTCCTCGAATTTGTCGCCCTGGAAGCCGACGAACCTGGGGTCGACCTGGCGGATGGCTTTCTGGAAGGACTCCTCGAATGTCCTGCCGATGGCCATGACCTCGCCGACCGACTTCATGGCACTGCCAATGTCGCGCTTGACGTGCTGGAACTTGGACAAATCCCATCGGGGGATCTTGGTGACCATGTAGTCCAACGAGGGCTCGAAGTTGGCCGTGGTGGTCTTGGTCACGGCGTTGGGGAGTTCGGGCAGGGTGTGGCCCAAGCCGATCTTGGCTGCGGTGTAGGCGAGCGGGTACCCGGTGGCCTTGGAAGCCAGGGCGGAGGATCGAGAGAGACGAGCGTTGACCTCAATGACCCTGTAGTCGAGGCCGTCGGGCTGGAGGGCATATTGCACGTTGCACTCACCCACGACACCAAGATGGCGAACAATCTTGATGGCGGCGGATCGCAGCATGTGATACTCCTCATCGCTGAGGGTCTGACTGGGCGCGACGACAATCGAGTCGCCAGTGTGGATGCCCAGAGGGTCAAAGTTCTCCATGTTGCAGACAGTGATGCAGTTGTTGTTGGCGTCACGGACGACCTCGTACTCGACCTCCTTCCAGCCCTTGAGCGATTTCTCGACGAGGATCTGGGGCGACAGGGTGAGCGATCGCGCAGCCATGTTGCGCAACTCCTCCTCATTGTTGGCGAATCCGGACCCGAGACCGCCCAGCGCGTAGGCCGCACGGACGATGATGGGGTAGCCGACCTTTTCGGCGGCCTCGAGAGCCTCCTCGACGGTGCCGACAGCGATCGACTTGGCGATGGGGATGTCAATCTCACCCAGCGCCTTGGCGAAGAGGTCGCGATCCTCGGACGTCTCGAGCGTCTTGACGCTGGTGCCCAGGACCTTGACGCCGTACTTCTCAAACAGACCGAGGCGCTGCATCTGGACACCCAAGTTCAGGGCCGTCTGGCCACCAAAGGACAGAAAGATGCCGTCGGGCTTCTCCTTTTCGATGACGTACGAAACATACTCGGGTGTGACGGGGAGGTAGTACACCTCATCGGCGAGGGAGTGGTTGGTCTGGATGGTCGCAATGTTGGGGTTGATGAGGACCGACGCGACGCCAGCCTCCTTGAGGGCCTTGAGGGCCTGGGAGCCTGCATGTCTGTCAGTCATGATGCGATGCCTCCTGTCGCGTCGCGTGAGACATACCTGAGTAGTCAAACTCGCCAGCTTGTCCAATGGCGAGACCTCCACTGCCAATGACAAGGACCTTTTTCACGTCGACGTTTTGCGCCGGCTTGATAACCCCACTGTCGATATACGCCTTGGGGTTGGGCGCGGAATCGGCAGCTGAGCTGTAGGGGCGCAGGACGGACACGGTGCCCAATCGCTTCTGGCCCGTCAGCTTGGACTGGAGCGATGCCCTCTTCTGCCCATTGAGGGCGGCGCTGCTAAAGGCACGGGCTGGCAGCGTCTGAGGGACCCTACGTCCGCATCGGAGCAAGGCCGGAGCGCGGCCAGCGAGGGTCGAGGTGTAGGCGGCGGGAAGCATGGCGAGAGCTGGGGCTGTACTGGCTTACTGGCTCGGAGCCGCGGGCAGCCTGAGCGTCGAGGATCCCAATTGACTGGGTAGGACGTCCAGAAGAAGCTGACTGTGCGCTTTCGGGGGGCGGAGGAAAAGGAGAACTTGTGAGATAGTCGGTGACTCTTTTTTTTCTGTCCCGCGCTGAAAGCTCAATGGGACGGGACTGTGAGGTAGGTGACCAATCAGGAGCCGGCGATATGAATCCGATAGGGATCTGCGCGCGCTGCAATCCCAACACTTCGGGCACGCGACGGAGACCAGGAGTCTTGGGATGCAGCCTTGGCGGGGTCAAGGAAGGGTATTTCGGGGCAGGTTCAGTGTAGTTTCTGCTGCTTTGGTCGTCGAGCTCCAAATATTTGTGCCTTTTTTCACGTGGCTGCCCGTCTTGTCGATACATGTGCATGAAAGCTCATCGCCGACACCGCAGCTGGACAGACGAGTGCCGGCAGCAAAGATGACGCTAAACGTGCTGGCCATGTGGCTCGTGCGCTGTGACATGCGTCACCTTGTCCGGCATCGGCAGCCCTACCTACCCTGTATAGCTATGTGTCCAAAGACGACCGACTCGTTCGACAGAGAAAACTTTTTGAATACAACGGGATATGATGGCTCGCTACCAAGAAAAGTGACTCATTGTTGCTGAGATACTTTGTAAAATGAGTCAATTGTATACTTGGACTTGCGCCGGACACCAATGTACATTGGCACCCATATAGTTCATGTCCTGTCAATGCGTATTGAGGTTGGTTCGCCGACGGGTTGCATGTGACTATTTCTCAAAAACCATACTTAGCCCATCGATCTGAGATATGCATACACATGCCGTTTCGCTCTACTCAGAATATGCAATCTATCACGGACGTGCTTAGTCGTGACCAATGACTTGGGTCTCTTCCTTGCAGTTATGGGACGGTCCGACGGACTCGGGCTCCAGGAGCCAGGAAGATGTGACACATTGATGGGCGAGAAAAGAACCTCTGTGGGGCCCCCGGGTCCCGATCTGGTGGAACTTAGCAACGGCAACTTCCTTCACTCAGATGTGTACCTGCATTTGGTGACGAAGCCCATGTCCATGTGTTTAACTCGACAGCCTCAAGAGGAGCAGTGCATCACCTGACCACACACGTGACCCTGAAACTGCATCCTTTTACCTCGTACCACGCTCGCATCAACCACAACTTCATCAGCGCTTCAAGAACATGGTAGCGACCGCTCGCACAAATCGCTTAGAAGCCCTCCAATATCCGTTCTTTTGCAATGCAATGCTTTCCACTGGTAATACCGGCATCTCGAGCTTCGTCGTAACATGTGCTATGTGCAACTTCCCACAAAGGCCTCTGTCTTGACTCTTGGCCCGCAACTACAATAAAATTGAACGACGCTCAACGGGTCTCATAGCCTCTAAGCACCGATCCGCTGCTCGTCGCCGAGGTCGCACGCAACAGACTGACCAGCATCAGGCATGCGGATACTACTTGGCACCATGGTCTGAAATCTGGACCCAGATGGTGCTCCCTTACGGGCCCCTCCTCTGACTGGGCACGACTTCGTCGTGCTCCCTTGTCTCCAATCCAAGTTCCCAAAAGACCGAAACCCCACGAAGCGCAATCACTTTAGGCAGCATGCAATTCCCTTCTACAGTCAGGAGATATGCTTACTCGCGAAGAGGAATGGCGTCGCGGTGACCCTTTCACCTCCGCGTCCAATGGCAATACGGAGACTGCCAGCATCTGAATCACCGGTCATTCCAGCTCAACGGCAGTCGTTGCCCAGTTTACTAACTTCAAGCAATGCCATTATCGGGGTCTCTTGCAAATCCAAGCACAGAAAGGTATGCGTTTCACAGATTCGCTTCTTATGGACTAGGCAGTGCGTTCTTTGCTTACATCGCAATCCTGGACATGTCCAGCCGACATTCGGGATTGGCCGAGTTCGAGACAGACTGTGTCCCAAAGGATGTCTACTGGACATGAAATTCCCCGTTCATCGAGAGTATAAGATGGTAGTCCATCAGGGGCGGGTGGCAGTCATGATTCCCATCGAACAAGAGCCGCTTCAGCTTCGACGCCTGAGCAAATTGTATCTTTCAGGCCCTTACTCTCTTTTCGACATTGTTATTGCTGTGACATATTTATGACCCAGCACACCGCTCTTTACCAAATATGAGGCCTACTGTTGTCGCCGCCGCCCTTCTGAGCGTGGCTGCTGCCGCGCCTACGCGCTCTGCGGGCCTTGGCGACGATGTCGAAAGCTCGCAGCTGATGCAGGGCGTGGGGCCCGATGCTCGACAGATTGGTGGTCTGATGTCCGACGGAAGTCCCCACACCAAGGATGACCAGAGGCGTGGCATCACCGTGGGCGGATCGGACCTCATTGACGGTATTCTGACCATGGTCATGAAAGCATTGAAGGACAAGGGTATCGATATCTCCGTGGGTGAGAAGGACTCTCTGAAGGGTCTCATCGAAGGCCTCTTGCAGGGTGGCCTCGGGCAGGATCTCAACATACTCGGTAAACGGCAAATCGGTGGATTTCTGGGTAATTCCCGCGACAAGAACAGAAAGCACGACAAAAACCGCCGTCAGCTTGACGCTCTGACTGGACTCCTTGGTGGCGGCGGAGGCAGCGGCGGCTCAGGAGCCATTGACGGTGTTCTCGCGCTCATTGTTTCGCTTCTCGGAGGAGTTGGCGGCGCCGGCGGTCTCGGAGGCACACTTTCCGGAGCCACCGGGGGTCTTGGTGGAGTTGGCGGCGCTGGAGGTCTTGGAAGCACTCTCTCTGGGGCCACGGGGAGCCTCGGAGGAGTTGGTGGCGCCGGTGGTCTCGGAGAGACACTCTCCGGAGTCACCGGGGCCCTTGGTGGAGTTGGCGGCGCTGGAGGTCTTGGAGGCACTCTCTCTGGGGCCACGGGGAGCCTCGGAGGAGTTGGCGGCGCCGGTGGTCTTGGAGAGACACTCTCCGGGGTGACGGGAGGTCTTGGAGGCGCGACTGGCAGTCTTGGTAACCTGGCTGGAAATGTTGGAGGCCTAGCTGCGGGCTTGTCTGACACCTCTTCAACCACAGGAGCCCTGGCGCCTGCCACCGGTGCGGTCTCTGGTCTGGGAGGTATCGGTGGCGCTGGTGGCGACCTGGACTTGGATGGCCTGCTGAGCCTATTCGGCGGGGCTGAAGGTCTCACCAGCCTCCTTGGTGGTGGCAGTGGCATGGATGTTCAGGGTATTCTTGATCAGTTCGGTGGCGTTCAAGGACTGGGCGGCCTTCTCGGGCAGCTTGGTAGCCTTGATGGTCTCAAAAGCCTCCTGGGATTGGTTGGAGGCGCGGATGGACTCAGCAACCTTCTTGGTCAAGTCGGTGGTGTCGAACAACTCACCGGACTCTTAGGTGGCATCGGCGGTCTTGATGGGCTTGACGGTCTCCTTGGGGGTGCTGGCGGCCTTGATGGGCTTACCGGACTCCTGGGAGCTGTTGGCGGCGCTGGCGGTCTAACTAGCCTGCTTGGCCAAGCCGGTGGCGTTGGACAACTCACCGGCCTCCTTAGCGACCTCGGTGGTCTTGATGGCCTCACTGGTCTCCTAGGGGTGGTCGGTGGTCTTGATGGACTTACCAGCCTTCTAGGTCTGCTTGGCGGCGGCGAAGGGCTCAGCAGCCTGCTTGGTCAAGTCGGTGGTATTGATGGACTAACCAGCCTCCTTGGTCAAACTGGCGGTGTTGGCGGCCTTGATACCCTCCTCGGAGAAGTTGGTGGTATTGGAGGACTCACTAGTCTTCTTGGAGGTATCGGCGGTGTTGACGGCCTTACGGGACTCCTTGGAGGTGCGGGCGGCGGTCTTGATCTTGGAACCTTGTCTGGTGGCCTGGGCGGTGCTGCTGGAGGCGCCGGCGCCGCGATACCCTTCCTCTCCCGGTTGTCCCAAGACGCCCAAGGCGACTCCGAGGGCAGCGCCTTGCCTCCTCTTCCCTCGACAACCTTCAGCACTTCGATTGCCAGCACCCCTACGGCTACACCCTCTACCCCTGGTGCGATCAATGCCGCCGAGAACGAGAAGCGTCAGTTCGGTGGCTTGCTCAACAGCATCTTCAGCAGTGGTGGCAATGCTAACGCCGGTGGTGCATTGAACGCGGGTCTCGATATCAGCGCATCCGGCAGCAGCTCGGGCAGCATTTCTCTGGATGACGTTGCCAACGCCATCAATAGTGCATCGAACAATGGTGCTCTGAGCATTGAATTGGGTGGTGTCGCCGAGCCCGGTGATCTGGTCATTGATCTCGGCACGGTCACCAGCGGCTCTGGCGGCGCCGACTTTGACCTCGAGTCGATCTTCTCCGGCGGCAACGCTGAGGCCTACTTCCCCGGCATAGATTTGAGTGACTTTACGGGAGACTTGGACTTGAACAACATTGGCGGCACCATTGAGGGTCTTGTGAACCTTGGCCTCGGTGGTTTCCTGGGTCTCTTTGGGGCCATCGAGGCAGCCAAGGGCGGTGCTCTCAACTACGGTCTTGACGCCCTCCTGGGTGGTCTTGGTGGTTTCGGTGGCCTCCAGGGCGATCTGAACCCAGCCACTGGTGGTGCCTTGGACCTTGATTTCGGCTCACTCCTGGGTGGTCTGGCTGGCGGAGGTGGCTTGAGCTTTTCCGGCGGTGCCTCTGGCGGTGCCTCTGGTGGTGCTTCGGGAAGCGTAGGCGCCGGTGGCAGCTTTGGTTTCGATGATCTGTCCGGGAACGTTGGGCTCGGTGATCTTGACAGCGTCCTCGTCGGTCTCTCTGGACTGTCCGGAGACTTTGCGTCCGGTGGCCTCAACCTCCCTGGTGCCGCTGCCCAGTTCTTTGGGTCTATCGCGGGAGGCGCCGCCAGCACTGCCGGTACTATTGCCCAGGGAGCACTTGGAGCCTTCGCTCAGGGTGCGGGAGCTCTGGCGCAAGCTGGAAGCGAAATTGCTGGTGGAGCTGCTGACCTGGCTGGCGATATCGTCGGTGGCATAGCGGACGGCTTTGGCAGTGTTTTGGGAGGTCTTGGTGGAAGTGGCAGCGGAAGTGGTAACGGCGGCCTCAACCTCGGTGGGCTCCTTGGCCTAGGTGGCTCTGGGTCTGCTTCTGGCTCTGGATCCGGTGGTGGACTCTTTGGCCTCGGTGGCTCTGGATCTGTTGGTGCCTCTGGGTCAATTGGGGGCTCCGGCTCAGTTGGTGGCTCCGGATCTGCCGGCGGCTCTACTTCTGGGAGTGTCGGTGGCTCCAGCACCATCACTTTCGATTTTGGTGGCGCCGGGTCCAACGGGCAGCTCAGCAGCAGCTCATCCAACAGCGACGCCTCCTCGTCGTCCCAGTACACCTTCACACTGCCCTTCACTTTCAACAACAAGAAGGTCGATGGCGCTCAATAAGCAGGGCGGCTGTGTCAGCCAACTGCTGGAACGCAAAGATTGAGCCATGACAAACGCTCAGTTTGTGAGGAAAGTTTCATTTGTCTTCTGCCTGTTGTATCATAATCAAATATCATGCAATGTTCTTCATTTATCACCTTGCTCAGCTGCCGGACCAGTTCCCCAGACTCCAGTAGTTCTGCGTGTTTGCCTTCGCCTTGGGCACTTTGTTACACCAAGTCCGATCCCCGCGATTTAGCCTCGTTTAGACGCGCATTTCAATGCTGGACAGTGTCACTGAACATAGTCGACGTGATTGTGCCATTTACACTGCTGACAGCACCGCTGGCTGGTGAATGGGATTTCCGTGTTGGGGAAGAGCCCGCATTCTGATTGGCAGGTGCTAGCCAACGTCCCCTCATCGCTCAAGTTCAAGGCCTCCCACCAGCAACAAGACGGATTAGCACCATTGAAGACCAATGCGCACATGCTAGCAGAGGAAAACGTGCTATTCAAATATATGGAGTGTAATGCCACCCGGGCGGCTCTTCGTTGAAAACGCCCCCTGCCACTCGATGAGCTGTTGTGTCGCTGCCTTGCGCCGAATATGCCACCAATCAATCTATCGGTTCCCCAGATGCAATGTTGTATGATATGACCATGCAAGTGCCCATTCGGAACACTGAGACCAGACAGCCCGTCCCCCGAAACTAAGCCTTTCCCCCGCCTCCGAAGAACTCCTTCTCATTCAGCCTGAACGCAGCAAATCGTTTAGTAGGCGGTTCACCTCCGTGATCGCGAGACAAAGAAGCAGCAGCGGCAGTGGAGGGATTGTGTGGGTCGCGGGGACGCTTGGGGGGTCGCTCACCGGTCGTGGATAGAATGGCTTGCATGTTCTGCCAGCCCTCGGTGGCCCGTAACTGCGCTGCTTCGCCGACGTCGTGCTGGCTGGCCACGCGGCAGAGCAAGGCAGCCTCGGCCTGTTCTTGTCAGTCATGCCCACTGTGGGAGAAGCAAAGGCAGACCTTGGAAAGAATGCCCATCTGTAAGATGAAGCACAGGAGATGAAAATTGGACACCTCCTGCCCCTGCTTATCAGGTGTCTGTCCGGCGCCGAGTTTGAGGGCTTTCCTGGCAACAATCGGCTCCTGGCTCTCGCCAATGTACTCGCGGTTCTCAATAGGGAAGCCTGTTTGCGTGAACATGGGCTTGGGCTGCGCCGGGAAGCCGTGGGTTAGTGTGACGAAGAGATATTCGACGGGGAAGGATGGCTTGGCATTCTCCTGTACGCTGGCGCCGTACTCATTCACGCGCCGGTAGAAGACTTCGGGGATATAACGTGTGCGGCTGACCGAGCCATCATCCTCTTCTTCTGGTCGCACAAGCATGACGTTGGGGTCCGCCGAAGGCTCGACTATATCGGCGCGGACCATCTCCACCGCCGAGTTGGCCATTTGGTATGAGGATATCGAGATTTGACCCTCTTCGTCGCCTGTGATGATGCACGTGACAAAGTTGCTGCCGAATCTCCCCGTGTCGCTCCACTTGGATGGTTTTGGATACTGCGCTTGCAATCGTGAGGAGAAGCAGACTTCCAGCGACGACAGAAAGTAAGAGTCCGCATGGCGCTTGCATACCACTGACCCGTCTCCTCGCCCCGCGTCCAGCAAGTCAGTCCAGATGACACCGACTGGCTCGAGGCCGCACATTTTGGCGACTTCTGTCACGTCTCGCTGGTTCTCCCACACGTTCTGTGTGATCCCGTCCATCTCGTCGATCTGCGGTGGCTCATAGATTGCCTCCACCACAGCCTTCACGCCCAAGGGCACCTCTGCGTACTCCTCGTACCTTCCGTACAACAAGCCCAGTCGTTGCGCGCCCGTCTTCCTCCATGCGTCGATGAAGTTGTCGACGATTGTAGGCGACGAGAACTCGACGTGGTCCACCATGCGGAAGGTCTGCGGCTGTAGCGTGATCGCACTCGGCTGGCATTTGGTGCAGATACCCTCGGGCCAGGGGGCATGGCCAGACGGGCAGTCGTGCTTTACCCGGAAGAACGGCTCTACCAGAGGTGGTATGTAAGAGGCCCCGAGCTCAGGCTTGTTTGTTGCTGCGTTGACTTTCCGCAGGTGCGCGTGGAACGACGTGTACTTGATCTTCTTCTCTTCCAGGTAGCTGGCGTCAAAGGGGTCGAGAGGCTGGCAGTAGTCGCACATGCCTTTTGGCCCATGGCGGCACATTCGTCCCTTTCCCCGCGGGATCTTGCCATCTTGTCGGTCTAGCCGGTTATCAAGCTCTGACTGTCGGACAACCTCCCACGGTCTCGAGATTCGCTCGGGTTTGGCGCTGATGGGGGCATCTTCGGTCGGTAGCACGGGCTTGCCGTTGAGGCGGGCCGTCGTCGTCGTTTTCGAATTGCCATCCGACGTACTCTCTGTCTCGTCGGCGTGGGTGTAGTTCACAAAGAGGCAGTCGCCGTGTTTCATGCCCACCGACCCGACCTTGAATTTGGCCACTTCTCGAATGTCCTTGAAATCCTTGGCTGGGTTGCTGGACACTTTGACAGTCGACAGATCCACAGGATTCGGGAGTTCTTGCACCATCTTCTGCACGAGTTCGCCAAAGGTAGTCGTCGGTTCTACATTGAACCGAAACATGCCGTCTGGCCCTCTGCAACGGAGGAGCATGGTGGCGGGAAAACCAGGCTGTGATTCTGTGTTTATGCAAGGAAGAGCTTTGGATGATGTTCGTACCAAGCGAAGGAGTGAGAAAGGCAAAATGCAAAAAGGAAGTTTGGCTGGCTAAGGTAGAGAGAGACGAGGAATCGCTGACCAAACGACACGCGCTGGTGAAGCTTCCAGACTGAGCAACTCTGTGTGGGGCAACACGCTGTGACAGCTCTGTCCGGTCCCTCCTGCCTCGAGCGTCATCATCATGATGCCTGCAGCACGTCGGAACAAATATGCGCCGGTCATCCCTCCTTCGTCCGCGCCCCGGATCCGAAAGCTACGACTGCCGTCGGGGGAACATGTGTATTGGACACGAATGCCACTTGAATGTGGGAAAGTCAACTCATCAAACACGTACGCTGCCGCAAACCACCACTCCTTCCACCACTCTTCACATACGATTTTCCAGTGATTGTTTGCCAGCTTGATTGTGTCTGAACATTACCTATTGGAAAACACACAACACACAGCGCAGACGCCGCCATCATGTTCGACGTTGACTGGAAGGGCCTCGCCCTCCCTTTCGCCTACTTGGCTGTCCTCGGCGGTGCACTGGCTACCTTTTCGACCATCTACCGCAAGCGAAAGGCTGGTACATTTCCCCAAGCTCTCTCTGCAGCTGTTGCCAGCCACTGACACTTTGTAGCCCGCAGCGCAAACCTCGAGCCCTGGTTTGGGCCGCACGTCTCGCGCGACATCTACCTCACCCTCCTCCACATGCTCCCCGAAGACCCCAAAGACGAGAAGGCCACAAAGATCCCCGTCACCATGGTCCGTGCCGCGCTTCTGCGTCGCGCCATCGAGGACCTCCAGCGTCTAGTGCAGATCCGGTCGGCCAAGCAGGCCTGCAGCTCGCTGCTCCAGAGAGGTAGCGTCGGCGATGACTTGTGGCAGCGGTTCCAGCGAGCCGAGTCGGAGATGCAGGCGGAACTGCAGGATGTGGTGCGCGAGGCGAACGCGCTCTCTCCTCAGTGGGGACAGATCATCTTTCAGTCGGCCAACGAGATTCTTCTAAACGATCGCATGAAGGAGCAGATTGACGAGATGCAAGACACCGTTGAGTCTGAGAAGGCGTGGTGGGCCAAGCGCAAGGAGGAGATTGGGAGCGAGTTCATCAAAGAGCTCGATGAGTCGGAGAAGAGCTCCACGACGGACGAGCCGGTGTTGGTCACCACACCCGAGAAGAAGAAGAAGGCGACCGCCAAGGCATAAGGGACCAAGGCGACCGCTACGACACCATGACATGCATAGACCGAGGCGTTGGAGGTGTTATTCTGGCACTGCTTGGAATGGGAGGACAAGACTGGATCAAGCCTGAATGCATAGGTATTGAGAAAGTCAAAAACGGAAGAGAAAAAAATGAATGCTATATATGATATCTCTCTTGATAATGCAGCCGGGATGCCCTGGACGCCAAATGCTAATGCAGACCGAAACCACGAAACGTGCCAGCAGGCCAGAAAGGGCGCTTGCCTGCCTGCTTGCCTACTCCCTTACCAGGGAGCGTTCTTTCGCCTCCACATTTCCTCATCCTCTCTCAATCGCACCATCCTCGCCTCCTCGGCAATCTCCTCCTCCGTCTTCAAGATGATTGGGCTCTCGCAGCCTCGGAGTCCAATGAAGCGCCCGATCTTCCTGCGCTTCTCCTCCAAGGGTAGGTCAGAGCGCCAATTGATGGGGCAGGGGTACTGCCGCGACAGTGTCGACGGGGTGCGCTGGTGGTAGAAGCTCGCCAGGCCCTCGAGCTGGCTGTCTGTGAGGAGCCAAAAGTGCAGGACGGATTGGGGAAAGGCAGGGTGCACCCAACCAGTATTGACCTGGACAAGAGGCGACAGGCAGAGACGCATCTGCGATAGCTTGTGCGCAAAGGCCGGGTTGGTGGCAATGCGCCGTTGCACGTACTCTGGGTGAGTCTCATAGGGTTGTGGTGGTGGTGGTGCCTGCTGCTGGGGCGCCTCGTGAGGCTGCTGGTGGGATGGCATCTCGCGGCGGAACATGGTGGGCCGGCGCGTATTGATTGATGATGAGTGTTTGGAGTGAACAATTGATGCTGTGGATCGGGGTAGCACCAGGTTGGTCTTAATGTCAGGTTGTCGGCTTCTCACTGTCAATGTAACTACGGCGGTGATGGGTGATGGGTGACAGTGACAGTGGTGATGATGACGATGATGATGTGTAAGTCAAGGCGGTGGTGTCCAAACAGAGCGAGGCAAGAGATAAATGAATCGCTGAGCCGGGCGGCAAGGACAGGTCATGCATGCACGAACGAGAACGATGATGGACTCGAGAGACACAATCCGAACTGCCGCATACGGCCTTCTTGCATGCGCGCGAACGCATGCGCCATCGACGCACCCGCCGCACGCGGCAGACTTGACTGACTGACAGGCTGGCAAGGTAGCTGGCAGCTGGCCGGGCTGACGAACTAAAGGACCGCGAACAAAAAAGAACGCTTTCAATCACCAGACCGCCTCTTTGTGGGCGCGCCCACAATGGCAGGGCGCTTCTCTTTGAGACGGTCTTGTCTCTGGTGCATGCTGTCTTTGCGCGGTCCTCACCAGTCAAAGGGCAAAGACGAACCCGGACCATGCTTTCGCTGGTGAGACAAACAAAAACAAAAGTGGACATGGGAGGCACATGAAGAAGAAGAAGAAGAAGTGGCCCACGCTGGCTGAGTGGCTGGGGGGCAGCCGCCATGAGGTCCGTCGCAGCAAATCAGATTGGATTGGATTGGAATGCCACGTCTCTGGCCTGTCCAGCCGACTGAGACAAAAAGCGTCAGGTTCCGGAACAATAGCCGGGAACGAACAAATGAGCACGCATCGTCGCCGTTTGTTCGTTCGTTTCGTTCATTGTCCTCGTGGTGCCACCGAGGGCCGCTCTCTGTTATTAACTAATCCATGCCCTGCTTGCTTGCTTGTTTGCCCGCACCCCGCGCATCCATGATACATCTGTCTGTGTGTATGTACACATGCCTTTCGCCGTCTTTGATGCCCGATGGCGATGGGGCGCTGCTGGGCAGCCGACGGGAACACACATGGCCTCGTCTCGCAATCACAGCCACTTCAGTTTGGCCACATGGTCCGCCTTCCTCTTGCTGCCTTTGACAAAGCCGAGGGCTCTCAGTTCGGCCAGAGCCCGGTAGAATAGCATGAGCACCTTGCGCTCGTCCTCCTCCTCCTTGCTCACTGCGGCGTGGAACGCAGTCCACAGATCAGCTACGTTGATGAGACTCCCCGTCTCTAGATACATTTGGTACAAGATGGACGTTGTCGGCAGAGTCGGCTGCACACCGTCGTGGCTTTCTTGGCAGCACTCGCAGGCCAGGTAGTCGCTCGGTCGAGCTAGGCTGCGCTCAAAGACGACGCGGGGACGTGGCACAAAGACGTCTCGCGATGGCGCTTTTGAATCGTAGAGCCAGCTCTCGGCAAGGAACACCTCGTTCGGTGGCACCACGTCAAGGTTGGCCGTGATCGCTGCTATCGTGTCGTCGACGATGCGCGTCATTTGTTTGTCTTCCTCGCTCAGCGCCATCGTGTCCTTGCTCAGGTGAACTCGCTGTCTGATGACTGTCGTCCGGACAGTGGTGTTGTGGCCGGTATACTTGCTGTGAAGCGATATGCCTTTTGATTCAGCCTCCTTTTGAAGAAGAGTCAGCTCGGTGGTTAATTCTGTCAGCCTCGTCAGAAGCGCGGCGTGGTCTGCCTCGCTCGAAGGCCCAAGTCTGAGCTCTTCGTCACCGTGCCTGTATATCTCAATGACCCTGCCGATGAACAAGAGCAAGGCTCTAGCATCCATTCGTCTTACACGATCTGTAAATTGTGCCATGGTGTCATCCGCCGGCGATATCCCATTCGTCATCATTTCGACGTACAATTGGGGAAAGTTGGTGCTTCCGGTGCTCACGGCTCGAAGGACCTCTAGACCCCGAACCGCGCAACTGACCCATGTCTGTCTCTGAGCCGCCGCCCTGGAGCCACAGTCCGTTGCCAAGTTTGCAACCTGCTGCACGAAGAATGCGCTCAAATCATCCACATCGCTCACGTCGCTCTCAGCAATGACTTTCTCCAGTGCAATCTGGAAGGAAGAGCTGTACTGGAGGGCTTCGACATGCTCGGCCTGGAGCGCAGGAGCGCCGTGATCTGGAGCGGCGAGTATCGGGCTGAGTGCATTCGCGTAGAAATGACACATGTATGCATACTAGGCGAGTCAGTAAACAGTCCACGTCAGAAGCTCCTGCATGGCTACTGAGACAGCGTGCACGACAATGTTCCAGCCAGTCATCATGTGAGGAGATGAACGCCCCTTTGGGGGAAAAAGTCGACACGAGGTGCCAGCCACGTGAGAGGGAAAAGCAGAGAAAGGTCCAGGGCATGGTGTCGTAACCTACCTTCAACGAGCTCACAAAGGATTGGATGCCTGCCACCTGATCCTGCTGCCGCTCCAGCATGCTGCGAAGCAGTGGCCCGGCTATTCGAACTGGCACATCTGCTGCTGCTACGGCAATCTTGAAAACAGTCTCCAGGATGCTACCCGACTGCACGGCGTCGAATTGCGCCCCATAAATCTGCTGGCAGACCGACTTGAGCAGGCGCGCCTGCAACAACTCGGTCGATGTTGCGACGCCAAAGAGCAGCGTGAACGGCACGCGCGAGCGCCATGCGCTGCGAAAGTCAGTATCTTCGGTCATTGTCTAGATGCAAGATAGCCCTACTTGAAGAGCGGGATAAGATCACAGAGGAGTCCGCTCTCGAACCCTTCGCTGTCTTCAAACGCGACGAAGATGTGTTCACAAGGATCGGTCTTGATATACGCATGCAGTGCCTCGAGATCGTAATCTAGATATTGCCGGCGGATCTGGCAGGCTCAGTCAGCGCACGCCTCGACAATGATATGATGTCCACTTACATCTTGACCATTGGTCATCTGTAAATTTTCTCCAGCGCTGTCGCTGTTCGCATCGGTGACCTCGCGGATAATCTTCTTCAGCATCGCTCTGAGGCTGACCGCCTCGGATGATCGTAACCTGACAAACTTGCTCTTGGAGGCCGCCTGTAACGATTCTGACAGCTGCTCAAAAAGAAGGTTCTGCGAAGCTAGGTTTGACCCCGTGATGATAAAGGCTGATGGAATCTTGTCGTCTCTTGATACTCGTCAGTACGTTGATGCTCAGCATTATGGGTGCCGCGCTCGACTCACGCAGCTTCCTTGGCTTCTCCCACAAAGGTAGCTACCTGGTCCAAAGTCACCGAGTTCGACTCTCGTAAAGCATCCTGTCCAGTTCAGTTTCATATTTCGCTGAGCCTGATAGTGCCAGCTCATACCTGAATCCGGTTTTCGACTTTGCCCCAGCTCTCGCGATACAACTGCGCCCTCAATTTGACGAAATCGGGCTTCTCTGCACCATTGAGCAAAGGGACGAATCCCAGAATTGAGTCCTCTGTCGTTGAAGAGGCTCCTTTAGTCTGTTTTGACACCCTCCGCTTCTTCGATGGCCGCCCTGGGGTCTCCCCATTCTCAGGATCGAAGATGTATGCTGCCTATGACAGTGTCAAAACTGGTCGTTGGATTTCGGCGAGAGCGCCTACCTGATAGTCGTGCTGAGCAAGCAGGTCGGTGTCTCCTCGTTCAGGATTCATTCTGCTCGCCGTGGTGCTCAACGATCAGTAGTCGCACGTTGAGTCGACCACGTCCATGCGGTGAGACGCGTTTTGGCAGCTGTGACGCGTGGTGTGCACGGTGTACAAACAGTAAATGCACAGTGTTTCAGATGCTACAACCACGCGCAGGAGGGAAATGGCGCACTGTTTAGTTCACTCCCTGCGACAGCTCGTTATTAGGACACTGAATGAATGACCTGGCGTTTTATCCAAGCTCGGAGAACCATAATTTGCTAGCGTAGGAGAATTCATATACAGCCAGACCCCGTAGCATATTTCAACAAACCCATGCTCATCTATCCGTTGCTGTCTGGCTGGCGGATGAATGAGATGCCTGCATCGCCCACGCCCTCCCTGAGAGGAAGCCATCACCAACACGTTGCCGTGCCCTCCATGCGCGCTTCGCTGCATGCCAGCGCTTACTTGTACACGGCCCGTTCGCTACCTATCGTTTCGGCCTTCAAAAAAAGTGAATCACCCGGAACGCCCAATTCAATCACACGGGGGAATACCGCCACATGCCCACGAATGTATCACCGCCATACTCTGTTCAGATCGGCCGGACTCTACGCCGTGGCCTCGACGGTACTCGCCTCCTAGCATAGGTTAGCAGTGAACAGCCAGCCACTCAGCAAGCCAAACTTACTGCTTTCGTCTCGCTGTCCTCCTTCTTCTCCGCCTCCGACTCGGGCTGTGCAGATAGGGTCCTCTCCGACTTGGGCTGCACGGACAGGGTCTTCTCCGACTCAGGCTGCGCGGAGTCGGCCTTCTCCGCATCATCGGCAGACTTCTCAGGCTCCTTAGGTTCCTTGCTCGCATCGGTCTTTTCGCCGTTTGTCTTCTCCTCAGTGGGGGACTCCTTTGCGCCGTTGACACCATTTGCCGAAGACTCGTCGCTGGCCAGGGTCTTATTCCAGCCGTCAAGCAGCTTCTGCGACCGGCTCTTGAACTGGTACTCCTCCTCGTGAGGGATGGTGGACAGCTTGATGATCTGCTTCATCACCTTGTAGATCCTCGTTTCCTTGATGACCACAGCCTCGAGCTTGGGCATATTCTCGAGCATCGAGATGTACTCAGCCATTGATTTCATCTCCTCCGCCTTGGGCGGCGCATCCTTGGACAGAAGTCCACGCTGAAGCTTGTAGCGGAGGTACAACACTTCCTTTTGCTTGCGAGCCAATCGCTCCTCGGGCGTGTCCTGAGGACCGTCCTTCTTGTCGCCCTTCTTTTGCTTCGTCTTCTTAGCTGAGCTATCCTTGGCTGCCGAGCCATTGTTGGCTTTGGGTGTGTTGGTCGACGTGTTCAGCTTGATCTTGGGCTTTTTGACGGAATCGCTGCGCTGCGGAGTCTCGTCTTCGGCCTTGCGCTTCTTCGTCTTGCTCTTGACGCTATCCGCCATGTCGACGTCGTCGTCGCCATTGCCCTTCTTTTTGCTCTTCTTGGGAGTAGCGGCAGCAGCAGCCTTGATGGCCGCGTCCTCCTCCATCATTTGCTTGTGAGCGTCCAGGACCTCTTTGTAGTGGTCCAGATCATGCTGCTCGACGGCCAGTTCGAAGGCGGCCCTAAGATCCTTGCGAAGCTTGGTGCCCTTGTTGATTGTCTCTTCGGCAATTTCGGCCGTCAGCGGCCCTTGAAAATCGGTGTTGACAACCCAGCCACTGGATACAAGTTAGCGATCGCATTCTCTACCAGTGGAAATGAATACTTACAACTCGTTCGTGTGCAGGTACATGACAGGGAACTTCCGATCGCCGACGCGCTTACCGCCATCGGCGTAGTTCTCGTTGTACATTCCGTCAGCTTGTTTCGCTGTCGTGGGTCGGTTCGCCTTGAGCTGATCAGGAAGCATCTCCTCATCAATCACAACGGCGGGCCAATCAGGGTAGCCCTTGAGCTTGACCAGGAAGTGGTCACCAGGCTTCGCGTCCAGGTAGAAGACCTTGGCTTTCGCGCCCTTCTTGCCACCGGATTTCTTGGCGCCAGTCGACTTCCGCCGATTGTTATTCGCCTTTGCGGGAGTCTTATTCGCGGTCGTGTCAGCCAGAGACTGGTCTGCGTCGAGCATAGAAGCTTCGCCAGCATCAGGCATCTCGCTGTCCTCCTCGGCGGCAGGCTTCTGCTCTTCTTCTTTCGACTCGCGATCGTCCTTTGCAGGTTCTTCTTTCTTATCTGTAGACGCGCTCCGATTAGCTTGGGTTCACCATGGTTTAGCGTGGCGAGTGTATGGGCGCGACGCATGATAGAGGTGTTCTGATGCAGTCACGCCAGGAGAACAACAGTGCGCGTCCGACCAATGCAACCATAGGATGCGCTTACCTCCCGTCTTGGCTTCACCGTCCTTGCCCATTTCCTGCTGGTCTGGTTTGGGTTCGGTAGCGGAAGCGTCCTGGCCTTCGGGCGCGGGTGCCGCGACGTCGGGCTTCTCAGTAACTTGGTCTGCCATGATGGTCGCGTCGAAGTTGCAAAGTCAAAGCGATCCTGTGATGATGGCGCGCTTCTGAGTGGTGATGGCGCGTGGCGCAGAGAGCTTGATTGAGCTTGGGCGGCGCGAACTCGCTTAGCACGCGCGCCTGGTCGCGTTCCTCGGGCGAAATTTCTTCGTGCTCGAAGGAATCCAACAATTGAAATCCGCGATGCGCGATAGGAGATGCTAAGGAGGTGATTATCGAGGGGTGCTTCGTCCACAGGTTTGGTGCGTTGGGCGGAAGGTGATGGCCTTGCAGTGGGTGACGAAAGAAAAACACTCGGGGAGCGGAAACGAAGGATGGCGACTGGCTCAGGTATGGTAGCCACCGACCTGCGCCATTGGAAGAGGGAGAAATCACTGCTCAACGTCACCGCAAAGTGGGTCACGTGATGGGTGTTGAACATTAGTCTTCCGACGCGACGTACATGTCGGATCGCGAGGCAGTGAATCGAACCTAGACCATGCGCGTTCGAAGTTTCATCCTTTATTCTCGCTCCCGGCCCCTTCTACATCAATCTGCCATATGTCGAAAGGCGACGCAGCCAGTTAACGCGTCCTTGGTCCTCCTCGGCACCCCCCTGAACCAAGACCTGATGCGGGGGCCTATCTGTCAGCTTCCGCCTCAACAGCATTGTCGCACCACCAGCGGTCCACATAACCGCTCATTAGACTGGGAAACTCTCCTCAACTCGTACATCTTCCGCGTACCGTTTTCATCGGGCGCAAACGCCTATTCATAGCCCTAATGTAGATGATCGCCTAAGATGACGCCGTGTCCAGCCCTCCATGTCGTACGTACACAGCCTGAGCTCCCATGAGCGCGCGGCTAAATCGCGTCTGCCCTTCTATTCATCTTCCTCATCCTCCTCCTCATCGTCCACGTCCATGCCTTCGGCGGCAGTCACGGAGAACTCTCGCTCCTGGTCGACGCCCACATAGCTGTCGCTCATCAGGTAGAGCTTTAGTTGGTGATCTCCAGCCGCAGGAAGCGTGTACTCAAGCTTGGTTTTGAGTTCCCTGCCAATCGTGACTCTCTTGATAGACAGGAGGTTCTTGGTCTTCTCATCGCCAACGACAAGCCACCAACTCTCCATCTTCTTGGAAGGGTAGAACGGTGCATGAACCGTGGTATCGACCTCGCCTTCATCCTCCTCATCGACGTTGCGCGTAATTTGCACACTGAGGTAAGCAGGATCGCCTGCGGCAATGTCTTCGGGATCGAGAACCTCGTACTCCAACTCGAGGTCAGGGTACCTGTTGTTGATGAACTCGGCAGCTTCCTGCAGATTCTTGTCAGAGAAACCTAAGCTCTTGACGAGTTTTCCGTGGTCGGGGTTCTCTTCTGGGTTCATTGCCTCCATGAAATCAAAGATGTCCTTGATGCTGCGAGACTTATTAGCGTTTGACTTTACACAAGTGGAAAAGGGCACATACTCATGGTCGTTTGCCACCTTGACAACCTCAGGTGTGAAGTGAGGAATCTGCTTGAGAGGGCTATCCCGATCCCACATCGCTTGTACCACCATCTGCGACATCTCCATGGCGTTCATGGTGTTTAGGTGCGCATCCGATGACAAGATATCAACCATGGCGCTCAGCAAGCTCAGCACACGCGACAGCAACACTTCTTGATCCTTGGACAAGTCGATGGGAAGCTGCATGCGTGAAAAGTGAGCCTGCAACAGAACGAAAGCCTTGAAGTGAGGCGAGTCGAAAGCGGGTTGCGCCATCTTGACAGGTACGCGGTCATAGATGCGCCGAAGAATGCCCTCCTCGTGATGCCTGATTTGAATTGTCTCAAATTCCGTAGCAGAAGTGACAATTTCCAGGATCCCCTTGAGCTTTGTCCTCGCGCTGAGCGACAGGAGGAAGGTTTGCATCGTAATGTACGAGATGTTGTAGTAGGCCGCAATCATGGCGGCATTCTGTGGCGATACGGAACCATCCTCTTCATCAAAGTCGATAATCTTGGACTCACCCAACTCTCTCAGCGTGGTCTCCACAAGGTCGGACATGTAGTTGCTCAAGTCATCGTGCGTGGTGCCCGTCAAGCTGTAGTAGCTTGGATTGGCAAGGAGACGGCGGTAAAAGTAGGTGAAGGTCGTCCAGTTGATCGCGTCGTCGCCAGACTCAATCATCTTGGTACTGATCTCCGTGACGAAGGCGTCATGGAGGTAGTTGTGCAAGTGCGATTCCACAGGCAATGCTTCGTTTAGGAACTTTTTGTAGTACTCGCGCTTGACCTGTGGCAGCATGAGAACGCCACGGCCACGGCCCTCAGCCGAAGGTCGCAGCGCCTTGCCAAACATTTGCAGAACCTCGCTGAGCGGATAGTCGACGTAGCGGTGCTCGCGGCCCTCGAAGTACTGCGTGCCCATGACGACGACCAGGTGTGCTGTGCTGTTCAGCTCCCAGCAGGTGTCGCGCGACGCTACCAGCACCTGAATGCCTCCATTGTCATACAAGTACTTGACAATCCTTCGATCATTGTGGCTCAGAGCCTCGTGGTAATAACCGACACCGTAGGAGAGGGACTCGGCAAGCGCCTCCTCGTGTACCCGGCTAGTGAGTTTTTGGAGAGCCTCCTTGTCCGCGTGAAGAAAGCGATCCTCGTCGTCGTCTACAAGGCACGCTGCTAGAAGGTCACGAGCTGTCTGCCGGGTCTGCTTGCGCGTCGGCACAAAAACCAGAGCGGGCTTGTCTGGCGACATTTGCGTGATGGCCAAGTATGTCGGCTTAGCCATGGCCAGCATGAGTGACGGGAAGTGAGGGTTTGTAAAGGTTTGGACGTGTAGCTCGAGAGGAACGGGTCGGACGTGAGGACTAAAATTGAAGATGTCGTGTTTCTTCGCGTCAATCCACTCGCCAATGTCACGGGCGTTGGCGAGCGACACACTCAGAGCCACAATCCTCAAAGAAATCTCAATCTGGGTTCGGATGTAGTGCATACGAGAGACGATGATCTCGTACACATAACCTTGGGCCCCACCCAGTAGGTGAACCTCGTCAGCGATAAAGAGTCCAACGGTCTGGATGTTTTTTCGGCGCTTCCATTGCCTGGATAGTACGTCCCATTGTGTAGGCGTAGCTAGAATCAAGTCACCCTTTTCCAGCAACTTGATGTCCGTCGCCGTCTCACCCGTCAGCTTGACAATGTCTTTGCCACCTCCTAGTCCACCGAGGCGCTTTTGCCAATCTTGCAGACGGAAGTCGATCAACTCCTGGAAGGGTGCAATGTACACTGCGCGTCCGGCATCAGGCTTGGTCCAGTGTCGTAACAGAGCAAACTCCGCGCAAACAGTCTTGCCGCTGCCTGTCGGTGCACCGACGAACACATTGTTATCACTCTTGTATAGCGAAGTGAAGGTCTGAGTCTGAATCCGATTGAACTCCTGCCAGTCAGGATACAGCTTGGTGTAGCTCTCAATCTTGAGGTCATCCACAGCGACGGGTTGCATCCTGAGCAGTTCGGTGTGAGGAGGGAACTTCTCGGGGAGAAGGAGCTTGTGGAAAGGCACCGCTAGCTTGGTCTCCGCATGCATCCACCTATCCGAGACAATGGTCACGAAGTAGTTGGGGGGCATAGGGTCGGTAATTGGTACAGTGAAGTCGACAATGTGTTCGTTGGCATCGGATTCGACATAGTCCTTGCGAAGTATGAACATCTCATGATGGAGGATATCCTCGCCGTCGCTGTCCTCGACAAGTATCCAGAAGCTCTCGCCCGCGCCGTGGATGCCATCATCCCACTCGAAGTTAGGGGTGATGGCCAGCTCGACCCGAATCATGGACCGCGTCATTGGCTGGACCTGTGCCTGCACTTCGAGGCGTGGGAACTTTGCGACCAAGCCGCATACAGTCCGACCGGCCCTGGGCATGCCCAGCAGCTCACCCATGCGTGGTGGATCAAGATCGAAGTAGTTCTGCCACGGGACGTCAATCCGCTCGGATTTCTGAACGATATCCCGAGGGCATGAGGGAAACTGGCGCAGTGGTGTCATAGTAGGCCACATGCGCTTCTCTGCCATCTTGCAAAGGTCTAGCGCTGTCTTAGCCACGGATGCCCATCCTTTCTTCAAGGTGATCTCGAAAATGGCGCGGAGAATACGGCCAGCGCTCTGAGTGATGTAGACCATGTCAGCCATCAATGCTAGACCGTCAAGCTGGAGACGAGAAATGTATGCCTGCAGGAGCACATTAATCTTCGCATTCGGCTCTTCGAGCGACTCCTTGACAGGTATGGGGACACGGCCAAGCAGCTTAGCTAGTTCAAGTTTCTCGTCTTGTCGCACAGGAATATACTTGAACTCGGCGCTCAATGCGAAGACACGGAACAGCTCAATGGTCGTGATAGAAGGTTGAATGTGGTTGTTGTAGGCTTCCATCGAGACAGCGGTGATGTAGTAATGCGACGCGATGCGGCCAAGCTCAGTGGACTGCAGACGCCCAGTCTTTTCATCGTACTTGACAAGATTGGTCTTCCGGAGCACCATGGCAGCAGAGTGTATAAGATCCACTCGCTTTTGCTCCAATGCTGGATCATCCTCGTACTCGGCACCGACTTGGTACAAACCTGGTGAACGCAGCATGCGCACGAAAAGATACGTGTATCCGAGCCACTCTACAGCATCATCGCGTGTCCGCACATTGCCCAGGACAATCTCAGCGTTGAGGTTGTCGACCAGTTTGCTGACAAACTGGCTTTCAATCGGGAGCTGCTGGTTGAGAAGGGAGAGATAGTACTGTATCTCGTTCTGAGTCGTGATGATGATACCTTCACCATACGTGTCGAATTGCGGTCGACCTGCACGACCCAACATTTGCAGCACGTCTTGGGGACTCAGTTCGACCCAGCTACCCTTTTCAGGGGAGTAGACTTGGGTGCCCTTGATGATGACTGTATGCGCCGGCAAGTTCACTCCCCAAGCTAACGTCGCTGTGCAAACGAGGACTTGGATGGCCCCCTGCGCAAACAGGTCCTCCACATCAGTCCTGTCAGCGCGGCTCATACCAGCGTGATGAATGCCAAAGCCGTAAGGAAGTATATCCTTGAGATCCTTATCGGAGGCCTGGTTGGATGCATCGTTCAGAATCTCTCGGCTACCGGCATCGTGGCGCAGGATCTGGTTGATTGTCTCCTCCTCAAGAGCCTTATCGCGTATATAACGGGCTGTTTTGGCGGTTTCCTTTCTCGAATGAACGAAGATGAGCATCTGGTTGCGGTGCTGACCAACATGCTCAATGACCTTGTTATATGTGACATCGTTCATCGTCTTGAGCTGCTTGATTGGCTTGCGATCCGTCACGCCAATAAACTCCTGGCGCAGAGGACAGGGTCTGTAAGTACCATCAAAATGGAACAAGCCCGTATCGACATCGACCCGGAGGAAGCTGGCGACATCCCGATAGTTGGGCAGCGTCGCCGACAGACCGACAATGCGCACGGCCTCTCCAGTAGCTTCAGTCTTGCGAATCGTTCGGCTGACGATGCTCTCCAGCACAGGACCACGGTCATCATGGAGCAAGTGAATCTCATCAATGATGATGAGTCGTACGAGGTTGGTATAGGTCAGGTCGTTGGCTTTGCGCGTGATGACATCCCACTTCTCTGGGGTTGTCACAATGATCTGTGTCTCGGCGATTTGCTGCTTGGTGAGTTGACGATCGCCAGTCAGCTCTGACACGCGCACGCCGTAAGATTCGAGTCGCTTGCCAAAGTTGCCAACCTGCTCCTGTACCAGAGCTTTGAGTGGGGCAATGTACACAATCTTGAAAGCATCAAGATCGATCTCGCCCGTCTCGGGATTCCTGTACTTGCTCAGCTCTCTCAGTATCGTCAACATGGCAACATTTGTCTTTCCACTGCCGGTGGGAGCGCAGATCAACATGTTGCCATCGTCTCCAAAGGCCGAGGGGTAGCATTTCGACTGGATCTTGTTGAGCGACTTGGCAGTGCTGAAAGGGGTCCGTGACCATTCGGGCATGTCGGTGATGGGTATTAACGTGTCAGCGCCATCCGATCGCTTCTTTGGTGGAGGCACGTGAATCTCTTCATATCCTTTGAAACTGCGCTTCGTGGAGCCTTCAGGTAGCCGCACTTTAGCATTGGTCATCAGGTGGTTTCCTTGGTCGAACACGAGGTTGTCGAGGTTGACCGTCTTTCGTGGTTGCAAGCCACCAACAAGATGCCCTTCGTCCTTTGCTTCCTTGACCGCTTCGGCATTGAAGGATGCTGGCACATCAATGTCCATTTTGATGTCCATCTTTCCCCTCTTCTCATCTGTTCCCTTGCCATGTAGCTCGTTGAGAATCCATTGCAGGCCTTCTGAAGTCATCTCGCGCTCTATCGTCGCTCGCTCTTCGTCGCCCTCTGCGCGCGCGAGCTTCGTAAGCCAAAAAACCTTCTCTCTGTTCTCGACGAGCTTTTGTACAAGTTCGTGGTGTTCAAAGTCGAATAGTTCCATCAAGTCGTTCTCGATCTCTCGCAAAGACTTGTCTTCACCTTCGGGCTCATCAGCTTCTCCAGACAGAATACGTAAAGCCTCCTTGGTTTTGTCGGTCTGCTCGTGCGCGTCTGGGTACAGCGCACCGACCTCGCGTTGCAGCCAGAAAGCATCAATGTCGCGAGCTGGCACTGCTTGCTTGTCTTTACTCTTCTTATCAGCCACTGGGGCCGAATCCAGAATCATCTCTTCATCGGCACCCATGGCGTCGTCTTTGGCGGCTTGCACTGCATCGGCAGCCTCGTCGTCCTCATCCTCATCTTCCGAGGATTCATCGCGCACCTCGTTCACCATTTCCTCCTCATCGTCCTCGTTCTCATCGAACGCTACGGCAACACCCTCGCGCTCATCAATCTCGCCATCGCCGGCGCCATCCATATTAACGTCTTCCTCATCATCTTGTGCATCGTAGTCGGTGATCTTCTTGCCTAGGTTGACAAGTTCGTTGAACTGCTTTGGATTCATCGTCGTGCCTAGGATGTCGTCGATTTCCTTCTTCTTGTCGAGATCCTTCAGGTCGTCGTCTTTGAGGTATTCGAGCGTGGCGTCTGCCGCGCTCGCGACAACCTCGTGTGGAACATCGCCAAGATTGCTCGCCACGATGGTCAAGATGAGGTCAAATGTCGCACGAGTGGCGTTCGTTCGCGGCCGGTAGGTGATTCCTTCGATGAGGGCATCATTGGTTCCAAGAATGCCCATTCCTCGCGCCTGGGGCGCTTCACCCTTCCTTTTCCTCTGTTCACGCAGGAGCACATCCTCGCCTTCCTGTGCGGACCCACGCTGGATTCCTGCCGCGCCGCTCTGCTTCTTGGTTTTGGGCGCTTGTTCTCGCGCCACGCGCGCGCCCATGTCTTTGATGCTGATGTTGTTGGCGATCGACTCGGGGTCGCCTGTGGCCTCGTCGGTTCGTCGCGAGACAAACCGGCGGTCCGCCTGGAGAACCAGGTTGGACATGGCCGAGTACTTGTACTGCGACACATCGCGTTGTTGGTCGGACATGATGGGCACGTCGTTGTGAGGTTGGAATCGAGATACGGGAGGGTTGTCTGTGTCGTCGACAGAAGCTCAGTGAGCTCAATTTCGAGCTTTAGGCCACCATATATGAGACTTGCGCGCTCGATATCGTCGCGGTCTCGATAGTCCAGTCGTTTTCCCTCCGAGTGAAGAAGCTGCAGCGTAGCAAAGTGATCGTCCCACCACCGCGAATTGTTTACAGCAGCATCATGGAGGACGGTACGTAAATTTCGACCTAGCCTTGCAGGCAGCTGAGACTAGCTTGTTGCGGGTTAGCGTGTTTACGCCACATATTGAGTTACTCACTAGCCACATATCGACATTTACAAGGTACCTGTATGAGGCAAGATCAAATCTAGCTTACTGCATTTAAAAGTAGTGGTCAGGTCTGATTGCTCGATTATAGCACGATTATTTATGAGTCAGTATTTACGAGCTGGTCCTCAATTCCCTGTTTCCTGCTGGTGTGATGATTCCGAATGTCGACTCTACCTGGTAAGCTTTGATTAGATATGGGCTTGACCCCTGCTGTTGCTTCATCACCGATCCTCAACGCGTAGCGCAGAATGTCCGGTCAACCAGCAGTACCATTCACATTATTATGCAACGACACCGCATGAAGTATGTCTGCGCCTGATAATTCGATTGAGAAAATCAAGGCCGATCTCGAGCCGTACATCAAGCCTCGGGAGCAGGTCAACTACATCCGCCGGATCATCGCGCTCCATCTCGCCGCATGTTCTCAGGATGCCCCTGCAAACCAGCCGTTGGTCCTAGCAGGAACGTCTCGCGATATCATTGCGCCGTCGCCAAGCGCCAAAGGCTTACATCGCGAGTATTTCGAGGCTCTCAAGGCCAACGTTGCTGCCAAGATTGACATGGACGACATGGTCCAGCAGAGACCTGCGACACCTGAGCGGGTGCCTCCACCTCCCTTGGATCACATCAACCCACTGGAAGAGCGTGTGGCGACGTTGAAATTGGAGGAGAAGAAACGAAAACTCTCCATTGTACGCAAGTACCTTGACCAGCTTGTCGACCAGCCGGCGGCTTCGCCAGCTTTCTTGGACACGGATGAAATCTTCCGGGGATGTCCTCGACTACCCAGTGTTCCTCAGGACTTCCTCAACGACATCGCCTCAACAGGCGACGGGGCCGGCACAGATCTCGAGGTTCAAGCACAGCGGCTTGAGAAGATTGTGTTGAGATCGAAATTGCAGTTGCGGCAGGAGGAGAGGCTACTCCAAGAAGCCAAGGAGCGGTCACGCGACAGACCCGATGTCATCAGTAACGGCGCCAGGCTGGTGGCGCTGAGTGCTACACGCAACGAGCTGATTACTTGGATTGAAACAGAACTGAGCACGGCGTCTGCCAACGAATCCAGACATGGCGAGGACGGAAGCAGTGGCCGTCGGGAGGCGGATCAAGCGACGATCAATCACGGGCTTTCCGACATCAAACAGAAATACGAAAAGTATCTCGCACAGAGAACGCGGCTACTTGAGCTCGCCCAATACCAACCGCAGATCTCTACCAAGCCAGAGCTGAAACCAAAAGAGACGCAACCGACTACCAAACCACCCACTCAGCTTGTCAATCACTTATTGATACCCTACATTGAGCGCTTGCTCGCGTTGTCGAGAGCCCAGCGGTCTTCCATTGCGCACAAATCACATCTCAAAGCCATGCTGAGCAAGCAGACGAAAGACGCTTGCCAGAGCCTGGGTCATCTCGCTGAGGAAAGCCAACTCCTGCCAGCGTATCCCATGAAGGATTCCCAACGGAGGCGCTCGGGATTTATCGATGACATTATGAACAAGAGGACCGACGCGCCGGATATCACGAAGAGGATTAAGCCGTGGATGTTTGCATCTGATTCGGCCAAGATTGTGAACTTGGAGGCCGTGGCAGAAACGATGGAAGCAGGCCAGCTAGGCTTGGAAGGCTCGATCAAGGCTATATCTGAGCTGGAAAGACTCTTGGGTTTGGCTAAGGTCAAAGAAGAGGTGGAGGCTAAGGACGGTCTTGCCGAGGGCAATGTGTCAGGGGCCGACAAGAGACAGGTCAAGCCGGAGAATGGTACAGGTGATGTTTGGTCTGTTCTGCATGGAAACCTCGGCCTCATCGGCCAGGAAGATTGTATATGAGATAACTCTGTCATTGCAATTCACTCAAGCCTTGCAGTAAAGAAGGTTCTGCCTTCGCTCAACGCCTCTATTGTCCGCAACTCCACGTCCAATAAACTTGCCCTCTTATTTCACCGAAACAATTGATGATATCCTCACCGATAGGTCCAGCATGGAAAGATGCTCGTCCGCACCATCGACCAAGCGCTTGTCGATCTCCGAGAAGACAAGGACGATCTTGTTCTTTTGAGCGTCCGGTATCGACTCGTCGCCAAGAATTGCAGCGTACAGCTATGGAGGTCAGCCTGTGTCATGGCACTGAAAGAAGCGGTCCTTGACTCACCTGGTTCACGACCTGGCCAGCGCTCCAGCCATCCGCTACCATATCCTCGACAACCTTCGCAATAGTCTCATAAGCTTGCGCAGTACTCGTAGGCCGTAGCGCGTCCACCAAAGTGTCAATAGTCGCGTCGGGGATGACGCCAGCAATGTCCTCTATGATCTTGACCGTGACGGCCTTGGTGTCCACATTCATCGCCTCATCGCCATCTCCGTCCTTCTTCGCAAGTGCACCAACCAATCGAGCTGCACTCTGTAGATATGTAATGGCTTTTCGCAAGTCACCCTCGCTGCACCTGATCAGTGCGTCAATGGTACCATCTTCGACAGTCACACCCTCCGCTTGGGCGATCAGCTCCAACCTCTTCTTCGCGTTCCCCTGGTCCAGGCTCTTGAATCGGAACTTGCTGCATCGACTCGCAAGAGGGTCGATGATGCGCGTTACGTAGTTGCAGATTAGGCAAAAGCGCGTGATCTTGCTGTAGGTCTCCATAGTCCTTCGCAGCGCGCTCTGGGCATCTTGTGTCATCGAATCGGCTTCGTCCAGAATAATGATTTTGAACGGTGGGCACGGGTACTTGCTCTGGTAGCCAGCGGGCGGGTTGGTGAGCTGCATACGGGCAAAGTCCTTGACTTTCTTGCGGACAATGGAGATGCCACGCTCGTCCGAGGCGTTGAGTTCCAGCACGCGTGATTTCACCATTTCAGGGCCGTACAATTGCTTCGCAAGGGCTAGTATGGTCGAAGTCTTGCCTGTACCCGGCGGGCCGTAGAACAGCATGTGTGGAAGCTGGAACATGTTAACTAATGCACCCTATGCACAGAGGTCGACCCGCACATTCGAGGACTGGAGCGTCCTTTGGAGAACGGTGACTGTGTGATCTTGTGCGGCAACATCATCAAGACTCTTGGGGCGGCTGTGGAGCGGTCAGCACTGTACCAGAGGTATGATCATGGAAGTACCGACTATTTCTCTACCCAAGGCTGGTTCTGCGTGTCCACCTTCTTCTCCGGCTTCAAGCTTGACGAACCACTGGCGGCGGCTGCCGCTTTCCTGGCCTTAATATCGAAGAAGTTGGACATTTTGACGTTTGATGTGGGTGATGTCCGATTGAGTACGCCGTGTACGAAATGACGAAGGTTGAATTTCATTAACGCGTCAACGCCTCGACAGCGCGTCTGGAATTGCGGGGCGTGCCGATTAAGTTGGAGCTGCGCCGCGCCGTGCCAGGCAAACCTTGTGGCGGCACTGGCGGGGCACCGCCTGTACGGTCAGCTTAACTACCCTGTAGTCAGTCAATCATCTGCAAACGTCGAACATGCTGGCAAAATTCACAGTGTTAAGTATTGCTCATAGCACTTTGAGCAAGTCAGTACATGCTGTTGAGTGAAAAAAATCACTGTAGATAGCACCAATATGTTAATTTGTATGTCGGTTGACCCTTTTGAATCCGTCAAGCAAACGTGGCAGTAGCCACTGCATGAATACCCTACATGAAATGAGCAACAGGCACAGCGCCCGGGCACGTCAAGCAGAAGGTCAGATTTGGGTGTGACATGGCGTGCCATCCATGAGCTGTTTCCATGTGTTTGACAATTTAAAGCAAAACAACGGTTGATTGCCACCTAGGCTGCTGACGCTCTCCGTTGAGCAACTTGAGCCCCGCCCCGGTTGGCGCCGCTTGGGCTTTGACTTGCCATGTCAGTTGAACTCACCAGTCGCTGACATTCACACGACACTTGAGTCTGCCAGGCAGGTGCACTAGCTTGTCCGGTCCTACCTTTGCTCGTGAGACACCGTCATTCACTCATTCATCCAAAGACATTCCTAGTTCCACATTTGAGGAACGAGCAAGGTCATCCTCTGTGACGACCACAAGCGCCTGACATATCCGTGACCAGATCTGACCTGCTGCCCAGAGCGCCGCAAGTACCGCGATGCCAGCCGATCAATCCGTTATACGGATAACAAAGGTGCGCACGAAGCTGGAGGCAGATTGATGGGAATTTTATAGCTGAGCCATTAGGAACTCTCCGAACTGCAGCGATCCCCTGAACTTTGTGAGTTCCAAACGAGCATCGTCGTCGTCGTCATGTGTCCGGTGTTGACTAGTTACAGCTATTGCGGTTGCTTGTCGCGACATCGACGTCCGCAACATACGAGCCTTAATCTTTGGCCCACATAGGACGCCGTACGAATTTGGGTTCTTCGAGGTGAAATTGCGTGGTCACTGCGCAGTGACGGCTAGCTAACATCCCCAGTTCACCATCAAGATCGGCAGCGGTACGTGTACTCGATCTAGTTCTACCTAGCAAGTCTGACCGAGTACGGGCAGAATATCCAGACAAGAGTCCTGAAGTCCTGTGCGCCACAACAAACTCCGGTCGGACACGATTCAACCCGAACATCTACTCAAGCGGCAGAGTATGCCTGTAAGATCATCCATGGACGCCCTCGTAACCCAGCAGTTCTAATGAATCGGCAGGTCAATCCTGGGGTAAGTCGCTCCATACCACTCCGAGTAATGACATCTGACCCTTGCAGTACATGGCGCGGTAACAACAACGAGCAGTGGTCGCCCGCTCAAGGACTCGAGTCGCTTCTATTGTCGATACAGAGTCTGCTGTCCAGCAATCCATACGAAAATGAGCCCGGGTTTGAAAACACCAGCTCCGAATCCGACAAGAGGGCTCAAAAACAATACACACAAAAGGTATTGTGAAATAATCGCGTTGCCATAGTCGACTGACTGATGCGTTAGATCCGACATGAGACTCTCCGCGTGACTGTCATACAGCGTCTCGAAGATTACCTGTTGCTGAAGCCAAACGGCACGAAAAAGCCAGTTGTACCAGAGTATCCAGACCCTGCCGACGCGGCAGAGGCTGTGCCTCCGTTTGAGCCTTTTAAAGATCTCTGCAAAAGACGCTTTTTATGGTACTACGAATCCTACCTGGCCGCCACGAGAGAAGGCCAGTCCGAGACCAAAGATGGCGAAGCATTTGTGACCATGCCGTTCGAGTCGACGGGCCAGAATTCTATGGATGGCAAGTTCAATTATGGTCAGCTAGAGAACCGACTACAGAACATCAAGAAAGCACTAGACGAGGAGACTGCTAGTTGGGCGGACGAGGGAGTACAGTCTGCACGCAACGAGACAACAGTATCGGTCAACCTGCGGCATCAGTATGAGCAAGTCGTGGCGCACATGCATAAGAGCAAGCTTGCCCACCACATCAACCTGGAGGGCGGCAATCCCTTTGTGTGGTTTATCACGTATTTCGGACCGGCCTTCACCAACTTTGACGGCGGGCTCCTCCGGATCAGGCTGAACCTCAGCCCGCGTTTCCCGACCGAACAGCCGCGGGTCAAGTGTGAGACGAAGCTCTTTCATCACCTGATTGCCCCCGATGGCACGGTGTGCTACACGCCGAACTCGGATAGATTGGAAGATGTGCGGTCACATATTGACGCCATTTTCTCGGTGTTTGAGGGGGGCGAGCCAATCTATGATCCGCGCAAGTTTGTCAACCCAGAAGCTGTCCAGCTCTACTGGGAAGGTGGCGAAGCAGGGAAAAAGATGTACAACCGCCGCCTGAGAAGAACAGTACAGCAGAGCATGGAGTACGTGTGCGAAGGCTCTCGCCTTGAAAGACGGCTAATAATGATCACAGAGATTTTCCGGAATAGAGCGGTGTTGGATACGTAATCATACACATGTAGATTGGCTGGTTCTTTGCGGTGTTCGGAGTTACAGGGGGAGATAATGATACTGGCAGTGCCATGAGGTCCTTTTGATGACACGATGTAAAGGAGAAATCAATGGTATTAAGTTTTGTCATTGCCTGAGCATCGCGTCGTGTCTATACATTCCATAATCGTGTCGCATTATACATCGTAACAGTCATTTCTTGGTCTTGGGCGACGCCATGGGCTGCTTTCCCTTGCCCACAAAGGGCGAGTAAGCCGCGAACGGGCCACGATGTTCTTCTGCCCTCCCGGCCGTACTCGAGTTCGCCGATGCCTGCTCGGTGTACACCCCGTCCGCATACACTGCCGGCTTGGTGTCGGGCGGCCGCTTGCTCTGCTCCTGGTGTATCTTGTCTAGCGACTCGCCCACGACCGCATATTTGCTCCATCGGACGTTGGGCATGTGCGCCACGCTCTGCATCTGAAAGGCATCCTTCCAGGGCATGTCACTCGTGTCACCCTTTGCTAGATACTCGGCCGTCCGCTGTGGATCATCACGCGCGGTCTGCGCACTCTGATCGAGGAGACGGATGTGCTCCTCTGCCCTCTTCTTCTGGATCTGGAGGATGGAGATGGCGGACTTGATGGCGATGGCATCTGTGTTGGACTCGAAATCGATGGGCTGCGGGGGTGGGACTGGTTGGGACGGAACCTGCTCAGGATGCGTCGTGTGAGAGAGGACGGCAGGCGGTTCGGCTTGGGGGTGAGGCGCGGAAGGCTGACGAGGAGTAGCAGTGGCAATAGCTGCTTGGGTTGGGGCGAGCTGTGGCGCTGAAGCTTCTTCGGATGGTGTCAAGGGAGAGGCAGGTGGAGGTTCCGGAGAGTGGGAGCGAGGAGCGACATCAGTCTGTATTGTGAGCCCTGGCATGGTCATTTGGGACGGTATCCGCGAGTCTACAAGTACAGAGGGTTGAAGAGGGAACGCGCTCCAGCAGCAGGATGACGCGAAGTTGGGGCTGGACTCTGGAGTATCCGACCCCGCCAAACGCTCTGCCTCCGGCCAATCACGTAGGGCGAGTGTCTGGAGCCGGGGGTGCCTTCGCGGCTGAGCCACCTGCATGTGAGCCACAGGGACCAAGGAAAGGTACGTACCTCTCACTACCCTACATGTTGATTGTAAAGTTCCTAGCGCAATTCTTACTTTCAGTTTCCCATGGCCACTGTCACTTCATTCTGCGACGACGCAACTTTATCATTTCCGTACTGCGAAAGACAAATGGTGATTGCATTGCTAGCCCCTCTGTCGTCATTCTATATCAGTCATATAGGTGACACCGGGGTCAATAAGTACCAACCCGGTCCCACTTCCTCCCCTTGTCCCAAAGCTCTTGGAAGTAGCGTCAACATATACACTTGAAGTAGCGCCACATTGTTCACCCCTTGACGAAACCGTCAGAGGTTATCGATCTTCTCGCTGGGTCCAACGTAGGTAGTCGCCTGAATCTGGGATGGAAAGAGAAAGGGGGTCCGGTTTAGTTTCCCACTCGTACTGCTCTTGGGCTAACACAATTCAGACTCAATATCAGAAAACTTCAACGGCGGTAGGGCATGCTCGCGGCTGGAGGACGTACCGAATGCTTGAAGACCCGCAACTGTAGTTCGCATGTTCCCCAACTATACAGTAAACCTGCACCCGACGCGGTTGTCGCAAAATTGAAACCGAATTGGACCCAAGCAAGAATCGCGGTTAATTTGAAAAGATTTTTACTCTCTTCAATGTTGTTGTTAGTGAATTCGGTAAAGGTGAAGTAGAATGGTGAGAGATGATTGTGAAAATGGCAAGCGGGTGTTTAATAACTGAGTCTATGTTGAGTCAATAGTAATTCCTTCTCTATGTAAGGTAGGTGCCACCGTAGTTGCCCTCCCATTTCTACGGTGGGTTATTAGATTAACAACTGCCACCGTGTCAACCACCTTTGCACACACGCACGCCTCAGTTTTGAAGATACCTTGGCAATTCGAGATGTCCAGACTTTCCCTACCGACGCTACTGTTGGGCTTATTCGGGTCGGGCTGGTACCACCGAGGCAGCAACAGTCCATGATTGTCACTGCACCAAAGATGAACGCAATCGCACTCTTTCGACAGAAGATACGTGTGCACATGAACCACATTAATCTTCGATCCACGCTACTCTCAGGAGAATATCAAAATGGAGCCAAAATTGACATTTTTCGCTTTATTGAGGATACGTTGGAAGATCGTGAGGATCACATTGTAAGCCACAAATGCGACTACAGCCACTTCCCAAAGGGACACCTCTACACCACCGGAGATCGTGAGAAGTACCAGGAGATTACAGAAAGGTCGAGAAGGGCACAGCCAAATTCTTCCAGGAAGTTCCAGAGAACCTATGATCTAGATACATCGCCGTTATCACGGCACTTTGGTGCAAAAATCCGGCCAGAGACTGCCAGTCACTGAATTCAGCCAGAACAATTGATTAATGCTGCATATCTGAACGCCAAGACTTTCAAAGGATGGAGTAACATGCTCTACGCTGCCGTCTTTCCTTCCTCGGCATGCACCTCTGAACTCAAAGAACTTGTTCCACTCGGCGTCCTCAATCGGATCCTTTGCGAGCTCCTTCTCGAACCCGATGCTGAGCTTATTGCCCTTGTCATCACCAGCGGGGCCATTCTTCCGGGCCTGATACACAATGGTGAAACCGGCGGTGGCGGTGTTAAAGGGGGAATGGAAGGCGCAGGGTGTAGCAAAGCCAAAGTCGGCGTCACCGGGCGCCGTATCTCGCCAACCCGTTGTAATGTTGCTCATGGGCGGCAAGCTGTCAGTTCGATGGAGGAGGGTCGTATTATCGCGGATAGGGGCAATAGCAGCGAGTCTTGCACTGACTGCGTCCTGCGTGGCGTCGTTTGTGAGCTGGCGGATGCACCTATATCGGGGGTACCCGTGATAGCTGACAGCTTTAAAAAGGGAGTAGCAGCAGAAATGTAAGCAGAGGTGAAGAGGGAGACATTACTAAGCTAGCTTCAATAGTGGTGCCTCTGAGATGACCTCTTAAGCTGTTTGCTGAGGCACGGGACTATGCGTACTAAGCACTACCCAGACAACGTTGCCTTGAATACGGGCTGGCACTCGGGGCTCATGGAAGCGCCTGCGCATATCAACCGCTTCAACCCATAGCAAATTCTGCTTGAGATCCAGCTTGGAGAGGCGGGCTCGATGCTTTGATAGCACACGCCAGATGTAGCCCATGTATGCGTCATAGCTAAAGATCCAGTTCCCGTCCTCAGAACTTGTCAGCTTCTTCAGCTATTCAGACTTGCTCTTAGGCAGATGAAACAGGAGCCACTGACCAGTCTTGTGGTCAGGGTGGCGTAAGGGCGACACAGGTCTGTCGACACGCTACTCCTCCGGAGGGTCAGCGACGGTGATCCTGGATAGATCCAGGCAGGCCGGGGCCCAAGCGGAAAGGGAGGCTCTGGAATGTCCTCGGACGATTTCCAGATAGAGGCACAATTGTTCGCCAATTGGTGCATCTCGCCGGCCCATCCCATGATATCGTTGGTGTAATGGTGGTGGTGCATGATGAAGATCAGCCCGCCAGCGACGAAGCTGGCTGTAGCGGCTGACGCCTTGGGGTTGCTTGCGGGCTGACCCTCGGGCTTCTTGCCATATAGCATGGGCTGAACGCACCATGTGTCCATGTTGCCCAACGCAGTAGTCGAGCGTGGATAACTTGGAGAACTCCTCAGAGGGTTCCGCCTCCCTCCGCGCTGGACCTAGTTCAAAGACCTCTTACTTGGACATCTTGGCTGAACGTTGCGTGTACTTATGAAGGGCGGGAGCGTTTTGCTGTATAACATGAAGTCAGCGGGACAACCGAGGTGATTTGAAAAGCATAGAGGGACTTTTCTTTGTCACTGAGCAGGCTTCGCCTTATTAAAGGTGGCACCGTGTTCATGTAATACAGTAAGTAACCTGGATGTGATGCATAGCACTATCAGGGTTCGTGCGGTCTCCCTAGGCCGTTTAGTAACGGATCTTTGCCACCAGTGCCAAGTCCTTTCGACGTAGTCGCGCTTTTGATACATATAGAGACGCTCATCAAATATACTCGGCCTTTTTAAACTTGTGTATACATCTTGCCATGCATTTCAAACCGCTGATGAGGGCACGCATGCAGTGAGGATTCTCCTGTTCCTCCCCATCCACCTCCCTAAATCTGCCACGTAATTATTCCTCCGCTTCCGAGGCAAGATTGGATCGCATCCAAGACCAGACCTGGTACTTGATTGCTGTCTTCGAGGGCGACGTAGATCTCAGCTGTTGAAATCGGTCTCCATGTTTGATTTGGTATTTTCATGGTCCAGGGGCAAGCCGGCGTGAGCCAAATCTCAGACGTCAGCCATAAACACGGGTTCACAGAGTCCGCATTCTTCCAGATAATGACTAGCCAAAGATACAGAAACCAAGACCAGGGGCAGGATAGGGGCATGTTGGTTCGGGAGGCAGTCTTCATTGTGATGTTTAGGTCTATGCTTGCTATAAGGTAGGTAGAAAAGTCGTCTGCTATATTCACAAGCCAATATTCCTCCCGTTTCAATTTTCAACCTTCACCAGTCGCCACCACCCAATCTCCAATCTCTCCTGAAGGACCATAGCCTAGGAGTTTAGGCATCATACTGGATCTAGTATTAGGTATCAATTGATTCTCTCACGCGCTCTTCGCCCTCCTCTAGTTGCTAGCCTAGTGCGCGAGCTGGAACTGGCCCACAAACCGCCTCTCCACGCCCTTTGTCCCATCCGAAGTCGTGCTGCCAGCTCCAGCTCCAGGACCAGTACCCCAGGCACCACCGCCCGGCGTGTCAATGAGGAATCAGTCCCCCTCTTGCACCTGAAAGACCTTGCGCCCTCCAAGACAGCACCAGCGACCGCCCTCGCCCCCCTGACAATGTAGTTCACCCCGCAGGCCCCGTCCTCACCACCCTACATCCCGTACGGCCGGTATGCCCTGCGCTCGCTCACGATGGAGCTGGTCATGTCACGGCCAAACTCGTACATGCGTGGGATACCATCCCCGCCGCTGCCTGGACGGATGTTGAGCTCGCGCAGGACCACGGGGTACCGCTTCTCTAGGACCTCCACGTCGGTGATATGCGTGTTAGTCATGTGGATGTGCACGCCCGAGATGCCATGCCACCTAGGCCCGGCGCCGCTGCCGCCACAGATGGTCTCCCCGAATCCGAATCCGGTGTTGGGGATCGGTGTTCCGAAGGCGTCGACGTTGCGGTCCGTGGCAAATAAGAAGACGGTACAGTCACCCTGGATGGCCGCGCACGCCCCGAAGGCCTTGATGACCACGTCCGTCACGCGCTGCGAGGTGATGGGGTTGCCGGCGCAGACAGCGGCTGTAGGCGAAGGGTTGAGGATGGAACCCTCGGGGATGGTGAGGGTCAAGGGCCGCAGGCACCCCTCGTTCAGGGGAATGTCCTGGTTGATCAGGCAGCGCAGCACGTACTACGGCGCGCTGCGCGTGATGGCCTGGGGTGCGTTGAAAGAGTGGCAGCTCTCCGCACCGGTGCCTGTTCAGTCAAAGCGGGCGCTGGCCGTGTCCGGGACTCCGGGCTTGACAAACAGTGGCGCTTGTATCCGTACTGATTCCGTAGTGGCAGGGACTAGGCTGGCAGCGTCGAGATTGGGAATGCGGGTACGCACGCGAATCGTGAGTCGTCACTCGTGAGTCCGGTCAATTTGGACAAGAGTGCGACACGCTTCGGACTCTTGTGCCCGACGATGAGGGCCGGCGGGAATGACCATTTCCGCGTCGACTCGCCGTCTTGGCTTGACCATATGGGAGGATGGCTTGTTGTGTGAAGCTCGAGCTGTCTGCCTCTAAGGCAAGTCTGGGACGGTCCCGCAAGGAAGATGAAGCGAGGTCGAGGTCGAGGTCGAGGTCGAGGTTGAGGTTGAGGTTGAGGTTGAGGTCGGAGTCCGTCCGGCGCACTATTTCGGGCAGGGGCTCCCGCCACGTGGGGAAGGCACGGAGGGTCCATGATTGCGCCGTCATCGGAGGCGGAGACGGGGATAAGGTAGATATCTCACCTTAAACATGAAATTAACAGCAATTTAACTCACGAAAGCTACGAGACTCAGTGCGTGGCGGATTGTGAACTGAAGCCAGACTACGCCAGACCACTCTCAACCTTAGCGCCCAGGCCCCAGACTCTCGTGCTCAGGCTCGCTCAACAAGTGCCCCCCTTATCAACCTCGACACGATACCACACGAGCAACCTCTGCAGTCACTCAGCCCAGCTTTCAGAAGTCTTGGGCCAAGTTCACGTTCTCGACACAGATGACCGCCAAAATGGCAACACTCATCCGCATTGCGATGCTGAATGCGGACCAACCCGTCCCGGCAGTGAGACAAATCTATCCCACATACGGCGCCGTTTTCCACAAGCTCCTCTGCGCCTCAGCGGAGCGTCTACAACTCCCCGTCAGCATCTCCTCACAAGACTTTGACGTCGTGCGGGAGGAGTACCCATCTTCGCCCGACGACTTTGACCTGCTCCTCATCACAGGTTCCGCATCGAGCTCCTACGACAATGTATCATGGGCACACAGACTAGACGCCTACATCCGAGAAGTCTACGAAAGGCACCCCGACGTCAAGATGTTTGGCAGCTGCTTCGGTCACCAGATCATGTGCCAGAGTCTACTCGGCCAGTACGGTGTCAAGGTGGAAAAGGATCCCCAGGGTTGGGAGCTCGGCGTCCACGACATCCAGCTTACCAAGGACTTTGTCAAGGCGCTGGGTTGTGGTGGTGGCAGCAGCAGCGAAAAGGCAGCCCAGGAACCCGCACTCCCTGCGACAGATCGTCTCCCCACGCCATCGGATGAGAAAGACAGCATCCCCGCCATGCCGCTCAGCCAGTCCTCGCTGAGACTCCAGTTCATCCACGCGGACCACGTCCACCTGCCGGATCCCTCTGCGCTGCCCGCGTCGTGGATACCCATGGGTCGTTCTTCGCACTGCGCGTTCCAGGGGGCGTACCAGCCCGGGCGCATCTTGACGTACCAGGGCCACTTTGAGTTTGATCGATTCATCAACACGGAGACGCTCAAGGTGTTTGGGGCCAAGTGGGACCCGGCTGTCCTGCAGAGCTCGCTGGAGCGGATGGACAAGGAAGATGATGCAGAGACGGCTGCCGACATGGTGATGAGGTTTTTGATGGAGGGCAAGGTTGGGAAAGGGGGTTTAGGAGGGTTGGTGACGCCTCCTGTTTAATGTGGCGGATTGAGTGTGCTTTCGAGAAGTCGCCGGGCAGTCATGAGCGCAGATTTGTCTTTTAATATAGAAACAATGAAGAATACTCATTTATTCTGGAGTTCACATGGCATCGATCTATAAAGAGTGTACATTCGCATGTAAGGTAGTGCCCAGCCGAAGCAGTCTCCTCACACCACGGCCTGACCTCTTTCACCAGCGAGGCCAGCCTCTCAATGGCCTCCTGGATCTCCGCCTCCGCGTGCCACGCCCAACACAGACGAAGGCCGAGACTATACCCCTTTACAGCCTTCTCCTTACTCCCCTCGTCGCCCTCCACCGTCATCATGCCCCCCGACGCAAATCTGAGGTCATGCTTTGCCAGACCCCGCGCGGCAAGCTGATCCGCTGTGATGAGCAGGTCTTCCGGCACAGTGAGGCGAATAAAGTACCCTCCCACGACAGCCCCTAGTTGTGCGTGGCCGTTGGTCGCGCTATTGCTGACGTGCCCGTACGAATAGGGCGTGCCGGTCGAGATCTGAAATCCCCAAGGGCAGGAGGTGCTCCCTGATCGCTTCAACATTGTGTTGTACCGCGCTCGGTACGTGGGCACCACCGTGTCCTTAATGTGAGACTGCAGCCGGCCCGAGGCGAGCATCTCGGCCACTAATGTCGCGGACATGTGCGAAGGACAGCCGCCCGGCTTTGTGAGCCAAGCGACGACAGGGCATGGGTAAAGGCAGGCGTCGCCTCGTTCCAGCCGGTACGCACACCGGGGCCAATGGTCTTGGAAAAGGAGCTGTTGCTGGCGACGTTGCCAAAGTCGTTCTGAAGCCCGCCGTCCAGATTCAGGTCCACGTCGACGATGCGCGGGGGGATGTTCGGCAAATGATCTGCGTCTGCGTTTGCTTGTGTGTCTTCAGGCCTCGGATTGGCAAAGGTGGGCACGGCGTAGATGATGTGCTTGTACACACGAGGGTAGCGCGTGCGGTTCGTCTTGACGGGCGGCGCATCAGAGTGGCCACCCGAACTCTCGACCTCTTGAATACTTGTCCTCAGAAATTCAATGTCCAGACCCTCCACGTCCTCAGGGACACGACACCGCGCAGACGCCCCTTGAAGTCAGCGTCCGTCACGATGGCGCAGGCGAGGAAGTAACACGGTTCCACCATCCATATCCGCCTAGTATAACTGGGCTCCGTGAACTTTTGGAGGATACTGACGAGATTGCCCGATGCGCCGCTGGAGACGCAGATCCGCTCGGGGGAGGACATAATGTTGTACGCAGAGGAGAGCCAGAGGGCGTCAGGCATTGTGCAGGCGTTCGGCTTGGCTCAGGTTGATGTTTTTGCTCTTTCGTCCGAGCTTGACAGAAAAATATTAAACCCGTCAAGAACTGGACTTGAGAGCATCTGACAGCCAAACTCGTCGGTTCGAATCAGTCAGTGGCGAGTCCCCAGTCTCGGACAGCCCTCTATCTCCAAGCCTTTGAGACACGTCTAATGTCCGAAAGATTCGCGAGCCTCCGCTCTGATCGCATGTTGCCCCGACAGAGGATCTCGAGACGATATCTGATGCCAACGATCACGCGATCAAAAGAAAACTCGGACAAGGATGCCCTTCATCACGGACCACGAGCGTAACGACTCGGAGCCGCCCCCTGTACCCCACACTCAGCTATCAGCAACCCCCTCAGTCCGCATGTCGGCGCCGGCTGTCCGTCTTGCATTAGTGCCAACGGACAAAGACTCCGTCGATATGATTTTTGGAGAAAGTGTGAAAGACCCCTGGTTGTTGCGAGGGTGTTTGACGAGAATTGGGGAAATCTGGTATCCATGGCATCCTCGAGATGAGAGCGGGAAGACGCCTTGACAGCTGGTCAGCTTTGCACATTCTTTGCCTCCCGGATATTTCAATGTTAAAGCAGCTTCCTTGACTAGGCACCGTCATTTTTCATTTCATTGTTGCTTGCTTCGGGTCGAGATTCACACGCGCCCAGTGACCACCCACACAACCCAACATGCCCCAGCTCAACATCTCGCTCGATGAGGAGCAGGCCAAGTTCGAGGCCGACGTGGCTGCCATTTAGAAGTGATGGAGCTCGCCTATACTGACAGTGGACGCAACAGGCCATACTCGGCGCGCACCGTCGCCGCCCTGCGCAACAGCATCGACGTTGCGCCCACCGCAAGCTCCCAGCAGGTCGTCAAGCTCTGGAACCAGCTCCAGGAGCACAGCAAGAACGGGACCACCGAGTTGACGTTTGGCACCAGCGAGCCGACCATTGTGTCCCAGATAGCCGAGCACCAGCAGTCCGTCTACGTGTCGGGGGCGCTCTGCGGCTTCTCCGAGGTGGACGCGCCCGGCATGGACGCCTGCGACTACCCCTGGGACACGTTGCCCAAGACGGATGGGTCTAAGAAGCTGTCGTGGTGTGGAGGATACCTGGCGGACGCGTTCTTTGAGACGAATGCTGGTGAGGAGATGGCCGTGAAGGCGTAGTGTCTGTATTCCGGGTAGGCAGAAGCCACGTGAGACTGGACGGTGATCTGCACCAAACAACACGAGGCCTAACGATACTCGACCTAGAACTCATTACCATTGTCTGGCAGCCTCAATAAAGAATCTCTCTAAATCTATCTATAGTGTTACACATTGAGTCTAATAATGTGACTGGCGGATATGCTCTGCTTGATGACTCCAACTGTGTCCGCCTTGGCCCCGCCCGTACTCTACAATTCCAGGACCAGGCAGTTGAGCCTCGTCGACCTTCACTCACCCTCACTCTCGTGGTCCACGACTTGACTCATGACGCAGACGCTGCTCGCGGGATCAACACAGCCACACACTATAATGCGCTGAAGCCTCACTCGACCGCAGCGCGCGCTGACAGCAACCTACATGTACCAGAGTCCAGACTCCAGACCCATGGACCACGGCGAGGGACCACCGCTCAAGCGGCAGCGCGTCCTGGCCTGCCGACGATGCCGCGGGCGCAAGCAAAAGTGCGAGGACAGACGGCCCTGCTCCAATTGCGCCAAGGCGGGCGAGGACTGCGTGCCCACCGAGCCGGCGCCTCGTCCCCAGGTCGAGGGGGACTACGTGCGCGCGCTCGAGGAGAGGATCGCCGAGTTGGAGTCTCGTGATCCCAATCAGAGCCGGGACCACTACGCGCGTGCGCGCACGCCGCAGGCAGCGAGAGCATTGGCCCCTCCATCACTGCAAGGCATCGTGTCAGGTACCAACACTGGACTCCCCGCGCGGCGCGCTCAACCGACCTCATCCGTCTCCCCTGCGACCAATTTGCACAATGGCCTGCTTCACCCGCGCAAGAGCCTCTCCCAGCAGCCGCCGGACCTCTCGCTGGCAGACGACTCGGACGCAGAGGGCATAGATCATCTCCTCTACGGTCTGGCCTCACCTCCAGGGCGGGACAACTTTGGGGGCGGTGCGGGCAACATCAAGTCACCTAGCATGCACACCGGCTCGGTACGGCACCACGACGACCACCATTATCCCGCGCAGAACCTCGTCGCCTCCATGACTCCCGAGGTCGAGGGGCTCCTTCTGGGCGCCTACAGGGGGCGCGCGCAGGTCCAGTATCCCTTCTTCCACTGGCCCACCCTCCTGGACTGGGTGGCCGACTGGAGGACGTGCCCCCCGGCCGAGCTCAACCCCAAGCCGTGGCAGGGCTTCTTTGTGAACCTCGTCTTCGCCACGGCGCTGCTCATGCTCGCCCTCCCGCGCGTCGGTCAGTCGGACTCGCGTGTGTTCTACAAGCATGGCGTCGCCCTGCTGCCCCATGTGCTGCGGAGGAACGACCCCATCATGCACGTCCAAGCGTATCTTCTGCTCAGCATGCACGCCCTGCACCGCAGCAACACGCCACGGATACTGTCGCTCGCCTCCACGACGATGCGCATGTGCGTGCAGCTGCAGTATCACCTCGCCGAGACGGAGCTCGAGCCCACGACACCCGCCGCCCTGTTGCAGAACCAAGTGCGCAGGCGCTGCTTCTGGTCGGCCTACTGCGTCGACCGCCTCGTCATGGCCTCGTTTGAGCTTCCGCCCTCAATCACCGACGCCATGATCACCTCCAAGCTGTACGCCAACGTCGAGGACGAGGACTTGGAGAGCGCCGTGGCCCAGTTGCCCGCGGGCGCGGACCTGGGCGACGTCCCCGTCTACACGTGTGTGTCGCCGTCCCTGCATATCCTTCAGTGCCGACGCATTCAGTCGGAGATTATCAACTACACCCTGCGTTGGGACTACAAGGAGGTCTTTGAGGGGTCGCTCGAGTGGCGCATACGCATCCTGCGCGAGCTGGAGAACTACAAGGCGCGCGCGCAGAACTTTGCCGAGCCCCAGTCCAAGGGCCACTCGAGCCAGCGGTGGCTCGCTCTCATCTACCACTACACACTGCTGCTTCTCTACCGACCGACCAAGGACAACGTGTACGGGCCCGCGGGCGACTGGGCGATCCAGGCCAGCAGCCAGGCCTGCCTCATGTTCCGGCGGAGCCAGATGGACCGTCAGATTGCCCAGGCGTGGATCGGCCTGCTGGTGCAGTTCCAGTCCGGCGTCACCCTCCTCTACTGCTGCTGGGCGACGCCCATGGAGTACCGCACCGACAACTACGACGCCCCGGACGTGTCTGACGCCCTCCGCGCCTGCTCCAACATCCTCGCCATCATGGCCGACCGCTGGCCCAAGGCCGAGAGCCTCCGCGACGTCTTTGAGCTGCTGGCCCGCGAGATCCCCCTCGTCGACAGGCCATCCCGGCCCCCGACACGGATCACGCCCGCCACCGCCGACGCCATCCGCGCCAAGCTCGTGCCGGTCCGGTCTCTAATTGTGCACCGCTCTATCATACGCATGATTGAGGAGATGATCAACGAGGACTTTCCCCGGCGGCGGCCCAACCAGTCACCCTCGCCCAGCGTGCTCGCGCGGTCCCAGAGGGCCACACCGGCGCGCGACAGGCAGATTGTGCCGCCATCCATGGCTGATCCTACCATGGCGCCCTTTGAGCTGCCTCTGTTCGCGCAGCAGCTGTATGGCACGGGCACGGGAAGTGGGAGTGGGGAGATGGAGGCCCCGATCAACACGGATGAGCTTCTTGCGTTTCCTGGGTTCTTTGACCTTGACGGGTGGCAATGAGCGTCTTGGATTACGCTCAGCTAAAGCTTCATTGGCTGGTGTCTGCTGTGGAAGATGCCCGAGTGAGACGATGTGACAGGGGGGGTTGTTAGTCCAAACGCATACAATCCCTCTATCGGACAGCGAGTCCGCTGACCTTGTCGACGTCTATCTAGGTACGATGCGGTTCTCCGCAAAGCAAAGCGGAGACTATCGGGCGCGGAGGGACAGGAAGTACGGAGGGAGAGGGGAGAGGGGACCAGACCCTTATCAGACATCATGGTGCGTCTCGACCTCGGACTGACCTGAACCGATCGCAGTCCGTTGGCGAGTCGCATCTCGTAGCAATCTGGGCTGATCAGCCTCCGCAGTAGCTGGGACGGTGATGATTGATTGCCCTTCGTCCTCATCTTATCGAAGCCCTTGGCCTTCGACGAATGAAGCATATATCAATCAGCGGCGACTCCAGCCGGCTCACATTACACACATCTGCATTGGTACACACCAGTTGTATCGTCTGACCATCATCCTCCACCATGTCTCCGACAGCGCATCCCCTCGACCCCGTCTCACCTCAGGAGCTCAGCACTGCCACCCACGTCGTCAGGACAGCGCACGCATCCATCGCCCCACTTCAGTTCCAGGCCATTTCTCTCCTCGAACCTCGCAAGGCCGAGCTCTCCGCATGGCTCGTGGACCGATCTCGAGCCCCTCGCCCAGCGCGTGTCGCTGACGTGACGGTCATTGCGGCAGAGGGGAAGGCGTACGATGGCTTCGTCGACCTGAAGAGCGGCAAGATCACAAAGTGGGAGCAGCTGGATGGTCTCCAGCCGATTGTCAGTTGACCCTCCATGACGCGAAGAGCAACCACCTAACTAGGACAATAGATCACACTCGAGGAGCTCCAGAACGTGGAGGAGATTTGTCGGCAAGACCTCAGGGTCATCGAGCGATGCAGGATCAACGACATCCCCGCGTCAGACATGCACAAGGTGTATTGCGACCTGTGGATCATTGGGCACGACGAGCGCTACGGGAACGCGACGCGTCTACAGCAGGCGCTGATGTACTATCGGCCCAACGTGGACGACTGCCAGTACCAGTACCCGCTCGACTTCAGGGAGGGACATCGTGCTCAATGACCTTCGGCTCGTGGACAAGGGTGTCGAGCGGCCCATCTTCTACCGCATGTCGTTGGCCGAGATGGTCGTGCCCTACGGCAATCCCGAGCACCCCCATCAACGCAAGCACGCGTTCGACCTGGGTGGATACGGCGCCGTGTACGTCTGTTGCTATCTGGCCTCGCCAGCTGTGCTAACCAGAAGACCAGACACCTCACCAACAGTTTTGCCCTCGGCCGCGACTGCAAAGGTACCATCCACTACCTGGACGCGGACTTTGCCCGTCACGACGGCGGCGTACGCCACATCAAGAACGACATCTGCCTCCACGAGGAGGCCGCCGGCATCCTGTTCAAGCACACCGACTTTCAGGACGACTCGACGATTGTGACGCGGGCGCGGAAGCTCGTGGTGCAGCAGATTTTCACGGCGGCCAACTACGAGTACGCGATCCAGTCGATCTTTCACCAGGACGGCACGATCCAGCCCGAGAGCAAGCTCACGGGCATCCTCAACACGTACGTAATGGCCGAGAACGAGGACACGCACGACTGGGGCACGCAGGTCTACCCGGGCGTCAACGCGCACAACCACCAGCACCTCTTCTGCCTGCGGGTGCACGCCAACATCGACGGGCCCCACAACACCGTCTTCGTCTCGGACACGGTCGCCTCGGACGCGCCCGTGGGCAGCCCGGCCAACAAGTACGGCAACGCCTTTTACGCGCGCCAGACCAAGCTCGCGACCGAGGGCGAGGCGCGGACCGACTATGACGGGGTCACGAGCCGGACGTGGGAGATTTGCAACACGAACCGCCTGCACATCCCTACAGCGACAAGCCGAGCAGCTACAGGCTCGTGAGCCGCGAGGTGCCCGGCCTGCTGCCCAAGGCGGGCTCGCTGGTGTGGGAGCGCGCAGGCTTTGCCAGGCACGCCGTGCACGTCACGAAATGTAGGTGAAGACTACATCTCTCCTACCTCCGCAGTAGCTGACAAACGCAGACCGCGACGACGAGCTCTGGCCCGCGGGCCGCCACGTGCCGCAGACAGACGGAGAGCCATCGAGCGGACTGCCGGCGTGGATCGGCGACGGCGCGACGTCCATCGACAACACGGACATTGTGCTCTGGCACACGTTTGGGGTCACGCACATTCCGTTGCCCGAGGACTTTCCCATCATGCCGGCCGAGACAATGACGCTGCTACTGCGGCCGCGCAACTTCTTTGCGAGCAGCCCGGCCATGAACGTGCGACCGTCGTACTGCAGCACGCCCGAGCCAGGTCGCCCAGGGGAGTAGGGCAGAGGTGGACGCGCGGGACGAGGCGAGTCGGCTGGCGTTTGCGGACGGCTCGTGCTGTGGGAAAGCCAAGCTGTGATGGACTAGTAGTGATGAGGACGCCATGGCAAGGAGCGACCACCAGGGCAGGGTGGACGCCTTAATAAATCGAAGGCCTGTGTGACAGTAAGACCGTGACAATACGAACGGTAAGGGAAGACAGCGGTGAGCGTGCCGAAGTACGTATACACGACAGCTATTTCAGGCCCAGTATCAAGCCTCGACCCCTGTGATACGAATCTATAGTACGGATAGACAAAGACGAAGAGGGAGGGATGAAACAAAGCGCGAGGAGGGCTGGGCTTGGCCGGTTGGCTGGCTGGCTGGCCTCAGCGTCCGTCAGACAGGAGGCCTCGAGCTCGCCAACCAGCCACATTCAGGGTCCAGTCCTCGCCGCGTGCGTCTGTCGCAGCGCGCTATTTGCGGATGGAGAGGACAATTAATGAATCTGCAATCATGTATCACATCACATTGAGCTGCAGCGGATCGTCGCACTACATGTACGTATGATATCGCATGCATTTGCGTTGGCGGCAGCAACGTCGAGGACTAAGGTAGCCAAGGCGCATGCTACATCTACCAAAGGTACGCAGTGATTACGCAGTGCAGTGCGACGAGCGGCCCGCGTGTTTGCATCTCTGGAAGGATGCAACCTGATAAGGGGAGGAGGTGTCTATCCATGTTGTTGATTAGCCTGTTCTTGTTGTTCTTGTTGCTCTTATTGTTGTTGTCGCTGCAGCTTCTTCTTGGCTGATGTGGAGGATGCTCTCGAGCAAGATCTGATCACGCGTTGCAAGTGCTTCCAAGTTCCAGTGACTGGACTCGCCGGATGTCCTCAAACGAAGCGGCTCAGTAACGTGCACTCAGCCTGACAGCGCAAGAGTTTCCTTCAGGTGCCGGCCCATCTCGTTGCTCATTTCAAAATTTCCAATGTCCCCCCCGATCTTATTATAGCAGGGCCTTTCCTTAAGCTTAAAAGGTTGTTTACAAGGCTCTCCCAACCCTGTCGGGGGTCAGTGCGTACCGGCCGAGCGTATTAGTGATGAGGGATCCACTGGGCGGGCGCTGGGCCGGTTCACTGTATCTTTTTAGTCTGTCAGTGACTGGACTCGGTGGGTTCCTGTCGGCGATGCTGCTTCATTTTTCAAATGCTTGAATTTGCAGAGTGCAGGCTGATGAAATCAACAGCCAAAGTGGCTGGCTTCTGTCTGGCTAGCAAAGACGCAAAGGAGGCCTCGCGTGAGCAGAAGGGGAAGAGGAGGAAGCTTGGAGCCTTGGCGAACGAGCCTCGTGCGCCGCAGCAGCGCCATGAGCGTCCTCCCTCTCCGTCATAATTGCAGGCTTTGGCAGCGCATTGCCCGCAAAGCAAAGTCAGAGGCAGCCCACGCTTGACTCCAACCGGTATTACCAAGAGCCCAAGACCCTCCAGCTGGCAGCAAGATCCCCCTTTGTGTGTGTGTGTAGTGGTGTGCCTCCTGTCATGCTGGATACCGTCATAGGCCACACGAGGTCGGGCAGGACAGAAGTACCCTTTTTGGAGGCGCAGTGATACGTATGCATTCATGATTCATCTAGCAGCAGATTAGCAGCCTCCAACATCCGAGGTCTGAAGCACATGCACATGCAGGTTTGCAACAGTGCAAGCGAGTCGACAAAGAAGTGTGGTGTGCGGATGCACATCTGCGCATCTGCTTTGTCTCTCATTCATCAATGCCATTTCAAGCCTCCAATGACACTACGCGCCCAGCCAGATTCCCATATTATGATCGCTGTGGCGAGGCCTCCTTTGGGGAAGACGGAGGGGATGCTCGTCGCCGTCGTCGGGCAGGTCGGCTGCGTTGAGTCGTTGACTCGTATTATTACATACAACATGGATTTAATAGGGAACAATTACAGCATGAATAGCGAGCCTCCTTCAAGTGTGACTCACAGACGTGAGCATGCTCTGGGTCGCTGGCTTTGCCTTGTCGCGCGGTCAGGAGAATCTCATCCGTGATCGTTGCTGCGTGACACACACTCGAGAGTCGAGCGACCATCATATGCCCCGAATGTGAAACTCTGTTGAAGCCGCTGACGATGCGCCTTCTCTCTCGACGTCGGCAGAGGTAGCGCGCCTCCACCCGGCAGCCTGACAATACCTGGGGCGCATGTACAGCTACAGACGACGGCTAATCGGCTCAGCGACTCGAGGCGTTTCGTCTAGGCAAAAGACGGAGTGACAACCGTGTTCAATTGGCTGCGCGTCAGTCCTTGGCTCGTGGCGCTGGCCTGGCGCTGGCGCTGGCGCTGGGAGGGACTGGAGTCAGCAAACAATGAGAAACGTCCCGTGCAGAGCAGGAAAACGTGTTTGGTAGGGGGGGACTGGCTTACACGTATACAGTGGATAACCAGATGTAATCAAATGACCCATGCCAAACCTGTCCGATCTGAACTGTCTTTTCCTATTCCAGCCTGTTGACTCGGCGGTGCGCTGGCCATCCATTCCCTTCCAGGTTCTAAAATTGAGTTGCATCCAAGGGAGAATAGTAGTACGTACTTGTTTGGCCTAACAGCCTTAAGGCCTGAGGTTCGCCGCCCGAGTCCCTGAAAGAGCCTTCACATCCTTCGAGCGCCTCACAACGCCTTTTCATTACTCACTCACCCGTCTGTTACATTAGATTCTTCTGCTTTCGCGTTGTTCTTTCTTCGGACTAGACTTTCTATTTTTTTTTGCTTAGAACGCCGCGCAAACAGCCAGCTTCATCCTGCACCCCGGCGAAGACTAGAGCTCAGCTCATACTAGCTGATACTATCGACACCCCAGCAACCACCTCCAGGCTATGGCCGTCACTCTGACCTTGGCTGACCACTCCTTCATCGAGCGCAAGACTGCTCGCTACTACATCCGCAGCCATGCTATGAAGGGGAAGGTCCTCGGCGGCAAGGTGCGCGCTCTTCGGAAACGACCTCGCGCCACCGAGACCAGGCGCGACACATACCATCTCCTTCATGAGAAGAACATGAAAACCGACGACAGCACCACCACCATCCATGTGGTCGACGACGACGCGCGGATGGACTTGAACACCCTATGGGAGCTCGATGCCCCCGCAAAGATGCCCTTCGTGGTGCACCAAGTCTCCAGTTCGGCCATCACGACGCCCAATATGGAGCAGGCCAAGATTTGCGGCAAGCTCCTCGCCCACGTCGGCAACGACCTCTCCGGCCTCGAGCCCGTCTGCGAGATGACCACCCAGTCGCGTCGCTGGGTACACGACTTTCTGCTGTACATTGGCGATGCGCTCTCCCCCAGCGTCGACTTTTGCCACGGCAAGCCAGATCCCACCCTGGGCACCTGGTTCAAGTACATGCTCGCCGATGAAGCTTGTAAGTGACGACACCTCCCCGACGCACACAACGCCGACATTTGCTAACACATCGTCCCTCACCACAGACTTCCACTGCTTCGTGGCCCTCTCCGAGGCCTGCATGGACTTTGTTCACGAGAAGGACTCGTACTCCACCGAGTACCGCCACCACATGACAAAGGCCCTTCGGCTGCTCAACAACAAGCTGTCCAGCGACAAGGCGACCGCCGACACTAGCCTGGCTGGCGTCATCTCACTCTGTCTGCTGACCTCGCTCCGTGGCCAGCTCGCGCAGACAAAAGTGCACTTTGACGGGCTCTGTCGCATGATTGAGCTGCGCGGTGGCATGGACGAGATCAAGCACAACCCTGCGCTGATTGAGAAGACTCTTCGGTACGTGCACCTGAACCAGGTTACGCTCAGAAGAATGAAAGAACGGAGACTGACAAATGCCACAGGATCGACATTGACCTGGCGCTGCAACTCGGCTGCCCAACGCGCCTGGGCCACGCCGCCAAGGACATGGAGACTATTGTGCCCATCTTCTTCAACCCAGCCTTTGAGGTGCGCTCGCCGCTCCTCAACGCCGCCCGCAACGCCGACGCCGACGTCTTCGCGGCCACCGAGACCATTATGAAGGTCTCGCGCCTCTTCAACTCGGGCGTCGCCCAGAAGAAGCTCGGGCCCCAGGCCTTTCAGGACATAATCACCACCACCTGCTACCGCCTCCTCGAGATCCGCCCCGTCGGCGCCACCCGCGGCACCGACCACCTGCACCCCGTCGCCGACGCCATCCAACTCGCCCTCCTCGCCTTTATGACCACGACTCTCATCCAGCTCGGCCGCCAGCGCCGCCTGCGTTACGAGATGCTCGCCACCAAGCTCATGCGCGCCCTCGACAACCCCCAGTTCCAGGCTGCCGTCGATCCCGCCACGCACCTCTGGCTGCTCGTCGTCGCCGGCATCTCCGTCCTCCACAGGGACGACCGCGTCTGGCTTCAGCCGCGCCTCGCCGACGCCGTCGCTCAGTTTGGCCCCACACAGTGGTCCTTTGCCAGGCGCCTGCTCGGCAAGTACCCCTGGGTCGTCGACCTGCACGACGAGCCGGCCGCCAAGCTGTGGGCCAGCTGCTTCCCCGAGTGCTGAGCGGGCTGGAACCTCTCTCCCTTGGGACCATGACCTTACGAACCACCCATACTTACAACCGCCTAATCGTGTACTTAATATTGTAATTGTAGTCAGGCGCAACTGGTATGTATACTTTCCAAACTACGCCGTTGGAGATGCCTCGCTAACACAACCAGGTTGAGCGCAATCTCTCTCCGCAAACGACATCTCTATACGACCTTACTCCGCTCTCTTTAATCTCATTCGATACCCAATTTTCGCTTCTGTTAGCATATTATGAATTCGACTTGCCTTTGTGGCTGGGACAGGGTTGTCCCTTACACTGTCTTCTCGATATCCATCATGACTTTTGAATGTTGTTGAACAAGCTGCACACTGGCTGCAGCCCACGTCTCACGAATTCCGACTTGCCTGTCAACACGTCACGAATGGATCTCAAACATGTACATCAGAGTGGAAGCATTACAGCAAGGAATTCTATAGCTGGAGCTGCCAGTCTCCCATACAGGAAGTGGATTCTCCATCCAGAGCTGCATGCGCACGGCCGCGTCCGGCCAATCTCACCTTAACACACGAGATCTCCTGCTTTGGACTCGGCAACAAAATTTGCTTCACATGTATAATCACTAGTAGAGGTCCACTCCTGAGCCGGCATGGGTGCGTCTGCAGTCGGTGCTCGGGTGCGCCTCTCGGCCCCACTGCCCATGAAAATCTAAAAGGACCTGTCCCTATCAGCTCCGAGAAGGACCAACGGTTGACGACGGAACAGGGAGCTTGTGATGTGTGCGCAAAACTTTGCTGAAGTACAGGACAGATCCTCGCAGCAAAGGCCATGCTTCCAGTCGCTCTGCTGTACCGTGCTCCCTCCCCCATATGAGAGAGCATGGGCCACAGGAGAAGACTGAAGAATACCTATGTAAGACTCAATGTCATCCCGAATTTCAGTGTTCGCACGTCGCGACTCCTGGAGCCTCAGCCGGTGCACGGGCCACCGCGACATGCACAGTCGCGTCCTCAACGGAGACTACTGCAACCAATTGTCTTGTCTCGTCTTGTCTTGTCTTGAGGCTGTGGCCTTGAGTTCTGGACCACGCGGGTGACAGCGTCACAACCCGCTCAGCAGCCTCACAGTCAAAGAGTGTCAAGGATCACAGCCTAGAAACGGCGCTCTCTTCCTACACGTATGTACGTAAAACGCTCGCCCGTCCCACCCCGGTCGAATTAGTGGGTAGGCATTTGTCCGTGGCGCCCACGCGATCCAACCTAATTCGCAGTCTGGGCGTCGTGCACGTTGCTTCTGCGGCACTGGCCCCGCGCCATCAATACCATGCCGCCTTGCAGCGTGACAGGCGTGCGCTTTGACATTGGGCTCGTGGTGGATGGAGGGGAGCATTCATTTGTGGATGACGCTGGCGCGACGGACACTGCTGCCTTTGTCGACTTGTTGTCTCGTGTGGATGCTGCCAGTCATCTGCGCGAGGAGAATGCATCACCACCTCCCAACCCGCAGTTCCCCTAACACCCTGTTCCTGCTTTCGACTGAGACATCGTCAGCAGTGTCGCCACTCAGCTCACGTTTGCTGTAACCGAGAGCTCTTGGACCTGCGGCTTGGCCGCATCGCAGCCTCGTCGCGCGCGTCCGGTGCGTCGAGTAGGTACATACGTGTATTGCCGGGGATCTCGGCCCTCTACTTGTCTCGCTTGGTCTTCTCGCGTGTCCCTTGCTTGAGCGCGATTTCTTCATCTACCAACACTCTGCCATTCTACGGTGCTCACAGTTCGTCGAGTGTATTTGCAAGGCTATCTCGAAGGACAGTGGATTTGACCCGGGGGTCAGAACCCCGAACCAACGACCTAGTCGAATCAAGCGAGTCGACCGCTCCGTCGAGGAACAGCATCAGCCAGGGGCGCTTGGTGCGCCATTGCCTCCACAAAGTCCTCGTGTCCGATTGAGCTCTTTAAGCATTGCCTGCGCGGTGTCTCTATCGAACCCGCTTCGTGTCTGGACTACAGTCATGTACGAGCGATCACCGCCATCATCGTTGTCGTCTGCCATCGAATCGGCTGGCACTGCAAGCTTCCACTCCCTCTCCGGCTCCAGCTCGACCCGTTTCCGCTCCGGCTACGAATCGTCTCACAGCGATGACCGCCCACGACGAATACCCGACGTGCGCGCAGAGCCGCCACACAAGCGCCAGGGCAAGCCCAAATGGATATCGCAAATCAAAGACTGGCTGTCGGTCAGTGAGCCATCGTCACAAGCGTTCAAACAGCAGAAACTCAAAAACGCCGCTTCCAAAGATCCACAGGCAGCAGCCAGGATCGGCATGCCCTTGGGGCAGATACCGGCAGGGGCTACCACATCTGTCGCGGGACCGACTCCAGAGACGGCTCTAAAGCGGCAACTCAGGGAGAAGAAGGCGCGGGGGCCGCCCATGAGCGCGAGGACGACGACATCAATATCAAGTCGCGAGTCGTATGGCTATGCTGGGAGCGCCAAGGAGGGTAACCCAGCTACACCCGCAGGATGGTGATGGCGGGCAGTCTGATGATAACGATTTTCACGACATATGACTTTAGGGTAGGCATTGTGGAGTTTTGGCGACGAAAAGGTCGATTCCGTCGAGAAAATCAAGAATGCCAATTGCAGAATATCCATGTTTCACGGCTCCATACTAATTACATCCCCATGCATGATCACTCATCAATGGCCGCCGCTCTTGCTGCTTGCAGAGAATGGAACGCTGTAGGCGGAGATTTTCGCCCGGAACTTGCCACACCCAGCAGAGCAGCCCAGTTCAAGATGGGATTTTGCTGCCAGTTCTCGACTCGCCCATTCCCATCGACCAGTGACCGCCCACGCCCGACAGACCACCAGATGCTGCATGATCTACGATCTGAGCCTTCAAAGGGGCACTATTGCTCTCGGCTCCCGCTCCAACGAACCTTGGAAACGGTACAATACCATGGCGCATCGGGACGTGGTGCGGAGCTTATGTGCAATTGGGGGACCCTTTTGTCACAGCAGCGGGAGTTGATTGGTGGGGCTTGTGCGAGGGATGACGTCCTTGATGCGTACTGTCAGGAGCTAGCTTGTTGCGCCTCGTGAGGCCGATGTCTATCGCGTCCATCATCATCATCATCATCATGCCCGCCTGCCTGCGCCTCAAATAGCTCGTTGATCTAGAGCTTCTACTGCTTGTGGCCGTGCAGGTTGATTAGAGTGTCTGTCCTCTGCTGCTTTTCAATAGCTGGGCGTTGAAGGAGCCAAGGTTTCTTTCCGAATACATACACGATGCCGCTCTTCTCCAACAACAAGCGTGACGACGATGAGACTTCGTCGCGCAGTCGTCGCGCGCACAGCGACAATGTGGGCGAGCCATCTGGCCCCGTGGACGAGCACACCAGGCTGCTGCCCAACCGTCTCGACTCGACTCAAGGCACGGGCATGCTGCGACCTGACGACCCTGCCGTGACGCCCTACAACCTCTGGACCATCCGCATCCTGCGCTTCGCGACGGTCGTGCTCACCCTGATCACCTTTGCCTGGTGGGTGCTGCTCCTGGTGTCTGCGTTTGCCACGCCCCCCGGGTTCAACATGCGCGGGAGCGGATTTTACGCTTTCAGTTTCGCGAGTCTGGCCATGTCCAACCTGTTGTTCAAGTTGATCTTCTTTGGCGTGCCCGCGAAGGCCGTGCGCATCCTGTGCGTCGTGATGGCGGTAAGTCTGAGACCCCTCGAGCTCTCCACCACAGTTCACTCATGACCGCAGTTTATCCTTCTTCTGGACATGGTTCTCATCCTGTCCGTGGAAAAGACGCGCTACGAGGAGGGCTGGGTCGGCACCGCCAGCGTCGTCTGGTCCGTCCTCATCAGCCTCTGGACACTCCTTGCGGATCGCACCGTCAAGTGGGGCAAGGCAGAGGAGGAGGAGCGTCTCACGGGGCGCGCCGAGACACGACGCACCCTCACCGAGTGGCTCGAGGTTCTCCTGTCCACCATCGGCTACTCCATCATGACTGCCGTGGCTGTCCTCATCACCCTGACCATCATCTTGCGCGCCCTCGACGCTGGCGTGGCGCCTCCCGGCAAGCTCCACTGGGTAGACAATGGCAAGTACCGCATCCACGTGTACTGCAGTGGTAACAGCACCAACGCCCAGGGTCACAAGGTCCCCACCGTCCTTTTCGAGGGCGGCGAGCGATCTGTCGAGCATGACGTGTGGCAGTTCGCCGACAACGCCATCAAGAACGGCTCCATCAGTCGGTACTGTTTCGCTGATCGTCCAGGCATCGCCTGGTCGGATGCCGCCCCCTCGCCCCTTTCCGCGAGCTTTGCCACCGACGTGCTGAGCGAGGCACTCGCCAAGGCAGGCGAGGATGGGCCCTGGGTCCTTGCGAGCGCGGGAATTGGCTCCATCTACCAGCGTGTCTTCTCCTCGCGCCACGGCGAGGAGGTCAAGGGTATGGTCCTGATCGACCCTCTGCACGAAGATCTGCTCCCCGAGGTCGGCTCCGCTGGACGCGGCTTCCTTCTCTGGCTCCGCGGCGTCATATCGCCCCTCGGTCTCGATCGCCTGCCCGGCGCGCTCTTCAAGGGCCGCACCAGCCGTGACCGCATCTACGGCCGCGCCGCGCAGCAGAATGGCAAGTTCATCTTTGCCAAGTTCCAAGAGAGCCTCGTGGCGGGCTCCTTCACCAAGCGCGACGTCGAGGGCAGCCGGCAGATCCAGCACCGCGACACGCCGCTCGTCGTCATCAGCAGCGGCCAGCACATCAAGGACAGCCGGCGCTGGGAGAAGAAGCAGCGCGACCTGACCAAGCTGACGGACAACCTGAAGCACTGGGACATTGTCGACAAGGCGTCCCACGAGATCTGGACGACGCTCGAGGGCCGTGACAAGATCGAGAAGAGGCTAAAGCAGCTAGTGCAGGCGTAATCAATCTTGGATTTTGGATCATGATCTACGCCTGGAGTTGGGGCGCCGGATTGCGCTGGGGTCCATTATAATGTTCTCCGGCACGGGAAATTGCTGTTCGGGTATGCGCAGTCCATTATTGTTTCATGTGGAAAGCCTGCGAATGCGTGATTTCAGTTGTACCATGTTCAACATGAAGTCAGTCCGTACGCACGGAGAACGATGAGCCTGAAGATGCCAGAGAACTCACGTGACGAGAATCAGGGGTGCTGTGTCCCGGGGTCGCTGATTGGCCCCCTAGGTCAAATGCTCCTCCATGGAATTGGGCGATGCAAGAAAGGGACAGAAAAATGCCCAACGGTAACACCAGCACAGTGGCCTAGCGAATGCAGGAACTGAATTGATTTCATCGCGAAAGGTGGCACAGCGCCTCAACTAATTAATTAACACATGCACAAATTCCTTCCTGCAAAGTTGAACTGTGCAACCTGACTCTCATACGTCCAAGTTTGCACTTGCTTTTGTCCCCCGAGTCCCGCCAGCTCGAAGGGAGGAGAGGTGAGGTAGAGGGAACGGACGCTGGAGCGGATCCCCCTGCTTTCGGCCAATGAACAGATGTATCCGGTACTTTGCCTGCGGACGGGGCGGCACCTCATTCAGGAGGCACAGCGCCTGGCAACCACCGCATCATCCCCACTGAGTCCCAGTATTCCAATTTCAGGCTTGCAACGTTCGACGCTCTCTTCAACAACGGCACCAAACTAGTAGTCACCTCTCACTCAGAGGCCGGCCCCTTTCCCACCATTCTCTTGACCTTAGCATTGGGGCGCTGCGATATTCCGTACACGTCTCCGCGGCCGGCTTCATACGCGTCTACTGCTAGGTACTACTAACATCACCACCACCGCCACCACCACCACCACATCTCGTCACTTTGGTCCTCCCGCACCGATAGCAGAAAGCTATCTTCCCCCTCGCTCGACAGCCAGCTGCCCTCGAGGAGCCCTGCGTCTAAAGCCAAACATACCTTCGTGTGGCCACGCGACCACTGTCCCCTCCTTAGTTGCGATCTTTGAAACGACATACCGCTTGTGCTGGACGCCCGTCATTATCAATTAATGGGTATCTCGCCTCTGAAGACGTCCCGGCTGATGCTTCCGACAACGACGACCCCTCCCCAACGACTGCTCGACCCGTGGCGCTAAGAAACCTGGACGTTTCCTGCCCGTCCTCGCAACCACCAGGGAGGGGCTACACAAGAATCGATACGACGTGGTACCCAGCCCCTTGACCATGGGCTCGGAATATGACAGCGACCGCTCGCGCGCCGGCGACTGGGCGAGGGAGTACAGTGGGCCGGACTCCATGACCGCCATCGACAGCTACCGCCAGCACGGTGGCCGTAGAACACCCGACAGCGGTCATCGCCTCAAACCCACGGCCTCTGGCTCGAGTGCTGGTGGGCCTCCGCCGCAATGGGACAGCGATCATTCCCGCAAGAGCAGTGAACGCAACCGGTCACGACAACGCAGCGGCAAAAGGAATGCGAGCGGCCAGCAGAGAGTCTGTAAGAAGTGTGGTGAGGTGCTGACTGGGCAGTTCGTCCGAGCTTTGGACGGCACATTTCACTTGGACTGCTTCAAGTGCCGGGTTCGTGTTATTCTGTGACCTCGTGCTTGCTCGGCGGTGTGGGCTAACATTGTCTTTCTCCAGGACTGTGGCGATATCGTAGCATCAAAATTCTTTCCCGTCGACGACGAGAACGGTGGTGGCCAGTATCCCTTGTGCGAGACAGACTACTTCCGACGACTCGACCTCTTGTGCTATCAGTGTGGGGGCGCCCTACGAGGATCGTACATCACAGCCCTGGATCGGAAATACCATGTCGACCATTTCACCTGCTCGCTTTGCGACACGGTCTTTGGCGCCGAGGACAGCTACTACGAGCACGACGGCAGCGTGTACTGCCACTACCACTACTCGACCCAATTCGCCCAGCAGTGCAGCGGTTGCCAGATTGCCATCCTGAAGCAATTTGTGGAGATTTTCCGAAATGGTCAGGATCAGCACTGGCATCCCGAATGCTACATGATTCACAAGTTCTGGAACGTACGACTAGGTTCACCTACCGACGCGCCACCTCGATCCGACACGGCAGACGCAGAGACACGCGGGCTAATTAGGGACGTGGAGGAGAGGATGGAAGAGAAGGTCTTTAGGATATGGAGTGTGCTGTCTACCTTTGAGGAATCGTCAGCCGCATGCATCTCTGACATGCTTCTCCACGTGAGCAACGGCGCATACATCGACGCGGTGCTGGTCGCAAAGCGATTCATCTGGCATGTGGAAATTCTGTTCCACTCCACGGACAGACTTGACACTACAATGTTCAGAGTCAGCGAAGCAGGTGCGTTCCGCGATTCGTAAAAAGACATATCATTGGTCCCTGTGCTAACCTGGTCTCGCAGGGATGTCGTATGGACGTGAGGCGAAGCTGCTATGTAAGAAGATTGTCGCCTTCTTCTCACTACTGTCCAAGAACCAGGATACGGGCACCCGCAAGCTCGGCGTCACGCAGGAGCTCTTGTCCCTTGTGACAAGTCTGGCGCATTATCTCAAGCTCCTGATCCGCATCTGTCTGCAAGGCGCACTCAAGCTCGAGCGCGAGTCGCAAAACTCGGAAGGCCTATACCAGTTCCTCGACGACTTGAACGATTTCGACTCGGTCAGGAGCGACGAGGGGGCCCTGCAGGTCACGTCTGGCGGCATGAAGTTGTCTGCCAGCGATTCTGACCACTGCACACTCTGCCATAGGTCCGTGGAAGACGAATGTGCTAGGCATGGCGACCTGAGGTGGCACCTGGCCTGTGCTGACTGTTGCCGTTGTAAGCGTGAGCTTGGCCAGAATCTGGGCGATGCTTTGTTCAGCCTATTTGACCGCAGACTATACTGTCAGAACTGCGGTGGCGGAGACATTAGGCGGGACGCACTGGAGCCGGTTGAGCATGTCACCAAGCTCACGCAATATGTATTCCTGCTCCGAGTGGCGCTGGCAAGGCTGCTGGACATTCTGAGGAGCAACGGCTCTATCCCTCAGTCCGAGGAGACGGCATTGAACGGGGCCAGTGGGAACAGAGCGCTTGGCGATCGCCCTACGTTGACCTCGGATTCGAGATCAAAGTCGTTCACGGGTACGGACAACAAGGACCATCGCCGCGAGTCGTCTTATGAGAACACCTTGAACGATGTCCGCCGGTTACGAAGTACCCGTCTCGACAGGCACCTCTCCACCACCGTCAGGCAGGCAAGGTCGTCTCGGGTTATGGACGTCGACGGCCACGGGCCCCGTCCTGGATCCCCCGGTGCAAACGCGCACCAAAATCAGGAGTCCACCGATCGCATGTTTGGTGGGAACGACGCCATCAACTTGGACGATCTCTCGAGGATCGTCGCTGTCGAGCAGTCTCGAGAACTACAGAACGAGCGCGACAGGGTGCAGCGACAGCCAGATCCCACGACCCCCATGGGCCACCAGAGGACGCAATCGGCTGGGAAGGATCAAGACGTTCGCGTACCTGACCCAATGCCTAATAGCTTCACGCGGAGATTCTTCTCTGAACTCTCCGCACTTGAATACTTCAATGTCCGACACCTGGCCGTGCTTACGATGCAGCCCATGATTGAGCAAGAATTCTCCCTAGATGAGTTGCTGAGCTTCATCGAGTCTAAGAAACAGCCCACGTTCTGGAAGAATCTGGGCAAGGCGTTCAAGAATGATAAGAACAAGAATGTCAAGAAGAAGGGCACCTTTGGGGTGCCTCTCGAAATGATCATCGAGCGTGACGGAGCCGAGTCGACAGACGGTGTTGGCCCGGGTACGTTACGGATTCCCGCCGTCGTGGACGACATTATCGCTTCGATGCGGAAGATGGATCTTTCAGTCGAAGGCGTCTTCCGCAAGAACGGCAACATCAAAAAGCAGCAAGAGCTCGTGGAACGCATCAATAACGAGGGCTGCGAGACCATCAACTTTATGGATCAGCCCGTGATCCAACTCGCAGCGATGTTGAAGCGATACCTACGTGACCTCCCGGATCCCCTCATGACACACAAGTTGTACCGTCTGTGGATCAGCGCCGCCAAGATCGAGGACTACGACAAGCGCAAGCATTGCCTTCACCTGACATGCTGTCTGCTTCCCAAGAGCCACCGCGATGTACTCGAGATTCTGTTCTCATTCATGAAGTGGGCTGGCTCGTTCCATCAGCTTGATGAGGAACTTGGCTCGAAGATGGACATTAGGAATTTGGCCACTGTCATTGCGCCGAACATTCTTACCAACCCAGCCAAGGCATCTATGCTTGATGGCGAGGCGATCTATGTCATCGACGCCGTGGAGACGATGATTTCCAACATTGAGGAGATGTGCCAGGTGAGTGTGCCCCTGATTGTACTGAATCGTGAACAGTTGTACTAATTGTGTGAAGGTACCTGATGAAATTCTGACCCTTCTCTTCGACCAGTCACTCTTTGCCAGCCCAGGCGAGATCACCACCAAGGAGATCCTCAGACGGTACCAAGATCGCAAGGGCCAGATCACAGATATCAACGAGATCCACAACAGGCCCGACAACTCAAGCAGGCCACCGCCAAGACGGGTTGAGACGGACCCGACACTGTGGTCAGGAGAAGCCTCAGTGCGCCATGTCCAGGAACCGCCCATGCCATATGGCCAATCTCCGCAAGGCACGCCGTCCAAGGGCCGTTGGCGAGGGCCAAGCGAGCCGGGTCCGATGAAGCAGGAGTTCAACCATTCTGACAGCCAGCTATCATCCGCCGAGCACAGCCAAAGACGAGAGTGGCGCAACTCGGGCTGGGGTCGTCACAACAATGGCCTTGGTGTCAGCGGCAACTCATGAAGACTCCAACTCTGAGCGCTCTGCTCCCAGTTACAGTCACAGGCAATAGCTCGCCAGAGCACCTCGCATGGAAGAAGGTTGGGGCACCCCACGCATCACAACAAAGCACATTCATCATTTGCATCCATCATGGCGTTGCGATTGGCTTGAATCATTGAATCTAAACCCGCAAAAGACGCAAATCACCACACGGGGGGAGAGGGGCCAGTGTGACCATTTATCTTTACGCATGACATGACGGAGCCTGGATTTTCTCTTCTTTCTTTCTTTGCAACCGACACAGATCGGTTGCGCTTTTCCATGGTTGGGGAGGATGGGCTCACTGATGGAGCAGCATCATTGAACCTCATTCTTTCATAAGCAAGACACTCCCTTGGGTGGACGCTCTTTCACGGATATCGCGCCAAAACCAGGGAGTGCCATGGCGCAGATTTTGGGGACGGATTTCTCGCAGCAGCAGAAGTTGGATTGGGGTACGGACTGCATTTCCTGGTGTATAGAAATGACTCGATTACGACTGAAGACGAGTGGCCACTGCCACAACCAGAGGCGAGGAGAGAAGGGGGCGGGTGCATGGAAATAGGCGAGGCGGGCAAGCGAATGATGTATCGAATTGCCATGTTAATTCAGGGTTCGAAGTCAGGTTGGGACATTCCAGTTCGGTCATGAACAAGCCTAGTAGACCATGAATAGGCCAAATGAAAAAGGAAGAAAAAAGAACAATCACCCGACATGCCATGGTGTCGTTTCTGCCATCATTGAAGGGACATGTGACTACATTAGGGTAAACCGCCAAAGAGGCCACCGTATTTCCTTATGAGATCCATCCCTGAATCCTGTCCTCCGGTCTATCTCACTTATTGAGCCTTGACTGCCGCCGCCTTGTCCTGCTCCAAGAACCACTCCACGCCTCTCGTGACACCTTCCTGCAACGTCCACTGGGGCTCGTAGCGCAACACGCGCTTGGCCTTGGCGATGTTGAAATACCTAGTCATGCAGGTCATGGTGACCTTCTTCTTGTTAAAGGTGGGCGTCTTGCCGGTGATGCTGCCAAAGATCTCGCTCAAGACGCCCAGCGTGCTACCGACGCCCTGGCCAAGGTGCCACGTGCCGGCCGTGCCGCTCGTGTCGCCGGCGGCCGCCCACACGGAGCGTGCAAAGTCCCAAAAGAAGACGGGGCTGTCGTTTGTGATGAAGAAGGCCTCGCCGTCGACCTTTTCGTAGTCGAGGGGCGCGGTCGAGGCGCCAGCCGTGACGAGTAGGGCGTGCGCGGCGAGCAGGAGACCGTGCGAGACGTTGCCGACATAGGTGAAGTCGAAAAGGTTCTTGTTGTCGCCAATCTGCACCTTGTGCTTGTTGTTCATGTAGGCGGCAAGGAAGCCGGGGATCGTCTGGTTGTCGCCCTCGCCAAAGATGCCGGACGGACGGATGGAGCAGGTGAGGAGCTTGTAGGGCTCTTTGCGGTTGGCGGCGAGAACGGCCTCTTCGGCGGCGGCCTGTCGAGTCGCTCGAGTCAGTACAGAGAAGCGCGTTGGGGAGACAACCTGGCGCTCAGGCCGGGGGACGTACCTTGGTCTCGGAGTAGTACGAGTTCTGCTGATCCCCTCTGATGACGGGCCACCGCTCGTCCGCGTTGAGGAGATCCTTCACATCGTCGCTGACAACGCTCGCCGAGCTGGTGTTGACCAGCGCCTTGACGCCCGCCTTCTGGCACGCCTCGATGACGGAATCGGTTCCCTCCACGTTGACCTTTTGGAAGACCTCCTTCGCATTGGCGTGGTCCGAGGCGATGGGAGAGGCTGTGTGGATCACGACGTCCGGCTTGAGCTCCTCGATCACGGAGAGCAGCTTCTCCCGGTCGGTAATGTCGCACTCCTTGTAGGTCACCTCGGGCCTGCGAAACTTCTCGCAGCGCAGGTCGATCGAGGAGACGTGAGTCGAGTTCCAGAGGTCGAGCGCCTGGTTGACGACGTGGTGCCCAAGGAAGCCATTGCCGCCAATGACGAGGACGCGCCCGAGGTCGCCCTTCTTCTTCTCTAATGTGGCCATGGTCGTGAAAGGGAGCTGTGGCGGATGGATGGATGGGCGGGAGAAGGAACACGGCCACAGAGAGGCAAAAAGGAAACTTGGGTGCTACGGACGGACTCGAGAGGTGATCAGCCTGATTAATTTGTCTTCTAGTCTAGTTGGTTAGTCTACAGTAGGGTAAATTGCTATATTCAGCGCATACTGGCAGCCACACGGGAGAGGGGTCCTGTCCTTCCTACAAGTAGGCCCGGCTCAAGCCACGTCCTAGCTTAGTGCTTCTTTTAGAATCACCAGCCACAAGGGTCCATGCGCGGCTGCCTGCATCAGCTTCTATTCACGGCTATTCACGATTCACCTTCACAGGTCATCATCGTCCTGGCGACTTCCCATGAACACCTACATGTGTTTATGCATTCCTTGAGCACTGGCCTAAGTCTGGATTTATATCGCTCTGTCATTTTGGATGCTCTCCTCGACTGGTCTAGCCTCGAGAACGAAGTTCCGAGTCGCCGTCATGCCCAGCGGATCTCTGCGCGAGCCTGTACGCAATGACCCCTACAGAACAGGATGTTGAGATACTCGTTCATGTGGATGCTCCCAGTCTAGTCGCCGATGATGCGCGCTATCGCCAACTGGCAGATGCCTATCTCAGCTATCGGCCCGACCGACGTGACCCGGTTCCGCTTCACGACGAGAAACAGGTAGCATCGTCCACCACCAACGAGCGTACCGAGGCCATCACCTCTCCAACGTCATCTGCCAGAGTTGAGCCTAGAAATCTAGAGCTCACCTTCCAAGAATCCCAGGATCTGAGCTTCACTGGTGTCTTTGACAACCGAGGCTCGCCGCGTTTGACAACGGCCAGGCAGTTGTCCGGACCTCGATTCGAGGAGCGGCTTCCATCGTCCTTGCCGGAGGAGAGCGTCTCTCAGCAGGTGTTCTCCGCGCCGGAAAGTCAGATCGCAGATTCATATCCTCTCCCGAGGTTGAACATTTACACTTCGCCCTCAAAGGTGCTGCAGCGTTATGTGAGCCTTCATACACCGGCGGCACCCACCGACAGCTCAAGCAAGCCCACCGACACTGAGCAAACCCCTTCTACAAACCACAACCCAAGGAGGTCACCGAGGGCACTATTGTCTGACAGCTCTCCGAACAAGAATACATCGGCACTTGTTGATGGTATTGCGCAGAAGGTTGTGCCGGAGACTCCTTTGGCACGTGTGGTGCAAAAACGACTGGCCGAGGATGTTCGCGAGGACGAACACTACCACCATGACGTGACACATATCACAGGCAGTGACTTGAGCAACGACGCGCCCTCTATATATGCTCCCAGAGCCGGTTCTGCTCCGCCAGCAAAGCGACTCAGGTCCTCCGCCGAAACTGCAACACCCAGACCGGGGAACCTGATGCGCAGCGCAAGCGAGAGGGCCAGTGCCGCCAAATCTTCACCGCCGGTGCCGACCCATCACACTTCGCTCGAGCTATACCCACCGTCACCAGCCGTGAGCATCGACACACTGACTGCTGACGATTGCATCTCTCCAAAACTCGCAAAGCTGGCTCGAGATGTGTCCTCACGCTACCAACCTACCATGAAACGAGAGCTCGAACCTTTTGAGAGAGGGCACTGGCTGGTGGACTGCACGACTTGGACGCCACATGTCCGTTTCGACGCGTGGAATTTCATTGGGGAATATTTTAAGAGTGGCTCGGCGGGCTGGGGCGTGTGGTGTCGACGAGACACGACTCACGACTGGATCAAACTGTACTGCTGGGGATGCGTCACGAAGCACATGTATCTCTTGTTATACCTCGCGAGCGGTCGGGCAATGAAGTACACGGGCGCCCAATGGAAGGACGCAGATGGGGAGGTGGCGATACAGGCTCAGCCGATGGCTGAAGGCCTCACGCAGGGATAATGGTCGATGGCATCCGTGGGCATTGCGTCTGGCGTTAGTATTGTTAGCATGGTGTCTACACTGGGACTTGCATTTCATCATTGGGGAACGAGCCACATAGAAATAGATTAGGGGCGTACCTAGAGAAACCCCCTTTATGTCGTGATACACTAGGGACGAAGACACCGCACCTCGTGACACATCTGCAAGATTCACACCGGAAGCACCCATGCCACCAGCGAACGAGAACCAGCAAAAGAAATACAACACACCACTGCTCCGGTACAAACAGCCCTTCAGGCAGTGTATCTGCACAGCCCGCTTGCATATGATACCATTGCCCGTTTCGGCCAGATTAAGCAGATGCGGCCTTTTGCGCCGCCTTAGCAGCCTTCCTCTCCTCTCTTGCCTGGATCTGCGCCGCCTTAGCAGCCGCGGCCTCTGCCTTGGCAGCGTCCTTCTTGGCCCTCTTCTTCTCGGCAACTGCGTTCGACAATTGCTCGACTGCCTGGCGCCAAGCCACGAGCGCGGGCTCGCTGGCAACCTTGTACGATCGCTGCTGTGCTGCGTCCATGTTCTTCCACTCCTGGACCACCTCGCTGAAGATTACGGAGCTGCCCGACTGGCCCTTCATGCGCTCCTGGACGTACAGGTTCATGCCCTCCACAGGCTTCTTGGGGAGACGGTCATCTTCCAGCTTTGAAAACTGCTTCTTGGGGAGCGCCCTCCGTAGGCGGCTGCGCGCCAGGTTGGCGCTGTAGACATCGGCTACATCGAGGCTGGCCAGCCAGGACTGACGTTTGTTCTGGTATGCTTGACGGTTCGCCTCGGCCTGAGAAGCCAGACGCTACAAGATAATTGTCAGTTCTGTTTCGTGGAGTTGCCCAGGATGCGCTGGAGCTTACCTGCTTCTCCGAGGAGGAGATGTCCTTGAACCTAGCCGACAGCTCTCTGACGTGCTCGGCCAGCGGCTTCTGCAGGGGCGTGGGCGTGTTCTCGCCAACAAAGATGGTCCACTCCGTCTGTCCCGCGTGCGGCCCAGGCCTTGGCTCTTCCTTCAGCAAAGCCCTGGCCTTCAATTCCTTGATCTTCTTCTTCTCAGCCTCCTCCGGCGTGGGTACCTTCTTGGGCTTCTTGACCGCAGGCTTCTTGGCCTTGCTAGTCTTTGCCTTGGCGGCCTTGGGCTTGGTAGACTTTTTGGCCTTGGTGGCCTTCTTGGGCTTCGCGGGCGAATCTGTCGCGGTCGCTTGGCGAGTCCTCTGTGAGACGCTGAAGCTGCGGATAGGAATAGCGCGAGCGACAAAGGTGGCGCGTGGAATGGCAACACCATTCGTGGTGAGCGCGAGTCGGTTACCGGCGACTACGCGACGGGCGGCAGCCCGTCCGACTGATGTCAACATTGCAATAGCTGCTTAGCTATGTTTGGTACTGAAGTGTGGCGGCAATTGGTGTTCTTTTGGGTCGTGCAAAAGTGCGCAAATGTCGGACAGCTTGACGTGCTCTCGTGCTCCTGGCCCGAGTTTGAGGTCGACGGGCTGGCTGAATGATGAGGGCAGAAGGGACATGGACCTTGCTCGCCTGCATGCGTGCAGCGTGAAGTACAGCAGCTGGTGAGATGGCGCTAGTCCAGAGCTGGCATGGTGATCCACCAGAGCTCCTGCCAGTGTTGGAGCAAATGAACCAATCAAGGGCGGTGATGTCAGCTACGGAGGTGGGCAGTAGGCAGCCATGACCTCGCGTTTGACTAAACGTTGAAATGCTAACATAACGCTGGACAAGGATCTCGTCTACCAACACCCAACATCAAGACTCCCATCAACCACCTAGAGCCCATCAACGGCTCTTACATCTTCGACTTGCAGCTTCCGCGAGCTTCTGTTCCTTGTCAGACCTCAATCTTCCGCCGACACCGCCAACGTCGCTCGGTTCCTGCCCGCATATCCCACCATCTTCGAATACCAACTATATCATGGATCATCGACCACAGGCTTGGGGCCGTGTAAGCTCGCCCGTATATTTTGAGGTCAATTACCTCGTGGACTGACATTTCTGCAGCCTCGCGACGATGTCTACGGAGCTTACGATCACTCGTTCATGCACACCAACAGCCACCCCAACCAGCACACCCAGCAGCCCCTCGTGACGGGTACCTCAGTCCTCGCCGTCAAGTACAAGGATGGCGTCGTCATCGCCGCCGATAACCTGGGCTCCTATGGGTCCTTTGCTCGCTTCACCGACATCAAGCGTCTACACACCTTCCAGGACACTTCCGTCGTCGGCTTCTCGGGCGACATTTCCGACATGCAGTACATCACCCGTCACCTGCACCAAAAGTCCATCGAGGAGTCGTACGCATCGTCCAGCGCCAGCAGGAAGTCCCGCCTGTCGGCGGCCAACCTCCACACGTATCTCTCCAAGATGCTCTACCGCCGTCGCTCCAAGATGGACCCGTTGTGGAATCATATGCTCGTGGTAGGCTTCGACGACGACGAGAAGCCGTTTGTCGGCAGCGCGGACTTGTTAGGCACCACCTTCACTGCGCCCACGCTCGCGACTGGCATCGGTAGCATGCTGGCGCAGCCCCTGCTCCGCACCTACGCGGGCACCGACGAGGAAGCCGCAGAGCGCACAAAGGAGGAGGCCATCAAGGTCATCCAGGAGTGCATGAAGGTTCTCTTCTACCGTGACGCCCGCAGTCAGGAGACATACTCCCTAGCGGTTGTGTCTCGCGAGGGCGTGGAGATGAAGACCAGCGAGAAGCTCGAGAACATGAGCTGGGCCTTTGCCGACCGCATCAAGGGATACGGAACGCAGACCGTCTGAGTTTAGTTGCCAATCTAGGCTATGAATGAATGCACTAGACGTGAGCATGATCAAATATTTGTCCAAGCCAGCGTGACAATGCTCTCGGGAATAAGATGTTGGAAGCTTCAGACTAACATTGTAAAGTTTTATACACAATCGACAACGATACGTGGGGTGCTTACAGACTGCTACCTGGTACTGTCCACATTCGCCCACGCTGAGAATGTGAATAAAACACCAGCTTTCTTCTGACGAGACCTGTCTGCACTCATGAGCAGAACCTTGTCTGCCAAGTTTGTAGCGTATCGTAGCCAACAGCATCGGACAGCCAGGAGCGATACTCGGAGACCATCTCCAGATGCAGAACCAAATGGTCATCTACTGGCTATATCATTCGCCCGTGGCTACGACAGGCTTCCCTCTTGGGGCCAATTGTTGCGCGGCCCACCAAGCCCGAGATGCGAAACCCGATTTCGGGTAGCTATCGGCACCTCAATGTCATGTAAACCAGCAGTCAACGAGAGGATAAAAGGAGTTGGAATACTTCTCATTTCTTATGGAATACCAAGCGAATTAAAAAGAACCAAAGTAACACAACATGTCTACTCATCCTTTGACGCACACTGTCGAGGCTGCGAAGCAGCGTTATGCTCTCGCCAACCCGACCTCAATGGCGCTCCATGAGGAAGCCACACAATCGCTGCCCGGAGGCAACACGAGGACCGTTCTACATGCAGACCCTTTTCCGATTTATATGAAGTCAGGCAAGAATCACCAGGTCACATCAGAAGATGGCAAGACGTACGTCTCGACATGACTCTAGGAGCTTGGGCATCGGACGCTTACAAGACACAAGATACACGGACCTGCTGTGCGAGTTCACAGCCGCATTATACGGCCACTCCAACCCCAGACTTCAAGAGACAATCGCCAATGTCGTTCAAACAATTGGCATGAATGTGGGCGCCAATACCCGGCAGGAGACCCTCTTTGCCCGTGAAGTGTGCTCCCGCTTTGACCTCGAGCGTGTGCGCTTCGCCAACTCGGGCACAGAAGCCAACCTCCATGCCCTGGCTGCTGCCAGATTGTTCACAGGAAAGCACAAGGTTGTCTCGTTCTCAGGCGGATATCATGGCGGTGTCCTTGGTTTCAGGGGCGGTGTCCCCGCGAAGAACAACGTCGACAAGCATGATTGGGTTGTAGCGTGCTATAACGATCTGGAGAGTGCCAGGGCAGCCATCAAGACGGAGGGCGTCGCCGCGGTCGTTGTGGAAGGCATGCAGGGTGCCGGAGGGTGCTTTGCTGGCACAATCGACTTCCTCAAGGGCGTCCAGGAGGTAGCTCATGACGTGAGTAGTTGACACCGTCTCCACCATCCCTTACCACTGTTTTGCCCGCGCTGACACTTTTGATCAGGCCGGCGTGCTCTTCATCCTCGACGAAGTCATGACTTCGAGGCTGTCGTCAGGCGGCCTTGCGCAGATGTACGGCCTCAAGCCGGATCTGAAAACGTTTGGCAAGTGGCTCGGTGGCGGTCTCGCCATCGGCGCCTTTGGTGGCCGGGCTGACATTATGGCTACCTTTGATCCCCGCCTCAGCACCTCAGTCGCCCATTCAGGCACGTTCAACAACAACACGCTCGTTACTCATGCCGGGTATACCGGCCTCAAGGAGCTCTACACCTCATCCGATGCCGAGAGGTTCACCCAGCTTGGCGAGGACCTGAGAGCAAAGTTGAACGAAGTTAGCAACGGAACGAAGATGTGCTTCACTGGCCTCGGCACAATCATGGCTGCGCACATCACCAAGTGCGGGACTAGGGAGATCCTGAGAGCAAGTGACGTTGAAGAGGACCAGGTCATGATGGAATTGTTCTGGTTTGAAATGATCGAGCAGGGCTTCTGGCTCGCGAAACGAGGCTTCGTGGCGCTGATCTTGGAGACGCCACAAGAGGAGTTGGATCGCTTCGTTGGGGCAGTTGCCGCGTTTGTCAGCAAGTATCGTAGCGAGCTGTCATTATGAGCGTGCGTGAAATAGAGTTTCTGGAACAATAATGTTCTGGCTGAATTACCCGGAATCTGAGGTACTGGGGAGTATAAGTAATTGACTACCCTGTAGAAGAGGCTGTGATATCGTCGCCGCAACTAGCCGATGCTCAGCCGGCGCATCCTCGAAATTTCCAGTCTCGTCCGCGTGTGAACCAACGACACGCGACGCATCTCCACCATCGTACAACTCTCGCTTCCACCATATCAGTTTGAACTCCGTAAAACAACCAGCCCTGCACCCACAAACAAGACACCAATATGGATTTCCAGAACCGCGCAGGCTCGAAATTCGGAGGCGGTGGCGTAGCCTCCCAATCCGCCACAAACGCCGACCGTCGCGAGCGTCTACGCAAGCTCGCCCTCGAGACAATCGACCTAGACAAGGACCCGTACTTTTTCAAGAACCACGTCGGCTCGTTCGAGTGCCGCCTCTGTCTCACAGTCCACCAGAACGACGGATCATACCTCGCCCACACACAAGGCAAGAAACATCAGACCAACCTCGCTCGCCGCGCGGCCAAGGAAGAAAAGGAGGGCAGGGCGCGCGAAAATGGCGGCATCGACCCGGCGACGGGCCTCCCCGTCGGCGTAGCGCAGGTGCGGAGGAACCTCGTCAAGATCGGGCGGCCGGGGTACAAGATCACCAAGATTCGCGATCCGCACACACGGCAGCAGGGCTTGCTCTTCCAGCTGCAGTACCCCGATGCGGCGCCCGGCGCCCCCGCGCCCAAGTGGCAGGTCATGAATGCGTTCACACAGCACGTCGAGGAGCCGGATCGGAACTACCAGTACCTCCTCGTCGCGGCGGAGCCGTACGAGACGGTCGGTTTCAAGATACCCGCCAGGGAGCTGGACAAGAGGGAAGATCGACAGTTTGACTATTGGGATGCGGACGCGAAGGAGTACTGGCTCCAGGTCATGTTCATGACGGAGAGAGAGGAGAGGTACAATGCTGCGCCTGGGTTGGGCGGCAGAACGTGAAAGGGGCCGATGAGAGGAGGATTTGCATCAACATCAAGATCACCCGCAACGCCCTCGTGTACAGAGGCGCCCACGCAAGCAATGAGGCCCTGCAGCACGCGCGAGCTGCGAATTGTGGCCTCGAGTCTAAGACAGAGCACGTCGGTTGTGGTGGTAAAAAATCAGGCAAGCGGCTTGCGTGAAATGAGAGCGCGCAATACAAGAGCAGACCCGGTACTGTTTCCAGCCTCTTGCGAACGTGAAATGCCAGCACTGGGCCATGTTCAAACAAGAAGAACACCACAGGGAACCCGTTTAATAAAGATACCCATCAGTAAATATATCTTCGTGCTTTATCGCTCTCCATCCGATGTGCATATCCCCTTCCGAGATCATATGTTGCCTATATGCGTCGCTTTTTCTACTACAAATCGCAACTTATAAACTCCCCTACAAGCAATGCAGGTCAAAGTCATCATCATCCATTTCCCCCTTTCCTTTCTTTCTCTAGCGGAAGTTGTTATCGAAACGCTTGAATGTGTATCCAATAAAGGGCAAGCTCATCTCGGGAGACTCCTCCACAGGTGCGGTGCGGCCCTGCTGGATAGCCTGCGCCTTGAGCATCGTGGCGTTGTCCGTCTGGTCAATCTCGTCGGTGGGGAAATAGGTTGTGTCAATGTTGGACGTGAGCCTGGGCTCAAACGGCGCACGGATGCGACGCAGACTGTCAAAGTCGACACCACGGAAGAAGGCGTGGTTCTTGAGCTCCTGGGCGCCACCGCGGCCCAGACGGTTTTCAGTGTTGCAGACCATGCTGTATGATTCGTTAGCAAAAGAGTGACTTGCCTGTGCGAAACAGGATGACATACCTCCGGATCAGGTTCTCTGCCTCAACGCCCAGTGTAATGTCGTCGGGGAAGTAGAGTGTCTGTCTCCAATTGACAATCTTGCGGTACGTATCGTGGCTGTCCTCGGCGCAGAATGGCGGCCAGCCAACGAGACACTCGAACATGATGGTACCCAGCGACCACCAATCGCAGTCAAACGTGTAACCGTGTCCGGTGAAGATCTCGGGCGCAATGTAATCGGGAGTGCCCACAGTCGAGTAAGCCATGAGGCGGCGCGACCGACGCCAGTCGTTGATCTGGGAACGGTTGCTGACAGTCAGATTGATCTGGTCAATGGCGACAGAGCTGCGGTCACGGGGGCGGTTGGAGCGTCCCTGGAGCAGCTGTTGGTAGTAGTTGTTATCGTGGAGCTTGTGGAAACCGGTCGACAGACCAAAGTCTGTCAGCTTGACGTGGCCTCCGCGATCAAGCAGAATGTTGTCAGGCTTGATGTCACTATCGACCATGTTAGTGATGTTCTCATGAGTAAATCAGAACCTGCTGCTCACCGATGAATGAAGCCGAGCTTATGGACCGCGTCAATGGCCAACACAATCTCTGCAATGTAGAATCTTGTGATGTCCTCCGAAAAGATCTCGTACTTGATGAGCATGGTCATCAAATCACCGCCGGGCAAGAACTCCATCAGCATGTACAAAAAGTACGAATCCTGGAACGTGGTGTAGAGCTTGACGACCCACGGACTGTCTGATTCGGCCAGAATGTCACGCTCGGAGCGGACATGTGCAAGTTGGTCCTTCTTGAACATCTCTGTCTTTATCAGAGACTTCATGGCGTAGACCTTGCCGTCGCCCTTCTTCTGCACCAACTTGACCTCACCAAAGGCACCCTTGCCAATAATCTTGACAGTGTTGTAGTTCTCGGGCTTGTCCTTGGTGCGTAGGAACCTCAAGTATTGAGCCTCCTTGCGCCCAGCCGTGGACCACAATTGTTCCCTTCTAGCAGGATTCTGTTGGGGATCCTGGAGCTTCTGCTCCAGTTCGCTTTGTCTGCAGGAAATCGTCAGCTCTGAGCTCTCAGATATGTGGATCAAGCACCCCGTACCTCTGGTTGCGCTCACGGGCCCTCTTGACACTATCTCTGAAAAAGTCCGCGGCCAGCTGGGAGCATTTCTTCTGGTTGCTGTTGGCGTTGCTGCCGTACCTGTCCGGATTACGCTCGGGGGCCTGCTGGAACTCGTGGACGGGGGCCGAAGCAGGCGACGGTACAGGAGGCGCATTTGCGTAGCGATCGTACGAAGGCTGCTGCCCACCACTCCCCGCAGTGCGCGGGCGCTGGCCAGGCGAAGGGCCGCGGGCGTAGCCAGCGTTCCGCGCAGCACCACCTAGGTTCTGGTGAGAGAACTGGTGGGCCAGCCCCTGGTTGGGGTCATTGCCCGGGGTGTTGGATCGAGGCTGGTACTGAGCGTTGCGATCGTCGAGCTGCTGGCCAGCGTACTGGGGAGCATACTGCTGGTTGTTCTGGACAAAGTAGCCTTGGGGGGCGTATTGCTGCTGAGCGTACTGCTGCTGCTGCTGCTGAGGGTGGAGTCCTCCTCCCTGCTGTTGCTGGCCGGGAGGGAATACGGGCTGAGGGAACGTGGAGGGAGTCGTGGGGTATGCCCTGTCGTTTGGCACAGGTAGCCTCTGCTGGCTGTTGTCAAAGTTGAGGTGCAGCCGGTTGGGATCCATCTTGAAGAAACAAGCTAGCTTTCTCCCTGTCGCCGACTCAAGGTCTGTGACAGCGCCGAGGTAAGGACGGGCGATATCGGTCCTGACAGAGCTGGAACCTCTCCAATGTGAATCTAGTAAGCGAAGGTAAGGACGCGCCGACCGAGGTACTCGTCGCTCTGTAATTTTCGGGGGACACTGCGTTCGTTGACCCGGCTCGATTCGACTAGGAGTATCGACTGATAGGGCTGGCGGTCGAGCTGCGAGACAAACACGATGGCGGTCAGGATGAAAGGGTGGAGGGGTGTCCAAGGGTCCTCCAAGATCTGATTGCGAGTTGGTAAGTTGGGTGCTGGAGACGAGAGGGCAGAGACGCTCACCAGCAACGACGTGATGAGACGTTCCCTCTCAACAACGACGAGAGCTGAAGTACTAAAGGAAGAAGCCAAGAGTGCTTTGGAAGGGGGAGCGTCTCGAACAGCACATCCGCCGGCTGTGGAGGTTTCGTACGACGGACAGCACAGGGGACGGACAGCAAGTGTGAGGGGCACGGACCCGGATCCTCGCACTGGACTCCTCGAGCACTCGCTAGAGCACTCGCTAGCCAACGGTGGCCGCCCCTAACTCCCCACTAACTACGGACCGCGCTTAGTTGGGAGTGGGTGCGGTTGGCTGATCGATTGTCGATTCATTTGTTTCCAGTCATCCAGGACAGGCATGGCCTGGGTGGCCGGCCTAACAACAGCCTTGCTCATCACGACGACAAGCGGGCGTGCACCTTTGCGCGGTGCGCTTTCTTCCGCAGTGCAGCGAATATGCACGCCCGTCATGTCGCTTCTCTGGGGCAGGCCAGACGACAGCCTGCATCTGCCCAGGGCTCCTCGTGCTGATACCCCACCATCCCAGCATCATTTTGCGACAGTCGAACACCAACGACGTGCCGTGTCTTCTTCAGGTCGACCGGAAATCTGAAACCGGGAGCAATGTACGCACGACTGTAGCACAAGAGAGGATGTGTGCCACAGTCTGCCTGCTATTAGAGCGAGACGCAGCGTGCGTGCAATATTCAGTTGTACTCGTTCTTGGTCAGCTGTTGTTGATTATCTATGCCATTGCTAGGCCAAGTCACGCAGTTCTACCATGAAAGGTCAATGACGGTCTTTATTAGAGTGTCTCCGACACTCGCAGCATTGTGATCTTCATGGCATCATGTCTCGGTGCGTGCCGCCTGGATGCCTGTCTATTATTATAGCCTACTACCGCAATGCGAAGTAATGCACAATTCGCTGCTGCTGCACACTTACCCAACAGGCTTTCCAGAAGTTTGGTCAAGCACCTCTGTGGATGGGAGTGAGAAGGATATGTGCAAAAAAGTATACAGCTTGGAATATTGGGCAGCTATCTTGCTGCTCATAACTCATTCGACATGTTCAAGTCTGAGTGTTTCCGTGATACAGAGTATAACTTCCAGCTCCAGGAGTTGCTGGTCAATGTCTCTTATCTCACCCGATAAGCTCCGATAATCCCTTATCGCAGCCAGATTTTCTCGCGACGCAGCGCGCCAACTACCGTCGCCATTTGCACCAGAATCTGGCGCACCGCCATCCCCTTTTACCGCTACATTCTTGCTACCTTTTGCTTCGCTGGAACTCATCATGGCGGAACCACTGCCAATGCCAGCCCAGCCTGCCGCCCCCGCGGCGGCACCGACACCACCCAAACCCCAGAACCCAGCCCTCCGCATGATGGGCCTGCCCAACCTTCCTCGGAAGCTGCCCTCACGCAACTGGATGATCTTCTGGGGCATCACAGGCGCATTTGCCTCCTTCATCATCTACGACAAGCGCGAGAAGAAGAGGGCCACCGCCAAATGGCGTCGCCTTGTGGCACCCATGGCGAATGAGCCCATTGGCGCCGCGAACCAGCTTCCCCGGAAACTCACCATCTACCTCGAGGCCCCGCCAGGCGACTCGCTGCGCACGGCGCAGGACCACTTCATTGAGTATGCTAAGCCCGTGCTGGCGGCCAGTGGTCTCGATTGGGAGTTTGTTCAGGGCAGGCAGCAGGGAGACGTGAGGGCCGCCGTGGCAGAGAAGATCCGTCGTCTGAGGCGGAAGACGGAGCAGCCCACCGAGGACATGCCGCCTACAGAGGAAGACAACCTAGAAGTACTGAGGAAGAGGATGAACCTGCCCGAATACCAGGGCGTCAAGGGTGACATTGTCATGGGACGGCATACTTGGAAGGAATACGTCCGCGGGCTACACGAGGGCTGGCTAGGCTCGCTACAAGCGCCGCCGCAGCCTGTCATCGAGCCTAAGCCCCAGACAGGCGAGGACGGCGAGAAGAAGGAGGCGGCGGAAGAGGAGGAGGAGAAGAAGCCTGATCGCCCCCCTCAGCCTCTCCCTCACAACAAGCCCGAAGACTACGCTCTTGCGTCGCTACCACCTACCATCCCCGAGGAGTTTGCGCCCTCGGCACCTCTGCCGCATCCTCATCGCCTTGGTTTCCGACACACATTTGTTCGTCTAGGACGTTTTCTGAACCGCCGCAAGCTTGCCGACGACATTGGTCGTGACGTCGCTGCCGTATGCTTCGCCACGTCGCGGGACTGGAAGCCCCAAGAGGGCGACGAGATGGAACAGCAGCTTGTTCTCAAGAGTGGTGAGAGGGACTGGCCCAAGTTCGTCTGGCAGGACGAGCCCAGCAAGGACGAGGAGGAGAACAGCACGCCCAAGCCCCCCAAGGAGAAGATCTGGGCGTCGCCTCTGACCGTGGACCCTCGCATCACCAGCCGCATGCGCCGGTTCGAGATCACGCCTGAGCTGGAGGCTAGGGCTGCACAGATCAAGGTGCCCGAGGAGGAGATTGAAGGCTGGATCAAGGGCACCTTGAGGGGCGTGTGGCGATGGGGCGCCAGCTCCTTCGAGTCCAAGCCGAAAGGACCCAACGTTGGAAACCTGGACGACTAATCAGTAGAGGAGACCAGTTTGGGGGAGCGTGTAGAAGAGGCTGTCTAGTAAGTTTACTGTACCATCAAGTGTATTCATCAACGATATCCTGTATAGCATCATAGAAAGGGGCCCAGTCACAAGGAGGGCAAGTCACGCCAATCATTATCTTTATTGTGAGACCGTGGTCCATCAGTCGCTGTCGTCCGATTCGTAGCTCACTAGCCCTGATAATGACGGCTTCTTGTTCTGTACAATCGCCTCCGCCTCAGGGGCCGATGTCTTATCCTCACTCGGCCTCGCACCGTCATCGCACTCCTTCTTTAACCCGTCGTCTTTCTTCACATCGTTCACGATTTTCTTCTTCACGCCAAGGCCGCCCTCTTTCTCCTTGCGCTTCCTCTTCCGTCCGCCAACAGTCCATGCCTCATTCTCCTCTGCCTGCTTGGCCGCGCCGCCATCATCACCGCCCTTCTGCTGCTCCCGAAACCGCTTCAAGCCTTCCTCCGTCTCTTTCCTTAGTCTTTCCTCCTCCTGTCTTTTCTTCTCGCGGACCTCGTCCAAAAAGTCCACATCATCCTCGTTCAACATTTGAAACTGATTCGACAGCTTCGCCTGCTCTGCAAAGGCAGCTTCCTTCGCCGCTGCTCTCCCATCAGTCCATGGCCCCGTAATGTCTTCGGGGCATCTCGAAGGCGTGGGGACTGCTGTTACCTTTGTTCTCTTGCAAAACTTCGTACAATGACCTCTCGCCGCCCTCGATGGCTTTCCTTCTGGATTCTTCCCGTTGCTGTCTCTCCGCATCTAGTTGCTTCTGCACAGCTTCCCACTGTGCATTCGTGCCCGCAGAGACACCAGTGTCTTCGCCGGGCCTTTGATCAGGGCGGTCGTCGCCAGAGGAGGATATCGTGCCTCCGGAGATGAAGCGATTGGACATGTCGACGAAGAGTTCCGGATTTGACCGATACTTTCTCCAGTTGCCCGCTTCTGAACGTTGTGGAACAAATCCCCACAGCACTGCGGTATTCGTCGCAGGAGAAAACTGCTTGCTTCGGCGGGATGTGCGACTGATGATCGTACGTGCTCTCTTAGCAAAGTAGCGAGCGCTAGTGCCTGCTTCATCAATGTACCTGCTCGGGATGATGCCAATATCGAGCACAATTACTGGATCACAAGCACCGTAAGGCCCAAAGTGAAGCCATAAAGGTTTGCGCCTTAGCTGTCTATAATTATGATTCTAGACCATAGGTGGCTAAATTCTGCTCGCTAGTCCGAGCGACTTTGTTGGAAGACTGAGTACCTTACGGACATGGCAAGCCAGAGGCGTTAGCCGTAAATCTGCCGAGTTTTGCAAATCCCAACTAAACCACGATCATCAAACATTCAGCCTGTGATTCATCTACATCGATGCAGTAAATGGCGTAGCAAAGTACAATGTAATTCTCGTCTAGGAGATTCTATGTCGTCCCACCTCACCCTATGAATGGTCTTAAAAGAATCAGCCTCGCTAGACACCCTGCGCCTGCTGCCATCCAAATCCTTCGTCAAAGTCATAAGAGCGGCTGCTGAGCCTGTCCTCAACGACACCGTTGCCCGCAGTGAAGAAAACCTCCGATTAAAAGCATGCAATCCTGCCCAATGTACCATAGCCCCCTGTAAAGAACAAATGCCATCCCCAAGAACAATGTCTAAAAAGCGAAGAAGAAACCCATGGGAGACCAGCTTGACGAGAGCAAAAGGCCCGCACCATGCGACTCCGCTGAATGTGAAGTTTGAATACAACACCAAAATAAACCTCCCGTACCCCATTTTTGTACCGGCGATGCAGAAACCACCATGCCGAAGCAAGCTGACAGAAGGAGATTTGTATATACTGTGGCAAAACTTGTCACTGCGTTTCATGCCACAGATAGGGTTCGGCGGCGGACGAGAATGTGGTGCCTAATGTGCGAACGGTGTGAGCAATAGCGGCGTCTCACATTGCATGAAAATGGAGCGTCTCTCGCGCGCTCGTCGTATCGCCTGAATGCCCGTTCTATGGACGGACAACCCTGCCGTCGTAGACCTTGGAAGGCCATGTAAATTGGGGCCGCTCCCATGTCCATCGCCAAAAGAAAAACGTGTCTTGAAACGTTCGAAAGGGAAAACGCCGGTTGAACCATGGTAGACGTGTACCAAGAAAAAGCAGCAAAAAAACAAGAAAACGACAATGTGCTGTGCATGGGACTCGAGATGCGGCTGGGTGAGACCCAATTCTTCCGCACATGATCACGCTGTCGTGCCTGGGTATCGAGATCGCGCGTCGTTATTTTTTAAGTGGAAGATAGGAAACAAGGAAAGTCGTGGTCGTGAAAAAAAGAAGAAAGCCAATCGATGATGCTGCCGCGTTGCGTTTGAAATGCCGCATGCCATGACAGGCAATTACAAGAACTTTTGAAAATTCGATAAGACTCCGGGGTCTAGCCCATCACAGGCTGACCGTAGCCATGCGATGTGAAGTAGGGACCCTCCTTGAGAGGGCTGGCGCAAGATGGGCAGTTACACTCAGCCATGCCGTGCTCCCAGATGTTCTGGTGCTGGTTGTAGGTGTAACCATGGGCACTGTACGCAGGGGGGCGGCTCGAGTAGAAGGGATTGCGAGCAGAGGCCTGGTGGAAGCGCCCATTGTTGTACTGAGCAGCGGCTTGAGAGAACCAGTCGTTATAGTGCGCATTGCTCGACACTGCCGACATGCCATAGGACTCAGGTGTACCGTAGCCAGAGTCGGGCGGTGTGAGAGGGGCGCTCCAAGGATTGCTGGACCAGGCCGATTCTCGTGAATGATAGCTACCGTGCTGGTGAACCTTGCCCGCCTGGTAGCGGTCAACTTCCGCCGCCTGGTCTTTTAGATAGCGCGAGTACGACGAGTGACGAGCATCGTGGTATCGGCCAACCTCGGTGTTGATGGCGGGAATACGGGGAGTCGCTCTCTCGCGAGAGGCTTGCAGCTGCCTCTTCTTGGTGTGCTGCCACTCCTTCCAATTTTCCAACCAAGCCTGGTAATCCTTGCTCAAGTCAAGATTGACGTACAAGCGCCATGACATGGACTGCACCCAGTCGAATTCGAGCGCGTTGAGCTCCGAGACAGATATTCCACTGACTTCGGACCAGGATCGATTCTGGAAAGTGTTGTCGTCCAGGAACTTGCTGCCAAGGAGCAGGGACACCGTGAGGTAGCGCCAGACCTGACCCTCGGTCGCCGTATAGGCGCCTTGGGTCTTCATGGAGTTGATCCTCTTTGCAAGATAGTTCATGCCGAGAAGAATCGTGGTGCTAGGCAGACGCGTAGAGGTCAGGACCTGAGACACGAACTTGCGAAAGCCAGGTGTCACAGTGGCCTCGGGGGTGACAACCCTGATCGCCATGTCGGCAACGTATTCGGCCATTACCTCGACATCGTAGTCGAGGACGGCGCAGACACCACCAGGCATGATGGGAGGGAGAGAAGGGCCGACTAAGACCTTGGATAAGATCTTGGTCGGTGAAGGCGGTTTCGGAATTGCAAATGCGGATCTCGAAACCTCAATGCTTGAGAAGCGCCGTAACAATAGGAGCGTGTCTAGCAAGATATACTCGCCATTTAACAAAGATTGTGTGCTAGTTGATTCCGCGAGAATCGGCACAGGGAAAGCAGGGTCGGTCGTATCGTAGATTGAAGTAAGGTCGTGACCGGGGTAGCCGGAAGGTCGTGAGTGAGATGCCGTAGCGGATGCTCGAAGGAGATACCAAAAGTCTGTTTGGAATCTATGTTAGCAAGTGGTGTCTGGAGGAGTGCTTTGGTCCATTAGACACGGAATGATGTGGTGTAGATTGGGCATTCGTTGGCAAGCCTGACACAGCGGCTCCACGTCGATGCTCGCCATCACCATGGTGTTGACGGGTGCTTAGAAAATTGACTTGATCCGGTCTTTGTCCAAGATGCAGTGAGAGCTTGCGTCGCAAGCCATGCTGCTGGACCCAAACATTGGGGCTCCGCGTCCCGCGTGTGAAGATGGGTTGTACAGTGGTGAATTGTGACATACCTAGAACAAGAAGAAATGCAGCAGAGTGGAATTGCTAAAAGGAATCGCAGCAGGCTCGATGATACGGAGTCGCGAGCAGCAATGTGCCTTCCAAGATTTCCACGCTGACCGGGGAGATGGGCCAGCAAAATGTGGACGAGGCGTGAAGGATGAGCTCGTTCGCGATGAACTTGAATCCTGAATCGACGAACAAAAGAATATGTTCGTGACTCGGCTTGTCGTGAATTCGGCGGATTCGAAGTTTTCGTCGAAAAGATGGGAGGAGGTCGGGTTTGGAGGAAGAGGTTGAGGAAGAGAAGAGAGTGTAAGATGGAGAGACGGGATAGAAGAGAATGGTGAGGTAGGGCCCTGTGCTAGCCGGGGCGGGTGCAGATGGACGGAGGGTGCGTGGTGGTCCCGCCCGTCGCTGCCTCAGTGTGCCATGTCCGTACGAGGTGTCTGTCAACACCAGAAAACCCAGCCTAGCGCCAAAAAAAAGTCTCGTGCTGCGCGGAAACGGGGTCTGCAGCAGAATGATGACCACTTGCCAGGCTTCGCCAGGCAGGCTTGACCAGGGTGCCCGGGGGACCTGGGAGCCTGGGATCGCCAATAGTGGCACTGCAGTCCCAGAAGTGGACTGGACTGATGGCCAGTGGAGGCGTGGAGGGAAGAAGGGGTTCGTTCCTTCCTGCTGTCACTCTCAGGCTGTGGTCTGAGTGGCCCGGCCTTCAAAGAATTGGGGTTTTCCGAGTCATCTCGACCAATCGCAGACATGACCACGACAGAAAGTACCGCAGGTGCGCTGACGGAGCAGATGGCTAGTTCTGTTACCATTACAAAAATTACTCGCACTGACGCATATAACCCTTGGTGCTCATTGGCTGAGCCGCCACCCCTGACCTCAGTTCCGTTATTTGCACCCACCGCTGGCTTGCCCAGCAACAGCACGCGCATCCAGCCAAGAGACTGGGCCGAGATGATGCTGGGGCGAATGTGACAGGCTCAAGGTACGTAGGTGGCAGGCAAATCTTGTGTCTTCACTCACCATGTCAGGAGGTATCACCGTGTCACTTCCAGGCGGGCCTGGGAAATCTCAAGGTGTTGCGCAATAGGCCCGGGCAGGCTTGTGACGTTCCGAGCTTTTTTCAGGGTGTCGAGAAAAGACTAGAGTACTACGTATAATAGACTCAACTGGTGATTAAGTACTACGTACGTTAGCCAGGTGGTCAGGACTGGACTCAGCCGTGGCCTGGACCAGGCTGTGAGCGCTTCTGTGACTCCACAATTCTAGTCACTAGGCCACTGACAGAAAACCTCTCGGCAAGATCGCTGAGCGGAGCACTGACTAAATACAGGATTCTTGCGTCAGTTCTGCAACAACATGGTTTACGCACTATTATTGTCTAGGAGGCGCCCGTCCGTTCAAACTTCACGAACTGGCCACGGCCCACTGGGGCCTGATCAGGGGGGCGTGGACAGTAAAGGACGTCATGAATGGATTGGTCCAGTCAGGTGACCACGACCAAGACCGACCGAAAGGCTAACTGCAAATACCTAGCTAATACAGCAAGTCTAGCAAGAATAATAATAATGAGTCCCAATAGTTGCATTGGGTAGTCAGTCATTGCTTCGTCTTGATTAACCTCCAGTCATATTGAGCATCGAGCAGTAGGTTGCATTGCTCAGGTACTGATCGTTCCGGGGGGTGCTTCTGGCGCGGCAGGTGTCTACTCAGGGAGGCGCAATTTCCAAGCGGCTCACGCACTCGGAAGTGCAGTCGCAGCTTCTGCGTTAGTCACGGACGCCAGCCACAAGGTACAAGGAGCAAGATACCTGGTAGGATACAATCTATTAATGACTAGTCTACTATACACGTAAGGTAGTGGTAATGACAAGTATCCGTAATTTATTCATCCCGATCTCAAGGGTAAGGGATGCAGCACGCTCGAGTGGAAATGATGAAACAAGCAGCCCTTATCATCGAGGTTATATTACGTGCTGACGTCGACAGGCCACTTTGGCACGCACGTAGTATGTTCAGTGTTGCCTCTCCTCCCGCCACCGTGCCACATCCTCAGCGTCATCTCAATGGATCACCCTGCAATGCACCTGCAGTACCTCCTCGATTGCCCGTTTCGACAGCCACCATCTGGTTCTAGTCAAGCGACAATCGCGGGACAACAACAGGCCGTCTCGCCCGATGACGCGCCGTTTCGAGCGGTGGCAACGACATGAACCCCACTACGTATTGACACACAATAGGGCAGCCTACTGTATTTACAAGTTGGCAACCTGCCACATACGCTACGGCCGGTCTGAGCGGTACACAAGTAATGCACTCGTGCGTTACCAGAAGCTCGATACGTACATGTAGTGCAATCACCACGCGGCCAAGTCGATGCACTTATGCAGGATTAGCTGAGAACGTCTGGCTTTCTTGTCAGGTTGTAACGGTGACCCCGTCATCCTTTGGGTTTATTCTTCGGACTTGAAGGCGCCGAACACCCGTTAATCAAAATAGAGCACAAGGGTCGTCGCCCCACCCTGCACCAACAATTAGGCCTAAAACATCATCAGGCCAACAGCCTTCTTTTTAGAGGGTGGCTTCAAGCGACTGGCGCTCCTTCTATGCGCTGTGATAAATATGATCACTGTGCTGAAAACAATCCTAGAGGGTTTGGAGATGTCGCAGTCATCAGTGAGCAAAGCGAATTGCATACCGCTACTTGTACGGTAGTGCGTTATTAATGTTGACATGATCATTTCTTTCTGCCATTTGCTGCAATCCTAATTGAGCCTAGCGATATCAATTAGTGCTTGAAACACCACGGCCAGAACCCTGGTAACGCTTCACTTTATTAGGGGTCCTGCAACCTGGGCTGTGTTTGAAGATTTCTCCAGTCTCCTGCCCCCAGCACAGATGAACTTTGTGCCTTGCAGGTTTTTGTACCGTAATGCCACGTACCATTTTTAAATACCACTAACAGAATGAAGCTGGCTGGTATTAGGTACGTATCCGTATGATGACCTGGGATTATCTCTGCTTGACAGCTAGTTTGCCTGACATCTCATTTAGCGTCACGAGCCAGCCAATGGCTGTGGTTCTGTTATTCAATCACCAGCATGCTATTGGTATCAGTTCACTCAACTAATAATGATGAGGAGACGGGCGGAAGGCTGGTTTCCTATCTTCACAGTGTGATGGAATCATCGTTGGACAGAAACTTCTCGTTAGCCGCCGCTTGTGCCAACTGCTAAAAGGTCTGCCGCATGCGTGATCTCCAGCGGCGGAGTGGGGTGGTGCGCATGCACAGAAGCCGGTCGACCGGAGTCTTTTCAACCTTTTGCACACCGCTACAACTCAGCGTGGCTCTACGCGTGCCTCATTCGCTGTTCACGATGGCTGCAGGACATTTTCCCCGCAAACCACTGCAGCGCGGCGGAGAGCGTTCGATGTTTTTCTCTGCGTTCTAAACTTGGCCTCCCGTACAACAAATCTGGGGCGTTGGACCTGTTATTATCGGGCGGCTCGGGCGAGGATGGCGACGACCTTTGCGAGGCACTGGATAAGACGAGATTTGGTGCTGCGGAGCCTGCAGGCAACCAATGATGATGTAGTCTCATCACTTGGTTTCCTAGCTGCCCAAACCAGCGCCCCATACTCGGGCAAATGTGCACACAGACACATGCGGTAATGGGTAAGTAGTTGATAGTTGTATGGTTGAGTTACTTGGACGCATCGATGTAAAAGTCATGTGACTACAAACCTCGACCCGGACTTTGACGCCGGTGTAACGCACCCGCGGCGATACGTATTCGATTCAATTGCTTGTTTGGGGCAGATCGACCATATGATCCGTGCGTGTGTTTTACCTCAATGAGGCGGCTTGGGGTCATGATAAGTGATGCCTTGGTTTGTAGTCGGCCACATGCATCCAGCTCGACAGCATAGGCTTACCTACCCTGCACAAGACGCGCGCCATATCGCCTTGGGCCATCCGGCGTCGGTAGGCAACGATATTACTACCGTATATCAGACTTGAGCGCTGATTCCAACTGTCTACTGTTTTGACGATTTCTCTGGGCATTCGCGCAACGGTTGCTCTGGTTTCGGCGTTTACGAATCATGAGCCTCATGAACCTCATGGAATCTTATGCGAGGGTGTACAAGTTATGACACGTAGTTCGAAACACAGTTGTGGTCAGCCAGTGAGCCAATGTGTGCAAAATTAAACACTGTATTATTACTAGCATGTCAGACGATGCACGCCATCCCAGCTGACCCCATCATCATCAGGGGGACCGCGATATGTTTCACATAGGCACGTTGTAGCGCGGAGCTGGACCGTGGCTGCAAAGGGAGCGCGAGACATCACGTCCATGTGCATAGCGAACACACACACAACGGTACTCAAAGCCTCTCGGCGCGTCTCGGGGTTTGGGCGGAGTGGGTGTCAACACAATATCGCCCCAAAAGCCACATCACTGTAGGACTGTCACATCGTCGGTTCCTCCACAGCATGGTCCAGAGCGCCCCCCTCTTGTTGCGATGTCAAGTCGGCCTTTATCGGACGCGGCTTGTGAATGACTCCTCACTGCTGTCGCTGCAAGAGAGAGGAAGAGACATTAGTAATGGCACGCGCGTCGGCCGTAGTGGTCTAGTAGGCACAAGCGGAGCCGTCCGCGTTGGCTTGCATGCGTCGCCAAGGCACACGTTGCGTAGCATGAGAGGAGTGTAAGGAGGGGGAGAAGAGAGGGATATGATGAGAAGCCTTCATTCCTTAAACTTGCCAAGCAGATGTATGGTGATTGTCGCCCGATGGCAGTCTAAAATGAGCTCTTTCAAAGCAGGCCGGCCTGACTCACGCCCGCACGTGGCGACGCTGATTGATAAATCAGAATTGGTATTGGCAATTGCGACTGATACTGGTAGAGCACAATGCATGATCCCCTTCAGATCGGCTCCTAGAACCCCGAAACGCCTTATGAACCTCCCTTCACCACATCATATCCAGGGACGTCACGAGCACAGCCTGACGGATGAAGCACCGCGAGGCTGAGTTCTCATCCTGTCCCCTGTGCTTCCCCTATCCAGCCCTCTTCGCCTTGACCTGACCGCTGTCTGTCTAGGACATACTGTAAGGAACAATGGCTTTGTCAATGACGGGTTCTCTCCTGGACATGGTTTTGCTTTCTGCGCCCCACCTCGACTTCCATTCCATCTCGTGGTCCAGGGCGGTGTCAAAGGCCTTGCGGCATTCAGGCGGTAGCAGACTCTTGATCTCGTCGGGCACAACGCCTAAGCCATTGAAGGATGCCAACGGGTCGTGGGCATCCCTGTGTTCGTAGGCTCCCTTGGAGAGACCCACGGGTGGGATCTCAAGGTATGTGTCCGTAACAAAGAAGTTCTTGGCCACTTTGGCTGGAACAGGCGTGAAGATGGTATCTTCCGCGCAAGCCTTATCCTCCTCATCCACAGGGACCTGCTCGATGCGAGCTCGCGTTGGCTGCATCATCTTGGGATAGTGCATGGTATTTGTGTGAATGTCGTAGACGCCAGCGTTGTTGAGCTTGCGGATTTCGTTGATTCTGGCGTTGAAGATGCTGTAGTATGGTTAGCAAACGGTCCCCAAGCTGACTGATCCAATGCGATACTTGCCTTGCCTCCCGCGCGTGCTCAAACATCCAGTTCATATCATTCAGATTGACCTTGCGCTTAGCATACTGCGGCTTGCCATTTGGCACTGGCACCGATGGCGTCTGCGTGTGGTACACCGCACTGGCGCCGTGCCAGGCGACGTACTGGTTCTTGTTGTACGGCTCGGAAGGGTTGAAGCGGTCGTCAGGGTCAGCAAGCTGTCCCTCCACCACGCAGTCCGCCCTCGCCTGGGCCACGTTGTAGTCATCGACGATGCGCTTGCCACCGATGATGATGCGCGCACCAAACTCGCGGAAGACCGATCGCGCTGTGACGATACCGATGGAGCGTCCCTTGTATGAATGCGGGATGATATCCCGGTCAATCATGTCCCGCTTCTCGTCATCGTCGACGATGATTTTGTGCAGCTTGCGATGCTTTGTGAAGAAGAGATAGCTGTCCCGGAAGCCCACACAACGGGCGGGCTCGGTCGACAACATGTACAGCCTCTCCCCCCTTCCTAGGACGGTGAAGACACGGCAGCGATAGTCTCGCCCGCCCGACAGATTTCCGTTCTTGTCCACTTTCTGCTCTCCCTCTGGATCCTCGGGAAGAACGCACTCATCGTTGGCAATCTCGGCAATTGTCCCCTCAGCGTCAATGACCTGCTCTGCCTTGGGCGCGGAGGGACCGCCCTTTCGTCCACCACGACCACGGTAGCCACCACGTCCACGGCGGCGAGGCGTGTCGCGGGCTTCATCGTACGGCACGACGACCATGGGATCCCAGTCTGGAGGCTTGTTCTTTGGTGGCCGACCCAGGCGCTTCCTGCGCACCATGCCCGCTGGTAGGGGTGATCGCTCGCGCTGGGGTGGTGGAGGAGCGGCCCCCCCCCCCTTGTCCTCCTCCTCCTCTTCTTCTTCTCGATCCTTCTCACCATCTGACTCGCCGTCTCTGCTAGCCTTGTCGTCTTCGTCCTCCTCATCGTCGTTGTCCTCTACGTGCTCCGAATCCTTGTCGTCGTCTTCGGGGATGGGGACCTCCTCCTCGTTCGTGGCATCGGGCATGGTCTCATCTTCCCCTGGTGCTTCGTCGTAGGTCTTGGGCGTATTCTCTGCCGTTCGCGTTAGTCGCAGGCGAATTGGTCGGCGCGGCATGCCGGCGGGTGGTGTGTCCAGGCAAGGACAGGCAAGCCTCGCGACGTTGTGCAGAAAACAATATGCTCGACAGGGCCAATTCGTTGTCGCACACACTAAGCTCTGTCCGATATCACACGAGGGGACAGCGCGACAGACACGGAAAGTGAAGGCGTACGTGGAGGAGGAGGAGGAGGGAGGATGGGGTGGCGGATGAATCGCAGCAAGTTGTCATTTGGCACGAGGGAAGGAAGGGACTTACCCAGCGCAGCGGCGGCCTTCTTGGCGGCAGCGCGACCGGATCGACGGCCGGGAGGCATGATGGGCGGGCCTGGGACTGTGATGCCCGCCTTGTTGAGATGGGAATTCACGAATTAGGATACGGTGGGCGGATTCAGCGTTGCTTTGGGGATTTGGGAGATATTGGAAACGAGACTGGACGCCTTTTTGCCCAGACGTGCGCTCGCGAGTTCAGACGCGCCCAGGCGCCTTGCAGCGTGACATGAAGCCTGATTGGCTTCCGTCGGCGAGGCTCGGGACTGTGCATCTATCACTACACACGATACAATTGCACTGTACTTGCATCGACTCTATCGTCTCAAGCCTCGAGGTGCCTGTCATCGTTACTATCTATCCCAGCTTGCTAATTTAAGATACGGCAGTAAAGGAAAAAACCGCGATGCCACTCATAAGATTCATATCCGTATTATCACTTCTCCCTTTGGATCAGCACCAGCCGTTAATGCACCCAGAACATCCATACCACTACCCCCCCCTACTACAATGTATCCCATCCTCCGTTGTTAATCTCTGCCTCTAGCTTCCTGCTGATCAGGCTGGGCACGCCGTGGTTCAATACCGTGGCCCGGATCATCGTATCATATCGTTTCTGACTCAAGAAGAGCTGGCGTCCATGGCGCAGCTGAAAGTCCGTCTCGCCATACTTGTCAATGTAGGGTGCCGGGGTGAACGATCCCGAGGTGCGGAACAAGTATAGTATACTACACTTTCTGATGTTGAGGAAGACGCCGACACTGTTTTGGCAACTGTGGAACATTGTTAGTCTCTCCGGTCCCAACCAAACATGACACGCAACGTAGTAGATCTCTTACCGTTGAGCATGCTGCTGCGCTCCGCCCAACCGAGTCAACTTGTCCATGCAGCACGTCGCTTGACTACAGCAGAGCTCCCCACAGAACAAGCAGATGATGGGGTCGGTCAGGTCCTTGCCCGTCGTGGGGCATTTTCTCTTTGTTGCTTCCTCCACAAGCGCGTCGTACGTCTTGGGGAGACCAACAAGCTCAAATATGCCCGGATGGCTCACCAACGCGTGCTTGTTCTCGCCGCCACCAGTGTGATTCAGCAGCTGGTGCTTGACCCAACCTTGCACAGTGTTGGATATGGTGCGAGATGGCCAGCCAGCGGCCTCCGCATTCAGCGTCAGGCTCGCGCACATGTGGTCGAACGACGGAACACGCAGAGCCTCTGTTAGGCGGTCGAGCTCTTCGGCCTCGATATTGGCACTGACGGAGGCGCTAAAGTCCACGCCCCAGGTGATGTTCATCAGAAGCACGCACTTTCGCAAGAAGGTAAGTGCGTACTTCTTGACAAAGATGTACCATCCCTCCACCGTGTCCAACCCCGGCTGCATGAAGGCCTCGTTCGCCACAGGCACTCCCGCGTCGTTGCACCTCGCCAGGTCAACGTCTAGAGTGAACTGTGACACGGCCAGGGCGAACTCGGCAAAGTTGTTGATGGCATCGTCCTCTGTCTGCCTATGCTGTAGTGGTCCGAACCACTTGTTTGTAGGCATGTTCTGCGACATGTGGAGGATGACCTTGACTATTTCTGCGAGATAACACAGCCTCAAGATGTGTGCAATGTCGTGGCCTTGCGCAGGAACGAGGCCAAAAGAGCACTCTGTCAGAAACAAGAATGTGTCTTTGCTCAACAGCGGCTCGTAGAGATCAATGCGCCGGCGAGACTCGTCGGAATCCGAAGAGAAGCTGCGGCCGATGAGGAGCTGCGTGTGTTGACGCACGGCATTCTTGTCCACGTGAGCAGAGCGTCCTCGGTCCCGCTTGGAGGCCATACTAAGGTACGAGGTAGCTGTCTCAGAGAGGACGCGCAGATGCGTGAGCAGATGCTCGGGGATCTTGTCAAGCAACGTCAGGCCGGGCTGGACCTCTTGGCCTCGCTGCTGGATTTCGGCACACGATATGGTGTACCCAACAGCTTCAATGATAACGTCGCTCTGCGCCAGGTCGCCAGGCACAGCATCAAAGCCCATCCAAGGCCTAGCACCAAATGCGTTGCTCTCAATCGTGGTGCGCAACCTGCGATATGCCGCCTTCAGGTCCGACTCCAATGTTGAGCTACCCGAAGCAGCAACAGGCGTTGATACGTCCGACTCCGAGTCGGCCATTGTCCCCTCCGACTCGGCGGTGTCATCCTCGTTCTCGACATCCCTTGGCGCCATGGAACGACCGATGGCTTCAGCCAACGCCGAGAAGTAACTTGGAATGCGCGACACGCTTCCCCTTTCTTCGACGTCTGGCGCCTTGCCGGACACAACAGACTGTTCTGAACCCAAGTTACGAGCTAGCCAGTCCGCAAAGTCGCTCTCTGGTGCAAGGTGACTGGGATAGGACTCCTCCACGCCTTTCCAGATAATGGGCAAGAACGCATTGCCGAGAGCTTTGCAGAGAGGACAAACAAATTCCTTCTTCTTGACTTCTTCAGGGTGGTGTCGGGCAATCTGCTGAGTATGGCGTCGCGATGTGGCATCATAGTATGTTTCGAAGCAACGGTAATGCATCATGTGGCCGCACCCGCTGGCCACAACGCCCGGTCGCGACTGCGAGGGTTTGAATCCTCTGCCAACTGTCTGGCGCTCGGCGAGAATCTTTTCTCCCTTGGTGTTGAGCTTCTCCACCATGTGCCGGTTCTCATGGGCGATACCAAACGGCCGAATGTCCTCTGCCGAGCGGTCGAGGTTGCAAGGCGTCTGTAGAGCTTCCCGCACAATGTCGGGGTCCTGGAAGTCCGTCTGTCGTAGCAAGCGACTTTCACTGAGCAAAGTGAATGTGCCGTACAGGTTCCGCTCATCGGCCACTTCTTGGCATAGGATGCAAGTGCCCGTAGGAAACTTCCAGGTGTGCTTGCGGCCCTCACCCTGCTCCTGATGCTCTTCCACGTCCTCTTCAATGTCCTCGCCCCAGTCAATATCAGCTTGGTTGTCCATGAAGCTCTTCTGCTGTTCTTGGAACTGGGCCATGACCTTGGCGCGGCGCTCGAGCGCAGCCTTCTTCTTCCGTTCCCGCTCCTCCTCAGCAGAAGCATTGGCAGGCGAAGCCGTGTTGACGCGGTCGACCGAGATGCCTAGATGCACAAAAGCCTGCTCAAAAGTGACGGGACGCTTTTGCTTGAGTCGCTTCAGCACGAGATGGATCTTGGGGTGTGCCGACTTGTATTCCTCTTTGGACGCAATCAAGTTCAGAAGAGCGACAATGGTCCTTGCTTCACGCTGGCTCGAAGGCGGGTTGGCCCGCGCGGGTCTGGTCAGTGCGATTTGCACAAAGGAGCCCTTGTTCTCGTCTACCATGGAGTTCTCGTCGCTCTCATCCTCGTGTATCGCCAGGAGCACAAGATGTAGCACGACCTGCAGGTAGGGCTCAAGGCGTGTTGAGGGGATGCTGGGCGTGAACTGCTGCGCACTTAGTGGGTAGAGGAGACAGTAATAGATGATCTGCGCAAATGTGCCTGTGCCTGTGAAGCCAGCCAGATCCTTGAAGAGACCCGATGAAATAGGGGTAGGTTTCGGCTCATAGACGATTTCATCGGAAGTCTTTCCTGTGTGCTTCGCCATCTTCTTACGGAAGGCCAGTTCAGACTCCTCGCGCTGATTCTTGTTGTAGTGCGCGATGTAAGGGTCGATCTCCTCAATGAACTCAGGACGCAGCTCGAACATGCCTACATCTGAGATGCTCTCAGGAGGCTTGTAGGTGGCTATTTCATGAAGCAGATCCTGGAAATCCTCTGATTCGTGGTACTTTTCTGGCACCTTGTTGCAGATCTCGTTGAACGACAGAGGCTTGAAGCACAAGGTGTGGATGAGGTCGCGGCGCATGGCAGGCTGACGGTGGTTCACCTGTCCCTCCGGTGCTGTAATCACAGTGCGGTCACTGAGCAGGACGATCAACAAGTGCAGCATGTCTTCGACCACGTCCAGGTGCTGCGCATCGTCCTGTGCCTCCGATTTGACCTCGTACAGACCCTTCACCCACAAGTCCATGCCAAAGCGGTCAATGATGGATGCAAGCACTCGGCTGGAGTCACAAATTACCAGAGCCGTCTGCAACAGGAAGATGTCTCGCTGATGGGAGACATCTCGCTGTGCGATGCCGCGGTATGTACTAGCTTGGTGACGCAGACTGATGCCATTCCTGACCCACATATTGGCCTTGATTTGTGCGAGCCATGCGCACACCCGAAGAGGATAATCAAAGGCGGCCATCAGATAGTCCTCTGGTGTAAGATCTCTCTTGGCGATGCTCAGCTTCCCCATCAAGCGTGGTTTGGACTGAAGATCTTGCAACGAGAAGCTCAACAGATCACGGACAGTAGTGGCGTCAAGTGACCGAGCACACTCAATCAGCCAAGACAGGGTGTAGTGCAGCCCATGGTGGAAGCTGATGTGCCCCTTTTCCACAACAAAGTTTACCACCGAGTACTTGGTATCGTCCCCGTTGAACTCAAAATCGTCCACGGTCTTGAACTTGACAGGTTCTTTGACTTCAGCTTGCTTGAATCTGTGCCTCTCCGCGCCAATCGAGTTGAGGATGACCGTCTTCGCCGTGAATCGAATGGCTCTCTGCAGATAGGGCATCTCCTCAGGGGTGATGGTCCTGAAGGACTCGCACAAGGCGCGCGCTTGTGTGTTGATCTGTCGGGTCACCAGAGACGCGGTGATCCACGAATCAGCCTCGTATTCAACGTGCTCGACGACGGCACGGAGATTTGGGCCAATGCCCTGGTGCAGCTTGACGAGGTCTAGAAACTGCATGAGATACCTGGGTTCGTTCCGAATCCGCTCTCTGACGTGAGGCGCTTGGAATAGATATTTGAGATCCTGGTAAAAGTGATACATCCTTCGGTTGGTGACAGTGCCGCTTTCGAAGGCTAGGACGGCATCGGCAGCTACGTCCCACGGGTGACCGACTTGTCGCGTTGTAAGAAACGTGTACAAGATCGCAAATAGCGTGGTCATGAAGTTGCCCCTCTCGACAATCTCTGCCGTTACCGAGGGTGTTGTGAGCATCTGCAGGGAGATGTTGATGATCGAGTGGTCCGGCTCGCGATCTCCAATGAGATACAGCTGGGCGAGTGTAGTATACAAGCTGGAGAACCGTAGTGTAAGCAGCCGTTTGAACTCCGGGATCGAGACCACCGTCGAGATGTAAAGCGAACGTAGGTCCGTCCTCGCCTTCTTCCACATGCGCAGATCAAACAATAGGAGCCAGTCAAGTCGCACACGCTGGAAGACATTCTCGGCGGGATGATCGTAGTTGCGATCAGTGTATCCTGCAGGTGTCTCCAGCCAGTATCGCGGCGGCTTTGGCACCACCTTTTCCGTCTTGCCGGGCGTTTTGGGAATGTCGGCGTTGGCTTTCTCATAGGGGACCATGGTGATCAGGGGCTCTTGACCCGTGTCGGAGTCAGATGGCGTCGCATCACGCTCTCTAGGCTGCGTACGGGCAGGACCTCCAGGCGGTGGAGGGGGAGGGGGAGGGTAGCCTGCCATGGTGGCCTCGTCTTCCTCCAGTGCTTCGGGTTGACCCCAGTTCACGCTTGGGTCACCGACCTCCTCCCTCGAATCCGCCATCATTGCGTCTTCGCCGTCTTCGTCCTCATCGCCGGCCTCGCTGGACCCAGCATAAGAGTGAAGATCAAAACCATCCTCCATGTCATCGTCCTCGTCCTCGTCGTTGTCCACCTCAATCTCGAAGTCGACCTGTCTGGCATCGACGCCTACGCGCCGAGCTATCAGAAGCTGAAGATGAGCGGTGCTGAGTCCACCCGGTCCAATATACATGTTCTGGTCGTCTTCTTCCTCATCGTCAATGACGCCGGACAGCTGGGTCGCGCGACTGCCCACGCGCCATGGACACATAAGCTCCTCGCAGACTGCATGTCCAAGTATCTGATTGTCGTTACCAACAGCGCACCCTGCTACATCGTTCAGCCATTCGACGATGGTGCCGCACATCTGCTCCCGGAAGGTGTCCCTTGCCGATCTGACTGTTACGGTGATTCTGATAGCTTCGATGATCCGGGCCATTTCCAAGAGGGCATCAACGTCGTCCATCGACTTCAGTATGCACCGGCCCACCGCGTCGGTTGTCCAAGCATCTTTCTCAGCATCCTTGCGTTGCTTCCTGCACGCCCTGGCCACTTGGTCCTGAACCTCTTGTACCGTGTGCTTCTCGTCGTTCCAAAGGATCAGGGAGAACTCTTCGCATGGCCCTGCGTCAGGACCGTAATATTTTGATAGAAGTCGAGCAGATTCCTCGTCTCTGAGCACAGACTCTCGGGATTTGTCTTCGCGCAGTTGTTCGATCGAGCAAGAGATGACGTCGCATACGTAATCCAGCACCCGGGCCATTGTCATCCGTATGCTACCCAACATCTCTTCAGAGGGTTCAGCGACGGCCTTGCCCTTTCCCTTGCCCTCGTGCGTCTCGATCTGCGAGTGGATTGTACAGAACAAGGATGTCTTCCATGCTTCGTCGTCTCCGCAATCACAGCAGCCACTGTTTCCCACAGAAATGTGCATTCGAACCATGTGGCCCTCGTGATCGGTCGACTCGAAGCACCTCGCGCACAGTACGCATGTATCGTCCGTGCCGCACGTCCGACATGCGTACGTTGCTTCGCCTGCCTTGAAGATATGCCCGCATCGCTTCCCACGTGCAGCTTCGGTATATTCGGCGCCGTCCACAGCGCCTTGCGCCTCTCTGAGGCTCAAGCTCTCGGGAACTCTTCCATCGGGAAAGAGAAGGTTGAAGTGGTCTCGCTTGCCGCCTGCCAGAGACCAAAAGAGAGCTTGGAGCAGTTCGTGGGCGGCGTTCGCATCGTAGTTGTAGCGGTATTTCGCGGGCAGGCCAGCAAGAATCTCGCAGAGCTGCCGCTCCTGCGTTGACATGGTCTCGTCCATAATTCAGCGAGGTATCATTGCGGCATTCCAAGTACAATCGCGGGCGCTGGCGTCGTGGCTTTCTTGGGCACGGCGGGTGTCGGTACAGAAGTGGGGGTTTCTGGTCGGTGAGGTACACGACCTCGAGAGGACACTGCGTACGATGGCGTTGAGATGTCGAGGTGAGAATAAAGTCCCCCGTCGACTAGAGCAAAAATACAGACTGTGCAGCAAGGCCTGGTGTGTGTGTGGCAGGCAAATCAAAATTACGACGGAAATGTGATGATGGGCTCGACCAACCCCAACTTAATTCCAACGGATGATGTAGGAGATGGAATCGGTCAACCCCACGGTCACGTCAGATCACCAGGGAACTACAGGAATCAGCAACCCGGAACCTCCGTAATGAAGGCTGCATCTACGATGACTACTTACATGCGCGCGAAGTCTGCCGTAGCCTGATTTCTAAGGTAGACAGCTTCCGGACGCCACGGCGAAAAAGCATGTCGTCACGCGAGGGGCCACGTTCTTTGTCGTGGACAAAAGGAAGGTTTATGATTGAAATCGCCTTTCTATGCCATCTTACAAGTAATACACTTCCTCCTCCGATGCGCAAATTGCTGCGGCAGTCGATGTTTACTCGTCCTCCTCCTCAGCGGCCTCAACGTACTTGTGGCGGATGTCCTTCCATTGGCGCTGCATGCTTATTAGCAACCCGATCGTCTCGACATTGGAGCTCAAACATACGCCGCGGTTGTGGTGGTCCCAGAGCTTGTTCATGCCAGTGTTGAAGCCCCTTGTCACGCGGTCAGTGTCCAATCATGCTTGTCCTACTCTTGCCGGACGTACATCTCGAAAGCGAAGCCGGCGCCGAACACGGTCGCCAACATGGCGTAGTTCTTCTTGAACAGAACGCTATCGGATTGTCAGATATGCCCTATACGAATGACCGCCATCGAATCGCATTGTGTCGTTCGGTCGGTTCGGTAGAATGGGTCGACGGACCTGTAAAGCTGGCCGGTGATAGACTGTATGTGCGCGATTAGTTACGGTGATCATCCTCACAAGCCCGGCGGGAAGACGATGCATACCATCTTGATGAGCCGGTGCAATTGAGCACGATCGAGGTGTCGATGAATGTGTTGTGGTCGTGTAGGATGGTTCCGGGGGTAGCGTCTCGAAGTCCTTCGCAGTTTGAACGATGGAAATTCGCGAGGTTCCGGGTTGGCTTCGCCTCGACTTTGATTGGACAGACATGGACCCGCCACTCAATGTCCATCCCACGCTTCAGAAAGATTCGGACTATGAACAAATGTACAAGTTACAATATTGTACTTGATTCACACGAAGTCGGAGCAGTGTGATTATTCTCAGTAGTAATGCTGCTGGGCTATAGGCTATCTGTGTGGTGCACACTCTGTTCGACCCATTCACTCAGACAAAACCCGGTATGGCCACGAAGGCACTCAAGACCTATCAATAGAAGCCTTCAACTGGCTTGAAATCGAGTCGTGTAGGATGTTGCTTCAGTCGCTTGTCTTCTGGCCTCGGAACGCACATACATAGCAAGCCGGAGGATGATGTGGTTGGCGCCCAACCATGTGTGCGAGATCATTGAATATCTGGTTATGTAGCACTCATCAATGTCATCATACTGCTACCCAAAGCTCCTATGAGCTCCAATATCCTCTGCCCCAGCTTCTGCACCAAGCACTCTCCATCGTGACAATGACGGCATAATGTTTTGAAATAACGGACTGTGAATTTGTGTATAAGCACCTCCAGCACTGGCCGGTCCTATACTCCAGGCTTCGTTATGGTGGGGCCTTCCAACCCTTGACGTAGCATCTTCTACTCCGTTCGCATCAAATCACACCCAACCTCTCCTCCTGGGCCGGGCGCGGGCTGTCGTTGTGATCAACCACATTCCCAGATCCCATAATCATCGATTTCACGATCTATCTATTTATATATGCTTTTAGCGATCTCGAAAGAGCACACCTAGCCCCCGCGCTCCTTCCCCCTCCAAACGACCCATCTTCCATTCGGGTTGCGCCACACGCCAGACTTTACCAATCCCACCTCTCACCACATTTTTGGACTGCCCAAACGAACCAGCTATGCCTTCAGAAGCTACAAAAGCGTCAAACGCCGGCATAGTCACCGCTCAAACCGGCGAGCGCCACATCCCCGAGTCCCAGCGCGCAGATGGCAGCACCCGCAAAGCGATCAAGATTCGACCGGGCTACCGCCCTGCCGAAGACGTCGAGGTCTACAAGAACCGTACCGCCCATGCCTTTCAGGAGCGACAAAAGAGGGTAGGAATCCCAGGATCGCAGGGGTTGAAGGACGACAGCAGCAAGGCGGCGGAGGCGAGCAGCGCCGCGAGCAATAAGAACGCAAAACGGCGTGAGGCCAGAAAGAAAGCCAGGGCAACTGAAGAAGAAGAGGGTCCTGCTGCAGGTGCGACAAAGACAGAGGAGCAGCAGACAACTGTGGACCCTGAGGTCGAGAAGGAGAAGAGGGCGAGGAACCTCAAGAAAAAGTTGAAGCAAGCCAGAGATCTGCAGAACAAGAAAGAGGGAGGCGAAACGCTTCTGCCCGAGCAGATTGCCAAAGTGATCAAGATCAATGAGCTGATTCGGGAGTTGGAAGCACTGGGCTTAGATGCTGACAGCGAGCGCAATGACAAGCCAGACACGAAGGGGGAGGGGGCCGAGGACGAGGCTACAGGGACAAGGTAAACGCCATCACTTGGCCGCCGCAGTCACTTGGTGGGCTTGGGGATGTATACTGTGTGCTTTTCAATCAAGCAGCTGGGGGTTAGATGGGCATGGCTACGGAGTTACGGTCGAATTGGACTACGAGGTCGAGGTCAAATGATATTATTGCCTTCGATTTGGAAACAAACATTATAACTTAGCGCGTAAAATTCTTGTGCCGGGCCCCAATGGTCTTCAAAGTTTGACGTACCAGCCTAGTCGTGGTCAATATCTTGAAAGTCAGACAACGTGCATGACAGTCATTATAGACCCATGTCGAGTGACACTCTTCCAATATCCCGTCAACGCAAGGTTATCAGTGCGCCACCGGTCAAGTTCTGATGAAATACTAACCTATACGTAGGTCGTCACTGAAGACTGTAGATCAATGGCACTTCACGTGCAGAAGAGAGTGTACAGGGTAGGCATCATTGAAAGCGGTGAAAACTAGCCCACATTCTGCCGCCATTGTGCCGCCGACGCAAGGCTCCCAACTCATGAGGTAAGCTCCAAGCTGCAAGCGCAACAACCAGCATCTCCAAATCGACACATTTTGCCCGTGTTCACGCTACAGCAGTCTTCACCATCTAAGAACGAAACAACGACACTGACAAATACTCCCTCATTTTGAACGGTCCCAGAAGTTCCCCATAGCCGTCATGACGCCCGAAGAAGAGCGCCAGGCTGCCCTCAACTCGTACCGGGCCAAGCTCATCGAGTCTCGGGAGTGGGAAGCCAAGCTCAAGAACCTACGCCTCGAGATCAAGGAGCTACAGAAGGAATTTGATAAGACAGAAGACAATATCAAGGCGCTGCAAAGCGTGGGCCAGATTATTGGCGAGGTCCTAAAGCAGTTGGATGAAGAACGATGTGAGTTCGAATCGCGTGGCGCACGGAACTCTGGGACAACGCGGTGCTGATACGTGTTCTAGTTATCGTGAAAGCGTCTTCAGGTCCCCGATATGTCGTCGGATGCCGTAGCAAGGTCGACAAGGAGAAGATGAAGCAGGGCACACGTGTAGCATTGGACATGACGACATTAACAATCATGCGGATGCTGCCCCGGGAGGTCGACCCTCTCGTCTACAACATGTCGCTGGAGGATCCTGGTCAGGTCAGTTTTGCTGGAATCGGTGGCTTGAACGACCAGATCCGCGAACTGCGAGAAGTGATCGAGCTTCCGCTCAAGAACCCCGAGCTCTTCTTGCGCGTTGGGATAAAGCCGCCCAAGGGCGTCCTTCTTTACGGACCCCCTGGCACAGGCAAGACTTTGCTGGCGAGAGCGGTTGCCAGCGGTCTTGAGACGAACTTTTTGAAGGGTATGCTTTCCGAGCGAACACCAGTATAGCCGGATTTCAGCTAACAAATGGGTGCAGTTGTCTCTTCAGCCATTGTCGACAAGTACATTGGTGAGTCAGCTCGGCTGATTCGCGAGATGTTCGGCTACGCCAAGGAGCACGAGCCCTGCATCATTTTCATGGACGAGATCGATGCCATCGGTGGACGGCGATTCTCGGAAGGCACCAGTGCGGATCGCGAAATTCAGAGAACATTGATGGAGCTTCTCAACCAGCTGGACGGATTCGACTACTTGGGCAAGACGAAGATCATCATGGCAACAAACAGGCCCGACACGCTTGACCCGGCGTTGCTGCGTGCCGGTCGCTTAGATCGCAAGATCGAGATCCCTCTGCCCAATGAGGTCGGCCGGCTGGAGATTCTCAAGATTCACGCCCAAAGTGTGTCGGTGGATGGGGACATTGACTTTGAGAGTGTGGTGAAGATGAGCGACGGCCTCAATGGTGCTGATTTACGAAACGTCGTGACAGAAGCGTAAGTGTCCCTGGGACCTCATGGAAGTGCAAAGAAATACTGACGCGGCGTAGCGGACTCTTCGCTATCAAGGACTATCGGGAGTCGATCAGCCAGGATGACTTCAACGGCGCGGTGCGCAAGGTCGCCGAGTCCAAGAAGTTGGAGGGCAAGCTGGAATACCAGAAGCTGTAAGCATAGCATGTTATCAGAGCACAGGGAGCGGCGGGTAGGTTGGCGGATAGATAGGGCAGGCGTCCAAGGGTCATCTTGTGTGGATGTATAACACAGCGAACGGACGGCTTGGTGCCCTAATTACCACACTGCCAGGGTATGCATCCTCCTTGAGTGAATCTGATATGTAATGATAGAAATGGATTTACAGTCAGCCTTGTGAGGCCGGGCTGGGTAATTTGATTCGTTCTCAGCCACTGGGTTCGACGAGAGAATCTGACTGCTTACCAGCCACCTATGCGACCTGAGAGTGGGCAAGTTGATGAAGATAAGGTAGAGCCAGGCCAATTGATGTCTTCGCGTCAAAAAACTGTGTGCTGCCGGCTCGTCGAACAAGGTTGCAACTGTAAAGGGCTTTTAGATTTATAGAACCCTCAACGAGCCTTCGACTCTGAGGGTTGCATGTACAACCCCTGCAAAGGGACGGTATGGGGGACGACACGTGCAGAGTGACAGCCAATGCTGATGTGAGCTCTGAGCACTGTGAGCAGTAACCTGACCTGCTCTTGATACCTTTATGTCTGAGTTTACTGCAAATTAGCTTAATCATGCTGTACGGAGGTAAGTCTTCGTTGAAAGGCAGGAGCAAGGGCAGTTCTCGACGCAGGCCAATGATGATGCTATTCTTAGGGAATCTGGGCGAGGCTGTGCCTTTTTGGAGATCAGCTTGGCGCCCCCCCCCCCCACTAGCGCTCGGCAAGAGCCAAGACATGAATTTGTTGACAAGTTGACAATATCTTACTGTGCGTTGCCTCCTGGCATCCATGTCCCTAATAAATGATAAGCAGGGGAAAGGTGGAATACGAAGACATGAAATCGCGATGGTTGGGCGAGGAGATGCGGTGTTGTGGTTTGTGTGCAACGGTAGGTACGTGAGGCTCGAGCTGGCTCAAGCAGATGGCTGAAGCAAGCGATAACCCGTCTCCCGTACAGGACAGAACAAAGCACATCTACGCGGACACAAGACAGTTGAAATAGCCACAAGAATTGGAGCTGCGTGTCCGCGAGATAACATCTTCCCGACGCGGAACCTGCTCCGTGAGCGGTGTTGCGTACGCCGAGGAAAGTCTCGTGTTGAGGGGTGGATCGTCGAGATTCCCCGCCGTGGGGCTGTGATCTATGGATACAGTACGGAGTACCTACACCGTTCAGCATATACACAGGGCGTACCGGACTAAAGACCATGGAAGAATTGAAAAATTCATGCTCGTGATTCAGGCGGTCTTGTCCTCGGCAAAGGTCCGATAGCGTCATTGTTTGCGGGACACTGCGTCTAGCTCTGCTCGTTGCCTTGGCTTCCCAAGCGGTGCTGGGCAACTGACGCTGGTCAGGTTTTTAGGTTCCGCTGTTGTTGATGGACAGAGATTGGTTGAGAACCCCCCTGCCGGGAAACGACCATGATGTCGATGGTTTCAAGCTTGAAGCCACTTTGTTTGAGGTCTGTCTGCCCACGACAACATCCAAAGCACTCGGCCGATTAGGGCAATCATGCAAACCCGATTGCACTTGACCTCGACCAAACTTACATGACCACTAAACAAGTGGATTGTTTATTGCAGCGACGACAACAGAATTGCTCCAGCCGCAAAATCCAAAAAAAGATATGAGGCTGATGTTGACGGATGGAGGACTGGAGTCCAGATCTGATGGCCCGATGCTGCGCCCCTCCACCGGCTTTCTTTCAGGGGGAGTCTAGTGCCCCTGTGCAACTGGACCCCACCAAGCACTTAGGCCTAGCTTGAGCCAACTGAAGGCAGGTGGGCTTCGAGTCGCGCACCGCAGACACGCGGGAGGCTTGCCAGGCCCGAACGCGAACAACTCGCTGTACATGTATGCCTTACCCAGACTGTTGCCAGGGCGCTTGCATGGGCCGATCCACATGATGCTGATCTCAGCGCGGCGTTCGATGTTGGAGCGGGCTCGCTCGAACGAGTACATGAACAAGCTCTCCTGCCCCCCCCTCCAGGCTGATTCTGCCGTCCATTCCCCTCCATCATATTATCTCACTCGCCTTGCTCCTCCTCCTTCACCATACTTTCGCTTCTACCTCTCTGTGATACCCTCTCGCCAGATCCGCTTCTGTCGTCCTCACGCTCGACGACCGATCTTTGGTTGCTCGTTTCTATTCCACTGCGAAACTTCCGCCATCATCTGAATACAGAGACACAATGTGGTAAGCACACACATCTTGACCGCCCACTGCAACCCTGCGATCCAGCGGCACCACCGCCTTTCTGCCCCGCTCTCACCTGCCTGGCACTTTGGAAACAGAGGGCACAGCGCGGCGAGGAGGCGGTGGGCGGCAGGAGGCGGAAGCAATGGGCCAATTCCTCAGCTAGGACGTCTTGGCTGACACAGGCGTCTTGACAGTGGTATCTTTGGTTACATCAACTACCTGGTCGAGAAGGACCGCAAATTCATTCTCGACACTCTTGTCAATGGTCTCTCCCGCCTCGAGTACCGTGGCTACGACTCTGCCGGTCTAGCAGTCGATGGCGACAAGAAGAAGGAGGTGCTGGCCTTCAAGGAGGTCGGCAAGGTCGCCAAGTTGAAGAAGCTCATTGATGAGGCCGACATCGATCTCGAGCAGGTGTTTGATTCACATGCTGGTATCGCTCACACCCGCTGGGCTACCCACGGCCCCCCCTCGACCACCAACTGCCACCCTCACCGTTCCGACCCCACCTGGGAGTTCACCGTCGTGCACAATGGTATCATCACTAACTACAAGGAGCTCAAGACCCTTCTCGAGAGCAAGGGCTTCCGCTTCGAGACCGAGACCGACACCGAGTGCATTGCCAAGCTCACAAAGTACATCTACGACCAGCAGCCCAAGATCGGCTTCACCGACCTTGCCAAGATGGTCATCCAGGAGCTCGAGGGTGCCTACGGTCTCCTGGTCAAGTCTGTCCACTACCCCCACGAGGTTGTCGCCGCCCGCAAGGGTTCGCCTCTCGTGATCGGTGTCAAGACCGAGCGCCGCATGAAGGTGGACTTTGTCGACGTCGAGTACTCGGACGACAAGTCGGCCCTCCCTGCCGAGGCTGCCTCCCACAATGTGGCCATCAAGAAGACCTCGGAACTCTTGAGCCCCAACCCCAGCCTGCTCGGCGCCCCCGACAAGTCGCTCCTCCACCGCTCGCAGTCGCGCGCGTTCATGACGGACGACGGCATGCCCATGCCCACCGAGTTCTTCCTCTCCTCCGACCCGTCCGCCATTGTCGAGCACACCAAGAAGGTCATGTACCTCGAGGACGACGACATTGCCCATATCCACGAGGGCTCCCTCAACATTCACCGTCTTAAGAAGGCCGATGGTAGCTCTAACGTCCGCACCATCCAGACTCTTGAGCTGGAGCTCCAGGAGATTATGAAGGGCAAGTTCGACCACTTCATGCAGAAGGAGATCTTTGAGCAGCCCGAGTCCGTCGTCAACACCATGCGTGGCCGTCTCGATGCCGCCAACAAGACCGTCACCCTCGGTGGTCTGCGCTCCTACCTGCCCACTATCCGCAGGTGCCGCCGCATCATATTCATTGCCTGCGGTACCTCTTACCACTCCTGCATGGCTGTGCGTGGTATCTTCGAGGAGCTCGCCGAGATCCCCATCGCGGTCGAGCTGGCCTCCGACTTCCTCGATCGCCAGGCGCCCGTCTTCCGTGACGACACCTGCGTCTTCGTGTCGCAGTCTGGCGAGACGGCCGACTCGCTAATGGCCCTGCGCTACTGCCTGGAGCGTGGCGCGCTGACCGTCGGTGTCGTCAACGTTGTCGGTTCCTCCATCTCTCTCCTCACCCACTGCGGTGTGCACATCAACGCCGGCCCCGAGATCGGTGTTGCCTCCACCAAGGCCTACACGTCGCAGTTCATCGCCATGGTCATGTTCGCCCTGTCTCTGAGCGAGGATCGTGCCTCAAAGAAGGCCCGCCGCGAGGAGATTATGGACGGCCTGGCCAATATCTCGGGCCAGATCAAGCAGATCCTGGAGCAGGACAGCGCCATCAAGGACCTGTGCAAGGCCACCTTCCAGAACCAAAAGTCGCTCCTCGTGCTGGGACGTGGCAGCCAGTTCTCGACGGCCCTTGAGGGTGCGCTCAAGATCAAAGAAATTTCCTACCTTCACTGCGAGGCCGTCATGTCTGGTGAGCTGAAGCACGGTGTCCTGGCTCTCGTCGACGAGAACCTCCCCATCATCATGATCCTCACCCGCGACGACCTCTTCAAGAAGTCGCTCAATGCCTACCAGCAGGGTAAGTTACACGGCAGTCTTAAAACGTATTATGCCATTAGCTAACAAGATCAGTCATTGCCCGCTCTGGCAAGCCCATTGTCATCTGCAACCCTAACGACGAGGAGTTCAAGTCCTCTGAGGCTGAGAAGATTGAGATCCCCCGCACCGTCGACTGCTTGCAGGGTCTCCTCAACGTCATTCCTCTCCAGCTCATTGCCTACTGGCTGGCTGTTCTCGAGGGTCTCAATGTTGACTTCCCCCGTAACCTGGCCAAGTCGGTCACTGTCGAGTAAGCGTGGCACGGCGTCTCGCACCCGACGGCTGGCCGTCGACCGTTCCACCTAGGGAACATTTGGGCACAAGGTTTCTGTGGCGGGATGTATTTCATTATTGGGAGGAAAGACGGAGTTCGGTTGCAAAATGTCCAGTCGTCCATGGGACACTGTTTGGTATTGGTATGCACAGCGATGTTGGCTCTTTAGACGGATGTATCTTGAGGGCTACTAATCCCTGTAAATCTTGATGCAACGATTCTACGATACTGTACTGGTTCAATCGAAGTGAAATGGCTGATTCATTGAATGGTGAGACCGTGAGACACGCAACATCACGACAATGTGCGATAAGCGAAGATAAGATAAGGCTTCGAGCACGACTGATAACGACAGACGGCCCGGGGGTCCTTTAGTGGGACAAGGGCGGTGTGCACCCAAAAAATCCCATGAACCGGCAGAATGCAACATCCCACCTGGGATTTCGCCCAAAATTTTGAGCGACCGACACCTCCAAGGCTGCTGCTCCACCGCCAGCAGTAAAGTATTCCAACTCAACCAAAAGGTCATTGTCGCAACAGCACGATGGCAGGCACAGTGAACAAGCCGGGCAGTATGTGATATGGTCCACGGACATTCTAATCATGGAATTTAAAAGCTGACGACACAGAGCCCAACTCGAAGCGCAAGCCCACTCGCCTTCGCAACAAGATCCAGAAAGCCTCGCTGGCCAAACAACGTAAGGAACGCAAGCAGGCCAAGAAGAATCCCGAATGGCGCTCCAAGCTCAAGAAGGACCCGGGCATCCCCAACCTTTTCCCCTACAAGGAGAAGCTGCTCGAGGAAATCGAGGAGCGCAAGCTGAAGAAGGCGGCCGAGGCACAGAGGCGCAAGGAGATGGTCAAGGCGGCCAAGACAGGCGTGGCCAAGGAGGGCGATGAGGAAATCCTGGAAGACGTGGTCGAGGGCGACGACGTCGAGGCTGAAGAGGACGAGGACATGGACATGGAGGTGGACGAGAGCAACCCCATGGCGGCGCTGATTGCGAGCGCGCGACGAGCGGCCGAGGACTATGACCGCAAGCTGGCCGACGATGATGTGATGGAGGACGAGTCGAGCGACGAGGAGGAGAATGAAGACAACCGCGTGACGGCCGGTCAGGCGTCCTCGCGCAAGACGTACGACAAGGTCTTCAAATCAGTCGTCGAGCAGGCCGACGTCGTCCTGTATGTGCTCGACGCGCGCGACCCCGAGGGCACACGGTCTAGGGACGTCGAGAGGAGCGTCATGGCTGCTGCGTCAGGCGGTAAACGTCTGATCCTCGTCATCAACAAGGTCGACCTCGTGCCGCCCAAGGTCCTGCGGGACTGGCTGGTCTACCTACGACGGTATTTCCCGACCCTGCCCCTCTGCGCGTCCAACGCCGCGCCCAACGCGCACACCTTCAACCATCGCGACCTGACCATCTCGAGCACGTCGACGGCACTGTTCAAGGCACTCAAGAGCTTCGCGGCTAGTAGGCAGCTCAAGCGCGCCGTGTCGGTCGGTGTCATTGGCTACCCCAACGTGGGCAAGTCGTCTGTCATCAACGCCCTGCTGAGCAGGATGGGTGGCAAGGGCGCCTCGGCGGCCAGGGCGTGCCCCGCGGGTGCCGAGGCGGGTGTGACGACGAGCATTCGCCAGGTCAAGATTGACAGCAAGCTCACTCTCCTCGACTCCCCCGGTGTCGTGTTCCCCTCGTCGACGGGCAGTCTGGTGTCGGTGAAGAACGCCACCGAGGCGCACGCCAACCTGGTGCTCCTCAACGCCGTACCCCCCAAGCAGATTGACGACCCCATCCCGGCTGTGAATCTGCTCCTCAAGAGGTTGTCTGCCACGCCGGACCTCGTGCAGAAGCTGTTGAATGTCTACGACATTGCGGCCCTCATGCCGAACCAGGCGGATGGTGACGTGACAACAGACTTCCTAGTGCAAGTCGCGCGGAAACGAGGCAGGCTCGGGCGCGGCGGTGTACCAAACCTCGGCGCCGCAGCCATGGCTGTCGTGACGGACTGGAGAGACGGCCGCATCCAGGGCTGGGTCGAGCCCCCTGTACTGCCGGTCGAGTCGTCTGCCGAGGCGGCGGCCAAGCCGGTTGACAAGGTTGACTCAGGGGAAGAGGTCTCCATGGCGGACCAGAAGCTGATTGTCACGGAGTGGGCGGCTGAGTTCAAGCTCGACGGGCTGTGGGGTGACGACGCCTTCAAGGCAGACGGTGCAATGGAGCAATAGAGTAAGAATGGAGAGGGGGAAAGCATAAGTAGCTCATGACTTCTTTACGAGTTTGGCGTTTAGGTTCACCGGCAAAAAAACAGGCTCTTCTTGATGTTCATTTCTTCCGTTGTATTTCCTCTTTGTGACTCTTTGATTTTTGTAGTATCCACGTACGTCTATGCACTAATCAACTCCATCTTGACGCCTCTCTTGCCCGTCATTTCATCCTTCTCGTCATGGACTCTAACCCTGACCTTCTGGAAGAGTTCCACAGTCACCTCCCTGCTGCCCGTGGTCTTGAGCGTGTAGTTCTCCGCGTCAAACTCGCTGTCTGGCTCTGGCTCAGCGAGGTCTCGCAATCTGATGAGGCCCTCGATGCCGAAACGGGGCACGAGAACGACGAAGCCATTGCTGAAGATCTTCATGACAAAGGCGTCCTCCTCGGCCACCTGGCCCTTGAGAGCCTGGCCGACATAGTACGCGATGCTGGCGCGACCGGCCATTTGCGCGTTGCGGTGGCGGACGTTGATGTTCTTGCACACGGCCTCCAGACGTCCCCGGCTTCGGACGGTCGGGTGAACGGCCTCGTAATTGATGGCCGCGGCCAGCTGCCTGTGGGCGACGAGATCGGCGTAGCGACGGATGGGCGACGTGAAGTGGGTGTAGATCTCCGAGGCGAGACCGTAATGCCTGAACTCGGGGTACGACTGGGTGCCGGAGCAGAAGTACTCGGCACTCATCATGCAGCGCGTGGCCATGATGCGCACGAGGGTGTTGAAAAAGGGCTCCTTGGGATCGACACATTCATCCAGCGAATCGGCCACAGCCTTGGACGAATCGGAGCGCAGCTCCAGGCCGCGCTTGACCTTGAGCTGGTTGGAGAGCTCGTCAAAGTTCGTCTTGGGCGGCGCGGCGTGGCGACGGAGGATGGCCGTCTGCGGGAACGCCTCGTAAATCTTGGCGGCGACGCTAATGTTGGCAAACAGCATGAACTCTTCGACCAGGGAGTTGGTATCGAGGAGCGCCTTGGTCTTGACGTCAATGGGCCCGCTCGTCTCCGACTCGGTGTGCACCTTGACTTCGGGCGACGACAGACTGAGGGCGCCGGCGTCCATGCGCTTCTGCTTGAGCTTCTTGGAGAGCGTGAGGAGCATGCGCATGCCGTTTGTCAGGTCGTCCTGCTGCGAGGCATCGTCGATGCGCAGCTGCGCCTGTTCGTAGCTAAAGGCCTCGCGCGAGGCAATGACAGACTTGGTGAAGCGCACATTGACAATGTCGGCGTTGTCGTTCAGCTCCCAGAGCACGGAGAAGGCGTAGCGCTCCACGTAGGGCTTGAGGGAGCAAAGGTCGGTACCGAGCAGGGGTGGCAGCATGTCAATGCGCTTATCAACGAGGTACACCGTGGTGCCACGGATGCTGGCCTCCGTGTCCATGGCGTTGGCGGGCTTGACAAAGTGGGAGACGTCGGCAATGTGCACGCCCACCTCAAAGTTGCCGTTGGGCAGCTTCCGCGCGTGCAGGGCATCGTCAATGTCCTGACACCCGGGGGGGTCGATGCTGCAGATGAGGAGGTTCCGGAGATCTTCTCGGTCGCGCCAGCCAGGGTCGTCCGTGCTGGCGGGTACTTTCCAGCCATGGCCTTCGCTAGGTAGACAATCGAGGACGGTCTTGGGGAAAGGTCTGTACTGTACATCCCATTCGAGCAGCAGGGCCTCTGTCTCGGCGGCCTTGGTCTCGAGCTCACCCAGTGAGCGGATAAAGTGTCCTGTGGGGTGCCTCGAGTCTCTCTCCCATGCGTCGATGGCTACGAGCAGACGCTTGCCCATGAGCTCCGACGCCTGGCGGGTGCGCAGACGGATCTTGGGGATCTTCTTGTCCATGGGGATGAGGAAGACGTTGTCCATGCGTCGCCCTTGCGTGGAACCCTTGCTAGCTGACGAAGGGTCAATGTGGCCGACGTACTGGCGCCAGTTGCGCTTGATGATGCCGACCACCTTGGCCGTGGGCTGAGGTCCGCCTTCAGACTTGACCTTGTGCGTTTTCTTGACCTCCTCTTGCAAAGCCTTGCGCTCCTTCTCGGACACAAGATCCTGCGACTCCTCTGCATCGGCACCCTCGTTCTTGGTGATGGCTTCTTCCTCGATGATCTTGGTAGAGGGTTCCTTCCACTGGTCCTGCGGCAGGACCTCCACGACGACTAGATCGCCGTCGACAGCGCGGTTGATGTTCTCGCGACCGAGCACGAGAAGCGCCTTGGGGAAAGCAGGCACCTTGATGGACCCTTCGAGGTAGTTATACGGCGAGACGTTGAAGATACCCTGATGCATCAACCCTGCCTTGACACCCGTCATCATTCTCGATGTTGTAAAGTGCTCGGGGTACAGCATCTGCCCTGGTTTCCTGAACCCGCCGGAGCTCTGCACGTCGGCGACCATGTCCAGCAGTCTATCACTGTCCTCCAGAGTCTCCACGTATTGTCTCAGCGATGCGGCGTGGAGGCCCTCTGCCTTGGCCTTGCGTAGGTTCTCCTGGTCGTCGGACAGCATGACCACAGCGGGGATGTTCTTCGCCTTGGTCTGTGCCAGATGCTGCCCGTACCACTTTAGAGCTTGTCGCACAGCGCGGTCATTCCTGTCGTTGACGGTCTCGTCTGGGTCGCGGTTGACAAAGGTCTCCTGGCGGAAGTCGTTGAAGAAGACATAGAAGCGTTTGTCCTCGCTCTTTGTCAAGCCGAGGAGACGGTTATACAGCGGCAACGACCGGTTCCGTAGCTCCTCGAGCACTGTCTGCAGAATAATGACATCGTAGAAGGAGGAGCTCTGCTCAAACAAGTCCATCGCGTTGAGGAGAGCATTTGTGTCTGGCATCAGATAGTGGCCTTGCGGGAAGCTCTTGGTGCCTGCTGGCTTCTCAGAGAGCACAAAAGGCTGGACTGGCAACAGGTCAGTCAACGGTGTTCCAGAGATTTTTGAGACACACATTACCCTCATTGGCTGCATTTCGAGGTGCGCTCTGCAAACATGCCTTGCAGAGCTTCGACGAGCATGGAATATCGGTTCGGAGATAGACTTCTCTCACGATCTTCTGGACCTTGCCACTCCGCGTGGACCGCACGTATGTCTTGTTTGAGATGTTGGGCCCAAAGGTATCGCCTTCGGCACTTCGTTTTAAGCTCGTCATTGTGCAGATGGCCCAGCAGACCTTGTGAGGATGTGATATGAGTGAGTTTGCAACGAGCTTTACTAGGCAATGAAAATGATGATGACCAAAGTGAAGGGACCCACTCTAGTTCTTATCGATAACAGCGTATCTCGGAGACTTTGAACAAAGGCTTCGGTCACCGTGATATTGACTCAATACATCCTCGTGGTCTTTTCAAAGGCGTTGATGCGGTTGACTCATCCAAAGTTTCCCTCGCGCGGCTTTACCGAGGGCTTGTCGGCGTAAATTCCCAACGCTGGTAAATGATACACAGCACACCAAGTACATGTACACACCATGTACGCATTTGAAGCGTCAAGTCATCATGCGCATGCGCATCTTGTGGTAGTTCACATACGTTGCGAAGGACTGATTAGATAGGGAATCTCACTGTCCGAGTCAGCGAGTGATTCTCCGAAGATGCGTCGTTGTCTTGTCCTCAACTACATGCACGACCCTCGAGCTGGCCCCACGAAGCAAATATACTGCTCGTACATGTACTTTGCTTACCCGTACCCTCACGGAATCCGTTCCAATCATGGCTTCGCTACTTCTTTTCCATTTTATCCATTCCCTCCCCACCTTCAGCGTCAGCATTAGCACCAGCCATGCCGACACTGTCTTTTCACCCCAGCCCGTCGTCGCTGACAGCACGACTTGAGCGTGTCACGTACAGTAGACCTGACTGCTCTGCAGCGCTGCGTGGCTTCTCGCTACCACAGCATCTCGGCAACGATGTGGTCCGGCTTGCGCTTGTGGCCGGGATCCGTCGACACCTTGACCTTGCGCGTCTTCCCGAGCTCGCTGATCTGTGCGCTTACAGCAGCGCCCAAAACGTCTTTGCGCGAGCTCGCAACGCGAGGCTCATCATGAGCGGCGAAATTCCAGGGCAGGACATGATGGGCGAAGGTTGCCTCCCATACTGTATCTGGCACCCCGAAGTAGCTACCGAGGACACATATAGGACTCTAGTCACTCAATACCCCAGCATGAAGTACCAGGTCGGGCGAGCGTGCGCGGTGGGTGGCTACATTGACCTATATCGCGAGCTGGATCTTCTTCCAGATACGTCCATCGCAGAAGAGGCGCGGGAAAACGGGGGCGTGCAGGGCGCGCGGGAGATTTACCACTTGATCATGGCCATGCCAACCCGCTACAAGGTCATGGATGACTATACGCGAAAAATCAGCACCTCTCCTCGTGCTGGTGCACAACTCAACGCCGACACGGCCGTCATTGCCAGCATGAAGTCGACTAGAAAGTATTCCGCCGACTTTCCTGCGCATTGGAGACCCTTTAACATCGGCGAAGACTGGGGCATCGCCGAGAAAAGTGTCTCCCCGAAACCGGCAGCACTTGGTTCTGCAGAGATGGACCTTATCGACGGCCCTCTGCCACCTGATCTGCCCACAATGAATAAACATCTGCTCATTCTCATGGCTGCATACATGGGCAACGTCGATCGTTATGCTCGCCTGCGTCGGCCTTGGCCAGTTAAGGCCGAGCTCAAGTGCCTCTTGCGCGGCATCTACCACAGCACCTTTATGGCGACATGGCTTGCAAGGAACGATAGCATTGTCCTTGCTGTGGGACGGCACCCAAGCGATATCAAGGCACTACGGCGGGCGATACACGCCCGTCGTGTCATGAATAATGACATAGCCCACGTCATAGCTCGCAACGAGGCAGGACAATGGATTGTGCCAGACGACGAGCTGCCATATTGGATCTGGTACCCTACAATGCCCCAGCGCCAGGTCATACCGCGTCTCGCTCAGCTCCGTCCCACCATGGCGGCAGCCTGCTTGCGAGCGTGCATCGCCGCCAACTATCGTGAGGACTTTGAAGCAATCATAAACCTACCTGGCGTAGTACCAGATTCGGCCATGCAGTTCGAGGCCGGGTTACACGGCTGGGGAGACTACTACGCAGAAGACATTCTGCGCCGACAAGAGGCATTGGGAATCGAGCAGCTGGCCGCTGACTGGAACTGGGAGTGGAAGGAGATGGACCCCTGGCGCGAAGGCAACCCGAGTAGCGTGGAGCTCTTGGGCGAGTTGAAGGACTGGCACGAGGCGGTGAGCTCCGGACAAGATGGTGGGATGTACGAGGGGATGGGATTGGAGACGGGGAGGATCGAGCTATGGATGAGCTGCCCCCGTTGGGTTCGGAATGCAGCGAGGGCAAATAAGCATGGATTTTTCGCGGATGTGAGCAGCGCCGTTTTCCGAGAAGAGCCCAAGAAGCCGACGTTGAAAGATAAGACATAGGTTCCCCGCCTTGGTAGCATTGAATCCAGCGGACTACTCTTCGCAGTTTGCAAGCCAATCTCTCAAGTCGTGCTATCATTATCTTGCTGTTCCAATTCCGCACGTGTCAAGACTGGACGTGCTTGAATTGCTCTGCATTCGAAAACTCTACACTGAAAGTAAGGCGCCGTATCTTGGTGTTTTTAGCCCGTGTCCTTGCCAGGCGAGACCAAGCGTCTCTCGCAACGATTTGCCATGTTTCCAGAATAGGTTTTCGGGACAATGGATAGCCGATATTTCGAACAACACTCACCCTTTCGGCCAGACTGAGTCGGTACTCCGACGAATATGTCGTCAGCGTAAAGGGACGGCGGGAATAGACATAAAGGCAACATCTCTATATAACCATTAGAGACGATAAAGTTTTACAAAAGCTCCTTTACTCATGTTTATATGGAAGGATCCACCCTTAAGGTGTAAGGTGAGGTAATTAGTGGCTAGGCTTAATTGTCGGAACTTCCTAGACTTGCTCAGTCTTCATGAGGCACTACTTATAGGTACATCCGTTTAAAAATCTGGATATTCAAATCTATCTTCCTGGTGGAAAAGTGGCTACTAACCGTAAGGTAGCAAAGTCCCGGAAATCCGAACACTCCTCGAACACGAGACCGTTGTTGGTCGGAGAACGGCGAGATTGGACACCACGAACACGCGGGTGCGGCGCAGCAGATGGAGATGCTCGTGTTGGGACATGGAACTTGAAAGCTGACGTCGTTGCGTTTGCACAAGGCAGCAGTGAGATGACGAACTCAACCCTTTTTAGAGACAGGTTGCGTGCATGCATGCGGTTTTCGCGTATATCGAGCACCGCATCGTAGGAACGCGCAGGGAACAGGAAGAGGAGAAACTGATGATGTCGTTGTCGACGTTTGCGTAGGTCATTTCGTGAGCGCATGACCATGCGACTCCCGCAGCAAGACACGCCCGAACAGAAGCGTCTCACATGACGAACGCGGTTGTGAGTCACTTTGAACCAGCACCGTTTTGAACGGAGGTCCTAGACAGATGATGGTTCATGCCTGGCGTCAGCCCTGGTCTGGGGTCGGCAGCCGATCGCTCCCGTCGCTCGCCCCTCACACACACAAACGCGCGCGCGACACTACTGCAGACTCGGGGCCATGCGGCCGCCCATGATGACCTGCTTCATATCAAGGCTGTCATCACTGTGGTGCTTGCACGTTGAGATTCGGTCACACTGCCAAAGACTGGAGGTGTCCACCGCTTCCGGAGATGTTGATGCTCGCCCAAGGTCCGCATCGAGGGACCATGACGGATTCTTTGCGGCATGGACTTGGTAGCAGCCTCAGGTTCAGGACTGTTTCCCGTCCTTCCGTATAGAGAACAGCGATTAGTACCACTAATCACAGGTGGAGTACATTATCATTGCAGGATAGCTGAGCGACGCGAAACACGGCTCGCTGACTGGAACCTTGGCTGGACGCCATCGCCAATTCCGGCGACTGAACAAACATGCGGGGATGTGAACTTGCGATCCCGTTGCCCTATCCACTGGCGCGAACCGCTCACACCGAGGTCCGACAGTATCAACTTGTAGACGGTCTGGTCGAGATACGAGACGGTAAACATAAAATATTTAGCAAGGTACATGTAAGCACCACGGCATTTATCTTCCTGTTGCTGTCATCAGGTGCGGAACAAAGCCTCGGGACTTTGCTGGACCCTTCGAGGAACGGCCAAGAGGCCCAAGACCCCTTTATATACTATCACAGTAAACAGACGAGTCAAGGTCATCCCGAGGACCTTTAAATTTCGACTGCAAGTGAGCTCCTTGCTCTTCACACATTATTTTACGAGACTACGACAGGTTCCCAAGCGTACAGGCAGAAGGAAAAGGCCAAATCGGACTGACCTCTTTTAGCTTCGCTCAACGGCATCATCTGTAAATGCTGGACGCAAGGCTACGTAAATGTGGATGGATCACTGGTGGATCCTTTTTTGAGTAAGAAACTGTCGTTAAGTAGTTCATATCTTGTGCTTCGCGCAGGTATTCAGCTCTTTATCACGAAGTTTATCTAGAGATAGCTCGAAGTCCAGAACCACACCAGTCAAGCCACTGAGATGCGAATCCTTATTACCACATTCATTCCTAAACGCGATATGATACATGAACGAGCTCGTGATTACTTGCTTGCAAATGCAAAATGCATTGCATTTAAGATAAATGGGCAGACATATGGGTATCATTCTATCAGGGCTGACTTGCATATGCCATGCAGAAGCTTGATGGCGATGCATGGAGCGCTGGGGGCACTGGGGAGCCAATTTCGAACTTGATATGAGTGAAGGAGGTTTGTCTCCTTCCATATTATTCCTACGAGTGGCGCTTGCTAATTCGTGCGTAATGTACGTCTATTTGCAAGCTGATGTTCAACCGCAGCGGTGCAGACCGAGAACTGGCTTGCATCGATGTCATCAAGATGGCGCAGGTGATTGGCGGCCGCCGCGGGTGCCCAATCAGCCGTCTAGGTTGGGCATCGCATGGCTCCGCCAAAGCTCGGCCGTTCAAGTCTGAGTTGGGAATCTGATTCGTCGGAGCGTTTCGGAGCGCATGCGTGGGACATTGAATGGAGGACGTGTAGGCTTGACGATCTGTGCTTCGTCCCAGCGATTTTAACTAAGAAACCACAGATTACAGACGACGAATTCAGCTGCCTCTGCTAACCACGCAGTATTATTAGTAGTACATCGCATGTTCTTCAAAGTCCAGCAGTTTCTTGCTGCACTGCGCACTCAACGTGCGTGACTGGCTATTGCTCACGGATTACGACCTGCATATTAATAGTCCCCCGCTCAGTGAATGCAATGCGATACTTCCAGCGACATGAGTGGTCCATGTCGTTCTTGCCTGAGTCCGTGCCTTCCACAAGCCTGTCTTGTACCTTAGCTTGCCTGCCTGCCTTGGCCTGGCTGCCAAGTCCCAACTGCCCATCCATTTCCGTCTTCCCACATTCAGACATCAGGCTCATTCGGCCCATGCATGCAATGACTTTCATTCACATTGACGGAGTCGGGCTCCATCGCGATCTCGTTGCAGCGCGAGACGCCAATGCTGCCAAACCGTCTCTAAACCAGCGCTGATAATCATTAAGGGACTGGAGCTACAATCACTTCGCGGGTAAGTCATTGGTGGCGAAGTCCGTTCTCAGCGGATGCTGATTCAATGTCGTCTTGATTATCCAAGTTTAGCGGCACCCCAGTTCCGAAGAACACGGCGCTAATTACACCTGGCTCGCCATCAGGCTTGGATTCGTAGCGATTCGTAACGGTCATTGTAACGGTTCGCCCAGTTCGACGGTGTCAATTGCCAGCAGCGGCACAGGCAGACGCACGCACGAGTATCGCTACCTACCAACAAGCCATCTCTGTCTTGGAACGTTTCGAGCTTCAAAGAGAAAAGACGGAACCCGATCGCTCCGTTCGACCCAGCGCATGCCATTCAGGCTTCAGCTACACCCCATTTCACTTCCCTGTCCAGGGTCACCACAGGGCCAGACTTCTCCTCTCCACCAACACCACCATCATCTACCACCACCACCACCACCACCACACCACGCTTCGGGACAAGAGCCTCGCAGCGATCGTCTTTCTTGGTGCGACTAGCCAGTCTCAACTGTTTTAGGCGCGGCGATTCTATCAATACTTACCATCGTCAGTCCAACTCTCCAAGGTCAGCCACGCGAGAAGCTCTGTCCGTTTGTCGCTCAGCTGGTCCAGCCCAGCACAAGAAGGCGCCATTTGCGCTCCGAGCTTCTCCACAAGTTCGCGTGCTTGCCTGCGACACAAGCACCGCGCGTGTGCACCATCCAAGCGACCACCATCCATCATCAACACTACGTACCGGATCGCATCGTATTGCGTCGCGGTCGTTCATACAGAAAACACATCGCACCCTGGGGCAGCGCGACTCGAAAGTCCGCAGAAGCACACACTTTCGAGGTAAGTGCTATGTACTTCACGCCCCTACCATCGTCTGCATTTTTCAGCGGTATCGTCGGTCGCACCCCAGGCACCGCCACCCTCATCATCATCACCACTGTGATCACTGCCATCAACTCCATTGCGCCGCATCGTCGCGCGTGCTTGACTCGCCTTCGTTGCAAGTCGCAAAGCCCTCTCTTCATGTTTTACCCAAGAATATATACCTTGGCAACCATAGCGAAACCAGAATCTTTCGCTGGATCGTCTTTCTCATTGTCACTTCAGCTCTCCCACCGTCACCATCGTCATCGTCACACGCACAGAAGCGGGCGCACGCGCATTGTTCAACGCTCGACCAAATATTGATATTCTACTCACAGTCTTTCGGCCTTTTTCTTGTCCCATTGGATATACCGTCTTGAAAGGTAAACAGCCATCTCCGTTCTTTACTTCCTCCGCTCTCCCCTCCTGCGCCTCCGCCTCAGTCCCGCGTTTCCTAGTTCTACCATCGCGTTGCGTATCCGCCTTCCTCAAGGCGGCCAGAAGTCATGGCTTTAACACTTCTCTCATCTTGGCGCCCCCGTCCACGCGGTTTTCTGGCTTTTTTTCTTTGGTCGCATCCACCCCTGGGCATGATCCCAACAGCCTGGGTTCATCCCTCCTGCCACCTCTTTGTCGTCGTCATCAGTTGTCATCGATGGCCATGTCAGGCTTGGTCGCGCCAGACGCACGAGCGCAGTGATGTGCTTTGCCAAGGTGCTTTAGCATTGCTGCTACAACGACTCTGACAGACAATTTTTGCGTTTCGCGCAAGTGTCGAGGTGTTTCGTTGGGTTATAACCGCTTCTTCAATGTTGTCTATTATAGCTCGCTGCAGCACCAGCAGCTGTATGCGCCTCCACACACACTGCCGCGCACGCGCACACACCCAGGGGAAGCACCACACCACAAGTGCCCACCATCATCGGACCGGACCCATTCGCGGCCTGCGTCTAGCCGTTGCAGCGGCCTTGTCGCTGGGTCGGGCCAACATATTCCAACACCGACTGGTTGCTTCTGGCTTGCCAGCCTCGGGGTCGGCTTTAGGAGCTGTTCATTGTATGCACGCTTGATCCTGCGGAGGTCTTTCATGCCTGCCCATGTGCTGCATCATCGTCAATACCCCAGGTTTCACCAGCCCAACTATAACACGACACGTCGCCAACCCTTCACATCGTCAACCTCCACATCACCGTCGGCTTGCGTCGTTCCTAGCCGTCATGTATACCGCCCGCCGTGACGGCGCCGATAGTGGCACCATTGATCCCGCCGCGCTCAATTCACCTGGTGAGTACCTAACTCTTTTATTCTCCTGCCATGTGTTAGCCCAGGCCCTCACCACCATCCCATTCAACATCCTCCACCCCTCCACCACCACAGCAGCAGCTGTCCCACCCCATATCGCCATTCCTCCCGGCCCGGTCTTGTATGTCGTCGGCCTCCAAGACGGGGCCTGTGCCCATCACAGCCCGGGCCCCATCCCGGACCTCACTTTTTACCTATATCCCTGTCTGTTCCACGTCAAGACGTCATATATGATGTCGCTGTCGGACAGCCGCCTGGCTCCATGTACTTGCTATAAACTAGATAAAGGCCAGATGCATCTTATTCGTACCGGCTAGCTGAAGCCATTTTGTGTTTATGTTGATATGAAATTTGTAATCCATACTAATAATCTTTGCAGGTTCGTCGTCGCCGCAGCTCCTTGCTCCAAAGCATGTGGCATCCGGAGCGCCGGTACCTGAGCTGCGTATGTGGTCTGCCTGCTGCAACATGGCATAAGGTTTCGACTCAAAAGACTGAGCTATAACCTGAATTGACTGGCGTCTGCCTTTACGACAGGCTTTGGCTCGGAAATGGACTGCTCGGCAAGGCTTCAAGTGAAGCTAACACGGATTTGTTCGTGCAAAGCACGTCCGACAGCTCTTCGCGTTTCTTCTTCCTGCCCTGGCTAATATTGTTCGACTCTGATTTGCACACTCACAGTTCGAGCACTGGCTGATACCACATGTCTAGGCTACTCAGGATCTCCCAAACGGAACCTTGCGAAACCTGTATCGTCTGGCAACGCCACGTTAGGCGGCCCATCAGGACACCACAGAACATCGACCATGTCGCAGTTACCGCCACACCACACACAGGGGCAGGATCATACCATCCCTCCTCAAGCGACGCAGACCTATGTGCCGCCGCCAGCTCCGGCTGCGCCGGCGCCAAAACCGGCAGCCAAGACTGTGAAGGCTTTGCCCACTGTCAGAGACCACACGACTGACCAACTGAACGAGGCGCATGATGAGTATATTCCTCGCGAGATCGACGAATTTGGCGAGAAGAAGGTGATGGCAAACGGGACCCTTCTGGGGAACAGGCAGTACCGCTGCCGCACCTTCCTCGTCCCTAACCGCGGGGATAAGCTTTTCATGCTGGCTACCGAGTGTGCGCGAGTTCTGGGGTATCGTGATTCGTACCTGCTGTTCAACAAGAACCGGTCTCTTTTCAAGATCATTGCCACCCAGCAAGAGAAAGATGATCTGGTACAGCAGGAGATCTTGCCCTTTTCTTACCGCTCGAGGCAGATCGCTATCGTTACAGCGCGTTCCATGTTTCGGCAGTTCGGCAGCAGAGTGATCGAGGGTGGACGACGGGTGCGGGATGATTATTGGGAACAGAAAGCGCGCAAACAAGGATTTACAGAATTGGATGCAGCCGGCGAGAAACGGCCAGGAGCAGCCAAGGCGAGGGAGCAAGCTGAGGCGCAGAATAATGCCATGCTTTCCGGTGCCCACACGGAGATTGTCTACAACAACAACCCGGCTGCGTTTCCTGCAGGCCCTCCCCAGCCTCCCATTCTTCAACCAGGTATGATGGGAGCACCACACGGAACCGTTCCAAGGATGCCTGGATTAACTAGCGGATCAGAACTCATGGACACGCGGCCTCGTGACTATAGCGGCATCGTCAAGGGCGGACCTCGCCAGGAGATTACCGGTCCTCCGTATCAAGATCAGACTCGGCCTACCTCTCTCAGCGAGATCGGCTCACAGGCCACGCACGCCAACGACTTCAGCCGCTCCATCAACCAGGCTCGCGACATGCGCACCGACTACCTTCAAGGAAGCTGGCGACGACCTCACGAGCAGCCGTCTTCCGGTCTTGCGCAGGGTGTCGCGTCCGATACGACCGTCCCGACATCACGACCCACGACGTCCCCTCACGCCACAGCTAGCAGCATCACACAGCCCCCAATCGCATCGCAGAGCCCCCAGATGATGATGACGAACCCGCCGTATACGCAGTCGCTACATGCACACAACCAGCCGCCCATGCGATGTACGTATACGTCTGCCGTGACAAAGAAATAAATGGTTGTGCTAATATGTTCCCAGCTGGATCCACAGGCAGTGTCGGCCAAGGTGCTCCTAACTACAGCTACCAGCCTGGCCAGGCCATGTGGTCGAACCCTCAGCAGCAAGGCTACGGCAGCTACACAACGCAGCCCCAGCATGCGTCGCAGTCGCCGGCACCACACCTCCGCCAGCCAAGCGGTCAAATGCAGCAGGGCATGCAATTCCCTGGCATGGGCGGCATGCAATACGGGGCAGGTAACATCTACCCTGCTGACCAAACCCCAAGAGGCTACATGCCTCAGGGGTCACCGACCCAGCCACAGCAATGGTCCGGGCAGCAGCACTCGCAGCAGCAGCAATGGTGGCAGCAGAATCAGCAACACCATCCCCAGTAATTCATGGCCGAGCCACGATTCAGTCGGCCTTTTCGGTCTTGGCTGGCAACAACACAGCCATTGTGGCGAGGAGACAGCGGATGGCGGATGACGGTTGCTGATCAAACTGTCAGTGACCTCCTGCCTCTTTACCTGTAGACTTGACCTCTTGTGTGGCTGGATTACTTCTTGATACCCCTTCTTTTGCGGATTTAGGGTGGTTGCTTTTCTTCTTTCTTCTTGGATGGTCTTATATGGTAGTTTTTTCCGGGGCCCGACGGGCCTCGCTCTTGGACTGAAGTCTTTTCTTGTTTCAATGTGCAGGAGTCAGATGGCTTGGACAATACACGCTTCCTTGGGTCTTGTTCGAGATGCGAGTCTTTTTCTTGGTTGTTTATTATTTCTGACGTCCCGAGATTGTCGATTTATGACCTGGATCCTGTTTGTTGCAGCGTTCTGTCTTGTGAGCACGGAACCAAACGTCCGCATCTTGGTCTAGTTGTGTAGCTCTATGCTGGGCGGTCTTGTCAACCAATGCTATTTTACTACGCTTGCTGCGCGATTTGCACTGGGCTAGATAGTGGAAGCATGGGAGGACAACATGTTGTGATGACGAGCCATCATACACGTACGTGCCCATTACCTACTCCCAGTGAGCACGACGCCCGGGGGGGGGGACCGTGACAATAGGGTGGTTGCATTGTCCGGATCGCTGGATCGCAACCTGATCCTACTATGACCACGCCACGGTACATTCAATGTCGAGTGCCGAGGAAACCCCTTTGCGCGACTTCATATTCACGACTTCTCGTGCAGAAGCTGCCACACGTGGTGGTCCTACATGGGTCCAATATGTGACACGCACAGGCGTAGCCGCCGTAGCTGCCTTCCTGTTCTCAATCACTCTCCTCCCCATCCAAGGCCTCATCTCTCTGAGCCTGTTTCACCTCGTCCCCGTCATCCAGCCTCATCTCATCCACACTCTCTGCCCTCGTCTCGTCCTCGTCATTGTCCTCATCCTCGGGCACATCGTCACCGTCCTCGTCATCGTCCTCTGGCACGGGTGCCTCATCTTCCGTCTCGGCATCGTCTTCGTGCTCTTCCGGCGCGGACACTGTGGGGTCCATGCGCGGTTTCTTGCTGGTGTGCTGCTCCGGTAGCGAGGTGGTCGACTCATCGCCGCCACCACCACCGGGCTGGGTCATGGAGACGTCGGCGGAGCCGGTTGGTGCGCCCTTGGACGCCTTGACCTTGGCGCGGTACGATGTGCGCTTCTCCGTCTGTATCTGGTTGAATTCTGGTGAGGTGCATCAGTACATGATCATGTAGAATGAAGTGAGAGCACCAAGGGTTATGTGAAGGTGCAGGAAGAGAAACGTACTCGCAAATTCGGCTTCGACGCGGGCGCGTAGGAACCCAAACTCTGTGTCGTCGAGGGCTTTGAAGACGTCGGCTGGTGAGATTGTCTTTTTGTTGGCGTTGACTGTGTGCTCGTTGGCACTGTGGAGTGTCAGCTCATTGATTCAATTCGAATACACACACACACACACACATCCCCGACATGACTCCCACGTCCGTCCATCCGACAGAACGCAGCGTACAATGGCAGATTCTGCGTAGGGGAACTATGGGTAACGCACTATGAAGCTAGATAGTTGACAAAGACAGTCGTGCTTTTGCTCATTGCCAGTACGGCGTTGGCTTGAATCTGCGTATTAGGCGGCAGCACGCCCTTGGCGAGCCTGGTGATGATGCTTTTCGGTAGTGAGAGGTCCTACTCATTTATCCCTCTGATTAGCACGCAGCTCAGCGGTGACACGACTTGGGATTACCAGGTTTGGATCAACTGAGAGGTCTTTATTAAAGGGGAGATGCACACCTCGATAGCGTATGTGTCCTTGTCGCGTTTCTCGCCGCCCTCCTGATGAGACTCTGTGGGCGTCCCGGCTGCTGCTGCTGCTGCTGGCGCTGCAGTGGGTGCGGGTTCCACGTGCGCTAGCGCCGGCTGGTCGCTTTGTGATGGTGTTTCCTCTTGTACATCGTCTTTCAGCGCGAATCGAGCTGTTGAGACGTCTGACTTCCGCGGCGCAGCCGGTCCTGCTGGGTCGGACTTGCGAGGAGGCATTGTGGGCTCAGTCTGTTCAGGCGAGGGTGGTCGGCGTGGCTGGCGCAAAGGGTCCGTTTGAGTCTACGTGGCGTAGATTGAGACGCAGGATGAGGCAAAAAGCAGGCAGTCGTCAATTCCGAGGAGCTCGTTGGTGGTGATGAATGCGGATGCGACAGTCGTTGAGTTGAAATGTCAGAGAGTCGAGACTAGACGCGTTTGGCTGAGCTGCACGACGCGGGTGGCCCCGCCAGACCGCGTTAAGTGGTTGGTGGGGCATGTCCGCGTGCATTAACAGACCTATGGACCTGCAAGATGGCATGGTGAATTATATTCAAAAAGACGGAACATGTAGCTGAGAGTACTGAATCTCTTATGACGCCCGTCATGGGACCACCACAGAGAAAGTAGACTCGCTCGAGCTCTACTCGGACTCGGACTCGGACTCGGACTCGGTCCCAAAATCATCATCATAACCGGTATCCTCATCCTGACTGATATCCTCCTCCTCGCTCTCCTCGCCTTCCGTGACAGACTGCTGGTCCGCTTCCTGCTTCTTGTCAGCTGGCCCACTTCCACTTCATTGATACAATAGCCTTTAAAGGACTGGAACATACAATCTTGCGCCTCTTGGCCATGGGCTGCCGCACACTTCTTGTCTTGTACTCGTTCTTGAGCTCGGGCATGTCGTACACGCTGTCGGGGAGCTGACGCCCCTTAGGTGCCGTGACAATGCCAAACTCGTAGCAGTACCCGCTGCCCTTGTCGCTGGAGCCGTGAAAGCCGACGATGACCTGCCCCTCGCCCGGTTCTGCAGAGATGACTATTAGTGTCCGGGTCGCCACGTGAAGATATCAAACAACCGCGCAGCAGCAGCAGCAGCACGAGGGTTGACTCACTGAGATAGCGCACTTCCGCTCCATGATCCTTGTTCAGGGCCCCCATGGCAACCCCGTTGCTCAGCCACATCCTCAAGCCCGCCAACGGGTTGCCTTCCCCAGCCTTGATCACGGCCACCTTTGTGATCTCCACGCCCTTGGGGAGGGCAAGCCTCCTCGCCTGGTGGCCGCCCATGTACTCCTCCGACTCGTGGGGACACCGTTTCGAGCAGGGGACCTTGGTGCCGTCCTTGTAGTACACCTCGGCGCCGTCGAGGATGCAGCCCACCGCGAGGTTGATCTTGTTGGCCGCGACCAGGCGCCCGTCCCGTGCGCGCTTCTTGAGCATGACGGTCCACGACCAAAATTCGGTGCCACCGCTGCCACGAGCATCGATCGACTTCTTGAGGAGCTTGATGTTCGTGTCAGGGATCCGGACGTAGGAATTTTGTAAAAGCAGCTGCCAGATGTTCTGGGTCACCTTCTTGCCGTTGGACGTGAGCACCTGGCACTCGAGTGGCTTGGTGCGATCGTAATGGGCCCGGAGAGTGTCGACCTTCCACGAGAATCTCTGCGTCCGCTCCCTGGGCATGGGGCTGTACACCACCTGTTGATCCAGTATGATACGCACAAGACTTGACGTAGTTGCGACAACAATCAATGGTTCGTTGCCGTCTTCTTCCTCCAACTTGATCTCGGCCGGCTCCCGGGACACCTTTTCATCCTGTGGCAGGGCAAACTGGGGTTGGTTCGCGAAGCGCAGCATGTCTTCCAGATCCCACGTACAGGCGTGCCGCGTGTCCGGGCGGACATGCATCCCTTGTTGCCCCGTCTTGTTGCTCTTGGCCGTCCTGGCAAGGAAGCAGACGGCCCAGTCACGGGAGTACCCGCGCATCATGATACCAGTGGAGTGCGGCGCGCCAAAGGCGTGGCCCACTTCGTGGAGGAAAGCACCCTGTCCGACCGTGCAGGCCTCCCACATGGACTCGCACTCGTTGTTGTCGTTGCCGACAGTGACACCGGGGCGTGTTGTGTCGAGGAGGCATGAAGGGATTTCCTCGACGAACCGCGGCCACGAGTAGGCCAAATGGCTGCCAAAGATACCCAGCGAGAGGCCCTTGGGGTCATGCGACCCGAGAGCCGCATGGGCGAGGATGAGATCCTGCCCAATGTCGTATTTGGCATCGAGGATGAGACCCGCGACGATGGGCTTCGCCTCGGCCACAAAGGGCGCACCGTACTTATACAAATCCTGCTTGAAGATCGTGTGCAGGTCATTGGCTCGGCGGGCACTGGGGTTCTGTTGTGCCAGCTGGCTATCGCGCAGCTCTTTGACCGTCTTGCTGCTCTTGACCAGGTGCACCCTGATCACGAGCCCCATCTTCTCCTCCGCCGTTCTGCTGAGCGTGTTGACGCCCCATTCTTCCTCGAGGCGGAAGGCTCGGCGACCAAGACCAGCATTGTGCAGCTCAGACGCCGTGAGAGCCTGCCACATGAGTGCCGTGACGCGAAACTTGGCCACGGCAGCGTCGAGTGAAGAGTGTGCGCTCGAGAGAGCGGCGTGCTTGGCAGGGGGGCAGTCAACGAGCAGAGGCGAGTCCTGGCCAACTAGGACAGCGAGATGCAGAGGCGGCATCTGTGTCAGTGGGATATAAGTGAGGCGCAACTATACAAGTCCGTCAGTGCGACGATTCTTCGTCGAGAAAAAAAAAGGGGGCACCTACCTCTGCCTCGTGGGCACCCGCGCCAAACGCAACGACATTCTCGCCGGGAGAAACAAGGACCAGAGCTTTGAAGTATCCTTCATTACTCACAGGCCATACATTCTCCGGGAAGGTGATGTTATGGCCAGGCGGACACGTTTTGGTGAGGACTTTGACCGTCTCCTCATTGGCGTTGAGCCCCTGGCAGGAGCCTGTGACGAGCACGGCGCGTTGATGCACCGTCTCGCCGTCTGCAATGTTGTCAAAGGTAAACATGCTCGGTTTGGAAACTATGTCGTAGTCCATTCTGCTGCTGCAACTGTGATGAAGTCGAGACAGAACTGTCTGCGAAAGGAATGCCCTCTGTTTTTGTAGGCGAGAGTAGTGGACATAGCTATTTAGGCAGACGCGGGTCTTGGCGTTGTGAACTGAAGGCCTCGATCGCGAGAGAGCGTGAAGGAAGCGCATGGGTCCGCTCTGGGTTTAGGACAATGGTGCGCGGCCGGGAACGCATGGCTGTGCGCGTTCACGGGCATTTTGAGTCTGTATTTGCACGTTGGCAACGGAATTGTGATGTCGCTGGATCGTTGACCCTGGCAAGGGCCGCAAGGCTGCCGTGGTTGCCTGGTATCCAGTGTCCCGATTAGGAATTGCCACTCTCCGAAAGGACGAGCGAGGATTCGAGAACGCATTGTTGCAGTGAGACGCAGTCAATGGCTGTGTGTGTGTGTGTGTGTGTGTTTGGACGTTCTGGGCGAAAAATTCATGTTGGCATAAGGAGTCATGGACCATTTGTCGAAGCGTGCTAGACAGTTATAACTTAGGTCAAGGTGACCAGATTGCCGAGTGTTCAGCTGCCTGTTAATTGGTACCGGGTAAGTCGAGGTAAGTTGCCGGCTTGATGGGGGATAGACACGCGGGATGAAACTCATCGTACAATCGGTGGCTGAGACTTCATGAGTCACCTTTGAAAACGCCGGCAATGGCCAGACACCTTACTGACTGCAGTGGAAAACATATTTCGTGTCCGCAAGGGCTGCATTTTGCCGTCATGTACCAGTGTTCTGTCAGGATTCCATGGGAAGGACCGGGGTTGTATAGTAGCAATATGTTTTTGGAATTTAATTGAACGCATGTGCCGAATTCATCGTCGACGACGCAGCAGTAGGAATCCCTTCCTCAATGTCCTCTCTATCATACGATCTGGTTCCCTGTCGGCCAAGATCTTGGGTATCTCCATCTCCATCCCCATCGTGTACACCGTTCTGAATAGCAAAGGGAAGCGAGGAAGATGAGTGTCTCATCAAGAGACACAAGGCCGCTTGTGTCGACAACGTGTTTCGTCTCGTGCAGGGCTGCGCGCAGGGTTCGAGCTGGAGCTGTGCTCCTGGGCCCTGGCGGTCCGTGTCGTGTCTGAAACGACTTGGCCCCCACATGAGAGGAGGTCAGCAGGTGCCCTGACCCCGAGACGAAACAGACGCAGTGGTCATTCAGCAGTGACGTCTGCGGCACTGGTGAAGCGGTGAATGATAAATAATATCCTGTTCGGACCCTCTGGCCAGTAGGCTCAGCCAATGGCGCGACCAATCTCAGATTGGTGGATGGGGGGCCGAGGCGACAGACCGCCCGGCGCCCCGGCCTCGTCAAAAGACATTCGAGGCATGTTCTTCGTAGCGGTGTATATCCTGTCCGGGGCCCTGGGCGCAGAGCCGCGACGAGGAAGGTCGGCAGACTGCCTGGTGAAGTAGTCTGCGGGAGTTGGGCCCTCCCAGCGATCGCGTGGGCCAATGGCGCTGTAGGCGCTGCGGTGACGCTGGTGGTGCGGTACCGTCGACCGGGGCATGTGAGTCTGCATCTGGCTCTTGGAGAGGCGTGATGGTTGACGCTTGAGGTGGGGGATGAAGGCGTCGTCGCCTTGGATAGTGTCGTCCGTCAGACCGGGACGAGCATTCGGGGCACGGGCCAGAACCGGCGTGCGCGGTACATCCATGCTGCTGTGTCCCTGGTAGCCGACCGAGCGAGGCGACTGCTCGCTTGACATGCGATTCTGGTAGACGATGACACTAGCGGGCTTCTGCGCCGAGCTCACGGAGCTGTTCTGCTGGTGATGCCTCGTGTCGGGGTTGCGTCGCTCCGGGATCATCTCCTTCTCGTCGTCGTCGTCCTTGTCGTTCCGATCCGTCTTCCAAGTCTCAATCTCCTCGTCGGCGATGGGGGTGATGCCCCTCTTGAAGAGATATGCATTCCGCCGCCGTGCAAAGAAGTAGACACTCAGGCCCAGGATGAGGACGCAGGTGACGGGTACCACCGTCGCGAGGATAATGGTGAGTCGGCGGTCGGTATCCATGTTGACGCTGCCATTACTCCGCCCATGTATGATACGCACAAGAGAATAAGGGCGAGTGCGAGACTGCCACGTCGAGAGTGAAGTGAAGTGAAGAGGCCCTCGTACAAGCGGCTCTTGACAAGAGCAAGTCGAGGCTAGATTCGGCGCGGCACGCACGATGCCTTGGAGCAAACCGGGGGCATCAGGGACAAAGAGCCGACCGAAGGCAAAAGGTGTAAGCTAGGCGGAGAGGGGATCGTAATATACATACTTGCCTAGGCCCTCCCGCTGAGACTGCCCGGTCTGTTACGATGCGCTACGACGCAATCGACTCTCGGCACATGCGCTCTCTCTCTTTCTCAGCTTCCATGTCCCTCACTCAGATGATAGATCAATGGCCCACCTTGCGCAGCGGGGCGATGGTGATCGGATTCGTGGCTGCAGGGCAAGCGAAGAGGTCGATGGGCCGCTGAAACATGACCGTGGTGACCCCTCCAAGAGATGGAGCTAGCCGGGCCTGCATACATGATACGTACGTGCGTGCATGCGCGAGTGCGTGCAGGTGTGTTGGAGCGGACAGAATGGTGAGCGCCAATGGGCTGCGGATGGGAGGAGGTTGCAGGCTGGATGTTGGAGGCGGTCAAGGACAAAAAGGCAGTCAAAGTCAAAACAAGCCAGTGGAGACGAAGCAGGTGCGGTCAGTGTCAGGGGTGTCACTTTCAGGGGTGTGGAGCTTGGAGAACGTGGCGCTCAGCGTGCCTGGAGGTTCGTCCACCGCCCGCTGCCATTGTCATTCCAGCGTCTGGCAGTGCCTACCACGTACAGATCAACGCGTTTGACACACAGCAGGTATTAATAGAGGCTGCGTGATCAACAACCTGCAGCAGCAGCACTGCAGGGTGCCAGAGAGTCGTCTGGTGCGAAAGACAAGCACGACTGGCTGCCAGTCTGCCAGATCATCGGGCGTCAACATGAAGCAAGTCAGCAAACATCAGTGCAGTCGTCTGCTCCAGTCCCGCAGGCAGGCAGGTTTCTAGGAGAATAAACCACCACAGCCGCACGGCCAGGAGGTCTGGACCGACCACCTCGCCCAGCCTTGGCGCCTCTGGCACGATTATTGGAGGCGGAGGACGGTGACGGTCGCCAGTCGTCGGCCACCACGTTGTCAGGAACCACCAGTCCAGGTGGGGGTACGCAAGACAAGGTATGAGCAGCACACATGCATTCCAGCCTCCTGTCAGGCACAGGCACAGGAACAGGTTCATTCATTCATGCCATCCCACTGGTATTGAAATGCGAATCGAATCGTGGCCGACAACGCACCTTTTCAACAAAGCTACCCATCGTTCACGACCCATTCACGATGACATGTTGAGGTCAATCATGGCCATGCAATCCGGCAGGAAACCTCCTCGCACCGAAACCACCCATGGCACCCACCCGCAGGCGATCACCTCGTAGCGCACGCCAAAGAAAAAGCAGCGTGACGAGGCAGTATCAGCCCTTGCAGCAGGACATTTCCCCGCCTGGCAATGCCGTTAATGGTTATTCACGGGGAGATTGACAGCTGCACTATATGTTCTGTCCCCGTGCTGTAATTATGGTACGACGCAATGGGCGAAAGCGCTGTATGCCTTTCCCTTTGTCCTCTTCTTCAGCAGGAAAGAGGTCTCAGACACGCATTGCAAGGCCTACGGATGCGGCGGTGGAGGCGGTTGGCCAAGAGAGTCGCTTCGCCAGATTCATCATGGTCAGACTGCACCCGCAAGCACCACGAGCATTGACTACGTAGATAGTGCCGATAAATCTCCTTCACGGGCACTCGGTAGTAGTGCCGTATCGCGAAGATGACGGTGACACGATATGTGAGTGGCGTTATTATATGTGCTGAGGGTAATTAATCTGGTCCTGTCTGATCCCATGTGCCAGAGGTGCCGAATCGAACGGCTCAGCAATCCCCATTCGGCTACGACGCCGTTCGACTTCCAGATTCGGGGGGCATGCTCTTGGCCGTCGGCGATTGTGTGGTGTCGGGTTCCTTTTCGCGCGCCCAGGACCAGGATGTTTGTTTCCCCAGGTGGGTGGACCGTGGACCGCACCGCAGCCGGTGCGATGCAACGACCGGGGTCTGAATTGGCGCCAATCGTCTTGGAACGGTCACGGACCGCACTCTTAGCGTCGGGTGAGGCAATTGCTTGACTTGCTTGAATGGATGGATCATGGATGGATGTACACTATGTAGGATGGCGTTGTCTCGAGATTCATGACAGATGATCATCGCGGGATTTTGTCGTGCGTTCTGCTGGCTCACTTCTGATGTGAGACCTCTGGTGCGTCAGAAAGACCAATGTCATGGCACTCATGATCTGGGATCATCCCTCGGAGAGATGATGGGCATTTCTCCATCGCCGGAATCAATGAATCACCACGCCTGCCTGCTCACCACTTCAGTCGATTATCACTCACTTCCGTTCACCACGTCCAGGGGTAATGAACACGGACACGAGCAAGTATGCCCAGAGGCTGGCATATCGTAATTGTTTTAGGATCCCATGACCAATCCATCCCCTTCAGGCGCAGAAGGGTGTGAAGCAGAGGCTGAAGGTGGCGCACTTGGCCAAGTGCACTAAGATGCCAAGAGTCAGTCGCGCACATGCAAGCCACGGAATACACCGCTTATTGCCCAGCTTCTGATTTCTGAAGTATCGTATTCACGGGGACCACATGCAGGGCACAAGGTTCATGTCCGCGCGTTCCTGGCTATGGCGGTAGCCGTGGATGTCTTGCAGGTATCGCGGGCTTGTGGAGTATTATTAGCTCTTCGAGGTTCCAACTGCAACTGCTGCGCGGCTGGATGTCTTGAACTCTTGGTGCGTTTTCAAACTTCCAAGACCTTGTTTGCGGGGTGCCGCAACGTAACATGCAAGAAATAAGTCTTTCGACAATATCGCCCACTATGGGCAGTCGCGAGATCCTTATCTTAGCTCAACGAGCAAGCAACGAGCAAAGTTCGGACAAGTCCGTGTCGTTAAAGGGGCGTTAGTACTGGTGGTGGTGATAGCGTCAAACCCGGGTGGTCCACAGCGCAAGGCCTATCGAGTGTCCAAATCAGGTTACCAGGTGGCAGGCGTATGTACCTCGAGCGCAATAATACATGCAGCCAAGATAAGTATCCTAGAGATTGGCGAGAGTGTGGCATGCACGCGTGTGTTGGCTCGGCTCTGTCGTTTACCGGTACCAGTGTTTGAGGAAGAGGGGAAGCACCCATTGGATCAAGATATGAAGCACGGATAACGAGCCTGATTCACTCATTGATTACAATTCCGGGTGCAAATTCACGTCCCCTACGACGCAAGAGTTTGTTTGCGCCGTTCTGAGCTTAATCTGGCACTCTGCTCATGGACGCTCATGTATAGGGTAAGCTGTTTACACTGGGCTGCCGCCACCCGAGTTCCCATACCCAGCCGACGAGTACATTGAAAATACCCGAAACGAAACTTCGCGATTTACCGTCATCAACAGGTACGCCCAACTGGTCTCATGCAGCCGACATGCAGACGGAGAGAACATTCGCCAGCTCAGGGATCTCTAGCGCCTGGCACTCGAACCCCTCCGCGCATGTGCTCTCTGGGCTACAGAGGTAAGGCTTGAAGCGCTTCTTGACGGACCAGTCTGCAGAGTCGAGCACGCAGACAGTGGGGATCGGGGGCGCAAAGTACTTGTTGTATGGATCGGAGATGCAGCTCTCGCCGGCAGCGCACGCATTCTCGTCGGCTGGGTCACAGGTCTGGAGGGCCGGTGCGGCGAGGGAGAGGCGCGCCATGGCAAGCGCGAAGCCGATGACAAAGGTCTTGACAGAGGCCATTGTTGTTTATTGCCTTGTTGATTCTGGGCTGCTTTGAATCTTACAGACCTTGATGAGTCTTGAGGATGAAGAGCGGAGGCTGTTCGTCCTTCAAGGCTGGTATCACTGGTACTGATGGTCACCCCTGAAGGCAAGAATGGTGCGTGATACGTGTGTGCAACTACATCATTATCGTATGAGGAGGCCCTGGATACCTATTTATCACGGTAATTTCGCGTCGTCTTGCTCAATCACCGGCAATTGCTGGTGTTCAGGTGCGGAATGACATGTTGAATGCCATCAAAATGTCAGACATGGGACATGTAGGCTGGGGAGGGACCGCACATACCTGCCGCCATGTCATCGAAGAGACGCATTTCTCCCTTGCCACCTGGGTTTACGGGGATTTGAAAAGATGATGCAATTCACACAATCGAACAAGGGCAATGATAGAGCATAGATTTAAGGAGTTCACACGATCCACGGGGAGATGAGCTCTTTCAATGTCGCAACCCTAACGTCGCCGGCTTGGTTCAGCTGGTTTACATTGCAACCAGGTACGACTATAGTGACATACTAGCATTCCAACCAGATGTTTGTGCGAATAAGGCTGAGCTTTCCTGGGCTTGGTCCTAGGGAGCTCCCTTGCAGACTACGTGCCTGGGGGCTAAGTGGTAAAAGACTTCGCCTGCCACAAGACCTTGTGAAGTAAAATATATTCCATGGTTACCATTCGAGAGCGTGTATACCGAGCTTGGTACTGCTCATTGTCAGATTTTCCATCAAAAATTCACTACGAGAGAGAGACCTCTATACAGAACCACCACCACCACCCGATATCCTACGGCACGATCTACAAGTCTCCGCTACAGACACGCACACAAAACCATCGAGTCTCCTGAAAACCACCCCTAAAACACCTTGGGATGAAAATAATATCACCCCTGAGCATGCTATACACGTCGACCATGGTGGCATTCGCTGCTTCTGCACCACAATACCAGAGTGAAAGCGAGATCCGATGCAGCGTGGAGCGCAGTTGGACATGTCCAAGAGGCTTCTTTTGTAGGCAAGATATCCAAGGCCAGGAGGGCAGCGGCATCTGCGAGCCCATTTTCTAGACCACGCTGCGAGTACACTCAAGTAAAGTCATGCCCTGTGGTTACGCTCGTTCTCAAAAACAGTGAGAGATGAAAAGACATGAGAGATCCACTACGGTTGATATCACTTGACACCAACCTACTTACCTAACAACAGATCGTACTCACCTCTCCACACTTACCTCCTGGCCCTAGTCAATGACAAAACGCTCCTGTCTAGGTGGATTAGCTTGAGACGACGAGGCAAACGAATTACCTTGCAAAGACCCAGCGGGCCCAGGGGTAGCTGGTCGCGGCGCACCCGGCTCACGAACATTGTCGCCCTGGCGCGGCGTAAACAGGTTTCTCGCATGTCGAGCGACCCAATCCACGGGTTTCTGCAGACAATTTGCTCCCTCTCTATTCTTCTTCCCCTGCCGATCAGGTCCCCCCGGCTGCAGAATCATGCACTCAAACCAAGCCTCCTCGGCCCGGCGCAGACGATCCTCGCAGACACGCGCCTCCGCCCACAGACCAACGTCACCGAGGAAATCGACGATATCGTAGATGGAGCGGTCCTCGACGCTCTCGACGCAGCGGTGGATGATCTGCATGAGATGCGCCGGATCGGCGTTCTGGCTAAACTCGTACAGGCCGACGCAGATCTTGGCCCAGGTGACAATCCAGGTTGGATCCAGAGAGCCCATGGCCTCGCGCATCTCAACCGTGTTGCGTGACATTTCGGGTGGCGCGGGCGTCGAGGCAAAGGCGCCGTGGGGTTCCTCCTGCGGCCACATCTGACGGCGCATCTCCTGACGGCGCATCTCCTGCCCCTCGGGCTCCAGGTATGAGTCCGGCACGGGACACTCAAGGGGGAAGATACCGGATGTGTAAAAGAGCCAGTTGAAGTTAACGTACTTGTTGTTCATGGGCGGCATGAGCAGCTCGGCTAGCTGTTGGGTGCCCCTATCACAGGACACGAGTTCCTGGATGGCCGACCAGACGTTCTTGCGGAACGGCACAAATCGTCCATAGTCCTCCGGCTTGACTGGGTCCGATCGTTCAGGCATAGGCGTCAGCATGAAGTCTTTCATGCTGTGCGTGGTATTTGTCGGCCGAAAGCGACGGACGAGAGATGCCGCGGCGGGTGCACCTCCCAGGGCACGGGGGATCTCTGTTGGCCCACGGCTGGAAGACTTCAAGCGAGGGTTGACCTCGGGGTTCTCAAGCTCCGCCTGGTGCTGCTCGGCGTTGGAGCTGGGGTTGGGGATGTTAGCTGGCCCAAAGAAGGCCTCGTGGCGGCCCGATAGCCAGTGATCAACTGGAACTGGTGGATGCCGGAACGAGGTCCTGCCTGGCTCCGTGTCTACCGCCTGGACCAACTCACCCATGAACCTCTCCCTACCACGTTCAAAGTGCTTGAAGCTCCATATGGCCGTGGCGGCATCCTTAGCCGATTTGTTCTGATTGACACGCGAGAGGTTGAGGCGGCGGGTAGAGTCTGAGAAGCCGTTGCCAAAGGGCGCGCCAAAGGCGCGCTCGGGAGGGTGCAAGATGGACAGCAAAGGCTCAACAGCCCACCAGAGCGAGGCGAAATTGCGCGCCACCTGCAGAGGGATCCTGTTGTAGCCGTTGCCGACATGCACGTGAAAGCCAGTGGAGGCGTTGACGCGGCATCGAAAGTGGGACGTGATGAGACTAACCACGAGGCGAATCATGAGAAAGGCGGCCTCCCGGGCAAAGGTTGCCGGGCTCGAGATCTCGAACTCTTCCCACGCGTAGCCTTGCTCACGGGGCTCCGCACAGGTCGGGTCGCATTCAATGAGCCAGCCCTTGGCAGGAGGGTCCCCATGCTCACGGAGGGGAATGCCCTTGTCTTTGAACAGCTCGATCATGACGCCACGAGACTCGCCGCGGTCGTACAACGGGGGCAAGCAATGAGCGACGCCACTATCAGGGTCCTTGTCCCGTGCATACTTCCTCTCCGCCACCAGGAACTCCAGCTCGACCCCGAAGCTCGCGCGAGGGGGCGTTGTTGGCGCAATGTTGCTCGCAATCGGCCCACTCATGGCTGCGGTTTATGTGTCGGTAGTGGAGGCCTATCGAATGTCAGACAAGAGAGAATGCTAGGTGACGTACCGCCCGTGATCGCTGTCCAGGCCAGCTGGATAGTTGAGAGTTCTCTGACCAACTCAATGGACTGTTGATGAGTTCGCATTGTGTACAGAGTCAAGAGCGGCATAGCAAGCGAGGCGGACGTCGATATTTGTACCCAGAGGGTCACTTGGCCGGTTGCACTCCTGCAAGCACAATGAGCAAGGAAGACTCTGTTCACAACGCGAGTACCGGGCGGAAAATAATAGTTCGATTTCATTTCAGTGTATGTTCCCTACTCCATGCGCCTCCTGCTTTGTGATGGTGAAAGAACAAGGGTGGACGGCCCGCAAACAATGGCCGACGCACACCAAAAACAACCGTCCTCGTTCCGTTATTAAGGATCCGAGCTCGCTCGAACAAGCAAACTCGAACCAATTGTGAGCATTCAATCGTGTACAGGCCTTGAACACATCCAATGTCGTGCTGCATTCAACGTTGCGCGCTGTGTGTTGTATATATTCGAAAGAACTTGATCTGTGCAAGGCGAGGGTCGAGTGTCAAATGCGAGATATGAACAAAAGTGTGTTCCGGTCTGACTAGAATCAGAACAGAGCAGCGAAAATGCCGAGGGCCGCGAGAACAGGAGCAGCAGTGGCGGCAGCAAAGTCACCCTGGTCGGCGTCGTCGGTGTTGGTAGCGGCGGCCTCTTCTTCCTCATCGTCGCTACCGGTGGACGAGGCGGTAGGATTCGCAGTGGTACTGGATTCCTCGCTGTCCTCGCTGTCGTCGTCGTCGTCGTCCTCGTCCTCGTCCTCGTCCTCGTCATTGGTGGAGCCACCAACATCGGCGTCGTTGGGATCCAAGGTGCCACACTCGGACTGAATGTTTTCACGACAAGCAGTCTGGCCCGTCTGATTGCGCACGTTCTCGGTGATGCAGCGGTCGGTCAGAGTCTCGCAGATGAAGGTAGGCATGGACTGCGTGTACCACTGCAGACCGGGCGTCGAGTCGTTGGAGGCGCACTTGCATTCATACTCAATGGTGGTCTGGGGCGGAGATTAGCTCAATCGCACAGATTCACGTTGTGCAGGGTCACCAACGTAGTCGCAGTTGTTTGCGCTGACGTCGTCGTCGCACAAGGTGTCGCAAGTGTCTGTCTGGGCGCGGCACCAGGTAGCTGAAGGAACAGTCAGTCAGAAGAGCAATCAGTGGCTTGTGCGGGACGGTACGCACCCTTCTGGCTAGCTTCGATGCTGTTTGAGTCAATGGTCATGTCCAGAGAACTGTCGTATGACTGATCCGCCAACTGGGCGGTGACGGCTGCCGCAGCAAAGGTGAGGAGAGTGAAGTAGCGCATGTTGTTGATGGCGGCTAAGCTAGCTTAGAGTGGTGATGGAATGATGCACGTTGGCGATGCTGACGGTACAAGAGCTGCGTCAAACTTGTTTGAGTAGTTCAAGATTCAAGATGGAGAGACGATGAGGAGGCTGCTGAGGAGGTGAAGAGGAGGAGAAGAAGAGGAAGAGGAGGTCGAGTAACAGACGGGACGACGGCTGTAGAAAAACATGGCAGGCGAGGCAGGCCAAGGCCGAGATCGTGGGTGAGAGGCAAGAGATGGTGCCAAGACGAGCCAAGGAAAGCCGGACCCGTCCAAGACCAACCATCAATTTCAAGGTCACCACCTCGAGTCACCTCGGGACTCGGGTCAGGGCCATGTCAGCCTGAGCGATCACTGAGAGCAGACACATGTCTCGGATCGCTCACTGCGCTGCGTGCTTGCTTCGTGTCGCTTGCATCGCAGGAGTTGTAAACACAACTGCGTTCATTGCCCGCCCTCGCGATATCCAGTCTTCGCCAAGGCCAGCGACTGGAGCCCGACTCCGTAGCTCTGAGGGCATCACTGTGGAGACGGATGCACCACTGGGCTGCAGCTCCTACGTGGAGGTCGCACCGGATGCAGAAATGCCACTCGGACCTCCTCTCCGACCAGATTCCCATCCATCCAGCCTCTCTTCCATCGTGGGATCAGAGGACCTACCAAACCAGCCACAGGATTTGGCCGCGCTCGGCATGCACTGACGCTTGCTGTCGAGGGCGGGAGATGCGATGCACGCAATGCCACTGGAAACATGGCCTTGGCTAAATGTCTCATCCCCGGCACACCAGGAGATTTGCATCAATATACACGGAGGCAGCCCGCCATCCTGCTATCAGTCGATCCATTGATAGGTAGGTAGGGTAGCAACCACGAATCCCGCAATCCCGATGGGCCGCTGGAATCAGCGCCAAGCTAAATCACGGGCTTATCCTCCATCATCGACCCGGTGTCGCGAGCCTGGCCGCTCGCGCGGCGGTGAAACGTGACTGCGACGGGGCGTCTGTTCCTGCAAAGTCAACGATTCCTCCTCTCAGGGCAATCAATGTCTCGTCGAGCTCAGTACGGAGCACGTTAACGTACGTATCCGCGTCTGGCAGCCACGAGTCGACAACAGTCCCCACGTCCCTCGTCACTGGTACCACATGCCGGCCGGCCACTTCGCGGGCTCATCCTGGTCAATTCCTGGTCTCGGACTCGACTACACGTAGAGCGGCAGGCGGGAAGCTGTGGAGTTCCGACTATTGCTTCCCCAGAGCTCGAGCGCTGCATAGTCGTCGTCATCGCCAGAAATCTCTGTGCACCGTTATTTCCGTGGATGTGTATAATTTTCTCGTACACGGATACGGTCGATACTTTTCGCGTGTTGGAGGCCTGGCAACCCTCTTTTATGCAAGTGTTATGCAGGTCCGCAACTTTATGCCATCCATCTCCGGATGGATTGTGCCGGGGTCATCGCGCTGTCACCGCTGCCATCAAATGGCAATCAGTTGCCGAGGCGGCATGCTACCGGTGAACAAAGCAACAAAGGTGGTTGAGTTGGGTTGATACGCAGTAATAAAACAATGGAGTATGCGTTTTCTTTGTCCCAAGCAACTTGTAGTGCGTTCCTGTACAGGGACTATAGAACAATACGGTAACTCAAGCTGGTTGTCCCCCGCATGGGAATGAATGGCCTATGGTCCCGGGTAGTCACTTCATCTCCACCAGAGGGGCCTGAAATTAGCAACTTAGCCCCGAACTCGGCCCCTTTTGGCATTGACATCTGTCGCCTCACGGCCATGACTTGCACCACACCATGGACAAGCTCCCATCCGAGATCATCGACCTCATCCTCGACCAATGCCTCATCCAGCTCACTCGCAATAATGTCCTCGAGCTCCGCCTCGTCTGCCGGGCGTTTGACTGCCATCTCAAGCGATGGGGTTGCTACAACCTCACCCTCGACTACTGGCGCATGATGGACCGGCGGCCCCAGATCGAAGCCCTCCAGACGATAGGCTACCACTGCCGGAGCCTGCTCCTGGACTTTGTTCCCCTGCGCGATGACAGTGAGTCCGCGCCTTCACCCGTCAGCCAGCTAGCAGCCGTCGCCATTACTATACATGTACTGACTACCCCACCCCCCAGGGGAACTCAACTTCAACGAGCAGCTCTTCCGCTACAACCCCGACATGATCGAGTTCTGCGACACCCTGCAGCGTGAATTTTCCATGCACGAGGGCACCTTCACCGAGTCGGACTTTCTGGACACCCTCGGCCAAGTCCTCTTCTACTGCCGCTCGACCCACATGGTCCGACTCGCCCTGCCGTTCCCCATGATCCCAGGGCACACCGAGACGGCGACCAGGATCCTCGCCAACGCGTTCAAGGCCCTGGCGAACCGGCCCGAGGAAGGCTCGGAGCCCCTCGAGGTTCTCGTGATAGATCTGGTCCCCGACATATCGCTCTGTCACATGTGGACGAACCCCAGTGACATTGCCAACGTGTTCACCGTCATGGCCAAGGTGAAGAACCTCGTCATCAGCTACCGCCAGAGCGAGACGCTACCAGAGGTCGTGTTGGTGTTTGGTGCCTCGATATGGTCCGTCGCGGGCAGCTCCAGCTGCCTGGAAACGCTGTGCCTGATCGGCAACGTGCACTCGTCGAATTCGCGGCCCAACAGGACGTGGACCAACAGCATGGACACCACGCCCGACGAGTGGAGCTGCAAGACGCTCCCGCGAATCAAGTTCCAAGCAGGGCCCTGGACCACCCTGAGGTGTCTAGAGTTGAGGTCGATGAACGTGAGCCCCGAGGTCATGCTCCAGTTGGGCGTCGAGATGGGCGACACGCTGCAAGAGTTGTATCTGCACGATGTCTGGCTCATGGTGGATGGGTTGCGCGCTCATGGCGAGGACGACGCGTGGCTCAATGACTTGGCGCTCTGGGTCGGCCACCCGGGTCGACGACCGCCTGAGCATGCCAGCTGGGTCGCCATGGAGCTGCGCAGCAGGATGACAGCCCTGCGAATCTGCCGCGCCTCCTCCCTAGGCTACGAAACCTATGTAGACAGCGATCGCGACAGACTGGCGGATTTTGACCTCCGAGATCCCTGCGGGCTGGGCCGCACGCTCGCGCAACGCTTCGTCGAAGTCGTCACGGGCTGCGAAGGCCCTCCGGATAGAGGAACCGGGGAACCCGTCAAGTACCTTCCGGCCGACGCCTCGCACGACCACCTGCTCCACGAGACCAAGCCGCGCCCGTCGCAGGTCGTGGAGTACGATACGGCTGCGTACCATTTCTGCGTCGCCAATCCAACCTCGGTGTGGCTGGATCGGGGCATGCACGAGTTCTTTCCGGACAAGACCGAAGCGAGCGCCAAGGCGGTGGACTACTTCACCTCGAACTTTGCGACGGGCATGCAAGAGCTGAGGATGAGACTGTTGTCAGAGGCGAGTAGGGAGGGGGCTGCAGCGTGAGGCAGAGGAGCGAGTGAGGAGTTGATGGACAGACTCACAAATGATACCCACAATGCATAGCATGGCTTTGCGCATGATTTTTTTGGAAATGACATTCGCTGCGTCCGCGATGGTTTAGATGCATGGCCCTCTTCTTTGAGGGCAACTTGATTCATTCATAGGATGTCCCCTCTATGGGACTCCCTCCCCCTACAGAAACGGGGACGTCTATCTATCTATCCTTTGTGTGCGCGAGGACCTTTCTTCCCCCACACTCATTCCAGCGCACTCTCATTGCGCGCTGCCGTTGCCGTTCTGCTGGGCCCCCACGGCTCTCTCGACGGCCCGGAGCACGTCATTCCTCAAATCCTCCGCGTCCTCGACGCCGCAGCTCACGCGGACGAGGTCGTCAAAGACACCGACGGCCTCCCTCTGATCACGCGGGATACCAGCGTGGGTCATGCTGCTGGGCAGCTCGACGAGCGACTCGACGCCACCGAGGGACTCGGCGAGGGTGAAGATGCGTGTCTCCTGGCAGAAGCGCTCGGCGGCAGCGTGGCCGCCCTTGATGCGGAAGGAGAGCATGCCGCCGCCCATGCCGTTCCTGTGCTGCTTGAGGGCAATTTGGCGGTGGGGGTGGGAGTCGAGGCCCGGGTAGTTGACGGAGATGACGTTGGGGTCGGCCTCGAGGGCGGTGGCGACGGCCATGGCGTTGGTGGAGGCCTCGCGGGCGCGGAGGTGGAGGGTCTTGAGGCCGCGGTGGGCGAGCCAGCTGTCAAAGGCGGAGGGGACGGCGCCAATGGCGTTCTGGAGGAAGCCGAGGCGGTCCTTGAGGGCGTCGGCGTTGAAGGCGGCGACGCCCATGACGACGTCCGAGTGGCCGTTGATGTACTTTGTGACCGAGTGGACGACAATGTCGGCGCCGAGGTCGAGGGGGTTCTGGACGTAGGGGGAGAGGAAGGTGTTGTCGACGACGACGAGGACGCCGTGGCGGTGGGCGACGTCGACGACGGCACGAATGTCCACGAGGCGCAGGGTCGGGTTGCTGGGGGTCTCAATCCAGATGAGGCGGGTGTCTGGGGTGATGTGCTCGCTGACGTCGACCTCGATCTCGGGGGTGAAGGTGACGCGGACGCCGTGGGCCTTTGCGACCTGGGTGAAGTAGCGGTGGGTGCCGCCGTAGACGTCGGAGACGGAGATGACGTGGGAGCCGGCGGCGAGGCTCTGGAGGATGGTGGCCGTGGTGGCGCTGCCGGAGGAGAAGGCGAGGGCGTAGCGGGCGTGCTCGAGCGCGGCGACGGCCGTCTCAAAGTTCTCGCGGTTCGGGTTGGAGGAGCGCGAGTACTCAAAGGCGCCCACGGGTTTGCCCACGGCCGTCTGCGCAAAGGTGGTCGACAGGGAGATGGGCTCGATGACGGCGCCGGTGGCGGGGTCGTGCGGCGAGCCCGCGTGGACGGCAAGGGTGCCGAACTTGTTGACGGGGCTCGGGGGGCGAGGAGGCGTCGCGACGGGGTTGGCGTCGGCCACAATGGCGGCGGCTGCTGAGGGCGACATGCTGTGTGGTGGTGTCTTGTTGTTTGTCCTGTCGTTGGGAGAGGGAGGTGGTGATGTTGGATTGATGGCCAGGGTTTAGATAGAAGCGGGGAGGGAGGATGCTTCTGCGCTCGAACAACAAGGTGATCCTTTGTTCGACAGCTTCCCGCTCGCGTGAGGTGTCTCTCACGTAATTTGATGCGCCCAGATATGCGGCTGTCTCAAGAGAGCAAGTCGAAATCTTTTTTTCCTGCTCGTCCTCTTTGTCGACTTTGCGACCGGCTTTCGGGTTCGAGGCTAGAGACGGCCAGCCCCGGCTGATTATGCTCAAAGGGCACAAGGGCGGTGGAGGCGTGGGTCCTAGGGCGTAGCGATGTGTAAGGGAATCAATTGATGGAAGACTTTGCGTACCTTGGGAAGATATTCTCAATTGCGGATGGACGAGGCAGAGGGGATGGATCGCCCGGACGAGCGAGTCAAGCAGGCGCTGCGCTGAGGACAGAAGACAGACAGTCAATGAAGGCTGGTCGAACTCTAATATTGTGTAATCGGGGACGGACACTTTATACGCGAGTGTACTCGAGACCAACTGAGTGACCACGATGGCGCAACAGCCGTAGCCTGTTGACATACAGCCATACCCTTCCAGTCAGCACGCGGGCTTGGGCTCTAACTGGTGAGATGCGGATTCGGATTCCGGTTTCGTACCTGGTGATAAATGCCAGTGCTTGGCCCTGCATCACCTGCTTACTCGAGCCGCTTTGTAATTCACGAATTGTCAGGGTGCGCCGGCCAGTAGCGGCCCATTGGAGCAACATGGATTTGAATGGAATCTGGCACCCATCGATCTGGGCGTGAGAAGCACGTCGTGAAATGTGATGTTGACGACCGAAAGGGGGTTATGGTATCATCTGTGAGGTAAGCCGCTGGCTGGGCAAACCTTCGGGAAGCAATTCGGAGTGACAGTGGTGCTCAAGGTTGGCCTAACTCACGTCAAGTGCCACCTTTACGATCTCCTAACCTTTCTGCCTTGTCTACTACCCATAGGGCGAATGCTGGTTAGTCGGCTCGTGCGACAGACAAGCTATCCAAGACCAATACGCGTGTCTGCAAAAGAGTCGAGCTTGCGAGGCGGAGGGGGTTGACAGCCACTCGCTGGACAAGGAGTCAAGGACGAAGCATCAATGGTTCTGACATTCGACCCCAGGCAGTCATCTCGCTCATCTGTTGCCTGACTACCCTGTAGCTAGGTCGACACAGACGTGGCCCGACGCCATTGACCAATCGTTCTCTCGATTAGCCACTCCATGTCCGTCCGTGGCTCGGGATGGCTTCGGCAGCATGTGGCGGGCTGTGGCAGTGCACTGTCCCCCCTCCACGACTCCATCGCCGCCACGCACGCCTTGCCTTGCTTCGAGAAGCAGTCTCCAATTAACTTACCGTTAGGGGTCCTGATTTGATCTGCTCTGACCTGTTTCTGGACCTGACAGCTAACAACCACGCCCGCCTGCCAGCCCTATTTCGCCTCTTGCTCTTGGATGCCGATACCGTTGACGGCCACCGTGTATCAATCACCGTACGGCGTAGAGCCACGCGAAAGCAAGCCCCCGTAGCTTCTATTTCGGTCTCTCGGCAAACTTCAACCTCACCAGTCTTTGCGAGCGAGCTATTCCATGTTTCCCTAAAGGCTAGGGGTCGAGCTCAACTCAACGAAGCAAGCGGCCATGCTTGCCGTCCGTCGCGACATCCGAGCATCAACTGCTACGGTAGCCTAGTTCATCCAGCCCATCTTCCTCGAACATGCCCCCCCGGAGATCGCACAAGAAGTCGCGGGCTGGGTGTCGCCGTTGCAAGGTCCGCAAGATCAAGGTACGTTGCGCTGTCTCCCTTAGCCCTGTCTTCCTTCGGACCGAGGCTGATCTGACTCTACCAGTGCGACGAAGTCCACCCACGATGCGGCAATTGCATGAAACACGGTGTCGTGTGCGACTTTGAGTCCAACGAGGCGGCTGACGATCTTGCCAGCGTCTCTACGCCGGCCGCCCCGAGCCCCTTGCCCCCGACACCTGCGGCATCCTACGCGCGGACCAACCCACAGCCTCCGAGACGATCACCTCCACGTCCGCCCTCGGTGACGCCACGGGTGGTCTTCAACCAGCCTCCGACGCCCAAGGTGTCCAGCGTGACCGCGCAGGTCAGCAGGCTCATGGAGCTGCGCCTGATGCACCAGTACACCAATGTCACCTCCAAGACGCTCCTCACAAGCTCGCCCGTCACGGAGGATATCTGGCAGCGCGCCGTGCCGCAGATGGCTTTTGAGGGGAGGACATACCTGGCCGACGCCATCCTGTCTGTCGCGGCGCTGCACCTGCGCTCCCAGGCACCCGAAGACAAGTCGTTGATACGCGCGACCCACGCCTACACAGCGTCGACACTGGCCGAGTACTGTGCCTCGCTGGAAAAGGGTATCACATCGGACAATGCCGAGTCCTTGTTCCTGACGGCGTCCCTCATCGCGTTCCAGTCGGTGGCGGCGCGGATATTCGCAAAGGACGACGCCGAACCCGACGACCCAAACGCCCGCTATGCGCTCCCGCTGCCATGGTTTCATTCTTTCCAGGGTGTCAAGACCGTCGTGGCCACCTCGTGGCAGTGGATACGGAACAGCAACATTGTCAAGAACGTCATTGATTCTCAGCCGAGTCTGCAGCTGGATCTGAACCCGCTAGGACCCAACTCCTTCTTTGGCCACTTGCTCGAGGGCCTGGACGAGGAAATTGCACAGGAAGCGCCCGACATGGTAGCGTCGACGACGCAATGCTACTCGCACGCCATCTGCGTGCTCAACTGGGCGCACAAGAGCCCGCACCCCGCGGCTGCGCTGGCGTTCCCCGCCACCGTCGCCCGCCGCTTCATCGAGCTGGTGGAGATGAAGAGGCCCCGAGCGCTGGCGACCATTGCGTGCTTCTTCGCCCTGCTCAAGCGTCTCGACGGCGTGTGGTGGCTGCACGACGTGGCGCGCCGCGAAGTCATGGGCCTGGTCGGGCTGTTCGAGTCCGGGTCCAAGTGGTGGCGGCACCTCGAGTGGCCGGTGCGGATTGCTCTCTGGGACGGCAGCAACATCCCACCCGAGATCTGGGGCACCGACTGGGAGACGAGCGTTAACCCGGACACCAGCCAGGGGTTCGTGGATCACATTGAGCTGGTGGCCGAGCTGATGGGCCAGTCTACGCACGACTTGTTAAGTATGGCCACCCCTTTTACGGGGGAGCCGCCACTCACGGCCGAGTCGCCGGACTGAATACCATTCTCTAGGTACTAGACTACCATGTGCTGCATTTCGGGCGTTGAGGGTATTAAATGATATCCGGTGAGGGTAGTGCTAGCGAGTTTACTGGTCATATTTTTGCACGTATATGCAATGCAAGCTGTCAGTCATCTACTTTTCCAAGACCACATGAGGTCCACATAACAGAGGTCAACAATTTACACTGTTTCATTGTCTATGCGCATCGTGACATGTGGCCACACAAAAGGATGTTCCAATCCGCAACGCCAAACGCCTCCAAGCCAAAGCAATGGCCACGCTCACTGCTCACGCCTTTCGGATCTTCTTGGTCACCTCCTCGGCCACGACCTCCTCGACCGCACCATCGTCGTCGGCATTGTCGTCGGCCTGCACGTCCCTTGACCGCTTGAGACCCTTCATCTTCCTCGTCTGCAGCTGGCTCAGGTCTTGGCGGCCGAGATGCACACGGCCGAGCTTGTCGCCCATGGAGTCGGTCGTGACGTTCTTCTTGGTCCTCTCCTCGAGGCCGCGGGGCTTCTTCATGGCGAGCTTGCGGGTGGCCTCGTCGGGGACCTGAATGCGGCCGACGGCAAAGTCCATGCGGGGGCCCATCTCCTCGACCTCGACGCGCGGGAGGCGCTGGCCGCTGCGCTTGGTGCGGATGAGATAGGTGCGCAGGTGGATCTTGGGCTTGGCGTCGCCCTCGCCCGTCGTCTCCTCGGCGGTGAGGGAGACAATGTACTGCAGGCCCTCGACGTCGATCTTGTCGCTCGTCTCGCCCTTGAAAAAGTCGACAAACATGCTCTTGGCGAGGGTGAACTCGTTGTCGACGGGGCTCTCGAACGCGGTGCCGGCAAAGAGCAGCATCGGCCGCAGGCCCACGGCGAATTTCTTGGTCTTGAACTGGCCCAGCGTCCGGAACGTGGTCGGGTCCAGGATGAGCTCGAGCATGTCAAAGACCTTGTAGCCAAATGTGCGCACCAACGTCAGCGCGTGCGGACGCTTCTTGCTCGAGCTGCCAAAGCACAGCAGGCTGGTGTCGTTCTTCTCGGAGAAGAACTCGAGCGACGAGGCGTCGTCGAATGGGTGGATGGGGTTCTTCTTTGTGAACTTTTTGGCGAGCGGCTGGCGCATCGTGTGCAGGTCCGTCATCGCGTCCTGCACGACCTGCGAGCAGGTCGTGCCGCGGAGGAAGAGGCACGTCTTGGGGTTCTCGTTGACCTTGGACTCGCGCTTCTCGAGGGCCCGCTTGGAGCGGGCATTCTTGGGTTTCCTGGTAGACAGTCAGCGTCTGAGAGCGGGTAAGTGGATAGAATCCACGTACACTTGGCGCAGCATCGTGTCAGCTGTGAGGATGTGACGGGGAGATGGGTGGTAAAGCTTGCTGGCGGCTGGACTTTGAAGATTTGCGACGGTTTGCAAAAAAAAGTTGTTATCGATAGCCGGGATGGTAGGGTGGGGATGATGTAGGGTAGCTCATTCGGGACGGGTGGTGCAGGGTAGGTCAGAAGATGACCATCGAGTGAGGTCTATGTATCTGTCAACATGAATGCAGGTATTCATCCCGTGACACTATATGTGGTGGATATCTGTTAGATCCAAGAATCACCACTAGCCATAAGAAGGCCGCAAGTCGTGAACGAAAGCACCCCGACCCCAACTCGTCACGTGTGACCCCGAATCGGCTGGCACGTCCTGCGGAGACTGGCTTGTCCGCGCGCCGGGACCGGTCTGCCTCGGCTTCGAGCCCCGCCACTCACCTGGACCCTCCATCTACAACCAACTTTAATTACCAAGGGACGTCACGGCAATACCGACAACCCATCTTCACCTTCTCCTTCGACAACCCCCACTCCAGAATCATTCTTACCTACATCATAGCGCGCAATGTCTTTCATGGGAGGAGCCGAGTGCTCAACAGCAGCCAACCCGTTGAGCCAGTTCCAGAAGCACGTGCAAGATGACAAAACACTACAGCGAGACCGGCTCGTCGGGCGAGGGCCCTCACAGATGAATGGTTTCCGGAGCCAGAATGCGAATTCGCCGCAGGACGAGGTAGGCCAGGGATCTGCAACTCTGGATCCGTCCGAGGACTACCAGCTGACACCCGCTCCAGATGGTGAATGGGTTCCTGAACCAAGGGCCCAATCTCCAACAAGAACCCGCCATGCCAGGCGGCCCAGCACAGCTAAATCCCATGCAGATGCGAGCCAGCTCCGCCTCGCCCTCCTGGGCCCAAGACTTCAGCCACCAGCCAGGCGTGGAATCAGCCTTCCAGCCGCCCCCCAGCGCCCACTTCAGCCCCGAAGAGTTCGCCCGCTTCCAGTCGTCGTCGCGATCGAGTCCGCTACAGCAGAACATGCCGAGCCAGATGCCCCAGCAGCGCGGGCCGATGATGGGGGCCCAGGGCATGATGGGCAACATGGGCATGGGCGGCTATGGCAGGTTCCAGCCCATGTACCAGAACCAGAACCAGCACCAACAGCCCATGCGCCAGCAGCAGCACGAGCCCGAGGGCAAGGGTAAGGGGAAGCTCGTCGAGCTGGACGAGCACAAGTGGGAGGAGCAGTTTGCCCAGATGGAGCTCCAGGACAAGGAGGCGGCCACGGTCCAGGACGAGGCGCTGGCGGGCGAGCGTGAGCTCGACGAGATGGACAAGGCGATGCAATCGGAAACAAACGAGTTTGGTGACTTCCAATCCATCTGGCGGGGAATACAAGCTGAGCAGGCGGCATCCAGGTCCATGGTCAACGAAGAGCAGTTCTTTGACCAGTTTGATACCGAGTGGACGAACGACATGATGCCCGATCTCAACGGCATCGGCGACTGGGGGCGATTCGGCGACCCGACCGTCGACAACTACATGTTTGAGGAGGACAACATCTTCGGCAACGAGAAGAACGCCTTCAACGAGGGCGTGCGGATCATGAAGGAGGGCGGGAACCTGTCGCTCGCGGCCCTCGCCTTCGAGGCGGCCGTCCAGCAGAACCCGGAGCACGTCGAGGCCTGGGTATACCTGGGCTCGGCCCAGGCGCAGAACGAGAAGGAGACGGCCGCCATCCGGGCGCTGGAGCAGGCCCTCAAGCTCGACCCGAGCAACCTCGCCGCGCTCATGGGTCTCGCCGTCTCCTACACCAACGAGGGATACGACAGCACGGCCTACCGGACGCTGGAGCGCTGGCTGTCGGCCAAGTATCCCCAGATCCTAGACCCCAAGGACCTGCACCCCCCCGCTGAGATGGGCTTCACTGACCGGCAGCAACTCCACGAGAAGGTGACCAACTTCTTCATCAAGGCGGCCCAGCTGAGCCCGGACGGCGAGCACATGGACCCGGACGTGCAGGTCGGGCTCGGCGTCCTCTTCTACGGCGCCGAGGAGTACGACAAGGCCGTCGACTGCTTCCAGTCCGCCCTCCACTCGTCCGAGCTGGGGTCGACCAACCAGCAGGAGCAGGTGCACCTCCTGTGGAACCGCCTCGGCGCGACGCTCGCCAACAGCGGCCGCTCCGAGGAGGCCATCGCCGCCTACGAGCAGGCGCTGTCCCTCTCGCCCAACTTTGTCCGCGCGCGGTACAACCTCGGCGTCAGCTGCATCAACATCAACTGCCACCAGGAGGCCGCCTGCCACTTCCTCGCCGCGCTCGACATGCACAAGTCCATTGAGAAGGCTGGGCGGCAGCAGGCCATGGAGATCTTGGGCGACGGCAGTGGCAGCAGCGGTCAAGTCGATGAGGCGCTGGACCGCATGTCCGCGCAGAACAGGAGCAGCACCCTCTACGACACCCTCCGGCGGGTCTTTACGCAGATGGGCCGCCGGGACCTGGCGGAGAAGACTGTGGCCGGCGTCGACCCGGACGTGTTCAGACCCGAGTTTGACTTTTAGACGCGAGGCGGATACCACATGAAGCGGAGTTTGAATACAACAAATGTACATTGGCATTGTGCACCCATACCCTAACGTTATGTGAGCCACCGATGTCGAAATTACCCGAGCCCTTCTTCATGTTCCTGTGGCTTTTGTTTCCTTAGTTTGCCAAATGCATCTGGCTCTTGCTGTGTCTTCCGAGCTCTATCTTTGTTGTGGCTCATCACCGCTTGTTGGCCACGAGACCACCCGGGAGCATGAAGTAGAATTTTTGGGTTTGATTGTGGTGGATTGTGTCTCTTTCGTATAAAACACAGCACGCACTATCTTCATCCCCGGTGTTCACTGGCTACACGCCCTCTGGCGAAAATGAGCCTGTTCTTCACCTTTTCAGGGAATGGACGTGATGCTTGTCCAGTCATCATCCGGCACCCAGATGTCCGGCAGTGCGCTTGTTTTTCCCATGACAGCAACTATGATGGTGGCTCGTTCATGTCCGTAGAAGGGTAAATTCGCAGTTGGCTGGACTTATGTGCTGCTCCAAGGGACTAGAGAGTGAAGTGGTCCATCGCTCTCACTGGCAGGCAAACCATGGTCCATAGGAATAAGTTTCGGTTTCTACCTCAAACATGCAGCTTCCTCGTGAAGTGGGCATTTATATATGACGAGGACGGACATGCACTATTTGGCGTTGATGAAGTAGTCCAATACCGATCCTTACATGCATTCAGCCATATAAGAAGCTGCTTTATATGAAATACTCCAGGTCTAGAGCTCAATGCATGGCCAATATACCACTTCAACTTTCTACGAAACGTCATTTATCATTCTATGCGTCACCCCTGTCGCATCATGCTCGAGCACGCCTTTGACAGCGGCGTCAACACCTAGGACGTGGCCAAAGGGAACACAGCCTCCATGTCTCCCGCGCCAACTTGCCTTCATACATGTACCAGAATGCCAGCTCAGCAAGTTCCCGCCACACATCAACGGACTAGGAGAGAGTTGGCCAGCGGCCGAGTGCAATGAACGTCATTTTGGCGGAGGAGGACATTGAACACGCGGAGGCGTTACACTTGATCAAGACGCGATACCCTTCAAGCTACAACTGCCACAGAAGCCGTCAACGACATATCCAACTGATTAATACCACACATGCCTAGTCAGAACCCTGAATTCAACACCAGATAAAGAGTGTATTGTTATGTTTGAAAAAAGGGTCGCCTCTAGGCGTACCATGACTGAGCCCCGTGTTGCTGAGCTACCCTGTACGCGCTCAGTTGCAGCCAGGTTCACCAGCTATTATTGTAGAATGTCACCACATACGCAATCATTTCATTGCACCGATTTCGCTGGCAGAAAAATCCCGAGCTAAAAGCATCACCTCGAATTACTGACTAGTCAGCCTCCGTCGTCGGCAGGCCAGGTGACAGCTCAACCAGGTCCACGGACCCGGGGACTGGCGCAACCGCCAGGAAAAGAGGGAAGGGGACATGTGTTATGTCGCTTCTGCTTCTTCTGCGGCAGGGGGTGATGTGATTGAGTCTGCAGCTGGGTCTGAGCGAGAAGGTGACGGCCTCTGTAGAAGCTGCATGGCGCTTTTGTCGAGCGAGTTGAGAGGTCTCTGCTCTGCTTGGCCGAATATTATTATTATTAGTTATAGCGCGATATAATACCGGTCGTAGGAATGTTCTTTTCATCAGCAATCTAAGATTATACACCCTGATTTTTTATGAAGTAATCGAATCGTCTTTTTACGTATGTTTTTTTATTAAGCAGGGGCTATAACAACTTGTATCTACGTGAGAAAGTATTATCATAATATCAATTATATCTTGAATATAGGAGGTTACTTTTATTTACTTCGCGACATGTTAACATATATATAGAGCGTTACTAGATCAAACTCTAGATGGATACTTTGGCCCTGTGCTGATTGAGTTGCTGTCCATGTTCTAGCGATCCGGGTTCTGAGAGTCGCGCAGCTTCAGTCTCTGTTGTAGTCCGGAGAGGTCATGTATTCGGACTTTGGGCGGGCTGCCCAACCTTTGCCGTCGTCCAGATATCCCCACATCAAGGAATCGCCCGGATCGCTGCTGCAACTGTTGCTTATGTTGGTCGAAGTGGTGACCGACGCATTTCGCGGCATTGTGTGCGGTAGAGGGACATGGAGAGGGTGGGCTAATAATAAGGCTTGGTGGTCTGGTAATATTAGACAAGTTTGACTTGAGACTCAATCTCGACACCACTCGATTCTCGACAACGATTGCATCCTGTTTTACAGCATTAGATGAAAGGCACCCTCTTGTGTCTCATCGCTATCATACTTCAGACTGTTTGTTCCTAGTCTTATTCCTAAGCCGGATGCTCCCTTCAACGATACAGCGGTGCAGGATCACCAAGTGAAGCTGTTGGAACACCGCCAAGAATCTATGGCTACTACGGTAGGTAAACGAGAGTGACAAGTACGCTA